TCATGTACACTTTGTAAGATTGTTGTTTCGCTAGATGTTGGACGTGAAAACTTTTTCCACAGGTCATATCGGAATTTTATCCCCCAAGAAAACGTTTAGAAAAATTAGGTACTCAAGCACGAATCAACTGATGATGACTAGGCGGTATAGAATGGGTACGCAAGAGTCCTGGAGGCAAGTTTTGGAAGTTCTTAACCCCACGAGACCAATATCAGGTACTAATAGTATGTAAGGCACCACCGCTCAGGTCGGGGAGAGGCCAAGAAGAACAAGCGCGACGATAAGCCACGCACTTTGGGCACTCTAGTTCTTCTACTACCTTAGGTAGGTAGGTAGGTATGCGGTAGGGCGGCAAACCTTTCTTTTACAGTCAGATCAGAGTTTCATCATGAGACTCTCATAATACATAATACATAAGACTCATATTGGTCGACCAACTCCTATGAATTCATCATCATCAATTACCGCGCGGGTTCTTAGATGAGAAACCGTCATGTTATCAATATGGCGCTACGGTACGGATTATTGTACAATACAATACACAGAAGAGGGGAGACTTACGTTGGACGAGGTAACTGTATGCGCATGCACTCCGCTTTCTTCCGACAATTCCATTCGGCAGCTAATTGGATTCTATCTACACCAATGGTGGATCATGGCGTTTACGAGCTATACGTAATTAAGTTCTGAAGATGCGTTAACTACCTGCTGTATGTATGTACACCATATTCACATCTACATTAGAATATGGTAACAACTTCTTTCTGGGCATTTGTTTCGAGAATCAACTAAAATCCTTCGGCACAACGTGGTTCCTGGCCCGACATCGATATATGATCACATGGCACTTCGGTCGACCAGTAACTTAGAAATGGGTGAACTTCCAGACTATTTCGACGGTGGTGATATGCGCTGCTATTACTATTGCTATACACTACCTACACAGTACATGACAGCCCCCTCCCCCTTTAAAAAAAAACACTTCCGATTTATGTCCTACCCTTTCATGAGCTATCCAATAGAAGTCCGTCGGAACGGGTTAAATGAACATTCTGCACTGCCCAATCCCACCCGCATCCAATAACCTCTACTTTCGCCTTATGGAGGGGTTGATCCTCGTTGACAGTTCATAATTTCAGGTACATCATAGGGAGACACTTTACTCTTCCAAGATGTATATCCTACCTCACGTAACTTCTTGACAAGATGTAGACAATATCTCCGAGACATTTTTCTTCTTATTCATCGCCAGCGTGTGAAACATGGAACTCAGCTTGGTGGCATGTGTTCGTGCCACCTCTTGTAACCATAGCTCCCTAAACTATGTACAACACTTCTTACATCTCGCGGCTTTGACAGAGGCTCAGTTTTATCGATTACGACAAGCCTTATCTCCCAGGGCTGCTTACTGAGGGAGATAATTCAGGATCCCCTTGTGTATCTTCGCCTTCTCCGTCTCCATGCGTTCCCCGCATTGCTAGAATAATGGACTTGCAGGCAGCCCGGATGGGTCTTAAAGAAGCACCGCCTTCAACACAGACCAGACGATTGCGCGTTTCGCAGTTTTCGACGACTTCTTTTTTTTCTTTTTCTCTCTGAATTACGAGCAATAACATAATAGAACATCATATGATATAATATATGATATAACTAATATAATATAACTTATTGTTTTACTATATTTGTCATCCGGGAGGCTTGGACCCCAACCCATTCCGTCGCTCAATCATTAAGTCCACAACTTAATCCGACAAACCAGAGGGGGCGAGCCAAGCTTCCGGACCTAGGGACGGCTTTAGACGTCCCAAGATTTCCACATTTCGGCTACATTAACAAGCGCCGTAGGCTGTGTTTGACTTATTAATTTTTTTTTTCTTATTAATTTTTTCTTAAAGAGATTACGCTTAGTTATTAGGAGGGGCCCGAATCTAGATAAGAAATACGGAGATTTTGTCTCTTGCGCTCTCCCGAAGAGCCCGACCTTGGTTAGTTGCATCCGATGTAGGTTAGACTGAAGGCCTAATGAGGATCGCTGGCTGACAGATCACTTTAGGTACGCATGAATAACTCTGCAATGCTACAGGGTTTGATTAGCTACCTTTCCACTACCTCAAGGGGATATAATATTTTATGGCGGGGGTATAACGTGTTATCAATAGGGAATCATCGAAGCCCCAAAGCGTCTATCTTCATCAGGTGACATAATATACTTGATGATTTTTAATTATGGCTGACCAATGCCTCGTGTTGATAGGTAGCGTTAAGCAGAAGTACGTAACGTATTACATACATTTACATCCATACACACATGGGGAAGAGGCCCATGTGTTGTGTGTTGTACGTATTCGAACAGGTGTCTGAACAGATAATCCTAATCCTTCTTAATTTTTTAATTCTTTTTTTTTTTTCGATGTCTTCGATGGTCAAGTTTTAGAACCCAGCATATGAAGTTGCTTTACGGCACCTAGGTAGCCCCCGCGTGAATAACGACCGGTCTGTGCTTTGTAGTAAGCTTCGGTCCTCGTGTACTGGCTGTAATTCTGAGACGAAAATACCTAACGGGAGCGATCCAACTCCGTATCTCAGGGAAAACCCCCTTGGTAGGCAGCAATGAAGGCTCTCATTACCATCTTAGGAGAACCAAGGTCACCTAATAGATAATCATTGGATGGATTATAAAGGAGTTCAAGCCATCCATCTGAGGGCTGAGTCCTACGTAGTAAATATTTATTGGCCTGCCTACATACATAGCGTAGTATTTCTCCTATTTTACAGATGGCTGAGACAATCGCATGCGACAGCCATCTCGGTGAGGCGCCTTTCCATTTCACCACCAATTGTGCTAAAGCAAGAACCCCAACTAGTATAATCCAAATTGCTGCGGTGCCACTGTGATCATGATCCTATGGTGATGTTGCTGTGAGATGATATCAAATGTGTAACTTTCCTCTTTGCAGACCCAACATCATTTATTTCTATATTTACCTAGGTACCTAAGAGTAACAATAGCATGTTATACAAGTTGATGCGTACCTAATTTACCCCCAAGTTCCAATCTAAAGAATGGCCGAGCGTTATTCCTGATCTCTACATAGAGTACGCCCTGTCGTCCAGCCTCCCAAAAGATCCATCACCGGTGGCATCGCATAAGCCAGTAAGCTACTAGGTATATCTTCTATCCATAGCGTATTGGATCGCGCCCAAGGGATCAGTACGCACAAGGTACTGGACGGTGTACCAGCTGGCAAGGCAGGTAAAGTGAACGTAAGCAGGAATAAATAAAAAAATAAAAAAGAAAAGAAAAGAAAAAACCGGCGATACGATGCGATCCTTTTCAGCCCCGAAGTCCCCAGTCTTGTTTCATTCGGCTTGGTTCTCCCGTGTAAAGCGAGTGGCCGAAGCCAGAATTAGCACTGCGGCGAAGGCAAATATAATTAACACGATCTAATGTAGGAGCTAACTCTGAGATGCCGGCCAGGCACACAAAGCCCTACGTACCTTTTACTTACATACCTACCTCGGAACGTCAACCAGGACGAGGGATCGCACATACATACACGTACACGATACGCCCGCGCGAAACCACATGATCCCGAAATTATGCGGGGAAGTCATCGCTCATGCGCCGCAAGGCTCGCCCGTTGTTCCGCGAACGCGCTTCGCAACCCCACCCGCCTTCTCCCCCCTTATGATTCACAGCCCCACCAGTAAGCTGATGGACAGTATCAACGATGTCTCTCCCTAGTACGTGAGCCATTTAGAAAAGGTCTTCTCGGCTTTAAGAGGATATCGCAGCTTTCTCGCGGTCGAAGTTGACTGGCTGACGGAGGCGAAAGACATACGTACCTCCTAAGGTTAAGTATGAGGTAGGTATCCTATGTATCCAGTCATCTAAGAGATCAAGATCTAGAGGCTATCAGAGCTCGCGGGGAAGGTCTCTTGACTGGAAAACTTTAAACTTTGTGTATGGTTGGCTAGGAGACCATCGTGATCCTACGGTCAGCATCTACCTACCTACTAGGTAACCCTAAGATTGGTATGGGATCCGTTTGGAGGAATGAGAACGGGGCTTGCTGCCTAGCGGGAGTCCGTACGCCGAAAAAAAACTAACTTTTTCGGGGGGTTGGATACCTAGTGTGGCAATCTACCTCTCCTTGTGATCCCAATATAGGTGGTGATTCCATATTGCTAGCATCCTCGAGGCGGTGTACCCTTACCCAGACATGGAAGCAACGTCTATTCCATCCGTGACTCGATGCCGTTGGCAAAACAAGGGATTTGCACTAGGAGGGTTCCCTCGGGCCGAGAAATGTTTATGTTGCCTGTGTTGGAGGTAGCAGAATGTATCGCGCCAAACTTTGATAGAAAAGAAAAAGAAAAAAAGGTCCGGTGATGACTCACCAGCTTATGGTCTTAAGTTGGCATGAATTCACAACGACACCCTTGTGTATAGATTTCATTAAGAGTACTAGGGCTTGAGTCATACTGCTAGGCCACACGGCTGTGAACCGCGAAACGCGAATTACATATGAATAGGCTGGTATAGGTTATGAGTACGTGTAAGTGGCAACTAAGCACGTCTGTCAGCAATATCGCCATCTCAACAAATATTCTACCTTCGGGAGATATTTACTGTTGAAATGGAGTGCGTAGTTTTGGCCTCATCAGGCTATCAGGCATTCAGGTCAAACGCCTAGGTGAAATGAAATATTGGTACCTCACAAAAACAAACTCATGACTATTCCTGTGCTCTTTGACCATCTAATAGTGAGATCGAAGTAATCGATCATCAAGCAATTTTTATATTGGGTCAAGCTGTCTGATATTGATTTGCTTGTTTAGGCAGATACTCGTAACGACATACACTGGGATTCACGTTGATTCTTTCAAGCTAGCAATGTGTTTGTAAGAAAAGGTGCCTCTTCTTAGTCGTTCACTCTGAATAAGGAGCGTATGCCAGTTCTGGCACCAATATAACGTCAAGCTGCGAGATATAGTACGGTGTACCTCTGACATCAATGATATGAAATTTCTTCGCTTAAAAATGGCTGCCTCGTAATTATATCTTGATACATGCTCTGGCTATCATTAATTCGTGTAACATGGTTCGGATCCTAGTTTCCTCTGTCCAGGCCCTTCGTTTCACGATCCAATTCAGGTATTCCCGAGATAACAGGAACTCGGGCGCATATACCGTACAATAGACACCTTTTGATATTACACCTCTTCTCACCAGGCTCAAGCAGGACGCCATTCATAGTGATGGGCCCCCTTTGAAGGTTTTCCGGGATCTTCTCCCCTCACATTCGGTCTGTCGTAAGCGTGCGCGCCGAAGAAGTCCATCTCCGCCTCCATAAACTGCGTCGCTAGCATTCCTCCCCCGACGTACTTGATATACTCAAGACTAGCGCTGATAGCAGGGACGTAGTTATCCCACTCGATGGCCTTCAGCGTAGTCTCCTTCAGTGCATCAAAGTTCTTCCGTAGGTCGGCAGCCACCTCGTCGATCAGCTTCATGTTCATGATGGACTCTTCCGCGTTAAGCAGAATCGGCTCGAGCATATCGGCGATATAGTCCTCCTGGATGATGCAACCAGCTCTCCAGATCCGGATACACTTTCCTAGATTGACACCCCAGCCTTCGTCCTTCGATGCCCGCGCAATGAGCTCGAGGCCCTGGCAGAACGAGCACAGGAAGGACGCATAGACCGCTCTGCGCAGATTCTCAATTATACTGTACTTGTCCTTTACGTCTGCGCGCTGCGGCTTCGGAATATCGAGATTCTTGACGACTTTTAACCTTTGCGCCCGGTTCCCGCTAGCCACGCGGAAGAAGTGGCCAGCCGCAATCGTCGGCGCCGCGACGTGTCGATTCGCTGCGTCCATCACCGTCCAGAACAAGGTGCCCTCGGAGTTATCGTCGTCCTGCACGACCTTATCAAGAACGTCGTCCAGGACATATCCGTCCTCGCCGTTCTGGTCGCCCTCCGGTGTCTTCCTCTTCTGGCATATCTCCGCACCGATCTGGATCAGGTAGGTGTTCTTTAGTTCGCCCTCGGAATTCCATTTCTCGAAAATCTTCCCTATCTCGTCGTACGAGAGCCCGAGGGACTTGTGCAGAAGATTCCACGCTTCGCAGACGGCGGAGAGCATGCCGTTTTCGATTCCATTATGCACCATTTTCACATAGTGGCCGGCTCCGCGAGGACCTACGCATGATGAGTGTTTAGCCTTTGGCCGTGATCTAGGAGAGTGTGGTAGAGGAACGCCACGTATACCACTTACCCATATACTGAACGCACGGTCTGCCATCAACCGGGGACTTGGCGGCGAATTTCTCTAGAAGGGGAAGGACGAACTCAATGGCTTCTCGGTCACCTCCTGGCGACATACTTGGCCCACGCCTAGCCGACTGATAGCCACCACTAACCCCCATGCCGATCCATTTGACGCCTTTCGACTCTAGTTCCTTCTGCCGCCGTTCTGTGTTACGATAATTCTCGTTACCGCCGTCGAGTATGATATCGCCCTCCTTCAGGTCGTCCCTGATCTTCTCCAAGACCGAGTCGGCGGGCAAGCCGTGGGTGATGGAGAAGATGAAGATCTTCCGCGGCTGGGAATCCAAGCTCTTGGTGAACTTGTGGATGTCCTTGAAGTGGTCAATCTTGCCCTTCAGCGTCTTCGTCTTCTTGGCCATCTCGCGAGCTCGGTCGACATTCTTTTCCGAGACGTCCCATATGGAAACGTCGAGGCCGTGTTCGGAGAAGCCGAGGGACATCATCGTGCCCATGTTACCGGCCCCGACGATGCCTATTCGCTTAATTTGACTAATGTCTGGATTCGGGGCCATCGTATAGAGGTTTGAGAATTTGTACTGGGTATTATTTAATAGAAAATCGCTGTAAACAGTTAATACAGAGGTGACAGGTTACAAGCTGGTTAATAATTAGGACTTGAGCAATGGTCTATTGTATGTATTGTGTTGTACTAATGCCACCTTTCAAAGCTAAATACGATTTATTAACCAAAAGGTTCGGGAAGATGGAATGATTAATAAAAGGTATGTTGTCAAGTTATTTCCGATAATCTCTTACATCACCACTGTGCTCTCCAATGTCATCGCCGGTTGGGTCAATTACAACATACTTATGTCAGATGTTGTGTTATATCTTGAGATCAAATCGAGCTCCATCAGGTTTGCTACCATTTACGATTTAGTATTGCCGTTTATGTGACCACTCTGATACTAACATCTGTTTGCTCTCCTTCATTACACCCATAACGACATAGGGTTATCTATAGGAGAGCGGCATTTGAATCTAGCATTTGATGAGGTAACCTCAGATTGACCAATCAAACGCTGTACTATCAATCAATGATGGCGCTGCAGTCCAACGTGGTCAAAGCTTTAAGAAACCCTGGTAATCTCTTCATAGAAACATAGAAATATCTTCACGTTATGAATCTGTCCCAATATAAGTTCTACTAAAAATTATAAGTCGTACACTAAAGAGAATGACACCTCACAATGATAATTACACAGTTAATGTTTGATATCGTCCACCTGTCTGTTCATTAAGTAATAAAACAAAAAAGAATATGAAAGAAAAAAAAAGAATATAAAAAAAGACGAAAAAGAAAACATACAACACCGGGGATTCGCTGGTCGTCACCGACCCAACTACTAATCCGGCGGTATGCAGCTTATCTATGGGAGAGCGGACGGGATCCCGAGTTTTCTGCATCCTATGGTCGTATGTGATGGATCTGTCTGTTCAGTTTGTTTATATACAAGGTAACATGCGTGTACCTAATGAAAGGTTTAAGGTCTAGGTACTCAGAGGGAAGTACCTCTGTACATAGTATTCCATAGAACGCATAGGTCAGAAACTATGTACGCAGCCACACTTTTAAGACATAAGCAACGCTTGCCTTCTTATAGTTCTTATCACAGATTCAACTATAAATGTGGTTGTCAGCTTCTGATGTAGGATGGCGGCGTCTTCGCATGCCAAAGGATATGAAGACGTGTTTAGTGGGAGGACGTGCTGAAGGTAGATGTCCTGGAGTAGTGCTATAGAGGAAGTAGAACGAACAGCGACAAAGAACATTGAAAGTATAACCCATTTTGGTTGAAGGGGATGGAAACTTATGAAAAGAGCCTTGGCGCGTTTAGTGGTTAGTAGCCGATGTTGTACATGTAGTAAAGTGGTTAGCTACCTACCTCCTATGTTGGGATCTGTCTCTTAGATACGATCCTGCATTTATGTTGTAGGGAGTTAGGACTTCTCCAAGGTTGATACCAACCCGACCGACACATTATGCATATATTACCTATGTACGTAATTACGCGATAGTCAAGAGAAAAAAATAGGAAAAATAGTTGCGTTTCATCATACCAGTCTATTGCAAAACCAGAGATTACATACCATGGCCATACATGAAATTGCGAATTAGGAGCCTAGTATGAGCTACGATAGGCTCAAAACACCTAACTGCTGACCATCGGTCCTCTCTGAGAGTGTGCTGATTGCCAGTTGCAAGCTAAAAGAATATAATGTACAGAAAAGCCTTAATGCCTAATGAATCCTTAATCCTTTGCTTTTCGGAGATATCCCCTTTTCAGAAACTAATGGGCGTACACACATGTCAATTTCACCAAATCGACCCAAAAAACAGTCCATGGGCAGAAATAAAAGAAACTGATTGAGAACACAAGCGAGTTTAAGATGCCATGTAGGTGCTAGCATCAATACCATCCTTGGGGAATTCACTACACGATCGGTTAGTTTAATAAAGTAGATCACCTGGGGCGAGAATAACTTACGGAAGGGCGACCTCGAATCGCTTCTCAATTGCCTTAAGGACTTCTTGGTCTGCATCGGTGCTCACGAATGAGATGGCAAGACCCTTGGTACCGAAACGGCCAGCACGACCAACACGGTGGAGGTAGGAATCGGCGTCGGCGGGTAAATCGTAGTTGATAGCCAAGTTGATACGCTCAATGTCAATACCTCGACCGAACACATCAGTAGCAACACAGATGCGTTTGTTGAACTCCTTGAACTCCTTGTAGCGTTTGATACTATACTCTCGTTAGACCCTGTTAAGAATAAGGAAAGGGATGATTGTGCACATACCGTTCTTCCTGACTGACTCCGGAGTGCACCGAGATAGACGGGAAGTTACATTCGCGGAGCAACTTGTCTAACTCAGTGGCACGGATAGTGCTCTTGACAAAGATGATGACTTGGTTGAATTGCAACTCATCAAGAAGCTCATTAAGTTTACGATTCTTCTCTCGTTCATCAAGTTTGATGTAATACTGCTGCAGGCCGTGAAGAGTCAATTTGGTGTCTTCATCCACGTAGTGCTCGGTAGGGTTTTGCATAAACTTCTTGCAGATCGGCTTCACTTCGTCGGACAGTGTGGCAGAGAACATCATGACCTGCTTCTGCTGCGGAGTTGCTCGAAAGATATCCTGTACATCTCGTCGCATATCTTATATGGTTAGTTATAATATCATTAAGAACAAGGTATTTCGGATTCTTACCAATAGCGTCAAGCATCTTATCACATTCATCGAGGACGAAGATTCGAACGCTGGTCAAGCGGAGATACTTGTCTCGGACGAGGGCATTAAGACGACCCGGAGTGCCGACAATGATATGAGGATGGGTTTCCTTGTTCTTGAGTATTTCGGCGTCCTTCTGGATAGGCGTGCCGCCGTAGAAAACACCAGTCTTGATGTCTGGCATGTACTTGCTGAAACGGTTGTACTCATTTCGAATCTGGAAGGCCAGCTCACGAGTGTGGCACATGACCAAGACGGAGCACTCGCCAGCAACAGGCTCAACCTGTTGAAGGGTAGTGAGGACGAACACGGCCGTCTTACCGAGACCCGACTTTGCCTGGCAGATAATATCACCTCCGAGGAGAGCCTGGGGAATGCATGTTTGCTGGACTATAGGAATCGATCGAATGTTAGATAGGACTTCCAAGATTTTAGGGACGCGAAGGTAGAAATTCGACAAGGTCCGTCCATCATCGCAGCATCGGTCTTCTAGTATCTAGATCCACCCCTTAAGGCCCTTTCGACTGTTCCTCCAATACGTAGATAGAAAGGGCATGCACATGGCGGCACCAGCTTTCCAAGACTATACGTATTACATCGGCTCAAGTCCGATGTTTTTGCCCGTCGTCAAGATCAGGCAGCTAGGGCTTGTCACCCCAAGGTATTTCCCAGGCCAGACATGTCATAGGGCCAACGCCAGCTACCAAGACCGACGCGATAGGCATGAGTCTCTTAAGCTTTCGGTGCACTCTGATAGGATGCTCTCTATAGATCCTCACTTCACAGAAATCGAAAACATAGCTATGCGTGGTTTTTTTCACGCGTGCTAATCTTCCGTCTCTCCGACCACCTTTGTTTTCTTTATTTGCTTGCGATGTACTTGCGAGATGGACGGACGCTTGAAGGAGGGATAATTTTTGAAAAGGTTGAACGTGTAAGATGTAGACTAACCCTCCGATGGATGTTCGAAACCGCAATCGGCGATGGCGCGAAGAAGCTCAGGCTTCAGCAGAAAATCACGGAAACCGGTAGCATGGATACCGACATAGGATCCCTTCTTATCAATATTATTGGCCGAAGCAGCAGCGTCGGTCTTTTTGCCGTTGGTGGCGGTGGTGGTCTCGTTGGTTGCCAGCTCCTCGTCGGAGTAGTCGATCAGATCTTCTTCAGCAGACATGGTGATGGAATGGTGAGATTATTGCGATGGATACGTGTCGCGAGGTTTTGGTAGATTAAAGAGACGTAGTCAAATGAAAAGTAAGAGGAAACAGATAAAAGTACCCTGAAGGATGGATGAAAAAATAAAAAATTAAACTCGAGACGCAACGGAAGGGCCTTTGATGGCAGATGCGAGAAAGCGGTGCGGGCGAGGCTCTCGATGTTGAGATGCTGCTGAATGGGGGAGAGAGGGAGAAAGAAAGTTGTTGTTAAGAAAGGCTGGAAAGACGGTCCAGAAAAATAGAAAACGACATGCATGAGCTGATGGAATGCGCGACTACACTAAACACGCTAATCTAGAATAGTACTAGCGGGATAATGAAGGGGCTGTGCATGTAATCATTGGCTGGCTGACTGGCCAGGCTTGATTTCCAAGGTTTTGTACTGGGCGGCTAAACACCGGTAAGGCTGCCCCGGATTTTTACCATTTCCGCATTTTTCCAAACTGCCGTAATCTGTGTAATACCAGATATGCACCTTGTCATCATCATTCTACATCTACCTAGGTAGTACCTAACTCTGATACTTCAATTTGAAGCTACCGGGGTACGTAATTAACCCATACTGATTTCTACACTAAATCCACATTCCACATACTATCTTATTAGTATCTTGAATCATACATGAAAAAAATTCAGGAGGGTATCTAAGACATGGGGAAACCCAAGGGATCTGGCAGCGTGCCAAACCGGCCAGTCTATTCTCGAATCTCATACTTATACCAAGCTGCAACATATCTAGCCAGCCAGTCTAAAGGTACCACGAACGATAAAGATATCACACAAGATAAACAAGCACTGGGCTCAAGCCGGTCTGAGCATGGTCTCTCACGCCGCTTCATTACCGATCTCAGATCTACCTCCTTAAAGAGTCAAATACGTCTATCTCCGTCCATGAAGCACACCATTTGCAAATTTTGCGATAGTCTACTTATCGAAGGAGAAACCAGCAGCTCATCGCTTGAGAATAGGAGTAAAGGTGGCAAGAAGCCGTGGGCAGAAACTCTTGTCGTTAGCTGCCACGCCTGCGGAGGAGTCAAGCGGTTCCCCCTTCAAGCACCTCGCCAGAAACGGCAAACCTGTCGTGCGGCAAACTCGAGAAAGGAAAAGGAGAAGGAGAAGGACCAAGACTTAGAAGCCATAGAAGAATCACGAGTAGTGGTTTAATACTGCGGGTTCTCTCTCTAGGGCAGAACTGTATGCAGTCATCAGTTCAGTCCACGTTGAAACACAGGTTCTTCTACCTACCTACCTAGGTAATTCATTGGTTTTTACATCACTATCATAGTTGCCATGACGGAGCCTAAGCCATTCGACCAGTCATACACCATCAAATAAATTAGTGGTCAAGTAAGGCACCGTGGAATGTCTCAAGTTTTAACTTGAGGGTTTGTTGTCGGAGTGGAAAGGGATCCAGGACTTGATCTGATTGGCTTAAAAACAAGGCATTTTATCTTGGGGTGACCTCCCGTGCATATATATATCCGTCCAAGGCATGTAAAGCCCTATGCAAGTTAACCTTGCCCCGCATGAAACCCCCTGTTCTAGAGGGGAAGAACAAGTGAGTAGTACATCATCAACTGATAGACACTATTTAGAAGTACCTAGTCGGTGTTGTTACGGGATAGGGCTATCAAGTGCTTACAAGTATATGACCCCTTTTTGGCTTCTTTGCAGGAACGGAATCTTGAGTACCTCTTATACAGCGCATTGGTATAGATGCTACGACAAACGTATAACTAGGTACTTAGGCAAGCTAGGTATTTTTGAGTTACGAAGCACCATCTAGTGGATAACAAGCGACAACGCGATCAAGTTAAATTCACTATATGTGTAGTATATAGCGAGCGTTATACCTCTCGTCCTAATCTACCTCCGACTCTAGCTGCTGTAGCGGGTAGGCACAATCGGCGCAAAACTCCGTCGTCCCAGTGGTGCGCTTGTCCATCTTCTAGGAATCTAGCAGTGCTGCTTCGACTCGAGGCCCGCTAAGGCATCTCTAGAATACCAAGGAACGTCGGCCGTCTCGTGCCACGGAAAGCGGTGTAAAGCGGATTTAAACCGTCGTAGGTTGCAACGCTGACTCCTCACGTCGAGGGGTTTAGCCTATCAGCCCACTGTGGGGCCATTCCTGCTGGCCTTCTCACCGGGATCCGGGGTGAGCAAGCTAATCACTATTGCCAGCGAGAACGTGCCTATCATTCCGAGAACAGTCATGGCGGAAAAATCCACGGTGTTGACTCCGGGATAAGAGGTGACAGAGTCGAACAGGAGAATCATGGTAAACTGTGTGGAATAAAACTGTAGGTATCTATAATCTGTGTTAGGGTCAGTTAAAGTTGATAGGTAGTAGATACTTACTTGTTTAAGGCTACTATCCCTCCTAGGTGTAAATAGTATGAACGATTGCTGTCGCGGGTACTAGATTCACTGCTCAACTTAGCTACCTGTGTTCAGAAAAAAAAAAGTAAGGAATGAGGTAATGTCTAATGAGCACGGTGGCCTTGAAGGCCTTTATATGCTTAGGAGGTAGGTACCTGGTATCTCCTTACAGACGGGTTGTAATCCCACCCACGCCGCGCCTGCATCTCTTAGCCCGTCTTTCTCCACACCTTGCGGTAGAGTGTAACTGTGGGATGAGTTTATTGTCCATATAAATAGAAAAAGATGTTTTTTTTTAACAAATAATTATCACTCTGCTCAGGAGAGAGTAAAGGAACCACGTGACTCGGCATGAGCCACGTCGCTCATGAGTGGCACACTCACAGTAACCCTCGGACTGCTAGGTGCCTTTTACATGTTGCTCTACCTACATTAGCACGAGGGGTGGTATTTTGACGACATAATGTCGGCGGTGCGCATGCCAAGAATTAGTCCCTTAGCAGATTGGCTGTCTTTTGAAATATCATCACCCTACTGTCTAGGCCTGAGAGAGCAACTACACGTACATGATTATACCTTCTTGTAAGCGTCTTCTTTTGAAAAGACTGGCATTTCAGGAGAGAGTAGTCTTTGAACCGTTGTTACCGACAGTAGTTACGGTCACCAGGCCGTAGGATGTCACATACAACACGATGTTAGGTAAGGTTATTGTTATAACATAAGAGGTATGCTAGAAAAAAAGAATGGAATGCCTTGTATCAAATATAAGGCTTCGAATATTATTATATATATTTACAGCGCAGTTATATGTAAAAGTTAATCGAAACGACTATGTTGAATTACGAGATTACGGCCACTAGCTACTGGCTACTGGCTACGCGTTTTACCTTTACACTACGAGGTTTACGAATTAAATCAAAGTTTTCCGTATTGGATTATATTAGGTATGCTTATATCAGGCCCCTCTAGGTAAGCTGTATATACCTTGGGTTGATATTATATTAATCTTTGATATTGTGTTGAATTCCTGATATCGTGGTGGATAGACTGACTATTAAGTCAAAATAGAAAGTACCTCTGGGATAATATCAGATACCTATTATGTATTAGTAGTAGGTGAACGGGAAATAAAGATAAGACAATGGTCGGCAGCACGCGATTCTTGCCTCTTGGCCTCTATGGCTTATGCTACGAACCTTATGTTTCCCGAATAAGTAGGCGACATCCTGAGGCGTGCAGATTAGGCAGTACAAGCTATAGAATACCTCCTTCGTTGGTCACTATTCAAAGTCGCTTACAGAAGAGAAACGGCTCAGGAGAGACATGGCTCAGAATCGAAATGATAGCATGGCTGGTAAATGAGATCATCACTTATTATATTGACAGGTATTTCTATGATATTTTCTTCAGCGTGTCCTAAACTTTTATTTCCCACCCCTCGAACTAGTCAAAGTATCATAACTGCCAATTCCCTCCCGCTTCATTCGTGCCTTAGTTACCCCTAATACCATGTCTGTATACCGTCCTACTGCTAACTTCCCGCTGGAAGGGATCCGGGCTTCCCACTTTATATCCACTAATAACAAGGACGGGAAGGGTATGTTCATGGTGAATAACAAACACAGCCATCACGAAACGTTGCTTGGTGGGGGTGTGGTCGTCAATAATATTTGCACCATCCCATACGAAAATCCAAGTGACGTGAACAACAGCCACAAGAATATAGACGGTGCTACACGAGATAAGGTAATAAGCAACCCAATGAAAGGGCATTCAATGCTATATTTTCGAATAAAATCTGCTAACCACCTCTTCTCCCACCATAGCAGCTTCCCTTACCCATTCCGAACGGTATTGTCGTCCGCTTGGTATACTTCGCGCCGGGCCTGGAGACACCGCTACACCAAGACACCTCCGTTGACTATTGTACCGTCATTAGCGGAAAGTTCCTGATCACACTTGACAGTGGCGAGAATAGGGTCATGCTGCCTGGGGATGCATGTAAGCGTCTGTTTTCTACCTCTTATATAAAGCAGGTTTGCTAAGTAACATCACTGGAATTAGATGTAAATAGGGGCTGTATGCACAAATAGACATATTTAGATAAAACTTAACTTGGCTGCCTTACTACTACCATTCTGGGCGCAGTTTAAGATGAATAGGAGCGTGTAGGTCGTCTTTTGAGAAGTTAGGCGATTCATTACAGCGAGATAAAAAAAAGTACTATCTCAGGCATAGTGTAGGGCTTAACAGAATATGGTTCCCGTCGAAGTATATCGAGAAGCCTTTTGCTCCCTCTAGATATCGATACTCGGCATGTGAGCTCAGTGCGGGTGCAAGTAGCTTGAAAAAGTCACTCTATATGTCTGCTATATTTATCCTATATACTACTAAGTGTGCCTCCTATGTTATCACCGCTTAGATCCTATCAAAACATTGTGTGTATGGAGAATGTATTTGTCATAGATTTGGCTAACACCCCGCAAGTAAGCTTTTCGTGCGTTTAGGTGTTTGTAGGGATGCCCTCAGGGTAGCGATCGCCAGCTCGCTTGAACTTCGACAAAGTAACATCGATCTCGGCCATCTCTTCATCCGTAATGTCTATGAGCTTGCTGTTCTCTTCCACGCGCGCCGCAGTGGTAGCGCCGGGAATCGGGATAATAGTCGGCATCCCGGGACGCCTCGATAGCGCCCTGGTCCAGTTGATAGCGAGCTGGGCCGGCGTGCAGCCCTTCTTCTTGGCCATCGCCTCGACCTGGCGGACCAGCTCCATGTTGATCTCGAAGTTTCCCGGCAAAAACCAGGGGAACATCCGCAGGTGCGAATCCTCTGGAATATCTTCAATCTTCTTGATCTGTCCCGTTAACATGCCCTTGCCTACTGGCGAGTATGCGACGAGCGGGATACCGTACTGGGCGCAAGCTGCTGCTACGCCGTTCTCTAGCACCTCGGTCGAGAACCTGTTCTACGGTTAGCAGAAAAGATAACTAACTGATGCAGCCGCACCTGGTAGAGCTCGTAACTTACAATGAGAGTTCCACTTCTACAGCGTGGACTTTTACGTGCTTGACAGCTTCGTGAATCGTCTCTGCTCGCACTTCAGAGAGGGAGACGCCTCCGATTTTACCTGTCTGGATGAACTCCTTGTTCACAACATCGAATGTGACTTCCAGTGGTACGTTCTGGTCCCGACGGGCGAACTCAAACAGGTCCATCTTCTTGCGACCTTTGAGCTGGGCCGTACTGTCGTTGATACTACGACGCGTATTCTCGGGCGAACCGTCCGTCTGGTTGGTTGCAGTATTGAAGCCACCCTTGATGGAGAGGACAACCTTGTCGGCATCCTCGGGATACTTTTCGAAGTATCTTTCAAGGAGCACTAAACTATTGTAGTCGGGCGGACCGTAGAATTCACCGCCGTTCCAAAAGTTACCTAACACAGCTAGTATCAGCTTTGACGATGAACAATGAAAGTTTCCTGGCAGATAGAGCTCCTTAAGCTACCGGTTGATTTGCATACATCCATTCTTGAGCGCCGCACGCATCGTCTCAAAGGCTTGCTCTTGGGAGCATGGCTTGGCTCGCCAGGTTAGTCCCATGAGGCCAAAGCCGATAGGGCCTACTTCTTTGCCGGCGATCTGGGGCATTTTTATCGTTGACCTATATGTTGGGTGTACGTTTAGGTTTATTGGGCTTGGAGCTGAAAGTTTAAGGGGGGGAAACAGAAAAGGCTTGGTATTCTTCAAGATGGTCGATGTCTCTCTGGTTTAATCGAAATAGCCAGTTAGTTGTGCCCTACCACGATGTTTTATATTCTTCATCATCTAGCTTGCTTAATGCTATACGTCACGAACATAGCTGCCTTAGATGGTCCGGCTTTTATGCGTCCTGATACTTTAATTCCGGAACAAGGAGAATCCTAGAATATCAAATGGTTGAAGCTCCCTAAGGAGTGTTAGGTCAAAAGATATTCCCCACTTCCATAGCTTTTTAAGCGCGTACCTCATTCCGAAAACCACCTCATTTTGAAAACCGCCTCATTTCAAAAAGCCGAAAGCCACCTCTCTAACCACTCACATCATAGTACGAATACAGCAATTATTACAACCGGGGTCCGCGGATGGTTTCTTAAACCCGCAATATCCGTTCGCGGAAACCCATCGATAATGAGAATAATGATGACAAATAACAATACTAAACCTTATCAGCTTTAAAGAGATGGTTACTATATCCATTTCTACCTTGCTGGGGATACGCTACGACTCTAATTTAACCATGATTTTCAATACTATGTGTTCTCGCCGGTAGCATTAATACCGAAGCCCGCTCGGCAGTTTTCTGTCTCTTAACTCTGTTATCACGGCTTGGCCTCATGGAACCTGCAGGTATTAGATATTATAAGATAAACTTGAATAAGATGTCTTTCTTTAACTATATTCAATGGGAAGGTTGAACGGTTTCTGTTTGTATTGTACTAAATAAGAATAGGTCTAGTTACCTACCTCATATAGCGTTGCTACCTAAGTTAGTTCAGCTTGGCGATACACTTAACCATAAAAGGTTGAATACAGCCAGCAACATATTAACCGCTTGACCCGTTTTTGGGACATATCTAGGTTACTTGGTCAGGCCAGTTATCAATTTAGAAAATAAGAACGGATGATGAAAGGCAGATACAGATACCTTGTTGCAGAGTTGCAGAGTTACACCTTGACTGTCTTGAAGGGGAAAAAAAACCTACAAAAAGGAAACAAAAAAACGTACAACACCGGGGATTCGCTGGTCGTCACCGACCCAACTACTAATCCGGCGGTATGCAGCTTATCTATGGGAGAGCGGACGGGATCCCGAGTTTTCTGCATCCTGTGGTCGTACGTGCTAATCCAGAGTGCTGTTTGAGCTTATATAGGACATCCCTCAATACTTGCCGTTCTGTCAGTTTATGCCAAGGATCAATCTCTAGGTAAAAGCATTATTTCAACGTCATCTAATCCTTAACATCACAGAATAAGTGCTTTCCTGTGAAATCTAAATGATCCCAAACCGAAGGGCCGGTATATAACGTACCCCCTTTTCATACCGTCTCAGGGGCACATCTTATAGCAAGACCATCCCCGTTTTCTACCTGAAGCAAAAGACTATTAAACGCTTCATGATAAGACTCTTAGTTCGTATGGGAACCAAGCGTGTATTGGACCCCGCGCATATGTGCTTTCGTAGGATCAATAACAGAGGGGGGCTTGCCTTGAGGAGGCATAAAAACGCACGCAACTCGACGGCTTTCCGGTGGGGAAGACAGCGAACACGAGGTTTCATTACGCATCCCTTAGGTTTGTTGTGCTCGGTGAGGATTGGATACTTGTGTAGGTATATCATCCTCATAGAGTAGTTTCATGTTGCCTTGCGGTGTTCGGATAGTATACCCAAAGGGCAACGAGTTATCCTATAAACATTGTAAAGGTTAGCATCAACATCACCTAAAAACACAACTACCTAGTCGTGCCAAGTAGGTAAGCATTAGAAAGGCTAGGTCGAAGTACATATATTTCATTGACCATACCTTCGCTAGAAGGGGTGAATATATGCGACCATCATATAGAAACAATGTCATGTTGTCGTACTACCCAAGGTGCTGCCCTGCTATAGGTACATAGGTAGGAACTTAGCAGGTAGATGCCTCATGCATCCGAGGAATTACAGCAATTATATAAATGCACCCTTGACCCCGGAGTCCGTCCGTATGGATCTTCCTTTCACCCTAAGGCATGCTATTTACCAACCTGTCTACTAAACTCGTAGTAACCTAGGTAAAATGCCAGAATATTTCGTAGCCTCAGTAGAGGCAGAAAACAAGCGCCTAGAACAGGCGTCTTCTGTGGTTAGGGCTTATATGGACGGCAATTTATTTCTCGCCCCTATCGACATGACACGTAGGAACTTGAAAGTACTCGATAGCGCTACAAATAACGGTAATCTACCTCGCTGTGCCGTTGCTTAATACCTAGTAGGAGTAACTAAATTGCAGAACAGGTTTCTGGTTGTCGCAATTCCAAGCTTATCTCAAAGACCCAGACTCAGCTACACTGGTGGGGACCGACCTCCAGGATCGCTTTCCGAATCCACCACGACCAGGAATCCACTTGCAAATCCAAGACATCAACAAGCCGTGGCCGGAGTCGTGGAAGTCAACATTTGACTACGTGCACCAAGCCCTGGTGTTATTCCAGGCAGGCCCCAGGCAGCGCAAGGCTGTTCACTCTCTCGCAGAGCTCGTCAAGCCCGGAGGCTGGATCGAGCTCATGGAACCTCAGTATGACACAACTAATGAGGATAACGGGCCGGCCTTTCAGCACTTCCTCGACATGGTGGGTGAGCTATGGGCTATGAGAGGCACAACAAGCGATTTTGCCGCCGACTTAGAGGGTACGATCAAAGATGCTGGGTTTGTGGACGTCAAAAGCGTGCTGCTACCTATCGGCATAGGTCCCAAGCATAAAATTCCAGAACTAGCCGATATAAGCGTGGAAAGCACCGTAGGCGGCGGTAAGAATATCTCTATTGCTGGAAGACGTAAGTTCACTTGTTTGTACCTCTGTTCTGATGAAGTTGACAAACCCCTTTAGTCATCCCAGGTGGTCTTACATCTATTTCTGCGGAAGACTTCGAGACCTGGCCCGCGCGATTTGAAGAAGAGTTGAGAACGAAAGGAGCTTACATGCCTTTAAGGGTAGTGTACGGAAGAAAACCTGAGTATTAATTTGATTCGGGAAATATCAGCGTATTAACCAAGTATGCGGTGTATTTCTTGAAAGTGTAGCCCCTTTTCTGGCAGACACAGTATGTGGCCGCACATGTAGCTAAAGAGGGAAAAAAACTAATACTTGAAGGTAAAGGATTATTTCGGTTAACTCTAAGCGCCCCTGTTTCCCTTTCTTTTGATAGGTAGCTTTACCTCGTAAAAGCATTCAGCAATATATATCTCGTTTCTTGCCATGCGGTCCCGACAGCTAAAAAACAACTTAAACCATCCGAATACATGATTAGGTACCTCATTATGCCACCCTAGGCACAGACCATCCCCCCTCGGATATACCATTATCCACCATATATACTATGAACACCCTGGCGTCTAGCAATAATAGCATTTCATAATCTCAGCGCACCTTATAGGTTATTTACCTACGTATCACGAGAAAGCATAGAAACAACCTCTTTATTTCTCCATGAAGCTCTAGCCAAAGTATAGGTGTCTACGGCTATACATTCTGATGTTGTTCTTCGTAGTGCACGTCTTACGTGGATTCTGATAAAGCATCCGTTCATTTTATAGCCTTCCTGATTTCATGCTGCTGCCACACAGCCCGAACTTCTATATTGCAAACAACTCGCTCTATCGCCTAACCTCAGGATGAGAAGCAATCACATATGACAGTCTAGCACATATCGTTGATATCAAGCCATACAATGTCGTTCACACTATCTGAAGTTCAAGTCGCAGATGCTGAGAGTCTGATCCGAAGATGCGATTTCCCTGCCATCCAGGACGATCCGCTCCATCGTATCATGTTTCCCCGCTCGCGCCCGGACAACTGGGAAAGCGAAATACGATGGATGGCGAATAACTTGAAGAACACGTTGGAAAGGGGGCGGTCCAACTTTCGTAAGGTCTGTGCTGAAGATGGAACCCCTGTTGGATTTGCTGGCTGGGCCTTGGAACAGAGCGACACTCCTCAAGGTGTTAAGGCCCAGAGCAACGAAAAGAAAGATGGCAGTACCATTCCGGACCCAGATACTCTAGATATGAATGCCTGGCTAGAAACCTCGAAGATGCTGAGAGAAGAGAAAAGACGAATATTACATGGCCGTAAGAATATTTGGCGTGAGTTACACCTATTTTAATCCTCTTTTCCCTTCCTATTTCTAACTTTTTATCCCTAGGGCTTATGATTATATCGGTAGATCCAGCCTACCAGCGCCAAGGTGTAGGATCTATGCTCATGCAGTGGGGATGTGAAGAGGCAGACCGAAACGAAAGAGATGCATTTGTGCTAGCTTCGCCGGCCGCAGTCCGCTTATACACAAAGTTCGGTTTCGAGGTTGTCGGCAAAGTAGAAACAACAGAAGGTACATTTCGCAGCATGTTTAGAAAGGTGCAGAAGCAGGCATGAAATTTTGAGTCGTAACTACCTAGCTACCTAAGTACCTGGGTAGGTACCTACCATAACCCAACTGTGAAGATACAAAGACATACGTGAGCCTGTAGGGAATGACAATCTGTTGTGAACGAGCCCCGAACTGATCAAGAACTACGAGCAGCCGTGATCCGGTTGATGTTTGCCACCAATAGTTCTGCACACCGACAGGCAGTGGCATCTCTGAGTCTCATCGGGACTAAAGACCCACAGAGCCTCGATGAGGGAAGCGTCGGGTACAGATCCGACCGGCATCATGATATTTACGTTTCCCTCCGTGACCTCCATAGGCAATTCCGAGTCGTAATCATCCAGCCACCGCACGCCGAACACATCGTCCAAGTCGTACTGACGGAGCAGGTTCGACACTTCCAACACAAACTCTTCGTGATCCTCCTCTACAAGTGGAGCCGTAGCCGAGAACGAGAATTCGTACGGGGTTGCCTTCCCCTCGAAGAATCTGAAAGTCCGCGGCACGATGGCACCTTCGTACCGGGGTATAACGAGGGCGTTCTGGTTCTTCACAACCCAGGGCGAGGCAGAGTGGTGGTATTCGACGAGACGTTCTATTGGTTCCATGGAAAAGTGCTTGTGCAACAAGCTGATGCCATACTTATGGCAAAGGCCCCTATCGAGAAATAGCTGCCGGATAGGGCCTACGAGAGGTTGCACCGCGTTCTTCTTCTCGAACAGCTCTCCAGCTAGCTGAAGCGACGGCAGAGATTCATACGCCTCCGGAACGTAATGCATCCTAACTGGTCAGAATGCAAGTCTGATATTGTTGTCAGTGGACTGGAACTTACGTGATGAGCGACGAAAGTATACAATGTTTCTAGCGTAGCGTGATGCTATATCTTCTTGATGTGATGAGGGTCTGTGGTAGAGACTTGGAAGGGTTTCGAGTTCAACTAACGATTCTCTTTGGATCTTCAAGTCTTTCACTTTCTCAGTCTATCTGGGAGCTGGAAGACTTATTTATGCTTACTGAGGTTATAGTCAAGCACATATGCCCAGCCAGCGTACTTGAGGGGCTCGATCCCCGGTTTCGTAGGTTCTTGACCACTTGGGCGTCTCGAATACTATCCTGCATCAGCGCCGTACACACTGTCCAAATCTCAGCTACCGTCAAGGTCACATTTCATGCCGGTGAAGTAGTTCATATACCGAAAAGAAATAACACATGACCTTATAGTGGTATCCTGTCCATTCTTACCGTCGACAACCTGGTGGTTATTGGTTTCTCAAACAAGCTGAAAGAGGGGTAAGAGTAAAAGTATTACGAAAGAGTATTTGACGACGAAGAGATAGGATGTCAAAATATGGTATGGGGTAATCAATACATGAATGTAATATTTGAATGTCTCCTCGTTGCATATACGAGTAAGCCTGTTTTACACAAAGTCAACTCCATCGAGATCTCTGCGTGCGCCACTCAAGCAAATTATTACCCTATTTACAACGGGCGGGGGTTGGAGAAAGGAGCTGAAAGCTATATGCGTCAGAAACCTATATGAGACATCAAGAACAGAGGACACCTTCAGTACCGGAGAAGGTAGGTTGGAGTTCCCCGCAGAACAGCGAAATTACTTTCTATGCTGTTTGGTTCCTCCCTAATGACAACATTCATCAAGCTCATAGGCTTATCAACAATCCTGATCTTTTCTAATTCTAATAGCAATGCGATGTATGCGAAATATCCAAAGGTAGTATGCGTAGGATTCATTGAAGCCATGCCTACCTAATGTTATGTCATTACCAATATCTAATCTCTTGAGCTTGGGTTGTCTTAATGACGGCTTTCTATAGAAGTCATTATTCGATGCAACCCTTCGGCTTCTTGGTTGCTGATGTACCATATTGTAGCCCATAACACCAAGAGACCGTGATAACACCGCCAATCCTTTAACTAACAGATGTGCTATGATAACATATCCATCAGAGCCTCTGGCCAGTCTAACCATTTATGCCACCTTTGGTCCAGGTGTAATCGAATACTCCGAACTAGCAGCTGGCCAGCGTCTTTAATAATCCATACGTCTCGGCACAAGTGTAGCGGTATGGCGTAATACGCGAGGACGAGCAGAGCCTCCGGTTTGCTCTCCGATATGAGCCGAAATAAATCGGCTTCGATTATGACCGGCCAGGACACCAAGGACAAGAATGATGTCCCCAGAGGGGTACCGTTTTTCTTTGCGTCGTCAGCTCTGCTGAGGAACCATTGGATCCTGTCGAGGGCGTCCTTGCACACCGTCTTCTCTGCGATGTCCAACGACGGCGAGTTGTGGATACAGGCTTCCAGCTCCGTCGTATGAGACCCCGGGCCCGCCTCGAATATCCTGGTGGGCTCTCGCAGCACGAAGCCCATCTTCGACTCGAGCATCAGATACCACGCTTCCGAAGTGACGGCACGGACTCCCCGTTGGATCTGCAAGTAGTGGATGAACCGATCCAGGAAAACGTGTGGATCCGCCGACTCTGTTGTATCGCAGAGTGTGTGCAGAGTCATGAGCCAAGTGAAAACCAGCACTTCCAGGCAGTTTTCGTTAGTGACATCGGTCATCTCGCGGTTGAACATGCTCAGCGCTTGAGTTTGCAGGCCAACTGCGTGATGTTTGTAGAACCGTGCTTTCTCAGGTCTGATGTGGGCTAGATGGAGTGCGGCGAAAGCTAACATCTCGTTCATTAGAAAAGGGGAGGACAGGGCAGCATCCACAATCATCGCTGGGGATACTGCCTTGTCGGAGTCTTCGAACGAAGGGGGCAGGTCGAAGTTGCTGTTAATGCAGTGGTGAAAGAGTTCTATGTGCGTCATGTTGACGTCCTGGATAATTGCTGGTTCATAATTCGAACTAATTGGAGAAGACGCTACAGAAGCTGTCGTCGATGCATTTGACGAATATCGGAGGCAGCTCGGGCTTGCGGACTTTGCCTGACGTCTGTACCCGGGCGGAAGGACCGGTCGCGAAGATAAAAACGAGCATTGTCTCGAGCTAATTGTGCAGTTCCCGCAAGCCGGGTGAGTCTCATCGCACTGGAAACTTGAAGTTCAGAACCAACAATTAAATCAGGGCTAAGTAAATGATTACCTTGATATGTCGGCGTTTACACTCGAGACATCCTGCCCGAGATTTTTGATGAGACCGACGAGGCATATTTTACTTCATGTATGCAATAGTAGTTTCGTTATAATTTATTAGGCTTTGAAATCATACTTGTAAGCTGTTTTATAAGATGATGATTGTGGCGAAGCAACGTAGTAGTCGTGTTGTTAGTCCTATCAAGTCAGGGGTAAGTCGACGGCAAGCCCCACCACCCACTTCTTCCCGGCAACTTTACAGTTCCCGGAGAGTTTTTGTTTTCTCTATAAGGTACCTAAGCTTTTAAGTGATGTCTAGATCCATATTATTCGGATACTCACTTGGCATACCATTGTGGAGTTTACGCTCTATCTGATACATAGAACCCATCGTAAACTACTGTCAACAGCACAAACACGAGAAGGAATATTACAAGTATTCCATGATGACCTAAGGCCAAGGGTGGCTTTTCATTCGAAAATCGGATAGCTCGGCCGATCAAAGCTTATATCGGAGGCCGAGGCCTCAGTCTCACGTTTCCCCGCAAGGACATCGTCGCGGCTTTTCTAGTGGGCGGCCTCAGAAGCTGGAAGTCGGCAGGGTATCACACAAGAAACCATAACGATCAATATCGAAACCGAGTCGAAGACGTGGGTGATTCATTCATTACCAAGAAGGTAGGTCTCCTAGCTAGAGGCTTAAACCACGTCGACTATCTCCAACCTTTCCGCCTTTATCCTAGCTTCGACCTATTCATGACGACATACGAGGTTCAAACTGCCGGAGCTAACTATTTATAAATACGGCTATAGCATATTGCATCGTAGGATGTAGCTACAACCTAGTTCAGAAGCAATACCAAAACAGCCCTCAGCGGCAGCGCTTTCTGGCAGCAAATACAGACTACCACTCGCTAGTGATTTCCCCATCGTACGACACCGCCTTCCCGCCGTGCTTCTCTTTCGTAGATACGGCAAGTATCTGTACCATGCCGTCGCAAGACTCGTCGACTCCCAGTGGGGCCTGGCCGACCCCAAATTGACGTGCGCCCGCGTTCCCAAGCTCGGTCTGAACCCATCCGGGCACCATGACGAAGGCGTTGAGCCAGTCGTCTTCGGCGTTGATGCGTACCGTGAACCAGTGCAGGGCTGCCTTCGATGGCCCATACGCCGCGTTCGGGATGGGAAGCTGCTTCCTGTTTCCCCGTCTTGTTTTTAGTATAACTCCCCCTCATAAGAACCCGATATAGATCTATTTCCTAATACCTCCACCAAAAAAAAGGAAAAAAAGAAGAAAAGAAGAAAAGAAAAGAAAAAGGAGAGAGAAAGGAGAAAGGAGAAAAAAGACAACTAACTCACCCTATAAACCCAGCTGAAGACCCAATGGGCGTAAAGATAGGCTCGCGCTGGGATAACTGTAGCAACGGGCGCGTAGCTTGGTACAGGGCGACGACGCCGTAGACATTAGGCTCGACATGCGCTCTGATATCGTCGATCTTGACATCCTTGACAGCGGGCCAGACGAAGGAGACACCCGCGTTCGCGATGACGATGTCAAGGTGATCGATGCCGTGCTCCTCGCGGAGGGTGTCGACAGCGTCGAAGGCGTCCCGCTCGACGGTGGCGTCGACCTTGACGACGACCAGCCTGCTGCCCTCTGCCCGGGGCAGGTCCGCGAGCGCCCTCGATGTCGGGTGCGAAGGGTCCCGGTTGGCGGCGACGACGGTGTGGTTCGGCTTCGCTAGGAACCGCTTGGCCAGACCCTCGCCTAGACCGCGGTTCGCACCTGAAATGAGAACGATATTTTGTGGCATATCTACAGATGTGTTGTACCTATAGAGATAGCCGTTTTACAGACAAGTCCTAGTTAGGTACCTGCTTTTAAATAGTTGGGTGAAGCTGGTGATATTACGCCCCAAACTCACCGACCCGGACGGAACACAGGCCGTGATGAGAAATCATTCCCACCGGCGTTGTAAACTTGATCGCAATTTGTAATCCAATCCTAATAAACAACTCCGCATTCTGGGGGGTTATTCCATTTGAAGCAGTACCCTCAAATCATGTGGTTCCAGGTTGATTAAAATAGGCAACCATCGTACCATATGGCTTTAGGTACCTAGGTCAAGATACCTATAATTCTCTCATCTTTTGCATATATATTCGTCTTAACCCGTCTCGTAATGAAATCATGCATTTGGGAGTTGGTGTAAGTTATAGTCCTCAGCGCCAATATGGTATCTCCTAGGAGGAACCTAACCTACTAAATCCCATAATATCGACTTATTAGTCCCTAGGTACCTAGTTCTCGTCTCTCAGTACGACTGAGGGCTAAGGAGTCGTTACTTGTAGAAACAACATGCCGCACCCAACTTTAGGAAGCGCATATTTCATCATCGCTAGACGGCATGTCTCCCCAAACTAAAGCATGATGGCTTTATCCTATCCCTAGCTTCTCCCTGGCCGTTGTTGCGTCTGCGCTTGTTCCTTGACCGACTCTTCGCCTAGCACTTTGCTCGCAGCCATGAACCTATTATAAAAATCAAATTAACAAAGTATCGCAAGAGACGCGGGATAACGGGAGAACTCACAATCCGCCGTGCCAACTCCCCAGTCCTCTCATAGCCTCGGCCTGCACGCTCGTCATGCGCAAGAGGTTTTCCGTATCAGCCAAGTTCGCCGAGAGTTGAGCGAGTTGCGAGTGAAGATGCGTCTTTACTCCCGTCATTTTTTTCTCTCATGTCAGCAAATGAATTAATTAATTCCGAGGAAGATTAGGTGTGCAACTCACCAGTTGCCGGGTCTTGACCACGCTACCGGGGCCGGAGCTGGAGTTCTGCGGCGCCATCGAGGGTCTTGCCGCCCCGGACCCCGAGCCTTGCATGATGATGGTGCGATCCATGTTTCCGCCTCTGGATGTCATATCGGCCGCGTGGAGGGAGCGGCGGGCCGTAATGATAAATATGTAGAAGCCAACTTAGGTACACTCGGAATACCTTGAGTACCTAACTTAATCAGGTAATGCTAGGTTTATGTTATGCACGCACACAGAAAAGGTATAGTTATTAGTGTAAATATTTGATGACAAATAAGTAAACATCAACTTGTATTGAAGTCAACTTTATCTTTTGGTTAACGTCCCTTAGAACGCGTCGTAGTAGAGAGTTTGTGCGGAGTGGCTTTTGTGGCGCTACTACTAGTACCTACTACATCAGGTAGGTACTACATGTACTTATGTACCTAGATACCTAGGTACCTACCTATGTACCTACAATATCTCATGTACAATACCATCTCATGTACAATACCTTGGTCCTTACCTACCTAGGTACACCGTACTACCTCTAGTACTATTTTCGGAGCCGAAAAGTGGTTCGTCCAACACCACCCCATGCGATTCCCGACGTTACGGTGATAGCGGACCCCTTGAGCTAAAGAAGCTATAGTAGCCCTACCTATCCCATCCTAGGTAGTTTTGCTGCATATCACCAAAAAATACGACAGTAACATTTACCTCTCTTTAGTAGGCCCGCTTGACAACGTCATCCACAACGATTTCGTATTTGATGCTCTGTGTATGAAGAATAAGTTGGCGAGATAATTATAATTATAATTACGGCTTCAGAGCTACTCCACGTCACTATCGACTTTTCATACTTGCATTGTCGTGAATAATCGGTCCTTGTTAATTAAGCCTAGCTCCTAAGAGTCGCATCTCATCGAGATCACCCTTGTCTAATTCTTGAACACGACCCCCTCCTCGACCTTTACTATTTCTTCCTCGTGTCCACTGACAACAACTCCGAGGCCTGTCCCATTTCCAGGCCCGCGCCTTGCCAATCTTTACAATATTAAAATCCAGACAGAAGCTGACAAAGAAAAAGAGAGAGCAAGTCCTTTTGTGTGATGCACAGTCATAATACCAATGCCTTCTTCTCCCAGCCCGAACTGCATACATGTCTCCCACCCTTGTAACTTGAACGATCGCTTTTTACACTCGGCGTAGACCGGTCCGATTCCACAAAGGACTTTGCTAAAGCAAAAGCCATCGTGTCTTCCACCAAGTTTCGTTGAGAAGACTAGGTCGACCGCGATATATCAACGCCAAGCAGATGGGCCCTGGAAAGCAGATGGGTGATTTATATGTATTCCCATGTCTTTATAATCCAGCCAATGCCCACCGTATGCATTCCAACTTCTCTTATCGATGAGCCCTCAAAGCTTAGGGCACTAACACGTTCGGAACGAGTTGAAATGTGGGGGAGGCAGGCGGAAGTTTGCGAGGTATCTGGGCTGGCGAGTGAAGGCTAGAAAATCATCGCGTAGAGAGGAAAATGGATAGAAATATATCTTATGTGTTCCGAAAGGCGACAGGCCCCCCGCATCCCAATGCAATATTACCGAAGATGAATATAGCCACTGCTTCAACCTCCAAAATGCTTATGTACGTGATTTTCCCCCCTTGCCGAGACGAATAGAATTATGTGTGCGTCGTTATGTTGTAATCCAAGCCAATTCCATCTAACCCTATCGAATGCGCCATGGTCTGAGACAAACTCAACAACCCCTAATGCTACCGTGAGAACGGCAGCTTACCTACCTACAGAACTGTCGGGCAAAACTGTGAAAATTAACCCGAATAAGAACAGTGCATCGACAATAGTGAAGCACAAAGACACATCCACCGTCAGCCTAAGCTCGACCTCGAATCGTCGCACTTGGAGTTATTAGCGGACTCCAATGGGCGGTCGGGGCCCAAGACTGCTTTGACTGCTGTGAGCTGAGGGTTCAGAACCTAGGTTCGTTGATTCACCACTCTCCGCGCTAGCACTCGCACTACCGGTCAGACTTCTTGTTGTCTTCGTATTTGGTGGTTGGAGAGAGCTCACCCCGACATGTTGTTCAACTTGCTGCGGCGCGACCATATTCCCTTGACCAGGAGGGTACCTAGGAACTGGCTGGCGTACCCCGTCCGGAGGCGACGGGCGTCCATTCGGACCAGGTGGTCCAAATCCGTTGGGAGGCGAAGGTCGACCATTACCACCTCGGCCCGAAGGACTATACGGGTTCCCCGGAGACTGGCTGGCACGCCTAGGGAACGGCCCACTCATCCCGTTAGACCCATTTTGAAAATCATGCAAATGTGACGCCGTCAGTGAGTTGGCTCTAGATCCAGCTTGCATTTGTCCCCGATCGACATTACCATACCGGTTCGATGTGAAGCTCATCAGCGGGTCGTCAAGAATATTATCGTGGAGACCAGGCGTAGCATTGATGATTTGACTAGAACGATTCCTGCCAAATGTCGGTCTCCACCTGCTCCCACGAGGCGGTGGTATTCCTCCTCCAGGACCCTCGGGATTCATTCGCATCTCGCTTTGGTTTGGGGTAGGCCTGCTGCGATTTTTCCTAGATGTGACACTCATCATATCGAAATTGTCTGGGTCAATCATGGGGGCCGGCGGGCCTGAGTTAGGATCGAAATAGTCATCCTCCTCATCTTCATCGTCGTACATGCCGCCTCCGCTCCGGACTGGAGGAGCAGCACGCCTTCTGCCGCCAGCGGGTGGCGGACCAGGACGGCGCATGCGCATTTCCTGTTCCTTCAGTGCAAGCTCGCGCTGTCGCAATTGGAGCTCTCGTTCGCGAAGGGCAATATCTGAAGTGTCAGCATTGTATCCACCGTCGCCAGCATCAGCCGAATCTTCGTAGACGACCAAGTGGCTGAACTCCCCAAGATCAGTGTCGTCAAAAGATCCACGTCTTGACGGTTGTCGCGACTGGGGATGGCCGTTGGGCGCACCGTTCATCGGGGGTCTGTGTCCATTCGGCGGGCCACCGTTCATGGGCGGAGGAGGTCGACGCATACCCGGGGGTGGACCACTAAGGTTGGACGAATTCCTAGGCCTGGACCTAGGCGCCGGCATACCATTCCCGTTCGGAGGGCCATTAATAACGGGACGGGGAGGCTGACTCGAAGACATACGCGGCATTGGTGATGCACTTGTTGGCGAACCAGAAGCAGCTGGTAGTCCATTGATCTCCTTAGGTCTGGACTGGTTGACGATGTTCAGGTTGTGGAAAATGGCGTAGAGCGTCTCGATTCGCGGTAACTTCACTCCTGAGCTCTGAGCCAACTTGATTGGTGAGCCGAGGAATGTCTCGACCTCCATTGGCCGCCTAGCCACGTAATCCTGCCACATGATGCTTGGGTTGTCCGAAAGCTCACACTGTTCCTTAATAGTGTTCTCCTTGAATTTAGCATCTAACGTACACCCTTGCGCAGTAGCAAGAGCGATAAGCTCGTCAATTACATCAGAAATTAGTTGTCTCACGCCAGTTTTTTCCAAAAGAGCGGTATGGGAAGGTGTTTCGAAAATGACGCTGGCCGGATGAAAAGCAATAGGGCTAATTCATTAGCAAAACAACGGACAAATTTCGACTGGATATTAGGGACCTACCCGATAACTCGTTCGAATTGCTGTTGTCTTATATTACTAGAAACCTTGCAGTCGACGCGGCCTGAACTTAAAGTCAAAGCGAGTGCTTGAGCCATATCATCTTGTATGGCTGCGGGAATGCTGCCATTCTTATTTGCTGGACCAACCCAGATCTCAGTTGAACCACTATGCTCAAATTCGCTCGATCCCAACTGGGTCAATTCGGCATTCGAAACGAGCGACAGGACAACATTTGTTGGGAACCTCTCTTCAAGGGCAGCTTCGATTCCGAGAGTGTGCGTGGTATTGACAAGAATACAGGTATGTTGCGGAGTGACAACGGCGTCGATTACCGAGGCGAGGTCGTAAACATCCGGGAGAGCCTTGATGCAGAGGATAACATAATCGAATGCGCCCTCCTTGTTGTGTGCGGCTTCTTCTGGTGTTCGGACAACTAAGTGGTCACGTTAGCTAAATAATCGTACTCACGGAAAACCAAGGCTACCATGATATACTTACCACGTCGGGGTTTAAACCGCTCGTTACCGAACGACCCGGATTTAAAAGAGATGCCATATTGGCTGACGTTCTCGAAACCCGACTTCCAAACGAGCGTTACGTCGCACGCATTGGTAGCCTGAAGCCTCCAGGATAAGAAAGCAGAAACAGCATTTCCACCCACTGCACATATTCTCATTAGCTCAGTGTTAGCCATGGTAAGGTGTCGCGGGCGGCTCTAGGCTTTATGCCAACGCGCCTTGCCCTTCGTAATAATATGGGGGTGAAAGGAAGGTAATAGAGATCTAGAGGAACGATAGACAAATGAAAGCAAAAGAGTGGGAGGTTTTCCGTCTCTTCCGAAAACGGTGGTGTACTAAGAAAAATAGAGATCTTCTTCACGAAGCAAATTAAAGTTAAGTTGAAAGGAGGCAGGTAACAGAATTGGAAATAGACGAACCTGAGAGGATCTTGAGGCGAGGCGCTACTGGAGCCATAATGGAGACCAGAAGACTAGACTAGCGGGTTATACTATCCTCTGAATTTGGCTATGTCTCTGTGCCTGTGTATCGTGCGGGCGTACTCACGATGGTGTCGGGACGAGCCAAGGTAGCCTTGTATTACAACTCCAGCTACAAACCCACAGTTACAACGTGGGTACGACGGATCGCAATGGGTGTCTTACGTCCCCTGAAAACCGGCTTTTTCTTATCTTCCCAAATTCACCAATACTACCGACTCTGTACAGCCTTTTCCGTTTCGGTGGCCAGCTGAAGGAATTGGAGGCGGGATGTGAAAGTATTGGCGCAGATCAGGCTTGTCGTTTAGCGACTCACTGGCCCATTCGAAGCGGCCGCTAGACTTAATGTACAACGATTCGATGGCGTCTAATTTAACCCTAGTCTTCACACGGTAGGCTTGCAGGATATACCCTATTTCTTTTTTCTTTTTCTTCTTTTCTTTTTCTTTTTTCCAGAGATCCCAGTCAACAGCGGTAAGTGAAATGCCCAAGAAAGCCAAATATCAAACAATAACGAACGTAACGGCCCTAAGGACAGGTCGTGGGGTTGGGTAAGAGGAACAGGATGAGGAGAGCGGGTCGAAATGGACCGTCAAACGTAGGACTAGCGGGGAGAAAAGAGATTATGTTCAGCTCTCGAGAGCATCAAGAAAAAAAAAAGAGGAAGAAAAAAATTAACGAATGGACGCGACTCTAAGCGGGCCCTCTTTGTGGATAGTTGGGCGTAGTCGAATGATGGTTGGACGGACGGCGGGATGCCGATGCGAAGTGCGTGTCCAGCAAGAATAGAGAAAAGGATAGCGTAGACGATTTGGGAAGAGTGAATAGAAAAAAAAAATTAAGCAGGGCAGAAGAAGATCAAGGAAGAAACATCAGAGTAAGGTACCCAGTAAGAAGCCAGAAAGCTGCTCAAGGCCCTAAGCAGACGGGACCGGTACTGCGATAGAAGAGTTAGAAAGGTCTGCGGGAGGGGCGTAGCGCAGGTAGCGTTGATTCGGGAGGGTGGACAAGGTCAAAAACTGGGCTAACCAGCTACCTATCTAAGCTGCTTGTTACAGGTACCTAATGGTATGTGTAAGTGCCACCCATGACAGACCGGGATGTACGCGTACAGGGCGTATGGATGTGCGGGATGTGCGAGGTGCATAAGGACTTTAGGTATTGTGCATATGTCATAAGGTATTGGAAGTACCTAGGTAGGTGGGTGAAGTTAGGTAGGTAGTACTAGTATTAAGTAAGCGAAAGCTGGGAATGGCTGCGAAAAACAATTCTGTCGGCGATGGCGGTTTTGCGGAGCCAGCACTAACAATACGCTAACCTAGCCAGGTACGGCTCTAGCCCTTGGGACACTTTTCCAGAAACTTCATAACCCACTTCAATAAGTACCTTAGATAGGTACCTAAGGGATAAATGAATTTGAAGATTTACCAAGCTAAACAAGCTTAAAGACCAATGTCAATGTCAATGTCAACGATGCTAATTTGAATTCCAGTGAACCGACAGAAATTTGATACGCCTGATAAAAGGGGGATGAAGTTGGACTGATACAGTAACTAATCCGTCCCTTTTTTTCTTATTTCTAAATGGGCTTGAAGCCTAAAGGGAAAAAAAACATGTTATCGGGACCAGTGGGAACGTTGAATTAGAACCGAAAAGTACGAGAAGGGTACGAAAGTAGCCCAATCATTAAACCATGGGCGCGGAAATCGTTTCAAGCTTCCGATTGAGAGAGTTCGATAAGTACGCAAGTATCTAGCTAAGTACACCAATGGTTAATCGGTATGTGTATCTTACTTGTGCGCACTGTATCAGTCAATTCCATCCTGCATGTCTGGATTGTATCACACATACTTCCCTGCGGTACCTCAGACATACCCGCCATTTCCAAGGTTATCATTCATTCCATTACTATGTACTGATTACATAGTACATGTATCTCAACCATGCAACTTACAGAATCGTTCCTTCTAGATATTCTCACGTAAATTCAGAACCCACTAAGATGCAGCTAGGTATAAGTAGGTAGTACCTACAATACAATAGGGCTGGCTCGCTAAAGGAGTAATATTAAAGGCGCTATGATCGCTACACATTGCTGCTGTTCTAGAATGCCCAAGAGGTGTGCCCGAGGTACATACTTTTAAAGCTAAGAACCCATCGGATGGCAATATCGAACTTTGTTGATATGTGCGGAAAATATCAATATTTGGGGCGATGAGGCTGTGCAATCTATTAGCGTCTTCTACATACCTATCCATACCGTACGGAGAGGTTCGCACGAAACTGTACAATACAATACATACCTTAGGTACCTAAGGTATATATCTAATCGTGGGATGTTCTCCTTTTGACTGCAGATGGATTTGCTGGATTAGTCTTCGTATTCTATCATGATGACCAAACCATATACTGCAAATTTTCATGCTGGGCTTAGTGAGTATACCGGGGAACCTCAAATATGCGCCTCCATGGTAACTCGGCTTATTTCCGATGAGACACCCGCTTCGCGTGTTAAAGTTAGGTGCCTGAGGTTAGGTACTTAGCAAGTTTTGATGACTCTTGAGTTGAAGACAGCTTACAAGCTCATCTCGCCTAAGCAATTGCTACTTAGTTTAAGGTATTGAGTTATAATATTAATTGAATCAAGCCAGGCTTTAAAATACTCTAAGTTAACGAAACTTCCTCATAATACAGTTGCAGGACTTTGCAATTATAATTGTATAGATATACAGTAACTAGGTACTGTACACACGCTACCTTAGGAGGTACATAATTGATAGAATGTCAATACAAAGGCGGGTTCTTACGAATTAGGCATCAGCCACACTGCTTCTCACATGCAGCTATCAACATTGATCCATGCAAAATCTGACCCACGCTGCCCTTGATAATCTCGATAAATCAGTCTATCCGGTAGCGTTTACTATTTCGAGTCAACGCCGGATCTTTACAATTCACCAGTCGATATGCAGTTCTTTTACTAAACCTCTTTACGGAATATATGCATTAATTTCGTCCGAATGAAATCAGGTAACCAGCATATACTATGCATAGGTACTTACAAGGAGTGATTCCCTTTTAGGCGGTTAAGAAGCGCAGTTCGCAGTACATAAAAGCAGGGGTAACAAGGCTCCAAAACTTGAAAACGGAGATTAAAGTACAAGACCGTTGAAATCGTATTCTAGATTGGTTCTTCGGCCCCCAGCCTACAATACTATGATAGGTGCAATGTACAATGTAAAAAAGCTCTATGATAAGATCGTCCATTCTATGAGGTATGCATGATTAAAAGTAAGTAATACACATAGGATTGAAATCTTATAACATCTGCAAAAACATAACTTATGTAAAGCTATAGATAGTGATACCTCGATGCTCTTCTTTTATTTATAAAAGATTACCTCATTAACCTTTAAGCCTAGCCATATTATACCAAATTGACGTAGTCGAAACCGCCCAGTTACCTGCGGTCACTGGCACCGTAAAATAAAGTTCCCCCCTGACGGCTGAATCCGGCCCAGGCAAGAAGTAATGCGGTAATGACGTAATGCGAAGAAAACTACCTAGGTACATGTCCCCGTCATTTTAATCTCAATACGTGGGATATCTTTGCATATTTAGATGCGACCAGGGGACGGCATTTTTCCTATTACTGTCATGTTACACGTGATAATTATGCCTTTAGGTCATAATCAGGTATAAGCCCGCATGTCCAATTACGAAGCAAAACTCATACCTAGATCAGGCGTTTATTTTAAGAGCTCTAGGCTCCACCGTAGCTTTGGTTCTAGGCATCTGCAGCGGCAGCCTTAGATGGGACTTTACATTATATTAAGTACAGGTACATGTAGGCTAGGTACATATCTACATGTACCTAGGGAGCTTCGGAGATGTACTTACACTGAGGTACCTACCTAAAATAACAAGTACCTACCTGTATTAATTGAAATCACGATTCTTTTTATTGCACAGACCATATTCTCGTCTTTTCACCTTTTTCGTGAACTCCATTTTGCCAGCGTCAGCCCCTTCATCAAATTAATACTTCACTCCAAATTTCTGCCATGACCTACTATTAGAAACTTTTATCAGCTACGGCGAAATGTATTAGGAGAAAGCTCTTAGATATCTAGTGGCGTTTTCATTTACTATCTATGGCACGGATACGAACGTACGATCAATAATGATTTCTCTCGGCCACGTCGATGCAAGCGAACGATCTGATCTGCCCTTGCATTTCGCGTACGAAGTATTGTACATCAAGAGGATTTTCTAACTGCCGTCTTCCACGCGGCACCACGATCTCTTAGCGATAACGAATTTCTCCCCTGCTGCAATTCCTTTCGTGTCAAATATTTAAACAGAGACAAGTAAAAGAAAAGGAGAAACCTGATGGACGAACCAGGTAATAGAAATGCTCACCGCTGTTCATACCCGATACAGACTTACCTTCCCCAGATATAAAGAAACTGGTCAACCAATTAATGCGCGGGAGAAATACTCCGAGCCAATCGCATGGACAGGATCCCGAATAACGAGATCTACCTAGTAGCATTAACCTCAAATCAAATGCATCGCAAATCCGACAGGCCTTCTCGATGAGGTTAGGGACCATGTTACCTGTCGGATATCCGATAAGCAAAGTGAAGTTTCGAAGTTCCATTTCCCTGGGAAACTACCTAAGTCATATCCTAAGTTCCTACTTACCTAGGGGGGTAGACATATTGAACTTGCACGTGCAAGTCAGTCTATGTCTTGAGTCCACCGCCGTAGGAAAATCTTTCGGAACTGCAGGGAGCCGTTTATAGCGGCTCGGAAACTGACGTGAGTGCACCTATAGGCAAGTTTCGTGCAGTGTAAAATCCGTTTTCTACATCGCAAGGGAGTCCTGCAACTCGTCACCGAAATCTCACGTGGATAACTGCCAACCAACCATCCGGATTTCTTTGGCCACTTTTAAATTACAATGATACGCTGTGCTAAAGGTTGCAGTTCTGTCATTGAGACTTGTACGTAGAAAACGTCGAATCTGAATGCATCGGCAGGGGGTTGCAAACCTGCTTTTCGCATGCAACCGGGGTCTACAGCCTGCCAGCCTTATTCAAAAGATTTGGGTATTTAGATCGATATTTTTACAGGGCCATTTCCAAGTATAGCAACCGCTACGTAAAGGACATCAGATACGATATCGACACTATCCCCGGTTGCATAGTTACATTATGTTAGATAGTTTCGAAATAAGCGCAAGATGATCGCCAAAGAATATTCAGTCACGCCATCCCAGGCACAACATGCTGACCCGATATTCTGGCATCTCGAAACTAAGCACTACGACTAATTCGGAAACAGACTCGGACAGCAGATAGCAGACCCGAGATCCGAGGTGGCCAAGTCGGGAAATCCTTGTGACATGCGTCTATCCGCCGCCACCCCCCCGGCGATGCCGGGTCGCTATCCAATAAATTCGTCCAGATTTGTTGATACATGTACTCGAACCATATTATCGCAGATAAGCTCTCGCAACCAGTGATGATAATACGACCTGTTCACCTTAGCTAGCCGTCATCCTATCCCTTGCTTATAACCTATCACCTGATAAAGGAGAAGAAAGGCTAACTAACAAATATTCATCAATCATATGGGGTTTGATAGAACGGCAAATACTCTCACTCATCCACCTGCGGACTATTCCGAATCATCATCTATATCTATCTTATAGTAGCATGATACTACACAATACACATTACACATAAGCCTAAACACTATTTCCGATCGGAATCTCATTGTGTAAGTACTATAAAACCGGCCAGCGCGGGGTATATGAAAAGCTCTTGATATGTAACGATAACTCGCCAATGTCCGGAACATTACTTGTCACCGCCCCTATATATACGAATGAACTAAAAGGGCTTTCAAGGCCCACGCCATAAAGCAGTTGCTGCTATGCGGGACATTTCAATATGCTCCGCTGGGCGACTCATTTCTGTTCGGAACACATATACATATACTAGGCAGGACAATATGACAGCACCAGACCGCTTTCGAGTACTCGCCGCCTCGAGCAACTCCCGCTTCGGATCTAGATAAGGCCTTGCTGGGATATTATCTCAACATGACTATGGCAACTTTTCGCGGTTTACCCATGAGCCTGGCGTAACTTAATCTGAATTGCATATCCTAAATACATCGTACCATATCCGATATCACGGGATCGTACATAGCAAACTGCTTGACGATTACTAGAGCCCTGTGGCATTCCATGTCGGTTGTTAAGGAGACCCGAGAAGCGAACTTTGATCCTGGGAAGTCAGCCTTATGACTTCTCTCTGACGCGGTAACTCCAAGTACCTGGTCACAATGACCACCTAGGTACTTAGACAACGCTTTAATGTGCTGCACTATATTAAATATATGCTGCCTATTTAAACCTTACTCAGCCTTTCAAAATACTGTGGCATTCTCCCGTAGATAACCTTAGGTACGCTTGTATACGCAACGTAATTGAAGTTGCTACCCGGAATCAGAAATGTACTCATATCATAGTAACAATCAGGCTTTGCACTTCGAGTTACTACAGCTTGGTTATATGTATGCGGATATGTGCTTGTTTTAGTCTTGCGAGATTGAAGTGAAGGGTGCAAACAAAACTTAGGCTCTTGATGTTTACTGCTATTCGTAGAAGTGTGAGTAGGTGAATGTTAACAATACAAGAGGGAGTATATCAGTGGTAAGGCTAGTATGAATTTAGGTTTACAGCTAGTTAATAGGTAGGTACTGCTTGTCAAGTTGTACGTTACAGCTCTTAGCTGTGGTGTTCCGAGAACCGTAGCCTCGTAAAACCATTGTATTTTATTAGGTCTAGGTAGGTACCTAACTTAGCAAACGACATGCCCCGACGACAGTTTGATCGGTTGAAAGTTTATTGATTGCCTAGGGCCTAGGTATATATCGTATTCGCTACAGTAGGTAGTGATATCATGTATGACTGACTCCCTTTACACAGACCCCCCCTCTCTTCTCACGTCGTCCTAGGTTAGGTACCGAGCAGCAAGCAAGCACAGACACAACCCTAATTAGACGGCCCTCCCCCAAACCCCCCTTACTTCGCAGCTCCGTTCTCTGCTTCCCCGGCAAACGGATCCCACTCCGGGTCCGTGTTCCGGACGTACTCGGACGCGTCGGCCAGGGTCTGCGCGACGTCCTCGCCGTACCGGTCCGCGACGAAGGCGTACATCATGTCGATGCCCGCGGACACGCCCGACGACGTCCAGACGTTGCCGTCCACCACCCAGCGCGCGCGGCGCACCCAGTTGACCCGCGGGCCCTGCGCCGTGGCCTGTTGTTTTTTTTTGCCCCCCGGTCGCCCGCGGGACCTTTCGGTTAGAAATTGCCCGCGCTTATCTTGTCTTATTTTATTTTATACCGAAGGGGAATAGGGAGGGAGTGTAGGGATGAATAGAGTAGATGGATGCCTAAGGTAAGGAACAGGGAAAAGGAAAGGGCAAGGGCAAGGGCAGAAGGGGAAGAGGATGGGGAAAGAAAGGGAAATCACGAACCCACTCCCATGCCCTCTTATTCGAAGTCGCGCGGCGCCCGTCTAGAATCCCCGACGAGGCTACCACCGCGCTGCCCGTGCACACCGTCAGCAGGTACCGAAGGCGCGGATACGCCTTGCGCACGAACTCGACGACGGGCGCGACGTTAGCCGGGTCGCGAGAGCCGAAGCCGCCGGGGACGAGCAGGACCTCGATGTCGTCCGCGGCATCGGCAAAGGTGCGCGTGGGCAAGACGGACTGGCCCGTGGTGTGGCCCGAGGACGGGGTCAGCGTCGGGACCGGGTCGAGCGTGGCGGATAAGATCTCCAGGGCTAAGGGGCGGGTCTGGGATAGCATGTTCAGGATGTCGAGCGGCCCGAACACGTCTAGGGCTTGGAACCCCGGGTATAGCGCGACGGCGAATCGGGTTGGAGGGCTGCTGCTGTCGCTGCTGCGGCGGCTGTCGGAGAGATCCTGGGACAGCATTATGTAGGCAGGGGTCGAGTATATATAAAGAGTAAAAAAGAGGGGATGTTTCGTGTAGGATAGATAGAAGACACAGCCTCAACAATACGAGGGGCGAATATCAGGTAGGGATAGCAACCGGAGAGTCATAAATGATAGATGCAGAACCTAGGTAATGGATACCAAGCGTACGGTAGTAACTAGCCGAGTTGGCTTAAGATTTAAGTATATTTAAGCGTATTGTACATGATGCAAATGCGAAAATCGTCAAGGTATCGTGATCCGGCGTCGGAATCGGTGCAGCGGAGCTGAGTAATACGGACTGTCCTGACGTAGACTAGGTAGTGCCGCCGTCAATTGCTGCACGGCTTATTTCAAATACCTAGAGTCCGATTGGGAGTTTCGAAAAGCTGCTGCCTGCCTAATAGTGCAAATCTGCAAATCTGACATGCAGGGGGGACAGGGGAGGGAGTGCTTAACCCGGCAGCCCCCCAGATTCAGGGGGGAGGCGGGGGCGGCTCTTTGGAGTTAAATATTCCATGCAAACGGCTTCGTATTTTGAAAGGAAGAAAGTTAAGTCAATGACCTTATACGAACTTCTCCTCAAGAAGATCTTTTGGGATAGCCTTCTATATCACCTATATCCTTGTTCGAGTGAGTATTGTGTTTGGTTCGTATAATAGAAGCGAAATTGCCTCTTCAAGTGTTACTCTATAATGAAACATACCTGTATGATAAAGCAGTACTGTTTTATGATTAATCAACTTGAATACTCTCGCCGCCATATAGGCCAAAGTTGGATTCACTTTCCTAGGATGTAGGTTTCCGGTAAGCATCTAAGATTTGGCAGTAAGGTTTACGTGGTTGTTCTTTATTTTGGCTTCAATCTGTAGACCGATTTTGTATGAAATGCGTGGTTTGACATCTTGTAACCACTGAACCGGGTGGACGAGAAGCCTGACTTTCTAGGAAAATAACGATCAATAAATGGGTTAACAGCATGCTGATTAAGAATTAGGATGCCAGGAGGTTCTCTCTCCGCATCACCAAATTACACCAGCAAAACACACCTTAGGTCGTTAGGTAGGTACCTACGTAGGTACCAAAGGTAAATGAATAAGGTTCTCGGAAGGAAAGCAAAAAGTAAAGAGCACCTGCACCGGGATTCGAACCCGGGTTCCCGGCTGTCTGACAGAAAGAGTCGGAGGCCGATAAGTTAACCACTACTACATGCAGGCTGATGATTATGGAAGGTACGGTACGAAGGTCATGTCGAACCTCTAATACCACTCGACCATTTGTTTGCCAATTCGTTGGTAATTAACAATGTGAAATTACAATCTATATGCTGATTGATCTTCTGACTTACATTTGGTATGAATTGAGACGCGTTGATAAACGAACACATGAGCTAGTTCGTAAAGAGGAAAATAATCCTAAGAAAAGCTCTAGGTACCTATTGTGGTTTTGGGTACTTACAAAGCTAGTTGCTCTTGCCTTATTTTGGATGTCGTGAAAGGGAAAGAACGACTACATGATACCAATAGGAGTAACTAGACCAATCGTAACTGCTTCCTACGCTTTCTAGGTAATGCTCACAAGACTGCACCTAACGTCACAGTACCTATGTACATACCTACCTAGGTACTTAGGTAAATCAATAAATCCGTTGCTACAACTAAGATACCTAAAGATAAATACAAATCCTCAAGTTAGGTACCTCAGGTAACTATTATAAAACGGTCCATTATCTTTTGTGAATGGAGAGTCAGGTAAAAGTCAAGCCTTGCTTAATGAAACATCTGTGATAGAGATAGAAACTACACGGCAACAGATATTAAATCCACAAAGATTCTCTAAGCCGATACAAATATGTTTATTTCCAACTACTAACCACTTGCAAGATAGGCATTTGCCCATAGGTGATAGTGTGATTTGACATTGCCATTTTGGGAAGAAAAGTCATACCCCAACCAATAAGAAGGGTCGCTTCAACGTCACGGTAAACCTTGTTGTCCTTAGGTCTGCTCTTGTCGAAAATACCTACGTACCTTAGGCAAGTATTTACCTAGGTACATACGGTATTTAATATTATACGGGTAGGAGTTATGCACGTACATTAATTATGTAGCTGAGGGAAGTCCACGTAGCTCATCCTGTCATTGCTAGGAAAGGAACATCTAGGATATCTAGGATATCTAGGATGGAAGAACATAGATGGTAAAGAATAGCTGGGGAAGGTAAGAACTCTTCAGGAACCCTACCCACACACCTCCCAGCGTTAGAGCGAGATAGGTACCTTGGATAATTTATAATTCTTATTCTTAACATGTATTTACGGTGATCCTATACCACAGCCATTGGCTCGACGAGTTATACCAATAGACGACGTTCCTATAGCCATTATATATTTACGCTTCTAACTCTACCGACTATATTCTATAACCCTACCAATAATTCCTACTGGAGTCGAGAATAGCTAGAGGGCGAAAAACGTACTGGAGGAGTCTCTTATTACAAAAGCCTGTGTATCTTCGGACAAGTCGTTTCCGGCATCAAACAGTAAATACATTGCTGAAAAGGGAGGGGAGATCTCTACGGACACGATGGATAAACAATCTCAAATAAATCATGGGGACCCCCCAAAGAAACCATGCGTGGTCTGCTTCGAAGATGACGGTGACCTACGATGCTTCCAATGCGGGTGTTTCTGGTGCCGGAACTGCTTGACAACATACCTCAAATCCAGGCTGGCAGCGAGGAACACATGGCCCCCAAGGTGCCACAAGTACATCTTCACAGAGGACGATATCAGATGGATACAGTCGAGTGATCTCCTCGAAAAATACCAAGAAGTAAACCGCGAGTTGCTGGGACCACCTCCCCTCTACTGCTCGGAGCCGCGATGTAGCGCGATCCTCAACACCGAAAATACCACAGGGGAAAGCGACGTCGTTGTATGTGATAAATGCAGTTCTAAAACTTGCAAGAAATGCAAGCGGGGACACGAGCCGACTGAGTCGGGGTGCGAGGAATCGCCCATCGATACCGCGCTCACGGACATCGCCCGGAGCAAACACTGGCAGACATGTCCGCGCTGCAATCGCATGCTCGACCGATCAAGTGGATGCAACCACATGAAGTAAGTTCGAGCGCCATTGTTTCTGTTCTATGAAGTTAAATGTACCCCATGCTTACTTATATCTATCTGCCCGCCTGTAAAGATGCCATTGTGGCCACGAGTTCTGCTACGAGTGCGGCATGACGTGGAGAACTTGCAGTTGCGGGATTGATCAAGAAACGATTTTCTATGAAATACAGCTCGGAGACGGGACCCCTCCGATAGTGGTTAGCCAAACTCAAATGCTTCTATTTGTCACGCAACAAGCCCATCGGCACCAGCAGGCGCAACAGGCGCGGCCAGAAAAGCGACAACACCACTTTGTGGATAAGCAGAGAGATCAGGAACGCAGCCAGAAAAATCAGAAGGAAAACCAACGTCCAGAACAACGGCTAGAGCAGCGGCATGACCATGGGCAACCACCATCATTCACAGGGCTTCACGGTTTGGTTGGTTCAACATATGGGCAAGCTCAATCCTTACGTCAGGGACAAAACCTACAACCTTTGATAGCGAACCCACTACGACAGCTGGTATCTGATCGTGCCCCTTCCCCCTCTATTGAATCTGTCTCGAGTCCGTTATCGCCCCAAGCCGCAGCCGAGCAGAGGCGTAACTACCGGGCATTCAGATTACAGTCACAAGCCCAGATTCCAGGTTTTCATAGACAACTATCGGGGCATAGCTCGGGGGTTCATATAACGCATCTGTCACGGTATCAGCAGGATCCAGCACCGGACTTATCCCAGCCAGGCGGTTCCCCAGCACAACAGCTACCGGAAGAAGTAACTTTAATCAACAGGGCACCGCATCGCACCGCAAACCCTTTAGCAGGCCGAAGCCGAATATCGTCTATCGGCTCCACAAGAAATCCTCTCCAGCCATCCGATCCTTCACCAAGACGAATGGATCGAGCCGGGTCCAAGAGAAGACGGGATTCGGCGCCGTAAAATGAAGCATCCACAGACTTACCAATCCTCCTGCCAACGTTGCCATCTCAACTTTCGCCTTCTAGGTATTCCCAGCGCTTCTCCGACGAGGTTTTCTCGATTGAATTAATGACAGTATCGTAATCACAAGCGTTTCTTTCGTCACTCATTTGGTATGTACGGGCCTGCTTGTCTTTCCGATTCCTAACCGCTGCGTAACGGACGTTAGGGCAAATAGCCAACTGCTTGCTTGCTTGGCATTGGTATATTACGAAAAGAGCTAGCGAGTCTCGTTTAATAGTTGGATTTGTGGAGTGGAAATTATTCACTAGTTAGTAGGTACCTGTTTTTATTATTTTATTATTTTATTTTTTAGTATGGATACCTTCGACTTTGGTTTTACACGGAGGAATATGCTAGGAAAACGCACAAAACAATGTCAAGATAACAGCATAAATTCTCCGATAGGGAGGCATTAATAGAAGCGGTTTGTTTTTAAAATGTCGGAAGGAATTAGGCACCAGGAGTCAAGTTTTAAGAGAGTGATCGTTTGGTGCTAAATATCCACGAATGGGTTTATTATATCAAGGACATAAGGAAAAAGAAAAAAAAAAAGAAGAAATTTCTTTTTTGGAAAAAGAAAAGAGCTAGCTTCACTCCGTTTCGATCGGAGGTCCTCCGGGTTATGAGCCCGGCGCGCTTCCACTGCGCCATGAAGCTTGTTGTGAGAATTTGTATCCACAGAGATCCTCAACAGGCGTGGTTGAATGCAACCCGTGCAATTACGCCTTATATAGCGCGCATTGACTCACTTACGCAATGCCCACCATCCAGTGATTTCGTATTAATATGAACATTCACGCTTTTACCACCGAAGAATGCGTTGGATCATATTGTGTGCATACTCGGTTGGTGTATACCTAATATACGATGCTTCAAGGGTCTTAAGCTATATGAATAAATATGTACATCCAAGCTATCAACATTGAGGGGGGGGAAGACATGAGGTCGTAGGAGCAAGAAACTACGACGACCATATTATGACCCCTTATTATGTGCGGCTTAACACTGAACATCATTAAAAAAGCATTCCGCATACCATTACTTCGTACCCAACTAAGTTCAACCCCCAACTACATACAAATATTAACCTGGGCTAACAGGTAAGTAATAGCAAGCAAAGCCCAGACAGCATGGAATCTCCCCCGACGGAGATTTATTAAAGTATCGTATTCTAGGGTCGACCGACCACCTCTCCTTTTCGAAAACGTAACCCGCCCTTCTTTCCTCCACCCTGGCCGAGAAATGCGAAAAAGGGGGAAATGGGGGAAAGAAGAGGAGAATTAAGGTCGAAAACAAAAACAAAAATCAAACAATACTGTTCGTTCCCTATAAATTTCCTTTCCGACTCCGTCCGACATTAACAACTACCCGCCTCCTTTCCCTAATCCGTATTAAGTTATCCGTTTCGTCTACCCTGCCCCCTTTCCCTTGGTAATTTACGAGCGCACGAAGTGCTCTTAGTCGTTACTCGAGCTAGAGCTCAAAGCATTCAGGAAAAAAAGAGTAGTTAGAAATAATAGTGTTGGTCATTACAATTCCGTTACTAGCATTAAACGTATCCTCTTTTCTATCTACTTGCGAAGAGGATGAATGGTGATTATTGCCTATGGCTAGAGAGCCGAAAAAATAAATAGACGTTGTTATGCATGGGTCTATAGCGAGTTGAGGATAGTCTCTGGCCTCTCGCTGGCGCAGGTGAAGAGGTTGATGTGGTAGTCACCGCGAGCCGCGCAACCTAGTATCATGCGGTGCGGATGGAAGGCGGTAGCAGAGATGGGTGAGCCGCGGTTTTGCTGTAGGAAACTTGAGTAGGGCTCCATGCGGGAGAGTTCGGTGCCGTCAAAGTTGAAAACCTTGACTGTGTGGGCTGATGTTCCGCTAAAGAATTGTTAGCACATATATAACTAAAATAGGTGGCGTTTAGTAACTTACACAGAGAACACTGGTAAATGCTCGTGCGTGCTTGCTGTGCGGAGGGTATCGCGAGTTGCTTGGATAACGCGGAGTGGCGAGTCCATCCGAATATCCCAAAGCTTCACTTTCCCGTTTCGGCTTGCGGAAAGCAACTCGCGCTGACCCCCGCGCTGCATATGTACATCCCTAACCCATTGTCTGTCGGAATCATCTTTCCATTTCTTGACCATTGATTCGTGCGGTCGCAGTCGAGTATCAAACACTCTAATCGCACCGTCTCCAAATCCAGCCACAAAGATGTTGCCAGTCATCTGGTCCGATGTTAATGAGGTGACGCAAGATCCTGAGCGTGCGGGTATGTCCATAATGCATGTTTCATACGCGGCAGCCCAGACCCGGATGACACGAACATCGCCTGCAACAAGCACATTGCCTGTTACCTGCTGCCAGTCAAACACCATACCGGAATTAACATTACTAGGGACCATATGGGTGAGTGCCCGCCAGGCTGATGCTAACTCGGTCTTCTTGGGGGTATCGTAGTTACGATAGATCCGGAGAACACCATCGGATGAGCCTGTCATTAAAAACGCCGTGTCGTCCTCGTTGATGAAGGTCATATCGCTGATCTTTGACCCATCTGGGTTCCCATTTGAGAATCGGTTCAGCCTGCTCTGCTTCTTCCAATCCCAAATATAGACCGTATTCCCATCGTCGGCCACTGCGAGATGGTCTTCGTATTGGTGGAATGTCATCTTCGCCGGCTGAGCGCCGTTGTTCATAATGCAGAGCTGGTTGTTCCACCTGTGACTACCAGCATATTGCTTCTGCGGCTGAGTCTGCCGAAGTATACTCTCGTTTCGCGATCTTCGCCACAAACGCTCGTTGTACTCGGTGCTCCCCGGTTCCTCAGCCTCGCTAGGATGCATCTGCGGTTCGCGGAAGTATTCGATCGACCACTCGAGGAACGTGCTCGAAAGGGGTAGACAAGGCGCCTCGTCCAGGCGACGTTCTTTAAATTTTCCCGACACAGGTTCATCAGCCACATGATAACTCGCTGATGCACTAGCCTGATCAATCTGTTCGGGGAGAGCCGCCCAATCATTGGTGGGTCGCTGCCTTTGGGAGGAAGTTCTTGTAAGACCGGAAGAAGGTTGCGGTGTAGGATTAACCGACTTATCTTCCCCAGCCCACATGCTAGGCAATTGGAATAGCAAGCTTGCCGTCCGTTTCAAAAGGCCAGGTGAGGGTTCTGCGGGGATGATATCAGAAGCAGATGTACCAATGCCGTTTCGTGCCATAGAAGGCTGCTTCCTGTGACCGTGTGATCGTCGCGTTCGCTTTTGAATCTCATCCATTAGGCATCGGGCATGGCCGCCTGCTTTTGACGATAGAAGGGCGTTGTGAACGTAATCAACGATGATCGTTGCGTCTCGCTGAACTTCGGGATGGGGATCTACATTTAATATCAAGACGTGTTTCCAACAAGCGGCAAATACAGTGTTGGATGACAGTCCCTGCGCTGTAGCCTTGATGGTTCCATCCGAATTGCGATTTTCCGGGCGAGCATAATGCATACCCATTTTATGCTCCAACCCGTCATCTGTTGGAGGGCAATGCAAATACTCCTTCTCCTCGACGAGCTGTTCATAAGCAGAAACAATAAACTTGTTTTCATAGCGAAGGACGAAATGCGAAATGAAGACCAGCAGCTCTTTGCGAACAAGCGGGCTGCCATCACCAGCCATATCTAGAAGTGTCCAGGCTATTGACTCTTCGACCCTAGCCACCTCGTCCGTGAGGTCCGGAATGCCTAGGAATGTTGTCATGGCGTGGATGACTGCAGCTCGCACTTCGCAAGCCTGATCTTTCGTCAAAGCGGACAGCTTAAGGGGTGCGTTCTCCCTGATGCCTCTCCATTTTGCCTCGGGCAGATCCTGCCAGAGCTGACTGATGCAAAGGCACGCCCACTGCCGTAGTAATACGTTTTCTTCATTCCGAAGATGAGCCAGACAGTACGTCATGATATTTGACGAATTGCATACGGACTGCCCAGGTCTGTAGCCCTTGCACAGCATCGCAAGCACAAATGCACACATTGCTTTATGCTCATCGCTATTGGCAACGGCAAGCGCTTCGGAAGGGTTTAGGATGGAGGCGAAATAATTGTAACCGCTATCCTTGATTAAATCAGGCTGGCAGGAGACGTCCACGGCGAGAACCCGGGTCCAAATAAATACCATGACAGGCTTCAGCTCAGCAGCGGCAGATTGCAGGAGCTTCAACACATAGGGGAAAATACCGATGCTGAGAGCTAAATGGACTGCCCAAGGACCTAGATCCAAGAACTTGCCTAGTAGGATAAGAGCACGTACACGATGTTGTTGACTTAACAGAACCTGAAGTACAACGGGGAGCTGTTCGGGTGGCTTCTTCTGCATGGCATCTCCGCGCGAGAGATAGACTTCGAAGGCAGTCAGCTGCTCTGCGAAGAAAGTCGAGCTCTGGTACTCGTATTCGATCCCTTCGCTCTCTTTTCGCTCCATCATAGGAAGTTGTGCTAATGCCAAGTCGACGGCTAGATCCCAACTCTCCCAAAGAGGATGTTGGTGAGTATCGGGTAATTGTGGATATGACTGAGGATGGCACCCATAGACCATCATAACCCTTTGAGCCAGGATGAAATTACGGAAGAGAGCGGCGACCATGAGGTCTTGCCTAAAGAATTTGCGAAATAACTGCCGAGGTAAGGAGGTCCATGCGATAGTGTCAGTGATTGCTGTGAATATCCAGTTGAGTTCTCCAAGTGGCGTTCTTCGTTCTTGTAACCTACCGGGCAATTTCTTGGCCCGTTCTGGCGTAATACTCGTCTTAAGAGGATTTTGCAAGACAAAAAACCATAGCGCCATCTCTATGGGTGTTGTTAAACAAGCAGTGAAGAGATCAGCCGGGAGGCGAGGATTGGTGGGGAGATTCTCCTTAACATCACAGGCTGCAAGATGAAGGTATGAGCGGTATTTCGTTTTTTCATAGTTAGGGTCGGCAGCTGCGGCGGCCTCTTCTTCCTCTTCGTGTTTCTCTACGAAACGGTGATAATTATTTAGAATATTACCAGCCTCGGAACAATCCCAGACAAAGATAGTCGGTGCTTGAAGCCAATGCTGGAGGTCATATAGCGAAATAGGGATATACTGAGTAAAGGTCCTGTTGAAAACCCAAATCTCTCCTGAGGCTGTTGGTTTGGGAACTCCATGGCCGTTATAGTGAAGTAGAACCCGTTCGTCCTTGGCGTTCCTCCGTAGTGACTGGCAGAACCTTTTTGCCTCTTCGACAGATGGATCCAAGTATTGTTTATATCTTGTTCTTAACGAAATGTTTTCATATTGCGCTTGTAGGGATTTTCCGATCGCCTCCAAGGCTTTCGCAGCTGGAGGTACAAAGGGATCTTGCCATGCCTCAAGCTTAGCTCCTGGATTTGTCTTCAGCTGGTCAGGAGGCTCAACGCCAATGTTAAGGCATACAGCCAGAGCAGCCGAAACAGTTTTTAATCGGTCTCGCATACGCCAGTCCTCTATCGCATAATTAGGCGAGTCTGGTTGACCGGTGGTCTCGTGTCGCTTATCCGTAAAGTACATATACCAGTTCTGTGATTTAGAAGTTAGGCTCAGACTGATACTACAAGAAAAATACTATATGAGGCAAAGTCAGACTCACGTTTGCTAACTGAGAAATAATGTCTTCGGACTGGTAATGGTCTTCGAAGCCATGCCTGGCACCCCATTCGTAGATCTCCTCATCTGCCTGATCTACATCTTCACGTCTTACTATGTGTTCACTCTTAGACCGTAGTAGTGGTGGCTTAGAGACTGCTCTTCTTGGTTGGTTGTTTTCCAAGTCATTATGGGAGTTGGAGGGCGGAGGATCCGCATTATTCCCCGGAGCGGTTAACGGACGTCTACCAAAATCTACTGGTTCGCGTTCGTCCGTGGCTGTTCGTGGACGTCCTTTTGGTAATTCGGGAGGCTGTACAGCATAAGTTGGGCCATTCGAGCCCAGTCGTGAAGGCATGGTGGCTGAAGTACCATTAACTGCGGGTACGTCAGTCATTAGACTCAGCTGTTGATGGTTGCGCGATTGCGTAGGGTTGGAATCGACGGTCATGGTATCAGGGCGAGAATGCGCCTGTGAAACAGGCTTGGATGTAGGCGATTCGGAAGATGCGGAAGATGTGGTTGCCATGTGATGACTCGGATGCTGCCCAGACGTGTATGCGCTATGAGAGGAGAATGTGACGGCGGTCATAGTGGTTATAGCACATCCTCAAGGTACCTCAAGTTAATAATGCATTTCGACGCACGCGATGATGCTAATCCAATTTGATGGTATAGGGTGAGATGTTCAAATTATGACGTTGTGACTTTTTATCTTTTATTTTTGTTTTATTTTGTTGGTAGTGAAGTGAAGACCTTGATCAAGGTCAAGTTGAATTATTCATTCAACAAGCCGATGCGAATGGCGGCTGGGCTGTTGTTTTGCGAATGAAGCCTTTGCGGTCTAATCCGGCTGGCCTGGTTGGCTCTTGGTTACCTAAGGCACACCCGGTATGGGTATCCGGGCACCAACGCGTATTACCTAATCTACGTACCTTTCCGCCCTAGACCCCCGAACCCCACTTGTACCCGAGGCCTGTGACGAAATACATAATTTTAAGAACTGCTTCTGACTCGAAATCCTTCGAGGTCCCTTATGTAATTAATAATAGGGGTAGGCTTGTCATCTGCTTCGTCACGATTAGGTTCAGCTTGCAACCACTAGCCTATCTTTACGTTTCTAATTCATCTTGTCTATTAAAAGATCAAGTACCGCTTAACTACAGTCAAGCAATTCCTACCTACCTACCTACCTAGGTATACTACAACTGGTTGAGAAATTCTCAATGGACCTGATATTCATTCACCATTACCGATGCAGGATACATAATACATACGTGTAATAGATATTCGGCCTAGGTATATGATCGTATTGGAGGGCCGTGATGGGTTCTTTTTATATTTGTGATCCGACTGTCCGACAAGCTGTACTTTTCTTAGGTACAACGAAGCGTCGTATTGTCCATGTGCTAGGTAACTGGTTAGATAATTTGCTTGGTTTCAGGTGTCTCCTTTTGTTCTTAGATCTGCACGTCCCGGACTCGTCCCCCGAAAACGCGCATGTATCCACATGGCTCCCTCGCTACTTAGGTACCTACCTAGATACATAGTACACTATTATCCAGCCTTGCCCAGCAGCCCACGCAGGGTCCATTTAGCTGTATTTTCCTTTACGCTAGTTGCAGCAATAGCACTTACATCATCTGGATATGCACATAAGAACTAGAAAAGGGGTCTTAACATAGGACACTTTAGGTTACACTTCACAAAAGAGTTTAAGGACATCTGTTCGTCTATTGGTGTAGCCATCTACCGTCTCCGCATGCTGTCACATTATAAGTGTTATAATAAGTCTACCTATACGTTCATGCGTAAAAGATAGGTATGGGTACCTAACGTGAACGTGACCACTATGGTACAGACTACGTGTAAGCTGGTAAGATGCGCCAAAGCTTACACCAAAGATCCTCCACCCGAGAAAAAACTGTGCGTAGAAGCGGACTGATCCAACAGGGATCGGGCAACATTCTCAATATCTCAGAACTGAAGAGACAGTACTGCTGAAGAGATAACTTGTAAGTAATTCAGACAAGCAAGTAATTTGTGTAAAGACGTGCTGTTTTCCTTGATTAACTTTCGACCCTGACCTATCAATATAATACTTATAGGGTACTTCCATTTCTAAGTTAAATAACCAGGTCAGTCCCTGAGTCAATCTTATAAGCACTTAACAAGACCCAGTTCCTTGGGGTTGTGCGAATAGAATCCACAGATATTATATTTCTCTTTCTAATGAACTACTATACAATTTATACTATAATGATAGAGATGATACAGATCTACATAGTATATAAATACTTACCTAATGGGCGGTATTAACTTCTCATGTATTTCCAGTTGAATTTCAGGAGAGGTAGTAGGTTAAGTACATTAGGAGGTACTAATATCAGCATGTACCTCTCATCACGCTCGTTTATTTATTTTAATACTTGTGGTGCCGCTAACCCGCTTGGAGTGATGGGTTGTCTCCCAAAATTAGCTACCTCCTACCCAATGGCAATCTACAGTAAGGTACAGCATAAGAGCAAGCTAAACCAATTTCAGAGTTAGCGCAGGCACAGTCTCCCCCCCATAAACCCGACCCTTAGTAGTGACCGTCCTGGGGAACTTTTAGAGATTTTTTTTTTCTTCTGGAAATTTGGATGTATGCCGTCCCCGATAGGAACCTCGTCGCCAGTGCGGTTCTCTCATCAAACAAGACTTTCTCTCTCTTTTTTTCCTTCATCTCCCTTCTTTTCTTTCACGGCGTTGTTCTGATTGCCACGGCTGTCCGTAGGAGGAAGCGATAATAAATTATTTTATTTATTTATTTATTTTTGGCAAGCCTAAGGTAATAACGATAAGTAATGTTCTAGTTTAACTCCTTTTATCCATTATCTGTTATCCGTACATTACTAGCATTATCAATTGGCACTACCCGACGATCTCAAAGGGGGGATTACTGTTCATTACCTATAACCATAAGCCATAAGCCATAAGCCATAAACCCATAAACCATAAACCATAAAATCATAACCCGTGGCAGTGGGTGGCATTGGAACAAACGACTCGTCGCAACATTCGATCCGTCAGCCCTTTATTTTTTTTTGTCTACACCTTTCTAATTCTAATTCAATAGCCTAGCATCCCCGACGCAAATCAGAATTGCTTCCCCTTCACACCTTTTTTTTTTTAATTCAACAGTTTTGTTCCACAAAACAATTATAAGGAAAAGGAGAAAAGACAAGGCTTTTGAAGCAGGAAAAGGAAGGGGGTTAAAAAAAAAGTCGAGAGGCTGCGCAGGACAAGGACACGGTCAAATCGGCGCAATTTCGATTGAGGACCCATTTTCAAGATTTCCAACCTCATGTTATCTGTCCCAGCCATTTCGAAGGCCGAATCCCATCGCAACGAACCCTTTCTGCATTCGTTTTCCGTTTGGTTGTCGAGCTAAATTGTCGAGCTAAACCTGTCCACTCGCCGATCCGCCGCATGCAATTTACCGACACCCAGTGTTCGATCCTAACCCACAGAACACATTGTTGCCGTTGCGGCGACACAGTCTAAGCACTCCTCCACCGAGGTCCCGTCGAGGGTGTTTGACTATACTTACCATGGCTTTTCTATTCAAGTCCAAGAAAAATCAGGACAGGAACGTCCAAAGCCGAGAAGGGGCTCCAGGATCGTCACCTCCAGTCCAAAGTCCTGCTTCGCGCATTGCCAGGGAGGAGAAACACTCTCGATCAACACCCACAGGCAGTCTGAATTCTTTCGATGAAAATACTCCTAGCCCCGATGCAGAAAAATACGTACGTCGTGGCCAGGATCCATCGCAACAGATGCAGCAGCCTCAGCAACCTCAGTCTCAATCGTCGCCGCCGCAGCAGCTACAGCAGCAGCAACAGCAAACCAGTGACTTGCCTGTAAGTCTTTCAACGTTTATTTAAGTCCAATCCTTATATTACTTCACTTATGTTCGCGGCTCGTCTAACAAATATACATGTTAAAGTTTCGTAATCCTGCCCCGCAAAGTGCGAATGCTTCGTTATACCCTTGGTCTCAACGGCGGTTGACATTTACGGCATCTATACCCAGCCCGTTCCCAAGATATGGAGCCGCAGTCAATTCTGTGTCGTCTAAAGAAGGCGATATCTATATCATGGGCGGCTTGATTAACAGTTCGACCGTCAAAGGTGACTTATGGATAATCGAAGCTGGAGGAAACATGTCTTGCTATCCCCTTGCCGCAACATCTGAAGGACCCGGACCGAGAGTTGGCCACGCGTCTCTCTTAGTTGGCAATGCATTCATTGTATATGGTGGAGATACTAAGATCGACGAGACGGATATTTTGGACGAGACGTTGTATCTTCTCAACACTTGTAAGACATCGTTATCCCCGCCATATCCCGCTCTCCTCGGTGTAGACTAACTTAACGCTTCAGCCACGAGACAATGGTCGAGAGCTCTTCCGGCCGGTCCCAGGCCGTCGGGACGCTACGGCCATTCCCTGAATATCGTTGGATCCAAGATATATATCTTTGGTGGTCAAGTAGAAGGCTACTTCATGAACGATCTAGCAGCCTTCGATCTTAACCAATTACAAATGCCTAATAATCGATGGGAAGTGCTTGGTGAAAATGCCGAAACTGGAGGCGCGCTACAAGGCAAGGTACCACCGGCCAGAACTAATCATTCTATGGTCACCTTTAACGATAAGATGTACTTGTAAGTCTTATATGCGTGCATCTCCTATGCAGATATAGATCCTGACAACTCACTATAACAGGTTCGGCGGTACCAATGGCTTCCAATGGTTTAATGACGTATGGTGCTATGATCCTGCAGTTAACAAGTGGTCTCAACTGGATTGTATAGGCTATATCCCTGTACCCAGAGAAGGACACGCCGCTGCTCTCGTGGACGGCGTCATGTATATTTTTGGTGGACGTACGGAAGAGGGTGCTGACTTGGGTGATTTGGCTGCCTTCCGTATCGCGTCTCGTCGTTGGTATACTTTTCAGAATATGGGTCCCTCGCCATCGCCTCGATCCGGTCATAGTATGACGGCCGTAGGAAAGTCGATCGTTGTAGTTGGAGGTGAGCCGAGCTCAACTACAAGCCAGGTCAATGATCTCTCGCTCGTATACGTTTTAGACACCACCAAAATACGGTACCCCAATGATGCGCAAATCCAGTCCAACAACCAGAAGATGCAGCAAAGACGCCCAAGTGGCAGCGAAATCCCTGGTGTTAGGCAGACGCCATCTCGCGAAGGCTCTATCGGACCAGATCCGAAACGAGTTGCTAGCCCTAATAGCCCAACAAATAGCTCCGGAAAGGGTACCGGTATCGATATTAACGGGCCGCCGCCTATCAGTAATGGACTATCGAAGCTTCCAAGGGCTGCGGGCACCTCTACTCCTTCAGGACCCCCACCTCCTGGTCAAGCTCCTCGGCCAAACATGGAGGGAAATGCGAACGGCCGCCGTGTTAGGAACGCATCTATAGAAAGAATAGAGAGAGAAGCCGCGGGTGCTGGTTCACCTGGCATCAACAGCCAAAGACAGTCGCCTGTACCAAGAGAAATAGTAAAGGAGGACATCCCGGCCACGAATGGAAGACGAACGCCGAATCAGCAAGGTCCTAGGAGTGGCTCACGCGCGGAGAACCAAACAGAAGACAAATCAAAGTCGAAGATGCCACCACGGCAAGCTCGAAGTCAGGGGTCTGTAGACAGCAGCACGGAGCTTACGCTTAAAACTGTAGCCAACAGGCCATCTTCTCCACCTCCACCGACTCGGCAGACAAGTAATCCTTTATCACGAAAAGGTTCAAATAGGAATTCTCAGACCGTTGTCCTTCTTAAGGAACTTGATGCCGCGCGGAATCAAAATGCATGGTTCGCGTCTGAGCTAGAGTTGGCTCGCAAAGCTGGATACACGTCCAATCCAACTCTTAGTCCTACTCTAGAGTCTCGAGCCGCAGAGACATTCGATGACGACGATAAGCGACTCATAGAATCACTCTTAGCGATGAAACAAGAACTAGCCAACGTCCAAAGTGCCATCGATAAGCAAGCGATCCTTGCTGCCAAACAAATTGCCGAAGTAGAACGACAACGCGACGCCGCCGTCCGTGAAGCGGTCTATGCCAAGGCAAAAATGGCAGCCCAAACCGGAAGTGCAGCGAGCACGCCGCAGCTGGATGGGGAGAGAGATGTTGATGGCGGTGATCGTTCTTCAGAGCTCAATAAGAAGCTCGCCTCGGCGCTGAATATTCAAAAAGAGTTGCAGAATAATATCGCGCGAGCCACTTCAGACCTCGAAGCGGAAAGACGGGCCCGGCAGCTTGCAGATGAGACTTTGAGCGCCACTCAGAAGCGTCTAGCCGAATTAGAAGCGTACAAACAGCAGACGTCCTCAGAGCTCGAACAATTAAGGGCAGAGTTACACATGATCCAACGCGAGGCGCGAGAACAATCTGTTGCCGGCGCTGAAGCAATCGCTGCCATGCAGCTTCTGCGCATCGAGAAGGAAGAGTACGAAAGCAAATACAACGAAGCCATTGGTAACTCTCAAGAGTATAGTGAAACATTAGAGTCTTTACGGGAAGCCGTAGTAGCGTCTGCAGACATGCGCGCCCACCTTGAGCGGAAGCTCGAAGAGGAACGGGCTCAGAGAGAAGCCGTGGAGTCCAAATTGTCTAAGCTTAAGGCGGAACATGATGCGCATGCTTCTGAATTAGAGGCCGTAACACAACGGCTGCGTGACGCAGAGGAGCTCGCGGAACGAAATGCAGCTGAAGCAAACACTCATCGACAAGCCTTGATTTCCGGACTCGAAAAGGTTACCAAGGATCCCAGCACGGCAAACCGAGCTGACGCCGAGCGTATCGTAGTGCTTCAAGGCCAAATCGAAGCGGCAAACGATCTTATCAAGAAATACCGGGAGGAGGCTGACGTTGCTTCTGATAAGCTCCGAAGCGCCGAGGAACGAATCGCGGGACTTGAAGCATACCAAGAACAATCCAGCAGGGAAGGCGTATCTATTCGCCGACAGCTGCAGTCTGCCCTGAGGGAAATTCAATCGCTTCAGGCGTTGAATTCTGATCTCAAGAACCAGCTCGCTAACCAACAACTCGAGACCAACGCCATAACAGTCCAGCATAATACCCTGAAAGATATTCTAGCTGAAAGGGGTATTAGTCCGACCAACCTCGCCCGAGTACGAGAGATGGGTTCTAGGACCAGCTCACCTAATCCTTCTCGTACCAGCGATCTTGAACGGCAGCTTGCGCAAGCCATCGCTGCTCACGAAGAGACAAAGCAAACTTTCGCTACTCAAATTGAAGAGTCCGAGACCACCTATCGTAACAGGATAAACCAATTAGAGAACGACTACCAATCAGCCGTTCACTACGTTAAAGGCACAGAGAAGATGCTCAAGAAAATGAAGCAGGAGCTTGCGCAAGTTCAATCCGAGAACAATCGCTTGAAGAGTGAAAATATCGAACTAGAGGAGCGTTCCAGTGCCCAGGGCAGCGTTACACCTGCAGATTGGGAAGCCGAGCGGTCGGAGCTAGAGAATAAGATCGAGGGTCTCCAGGAACAAGTAAAGTCAACTTCTGCACAGCTTGAACAAGAACTCGCCGAACTACGGAAGAAGCTGGATGCTACCAACCAAGAGCATGATTACACGGTCAAATCTCGCGATGAGGTTGCGGAACGACTGGCCACTCGAGAGAAGGAGCTCGAGCAGATGCAACAGGAGAATAGCCTCTTGGAGAAGCGAGTGCAGGATGCCGAACAAAAAGTCAGCCTGCTGCTTGACCAGGTAGAAAACTCTGTTGATAATTATCGGAGACGCAGCCGAATTAGCACCGATCATATCAACATTGGTACCCCTAACTTGAACGGCTTTGGGCATACTCGCCAGGAAAGTTCTGAGACGGGAAGCTCCTACGGCGGTGGCGGTGGCGGTGTTGGCGACAAAAGAGACAGCACGGCCCTTGACGACTTAGCCAACGAACTTGACATGCTACGATCTCATTGGGAGGCGACAAACAAGAACTATCGACTCTCTACTAACTTCGACTTCGAAGGACTCGGAAACAAAAAGGAGAGCGACAGTGCTGGTCTCAGCGAGAGCCTAGCTGATTGGAGGAAGCGGCTCGATGCAGAGGAACGCGCAACCGAAAACATAGGAGCTGCCAAGGGCAATCATGCCTCGTAAATATATAACCCTTGGTACCTGAAGAACCAACAGACCCTCCTGGGGACGATACCTACCATTAGTGTCGTCACTTCAATATACATAATACCCCTTGTACAGCACCTACAATGTGTATCAGAGCACATTTGTTTTTGTTTTTGTTTTTTCACGATCTATCCATTTCTAGTTCGATTCAAGTCCTGTTCTTGTACTCCAAGTTCAGGACAGCATGTCTTTTGCGTCTTACCAGCATACCGCCCCGTAGGCTTACCTACCGGGCGTTCTTTGGAGCCTCAAGGGCGACAACCTTATTTGCAACCCCTTTCCACCCCCAATTTCTTTTTCTTTCAACGTGTTTCTACGCCGAAGATGGAATGATCTGTAACCCCCCACGCAAACCCACCAATCAGTCGTAATTTGGAGACTCTGTTCCGAAGATATGATCGATTGCGATGCCCCACGGAGTTGAGTTGGTTTGGTTCAGGAATTGTTATAATCTTTTTGTTGATTGTCGTTTTTTTTTTTTTTTTTTTTTTTTTCCTTCTCGGAAATACGCAAATTTTTCATGGGATGCTGCAGTGGAACGCGCAGAATGACTGGGGAATGGCCGTTGCTCTCCCTAACGTTAATGTACATTATCACCGCTACTGCTGCTGCTGCTGCCGCCGCTACTGGAATAGTGTCGAGGAGACAATCAGATGGAGGAAAGTGATACCTAGAGGAGACGGGTGGCGACATATGCGCCGCCGGATTTGGAGGCTTCACCCCCCGTTGTGTTTTAAAATGTAGTGATTGCGATGTGGGAGTAGTTCAATATTGATGAATCATTCGGCTTCTTGAATTGGTATGCTCTATTGAAGTATAAACAGCCCCTTAACGTGAATTGATGGGTGTCCTGTTCTTTTATAAGCCACGTGCTAAGAAGGGGAATATACCGAGTTGTCGAGGCTGAAGGTGAAGGCCAAGATCCATTAGCGCCGTCCTTGTGTCAACTGGTCTGCACGGATTATGCGAAATATCATAGTGATATATTTCCTCTGCCTATTCGATCCTTGTTTGCTAATTAGGGGAGAAGAATACACTCGAAATATCAGGTAACTAACTGCCTGACCTAAAATTCATAAATAATTCTTTTTATAATATATTGCACCTACCTACATAGGTAGGTAGTCACCTGTCTAGTTTGAGTATCTATACACTAGTAATTCGTAAGCTTCTGATTTTAGAACGCGCGCCATCAATACGGTACGGTACGGCTTAGAGGGGAGTAGAACCACGTCGTACCATTCAGGGACTAGTCGGTCTTACGATTCGCTCCCCCTTTGCACGGCGGCAGCGTCAGTTTGTTTCACGTGTCGGGTTCAAACTTGGCTGAGGATGATGTATAATTAATTACTTAGAGGTATGTAGGTACCTAAACTAAAGAATCAACCCAACCTGTTAGAAATATGAAGCATATAGAGCACGTTAGAGCAAATAGCAAATCGAACAGATTCAAATGTAAGGGCAACTACATTTCTCATTTGAGCTCTTCTATAAAAGAGAGAAAAGAAGATAAAATGTTGTAGTTATGTACCTCCCTAGGTATGGTTCTAATAATTATCAATTGTGCCTCTGGAGTGTAGCCGGGGTTCGTCTCGCCCCTGGTCCAACCTGGTTCAAGTCAAGTCTTTTTTCGAACGTAGTTTGTCGCAGATTTATTATATGCAAAGCCAGGGTCTTATATACAAATACAGTGCCACTATCTACAATTAGCAACTAACACACGGTAAGATAATACCCCCATCATCCCCCTTTCCCCTTCATTTAGGGGTAGCGAATACAGTACCCGCAACACTGTAGCTAGGTACAATCCTGTCTTAGGTTCCTGGCGTGGCTTGTGTCGGGCCACTCACTCCCTCCTCTTCTCTTGGGATCGTCAAGTTTGTCGACTTTACCAATTGGGTTTCCTTTTTTTCCACAATTTCTCTTCTCACTCTCTCCCAACCAAATATAATTTTCGATTTATCATTTATTTTTCCGATTTTGATAATCACAACCGCTTTTGCGATCTGGTCATCGCTCACCCACAATCGTTACTCTTTGGATATAGGTACCAAGAAAAATAACTGCTGATTTATGATTATTATATCTTGTTTTAATTCGGAAGCAAGCCCGCTCGCGCGACAACAACGAAATTAATTAATCGAACCCACCGAAACGGAAACCCACAAGCCGTACTTTCAGCACTGGCTTGGACGAACAAGGACGAACCCATACGCTGCTAAATAAGAGAGAGAGAGAGACACCTAGCTGAGCTTCGAGTCTAATCTTGCTTGTCCATTTTAACCGATTTCGCGATAACTTGTACATACATAACCTCCCTATTCCATCTCTTCGATCTTCGATACCTAAAACTCCCGTCCCCGAACCCAACCCACCCATCCCAAGATGAAGACCGCATTCGCCGCAACTCTCGCCGCCGCGCTCTGCGCGACCCTCGCCAGCGCCGGCGTGGTCATCACGCCTATCTTCCAGAACCAGATCGTGCCCCAGGCGAGCAACGACTGCTTCTTCGGCAAGACGACCCCCTACGGCTGCGGGTGAGTTTTTCTTGTTTCTTGTTTCTTGTCCCATTTTCCCTTCGTCTTTGCCTTGCCTTGCCTTGCGCCACCGACGAAATCAAAATAGAGAAGAGCCTTGTTGTTGTTGTTTTTCTTTTGGCTAACGTAAAGTTCCCCATAGTCCCGTTCGCTCGTAACGAGTCTCTGTCTACGCTTTACGTTTTTGTTTCGTTTGATTTCTTCCTTTCCCGCGTCTTCAACGAGCGAGGGTCTGCTGAGAGAAGAAGTATGGTAGATCGATCGGATGGTTCCGAGGAACGAATATGGGAGGGAAGCGCCGGCGTTAGGTCAATCAATCAATCAAGTCCAGTCGACCAGGAAATAAATCAATATCGAGGGTCTTAGAAGAAGAAGAAGAAGAGATGGTCGCCCTTCGAAGGGGGGAGGTCACTTGGATTTAATAAGTGCGTGGGTACGGCCGCGAAAGGAGATATGTTAGGTTAGGTACCTAGTTGTCGTGAAATATGGCAATGAACGTGCGGCGGTGCTATTTTTAAGCTCCAGGTTGTGGTTATTGATTTATTTTAATGTCGTTTAAAAACTGGATGATTCAAGATATACTTTTGATCAGCAAATGGGGCATGCTTGGGTGTTTCTTCGTGTTTCTTCGTGTCTTAATGTTAAGTTATAGAAATCTTCGTGCCTATAACGCCATGAATTTGGTAATTGTATTATTCATAGTTACGTATTTCGACAATTCTAGTAAACACATTGCTACCAGACAGGCAATACAAACAAATCGTTGCGAATATAATAAAAATTTTATATGGTATCACATAGTCTATATCTCCTTTATATCGACTACCATCGATATTTTACTTGGTAGTATATGACAACATATAATTACAACGACATTTAAATCAGCGCCTATATGCTTTCTACGCCTTTTTCTCGCATCCCCAGCAAACTACTAGCAGAACAGGACAAGGGAAGCGGGGGGTTTTTTAGCACTTGAGGCTGTACTTGGCCTTCCGGTCGGCGGTCATGGCGCCCCAAGAGGTCTCGTCGGCGACGGAGCCGTCGTCGCCGATGGCCTTGGGCTTCCAGGCCTCGTCGAAGGCCTCGAAGAAGAAGACGTTGAAGCCCCAGTCGACCATGCCGCAGACGGCCTGGCTGTAGAAGGTGGAGGCGGGCTTAACGCCGGGCTGGGCGTTCTGGTACTTGTCGCCGCCGGTGGGCCAGCCGGTCTCGCCGACCCAGAGCTCGATCTTGTCCGTGCTTCCCGCCTTCTCCTGGATGTGTCCGAACGCCTGGAAGATGTCATCGTAGAACGAGCCCGTCGCGTTCGACAGCACCTGCCCCTGCCAGTACGAGAAGGCGTTGCACAGCAGGATGTCCACGCTGCCCGACTGCGCGAGCGCGTCCCCCGTCCCGTCCGCGAACTTGTTCCACGAGTCCGCCGTGCCCACCTTGAACCCCTTGCCCACGGCCGACTTGACGTCCTGGATCTTGGACACCAGCTCCTGTCCCGTCAGGTTGCCGCGGTACATGGCCTCCGAGCCGACGGTGATAGCGTAGACCTGGTCCTTGTACTTGGGCGCGAATTCGACGACGGCGGCCTTGTCAGACTTGTAAGATTCGTCGGTGTCGGGCCTATTTTATATCTCTGTTAGTGTCCGTCTGAATTTTACCAGTTATATATATATGTAATTCATTCTATTCGATGTATATCGTCTTTCCATTTTCGCGGCACCAATTCGCACTCATCCTCGAATTGCATCAAACACAAAAGGGGTGCAAGTAAATAAACGGGTTATGTTTACTAACCAGATGCCCAAAACGACCTTGAAACCAGCTGTCTTAGCAGCAGGTAGGATCAGCTTCGCGACGTCGCAGTCGGAAGCAGCATAGATGCGGACGACCTTAGAGGTTGTCTCCTTCGTCAGAGCAGCGAAGTCAGCTACATAGTCGCTCGCCTCCTTGCAAGATCCGTCCGCCTTCTTGTTACCCAGGGCGAAACCCAGTTGTCCTGCGGCAGACGCCACAATAGGGCCCGTAGCTACGGCTGCCGAGAGAATAGTTGAGAAGCGCATTTTGTTTTCCTATAATTTTCCTTTCGAATTCGGGGTATCGCGCTCAATTGGAAAAAAGCATGCGGTGAATACGATTTGGCGGGGAGAAAGGAGCGAAATGCCGGTGCCGACGCAAAAAAGTGAAAGAATAAAAAATGAGTGTTAGAGTACAGCTAACCGGCAGAAGGAAAGCAAGTAAATGCAGAAAAAAAAGAATGACGAATTGGAATATTGGTACGGTTTAGTTTGTTGTTAAAGATAAGAAAAACGGAAGAGAAATTGAATGTGACGATTGGGTTTCTTGTCTTGTCTCTTAGCTGAAATTGGACGTTTCGAGCAGGGGTCGCCGTATTAAAATAGGGGTACGGTTGTACAATTCATTCTTATTAGCCCCCTGATAGGTTCCCAGTCCCTTTCTTAAAACTAGCATGACTAGGGATTACACTAAACAGCAGCTATAGCCTATAGGTTAAGAGTCTAAGCTACATTAATGCACAGTTTAATGCAGGTACAATACAATATTATATAATCCCCGTACTCCACATCGGAATACTACTACTAACTTAACTCCTAACTATGTAAACTTACATACCTCTCAGTACTTGTCTCCTATCTTCTCTACTTGAACAAAACGCAAGTAAAAAGGATTCACTGTAGTAATTATCCATGCTAAAGCCTATATACACTGAATTGAATAAAGTGTTGTTAATAAGAAACTAGGTAAATCCCAAAAACGCAAGCTCACATAGCAATATTCTTGAAATTGTTAACTTGTTGACTTGTCCGAAAGCATCCAAGAGCCTATTCAAATATATTACAAGTAATGTATTATAGTTTTGACCTACACTTATAAAAGTAGTAGAATAACCACCTACTCAGGTAATTATAGGCAGTCTTTTTCTCCGCCAGATCTCAACCCTTTCCAGCAAAACAACCAAGTCGGAATGTGGTTGTCAAGAGACTTGGCCCATGGTATATTATCCAGAGTCAGTTGAATGACTCTAGGCGTAACAACAACTGCCTATGAGATATCCAGGTGTAACAAGCTGGAGATGTACCTGTATTATTAAACATCTTCTCGCCGTCCTTGGATGAAGAAGCATTCTTGATCGCAAACAACCACTTCGGTCAACCAGCCACTCCTCCTCACCTTTCCAATAATCCAGCTACTTTCATACTCCCCTTCGACTTCATCAACATATTGTCGTTCTCAAAAGTCTCCGCTAAGTCCCATCATATAACCGCGCTACCTAGCTTGCCGATTGCCTGCCCACCTTAGCTACCATGTGCCACAAGGTAGTTCAACGCAAAATTTACGCGAAATGCAAGCACAAACAGATAACGCACGAGGTGAAAGTCTGCAGTACCCCCGCGCAGAGGTGCCCAGATAACATGGACCAGGCAGAGGTTATCGATCCCCGTTCACCGATAATCCAGATCGACAGTATCTGTCCTCGATGTGCTGAGAAAGAACGGCAGCAGCAACAACAAGAGCAGCGAGGTTGGGTTGGCTGGCTACTCGGTTCTCGTTAGTGCGATGATGCGGCGGGACATGATTATGTCTTAGGCACTCTAGGTCCCTAGCATCATGGCTACAGGTTAGGGTTGAATACGAGACCTTTGGGCTGAAGGATACTTTCAGCGTGCGCAGCCATGGACACTCGGAACTAAGTTAGTTAGAGTTTCCCCATGGAAGAATAAATACATTCCTACCTAATCTATACATTTCATTGACTCCAGGCGTCGTGATGAGTAACAGAACAATAAATGTTCTCTCCAAGGCTTCGCTAATATATCAACACCAGAGTGATCTTAATATTGAAAGAGGATTGATTATTCATTATAGAGTTGCTGCTGGTTCAAACCATGTCCGATATTCAACGTGTTATAAAATTGCTGTATTACGGTAGCCATATCATTATAGAACTTAGACGTACATATACTGCAGTAATCCTTAAGACTTTACAATACGTTCATTAATTGGCCATGTACAATAGGCTATGGTCCTTAGCTAGTTACATCACCTCGATGTTCCGCAGGTCTATTCTATCTCCTCATTCACAAGAGCGCATGTGTTAGGTTAGGTACCTGTTCATATCATAAAGGGTATGGATCTAGTGTCTTGACTATTGGATGTAATAGCACTACTCTCGGATAAGCCCCTAATGATGTGTGGTCTCTATTAACTATCATCTAGTAACTTCACCGCAAACTTCCTAAAGGGGGGGGGGGATGCCATATTCACACCCAACTTTAGGTAAATATGATAGTATTCGAAGTCCTTAGTACGAAAACTAGTTCACTAGGCCATAAATCCATCCCTTACTACGGTCAACTTTATCTACGTGATCTACTCTCTAAGCCTTCTTCTCATAGTCTCGAGGCTGGAATGCTTGTGAGTTAGGTAGTACTTGTCCAAGCCCTAGGTAGCTATCAACATCACGTACGTAGCTACAGCGAGTAATCCCTACCATATATACCACGTCTTGAACCTCTCTGAGATATATTTAAACAATCCCATCATCCTCAGTTGAAGGAGAATTTCTGACTATCTACAACTACTTCCGCCCCTCCATCCATCCCAAATAATCCTGCTACCCCCAAGAACCAACCTCCTCAGTCATTCCCTATTAATACCACCACCATCACCACCATTGTCCCCGGGGACTTCCTACCAAATCTCGCCATACCTAGGTACCACCTACCTACATACACCAGCGCTGCCTTCTCGACCAGGCAAGATGTGTTATATGCTGGTAGATAAATCCACATACGGATGCGGCCACGTGGAAAAGCGGGCTCAGCGGATGTCTTGCATACATCCCGAAACCTGCGGCCCCGAGGACAAAATACCATCCAAGTTCACCGTGCCGGAGTATCATTATAAAGAGGATTGCTGGAAATGCGCCGCGATTAAGAAATACCCAGATGACAAGGAATGGATCACAATGTGAAGTCGGCATCTAATTATTTGCTAGATTGGGTGTGCCTGTTACCTGCGGGATGAGGTGATGCCGCCTACCACCTGTGGGTGATCTTTCATTGGAGAGCGATTACAGCTAGATATCATAGGTAGATGAATTTACCATAAGCATCTCTTACACATATATGTATATCTTAGCTAGGCTTTCCTTAAGCTAAGGTAGCTATGTCGTAAACGTGATAGGTATAACCATCTCCAATATATAATACCCAAGGCTATGATCGAAAACGTGTTTGATAATTCAAGAAATCACCTAAGGTTAGGTATATACCTAGAGGCAAGGTAAGCAGCAGCAGCAGCACGATCTACCTACCTACCGCGCCGACCCCCTATCTTCTACAGAGAAGAACTTCAACAACCTATGCGCATCCTCCCTAAACTCCACGTCGACCCCCTTCGCCAGCCTCTCCAATGTCCCCACGCCCTCCAGAATGCATGCTATGGACCGACCGGCTCGTCCAATCTCCAAATCAAAGAGCGGAATTTTAGGACTTACCCCCATAATCCCGTATCGAACCGGACCATATAGCTTTTGACGTATAATTACTAGCTCTCCCTATCTGTGACGTGACGTTTGTCAACGGCGCCTGTCTGTTCTGCTGCTCCAGCATTTGTTGGGCTGTCGGCTCGATAGCCAGTGCAACCAACGTACCTTGTGCTGCTCGTGAGATACCTGTCTCCAGTTAGCCAGATACTGCGCTGCACGACAGACGCTGTGACACCGTACTAGGTATGTAAACAATTAATTAATTGGTTACCTTAGGTACATAAGGCACTTAACACTGAACACTGATAAATATAGAATGGGGGCCGCTTTGATTGTTTTATTAGGCTAACCTAGCCGTAGGTTACTATTGTATGCCATATAGACGAATAAACATCAGCTAGCTAGGAGCCGTTGTCGGAAATCTATATGAGGCTTGGGACATAAAATATAGGTCCTGTAATGCTAATGATAACAAGGGAATCTTTGACCGAATACATCTCCCCAATGTCTCGAGTTCCCCTAGGTACCTTAGGTAATTAAGAACAAAAAGAAATCAAGGATCCTGGAACTCCAATTGTGAAACGCCGAAAGAATGCTCCCGGCTATGACCATGCCGTCCTTTATATGATTGAAGATTAATGAAACCACTTTTGCACACGTGCTTACTTATCACGCAAACCTTCGATTCTATTCTATGCAGACTCACTGGTCCCGTCGGCCTTGCTCGAGCTACTTTTCGAGTAGATCTTGAATTGGTAGAAAATGATGCAGTCTTCGACAATCGTGCCGAGAGACCCGAGAAGCCAAGGGATAGCCTTGATGATATACTCCGGCTCTGGAGAGTAAGTGAAGACGCTCAGGCCATAAGTTAGATTACCAGTGAGGGACAATAAGAAGAAAAGCAGGGCAAGACCGTCGCAAGACTTCTCCCGGTAGTTTTTGATTATCTGGGGAATTCGGGCACTGGTTTTTCTATTAGCAGGTATTCTAGAACCTATCACGAACGACCTAAACGTACCAGAGATAACAGATAGCGCTGGCGTATCCTAGAACGAGTCCTAAAATGCCGACTGTCGAGTCCATAGCGGGCTCGTCGGTGGCGTCGGGCTTATCCCAAGCCCCGACTTTATAAGAGACGAACCAACCAGCAGCTCCAACGATGTAGATAGCCACGACGCTTAGTGCGTTATGTAGCCAAGGGTTGCTATCGGGCGTATCGTCTTCGCCTGTAACGATTCTCTTGATAGGGTCTAGGCCGGACTCGGAATGGTGCATGGAATGACGTCTGTGCGAGCCTGGAAGACCACTGGACGACCTCCGAGGCTGCAAGAGGGGTTCATCTTCTGACAACTCAGATTCGGTCGACTGTGTTCGCTGGCGAGTTCTCCGGGCGTTGAGGGTGTTATAGTAAACGGACTGTGCGATGAGGATGACATCGGATATGCAAAAGTAACCCGCCAATGCGGTCGCTGTGGGTGCGAGTCCAGTCACGAGCGCACCTTATGAGTAAGAATAACAAGTCAGCTCAACACGTGCTTCATCCTTGGGCTGAGAATACGTAGAATGCAATTAAGTTAGGTTAGGTACGCAGGTAAATATAATATTAATACTCTCGGGTACTGGCATGAATGAATTATGGTATGGATATTAAACATACCGGACAGGTTCGCGATATCGCCAAAGAGCCAGACAGCCAGGAAAATCATGGACAGGCCTTCCGCACTCTTGGCTCTGTAATTAGCGATGAGTTGAGGAAGCTATCGCACCGGTTAATGGAATGCTCGTAGGGTAATACATTATACAAAGAGCTTTCTTTGTCCTCCTAAAACACAACACGTACGAGTAAGCATATCCATGCCGTCAAGCTGATGCTCCCAAATATCCCAGATAAGATCTCGTTAACGGAGAGTTCGTTAGATAAAGCCATATCGGCGAGATTCATTTTCATCAAAATCCCTAGATAGAATATGACCAGAAGTGATAGATGATGATGTTGCAAATAAGAGAGACGCGAATAATTGGGACGTTGGAGGAAGAGAGGAAGGAAGAGAAATAGAAATAGAGAGAGAGAGACAGACCGGACTTAGGAGCCGTTAGTCATATGGCTTGTCTCAGGTATTCGTAGTCAGAGTCAGCTGGAAAGTTAATAAGTTTAGTGTCAGATAAACCGTAGTTTAGTGTATGGTTAGTGGACGGTCAGTGGCTTCAACGAGTTTTCCCTTTTCCCTTATCGCATGTAGGTGTAGGTACAATACCTACAATACCTAACGTTGATCTCTAGTCGCATTTTGCGTAACCATGCAGCGTCGCACAGAGATAAGGGACGCATAAGGGATGCATAGGAGGACGCACATCCGCGAATAGAGTTTAGCGCCAACGATAGAAGCTGTGGGTGTAGTGCAGCTGTGCCTGCGCATGCTGCAGCCCCATAGCTGTTTTTTGGGGGGCTCCCTCCGCAGTACATAGTGACGCCACTAGCCCACCAGCCCACCAGCGCCACCTAACGGTTAGCTCAACACTGCTATGTACATGCACCTAGGTATCTAAGGTATGTATCTCGGCTATTCCCGACAGTTTGAGCTCGCACTTGATGTAAGGCTACCTAGATTGCATAAGGTTACCTATGTCCAGTACAACTCTATCATAGGTGTGATAAGCAATAAATAATAAATTCAAATTGACAGGCTCCGAGATAAATTTGAAGGGTTTAATTATCGGCGTACATTACCCTAGATAGGTATATAGTTCCCGTATTGTAATAAAACAAGACTACGGCAGTAACCAATTTGTTAGAGCATGAGAAAAGAAAAAAGGTGGTTATCGGTTATGTCTTATGCTACATAGTAGATGCCTGCAGCCGGGTCATCTGCAACCTCAGCAAATCAAATGAGATTTAATGGTCACGCGTGTGTTTCCTCGACAACCAAATCCAGATGGGCTGCGAAAAGGGGGGGAACGGGTAGACGCGCACCAGCAATTAACTTGTTTACTTACACTAGTTACCACTAACCTACATAGTAGATATTTTATGTTTTAGGTATAATGCATAGTATGTACGACTGAGCGTTGGTTTATCGAGATTTATTTTATAAGACGATAGAACAGGTCTATTTCTTTTTTTCTTCAGTATTCGAATTAGAGACTAGAGAAGTACCTAACAAAAAAATACGAGCGAACTCATTTACCATGAAGCTAGCTCAAAAATCTATCGCCTTGAGCACACTCTTACTGCCAGGTGCGCTGGCATGGGGAAGTGAGTGAACAGACATATATCAAAATTCTAATTTATGAGATATGTTCATTAACAGATAATTCGCAATTCAATCTTAGGTTTGGGACATATCACTGTGGCTTACATAGCGACAAATCTGGTCAAAGATGATACCACTGCATTCTTCCAGCACATCTTACAAAATGACACCGAGCATTACCTCGCTGGGGTAGCTACCTGGGCAGATAGCATCAGGTACACAAAATGGGGGAGATTCTCAAAGAATTTCCATTTCATCGATGCGAAAGACACCCCGCCCACGTATTGCGGCGTAGACTTCGAGAGGGATTGCAAAGAAGATGGCTGCGTCGTGAGCTCCATCCAAAACTACACGTCTCAGCTGCTTGATACCAAGCTGTGGCCGTCGCGCAGGAACCAAGCTGCTAAATTTGTTGTTCATTTTGTCGGTGATATCCACCAGCCTCTACACGTGGAAAATGTCGCGTATGGCGGCAACGGTATCCACGTCAAATGGGAGTCGTCCGAATTGAATCTACACCACGTTTGGGATACAAGCATCGCGGAAAAGATGCTGGGAGGCATTCACAGGAAGCCTTATGTGGCTGGGTTAGCATGGGCAGCCAACCTTACCCAGCAAATTAAGTCTGGCAAGTATGAGGCAGCCAGTAAATCTTGGAACAACGGTCTTAGTTTCGACGACCCTATACAGACCGCGATGGGCTGGGCAAATGAGTCTAATGCCTTTGTTTGCTCCCACGGTAAGTAATCCCTCGCTCATTCCGTATCTTCGCGTTTGGAAACGTAGTAGTTGACCGATCTCGTATATAGTGCTTCCGGAAGGACCCAAAGCAATTGTTGGCCAGGAGCTTGCCAACGATTACTATGAAAAGGCCGCCCCCGTAATTGAACTTCAGGTGGCGAAGGCGGGATACCGCCTTGCAACTTGGTTAGATCTCATTGCTGAGAAGGCTTCTGGAACGGTCGAACCTGTCGACGAGCTATGATGGGAGGCTTTCGGGATGGCCTCAGAAGTAAAATTTCCAGCTAGTTAATTCAGAACCAAAAATGTGTTCGATAGGGACAGGAATGAAATTCGGAAACGCAGAATGCTGCCGTATATTATCGTTTTCCATGCAGCGGATAAATACGAGCGAGGCTTGGGCGCTGCCTGCGGAAAATCCCCCCTAGTATCCTTGAAGATGTTGCAATTAAATTCAGAGTCAATCTCTCTTACTGTATTTTTCCGGTTACTGCGGCACGCACCGAGCTTGAAGCCTCTTGGCAAGAGCAAGATGGGAAAAGCGATAGTTTCGAGGCGACGCCCGCCGCACAGGAACATATTAAGAACTTATATATATTAGCTCCTTGAAGCCATAAAGTTGAACTCCGGAAAGCTTGGCTGGTTCAAAGCTGTTGCTACCTCACTCACGCAATAGGCAGTTCTGATGAATTGATTTCTGGGCGGGAAGATATTTTCAGCTTGCACTGGCGGGTTCTTGGCGTTTCTTACTATCTTAGGTACGGGATAGGGGAACGATTCCCCGCAAGTGCAACTGAAAAAAAAAAAAAAAAAAAAAAGTTCCCACGTGAGAACCCTGATCGTGAATCAGGGGCCAGCCGAAGTTTCATGATGGTATTATGGGACGTGCTTCAAACTCGGATTGTGTAGGGCTTTCACAGCTCCGGCTCCCAGCCTTTTCCTCATTGGCACTCAGGTTAGTCAAACACGAGAAAAACCGGCGGTTGAACATTGAAGCGTGCAAAGCCGGTGATACATCTGGCACCGACTAGGTAATTCCCAGCTCATCCGGGACGGCGTAGACATTGACAATGATGTTGAATTTCTAACCGAGGAAGGTCGGCATGGCGTGCAGAGTAAGCAAAGACAATGCGCATTGCTATCTAAGCGCCACATCGCACACGGTTGGATGAAATGTCGTGGAGGACTGGATTGAGAGCGTTTGAAGTCCTTCATCCTGTCGGAAGTGAGTATTTCCATTACGCAGAGTGAGTAAGTGAGTGAGTGAAATCTTCTGTGAATGTGCAATGCCCTAGGAAGACGTCATTTTCGTCCCAACTCTGCCCTTGTGAGTGTTTCTCCTGCCTGCCTCCAACTTTATTGATGAAATGAAGCGTGCTTTGTAAGATGCGAAGCTGTTGCTATCGACGAACGGACCATTTAGGAATTTGGAGGGACTTCTAGAACTACATAAGTTAGCAAGGGGCAAGGGGTTGGATAAAAAGCTGGGACTAATTACAAGGGCCCCCTAGCCTTGACCCCCAAGGGTGTAGGATTCTAACTTTTACAGCGGGTTGAAGCCGTATGCAGCCAACTTGTCTAAGCGACCAATTTCCCAGCGAGACCAAAGCCCAATAGAGAATGGTTTGGTGAAGGATTTCGGATGAAATTGCCGATAAACTACATACTATGTAGGTAGATATTAACTCCCCTAGATTTTCGAGAGCGTCACATTCTAGGAGAGGCAGATAGCACACTAGTTTAAAATATCGGGATTAGCTAGGATATAAACATTAAGAGGTATGGTATCGTAAGGGGTTTTAATCCTTCTCGAATAACCAAGATGGACGGGACTCTTTCCAGTAACTGGACCTACCTGATACTAGTAGCTATCATAGCGAGTCCTTAAGAAATTTAGGTGATATGAGGCTTTGTGCAATTGTCAATATCTCGGAGTGAGGGGTGTTCCTAGCTCCACGATGACAGATCTTCAGCCCTTCTTCTAGCTCGGCTAGACGATCAAGACACATTTGATATTCGGTGTCATCCTTTTAAGCTTGTTTTCACGTTGCCTATGGCGGAATAGTGGATCTAGATTGACGAGAGGATGTACACATGTCGACCCTGGACGAGGACGAGTATAATCCCTCTATAGGAGAGCCATAATCAGTTCTAGCTAGGCTAGGCTGCAATCACAAATCCTACAACTAAGAGATGAATGGTGAACCTAGCAACGGACTCGTTTCGTGTCCAATGTTAAAACAAATAAGATGCCCTTCCGGTTATAAAATGCCAAGGGATCTGCAATCTGGTACCTTACCGATGAGAAAGTTGATCATTTTGCTTAGAGAAGTATCCGTCATCCAAAGTCCTGGATCGCCCTGCCCGGGTGTAGGTACCCTGACATTTTACCTGTACCTACATATGTAACAAAATAAAATAGAAGATTCGTAATTGGTCAGAAAAGGAGGGTTGATAATATTTCAGTATCAATACGACTGATTACTACCTACTATGGTGGCGCTACCTGTTGTAAGTAGGTAAAGTTCGATATACTTTTTTGTATGTACATATGTCAAAGTTCGATAGATCCGCGCTTAATAATGGGGGGGTTTTTTTGCCTTCTTTTTTTCCTTGTCGGTAGAGGTATGTTTTGCTTCAGAGTAGGTACAACCGGGGGCCGAAACGTGAGGGTGCCTGATCTACTGCAGCTAAGTTCACGTTAATTGGCCGTGTATCTAAAATAATATGGGATCTGCGACGTATGGAGCCGCAAAGCCAGATACACCCGCTTGGCACGGACCACTTAAGCCGTTCGGGCAACTGAGCTCCGAAGTCTTAGCGCCACCCCTTCTTCAACTTCAAATCTTGAATGGAATTTTACGAGGAATTCCCATAGATTCCCCCCCTCCCGATCTCCATCTCCATCTCTTATACCCTTAACCTCACTTACCACGGTATACCCGAAGTTCGGTTCGTGTTGTCGATGATGCTTTAAAAAAAAGAGGTTGATCAATTAGCTTGAATAGGCGCAATCGTCTTCGCTAAGCTCTCCTTGTCCTATAGTATAAGCAACAGGTAACTATACCTAAGCTATGGTGTACTCTTAACACTTACACGATACTACTACTAGGTAGTATGTATGAGATGAATTCAATCATACATTCCCCTTTCAATCCACCTAGCCTTATTTCAAGCCAAGCCACTTCACAAAGGAGAAAAATCAAGTATTATGTACTAGTGAGGTATGAGGTACCTTAGGTAGTTTTAAGGGACTACAGCTTGTGATATATCTCTTTTTCAACGAGGATTGTTTAAGCTTTACCTCCCCCGTATATTCAGATTACTACTACTACCTAACTACTTCGGCCCTGGTGGGGGTCGCCTCATAAAGCTGGGCTTGCCAAGGCAAGGCCAAAGAACTCGACCATCCCGCCCCCCTGCCTCCGCACCTTGCAAGGTCCTGTCATTATCCTCGACATCGTCTCTTCCTTGCTGCTCCCATTTCGCGTTTTGAGACTGTGGATACATCTCCTGGGGATGGAACCTCTACATGGGAACATGATGTAGTGTCTGTTGCGGATGCTATTGATTCCATAGCATCCAAGACATAAGTCCGTCCGAAGAAGGGGGCCTACCACCCTGCCGGTGGAGTATATAATAAGGAAAATGTCTTGGCCTTTAACTCTTTTTTATGCCTTCTATTCCCCATCATCAGTTTTTAATTCTTATTTACGATTCTCTATCGAGTTTCTATCATTCCTTTTTCTTTCTCTTAGAATGCGCTGGTAGTGTGTCTTATACATTCGTTCTCTTTTCTTGACAACATTTGGCACTTCTCCCTTCCAATTCACTTCAGTGTTGTCTGTGACCACTCCTTTCAGCTAATTCGAAAACGGTCTGGAACCATTTTTGGATCTTACCATTTCCATTCTTAAGCCTCGAAAGACGGAAGTGAAAAAAAGAACTTGTCTCCCTCGCTCGATCTGCTTTGGGTATTCTCCTTCAATATGCATGCCAAAAGTGTTCTCGTCGGCCTGCTAGGCGTTACGGCTCTCGCCGACGCCTCGGTTATTCGCCCGTTCGATCAGATAATGAACCGAAGAGCGGCTCAAAGCCTTAATGCCAGGCAATTTGGTGGTGGTCAATTTGGTGGTGGTCAATTCGGTGGTGGCTTCGGCGGCAACTTTGGTCAGGGTGGTAACAACGGTCAGAATAAGCAAGGCAACAACAATGGCAACAACAACGCCAACAACAACAAGGGATCGTTGACTTTGAACCAAAATGCCGTTCAGACTGGTTCGCAATCCAACGGTAACCCGAACACGCAGGATGGTGAATCGGCATCCAAGACGTATGTCATTGATATTCTACTTAATGGTCCGAGTGTTTATTTACCTGAAAACTAACACTACCTCTAGCGACAACTCCAACTTCATCAACTTCTGTAGCGGTCAGACCTTGACGAACGGTCTTCAGCAAAAACAGGGGTCGTGTAACGGTATTCGTAAGTAAATTCCGTGACACCATTGACCATGGTAATGGCTATTGACAGTGACCAGCTATGGGTAAAATTCCTGCAACCACCAAGATGGTTTCGAGTGTGCTGGTTAACCCTAAGCACAACGACAACCTCCAGGCCAACAAGGACTTTGAAATCCAAGTTCAGGTTCAGAACTTTGCGCCTGGTACATTCACAAATGCCGCCAGCACGTACTACTCCGCGCCTCAAGATCTGGACGGCCAAGGACGGATCATTGGTCACACTCACGTCACAGTCCAAGACATGGGTAACTCATTGAACCCTACCCAGCCTCTCGATGCTACCAAGTTCGTTTTCTTCAAGGGTATTAACGATGCGGGTAATGGCAATGGACTCTTGTCGGCCAAGGTTACCGGTGGCTTACCTGCTGGTAACTACCGTGTGTGCACTATGTTCGCTGCTGCTAACCATCAGCCTGTTATTATGCCCGTTGCCCAACGAGGTGCCCAGGACGACTGCACCAAGTTCACTGGTAAGATTCCACTTATTATTCTGACGCTTTCATTCTAGCTAATAATGTTTAGTTGGTGGCAACGGCGGCAACAACAACAACAACGGCGGCAACAACAACAACGCTGGCAACAACAACAATGCTGGCAAAGGCAATGGTTTTGGTGGCAAAGGCCAAGGCTCAAGTAATGCGAACACAAATACAGGTACTGGCGGTAATGCTAACGGCAAAACCCAACAGACTAAGAACCTTGGCGGCGCACCTCCGAGCATAACAAACTCCGGAGATGCTAGCAGGCCGTTTGCTGTCAACGGGTGAGGTCATTGACATCGGTTTTCTACATGAAACAGTTGCTAACGAATGTTTTCAGGAACACGTTTGTAAACCAAGCTGCTGCTAAACAAAGGGCTTGCGATGTAAGTAAACCACACTTCAAATCAATGTCTCCTGGCCCTTGCTAACCATTATGTAGATACAAAACAACAAGTGCAGCGATGCAGCGAACGCTGGTGCTAGTTTCAAGCTTTCGGATTGCCAAGCGCAATTCCAAACTTGCCTCAAGTCATAGGCGAGATCCCAGGATGGTGGAGACGTTTGAAACAGCATGACAGGTCGCTGTGGAGCGGTGTGTACTAGAGTTTTTGATTTCGCAGGCTCTCGGTTTTTGCCGCGGCAGATCCGACGGTCGTGTATTAATGCCACGCCGTGTGTGGTATGATAGAGAGTCCGGGCGGTTGGGCGCATGACAAGAAATACCCTTTAATGATTTTAACACCAAAGCTCTGACTTGTACATTTTATTATCATGAGGCTTGGTTATATTTTCCCCTATATTTACTTTTTTTCTTATTTTTCCGAAGTGAGGAGCAGTGGGGTGGCCATATAGCTTAGAAGGAAATCAAAGCACATATCAGAAGCTACCTAACCTAATTATTTACCTTGAACCTATGAATTCGTGTCGAGAAGGCTTTGTGGAATTTTTGATGTTTCTTAGCACTATTTCGCATATTCTTGTATTTGGACACATGGGGAAATCCATGGTCTGGCACATCTTGGGTCGCATTGGATTGGTAATGGAGGGGGAGGTAGCGATAATCTGATCTAAATGCGGATGCAAGTAATCTGCGATGAAGCGGCCAGTTTGATTCCTCGATCAGACCAATGATTCTTCCTCTCTACTAAACGTAGGTAGGTATATACTTACTATCTTGGAATATATCGAGTCTAGCCCATACACTTCAAACAAGAATTGTTATAACTACCTCCTACCTAGGTAAGTAGGTATGTAGGAATTGTTCAAAAATGCCTCTGTAACTCCCTCCATGGGTATCTAAGCGCTCGTTATTGCTATTTATGGAGTACTAAAGAGTCAGGTTTTTCTCCTTATTGACCGCGTTCAGAAAAACATTGAAGGGAGGTACTTTAGACAAGTATACCTACCTACCTATACACCCCTTTTTTTTACAAGGGGTTGCGCTAATCCTATTTTGTCTTGCGGCTCATTTTGTTTGAACCCCTTGTCTGATGACCCCCTCCTTGTTTTATGCACGTGGATTACGAGGTATATCTTACATTACCAGGTAATCCATGGGTAACTGTACTACGAAGTACCTAGGTACCTGTCATTTGTCTTCAAGAGAGTACTTAGGTGCATACCTCTTAACCTAATATAAGCTGTGCTTAGACTGGCGTATTAAAAGTTAGTTTTGACTCGGAATCAAGTGACGTTGAAACATCTAATTATTAACCACTTACATTTCTGATAAAGCTTTGCCGATAGATCTCTTAAGTTTCTGGCTTGGATAGGTACCTAAGGTAAGTTAGCATGAGCATATTAAAGCTTCCCTATAATGTAAACTACAAGTGTCGAATTATACCTTGCCAAAATCTCATCACCAATCATTCCTTATTGCCATGGTCCGGTAGAGGTAATTATTCATTCATTACCTTATGTTAGAAATGAGTAGCTCGCCCTCCAGTCTTACCATTAATCGACGCTGGGAAGTAAAATAACCTTTCTTCTATATGAGTCTAGGTTATCTACGCTGAAAAGGCGAGTTTGGCTTTATATATTATAGTGAGTGATAGGTTAGGTACTTTATATAATCATTTATTATTAGATGACATAAAGATGGATGAACCTTTCGTTATATACCTTACATCATGGCCCTTAGCGTAAGTGAATCGCCTCTAGCCTTTGAATTATATATCGTCTATTTACACGCCGAATTTGGTCCCAATGTCAACCGACTCAACTCATGTGAACGAAAAGTAAGAATTAGATATGCTTTAACTACCTTAGGTACCTAAGTACCTAAGGTAAGCAGTAATGTACAAGTACAGAATAATTCGCCGAGGAAATAAAAACCTCGCGATACGCTAGTTTGTCCTAGAACTCATGATAAGGGCCTTAAACAACCCCTCACAATATGTTATAGTATAACGTATATAGGAAACGCTACCGAGACTCCCGAAAATCGTGCGACCATGGGTCCCGTAAATACATCATAATCAGTTCGTTGGGAATTGTTTTTGCCTGTAGTAGCCAAAAACGAACCCTAAAAGTACGCCTTACCCTCATACCCTCGTTCTAAATATGTCGTAATCTATGACTCTTTAGAAGCCTTCGAAGTAGCGGTCGTATTGACGAGACAGCTCCTCGGTATATGGCTCCCGCTTGCCATCATCTTCCGGGTAGACGTCGAAGCACTGTGCGTCGCCCGGGTACCGCACGTTGGGTTGTATGGGCGGCCTGATCTGCCGATGATAAAGCGCATTCCAATCTATGCCTTCAAAGAATGGGTGTTCCTTAACTTGGCGAGTACCACCGATAAGGTTGCCTAATCGCCTGGAGCGATCCACAGTACAGAATGAACGAATGATGTTCTGCGCATTAGGTGAGATAGGGGGCTCAGCGGGGAAGAGCACGGGCTTCTCGATTATCCTGCCATCTTATTAGCTTCTGCAGGCGGTGAGAGACGCATGCGACTCATGGCACTAACTGCTTGTAAATCTCAATAGGATTCTGATGCCAAAACGGAGGATAGCCGGTGAGGAACTCGTAGATCAGAATCCCTAGCGCCCACCAGTCAACAGCAATAGTATGTCCCTTGTTCTGAATGACCTCGGGTGCCAAGTACTCGGGCGTACCGCACAGAGTGTAGGTCTCAACAGGCCTGCTATCCCTGCTACCGAGTCTCTTCGCGAAACCAAAATCAACCAATTTCACGTGACCCTGTCCGTCCAAGAGAAGGTTTTCTGGTTTCAGATCGCGGTACGCGACACCGCCCTGGTCGTCGTGAAGATATTCAAGTACCAAAACGATCTCAGCAGCGTAGAACTGGGCCCACTCTTCTGGGAATCTTCGATGCCTTCGCAGATAACTAAACAGCTCGCCACCTGGGACATAGTCAAGTAGCATGTACAAGGAGTCGTGATCGGAGAAGGTGGTGATTAATTCGGTAATAAAAGGATGACCAGCGACATCGCTTAGTATGCGACGCTCGTCTCGGACGTGGTCTATTTGCTTCAACTTGATGACTTCTGCCTTTCGCAGGATCTTGAGAGCGAACACTTTGTCACCGTCCTCTTCGTTAGCGCCGGCAGGGCGGACTAGACAGACTCTAGCAAAGGTACCTATGAGAAAGATGATAGGGTTAGTATGAGACGAGATACATGAATTCTGAAAGCTCGCGGGAAGTTCTTGGCGCATGTAAAGTTGAAAAGTTGTAAAGTAGCGAAGGGAGCAGGTAGATATTACCAGTTCCTAAAGTCCTAACAAGAGCAAAGTCGGTTAATTTCAAGCGCTGATGTTGGGGTGGTACTTTGGGTTCGACATCAGCGTCTGGCTGGGGAACATTGTTGGTGTCTGTGTCCGCGACGGGCAGTAAGTTGTGTTCCCGTAGAACCCGGGGAATGAGGCCGGGCGTAGCAACCGTAGCGGCCATCTTTTTAAGATTCATCCGATGTACTTTAGTCGTCCCAACTAGGTAAATGGTTGTTGCCTTTGGTGCCTTTGGTGCCTCGGGTGCCTTTCGCAATTGGCGGATATCATCAGACCATACCCATGTCTGATCGCAAAGTAGTTCTAATAGCTGCGCGGGACGCGTCTAACTATAGGGCCGGTTGAAAAAAAATGATGCACATAAATTGGGCAAATGATGTAAAGGTGGGTTTAATTTTTTTTTAAAGGGTACACATGATGAATGTGCTCAAAAGGAGGCGGCACATGTATATAGAAGCTGAGAGAGGGAGAGAAAAAGCTGACTAGGAAACCAATTCGATGGATTTTGCCGGCTTCTTTAGCGCATTAAGATCGTTAAGTATGCTGTAATAAGTAAACCGAGATGGTTTATTCGGTTAGGCTTTGGGCTAACAAGCTGGATGAGCTGTGGATTAGGTAGGTATGTTCTAAATGGGCGTTATGGACTAAAGAAAAAAAAGAAAAAAAAAGAGCGCGATCTCCAGCCTTGTCTTGTATTGTAGCGATGACCGATGACCGATGACGTTTGCTGCAGAACGAAACCAAGCGGGGAGGGATTTCCATTGTGTTGCAAGGTGTTGGATCGAAGTGGGCTCCCAAACACCGTCCGAATTTGTCTGATCTAGACCGTGAAAGGAAACTACCCTTTACTAGGTAATTAATGCCCTTTTCTGCCTTTGCGCACTTTCTGGAGAAGCTGGAACGTGCTCGCTAGTTGCAGGACGTCGAGCCCACGCATTCCAACCAATCATCTTTTATATTGCCGTCTTTACCTGGTCCATATTGTCGAAGCTTTGAGACGCGAACATGCGCATTTGAGAATTAGACCGTACCTAACCTCATACTATACCCTAGGTACATAGGTCAGGTACCTTACTATGGTAGGCCATCAATAATTACCTCAGGTAGGTAGCCAATTGTGTGTGGTATACTCAATTCTGATTATTGATGGGTTAGTTGAAAAGTTGAAGAAAATAGGATAACAGGTAGGGATTCAAGGTCTAGCTGTAAGTCTAGCTGCATGTTGTTTGTCGGCTGTAAGGTAAGACGGGATGTCTCGACACCTGATAGGTACCTCCACTTTAGAGCTTCAGCCACAATCGGGAGGGTCATTCCACTTAACGAAAGAGGCTGAGGCCCCGGCCAGAGCGGCACGACCTGCCTGTACAATACATCAGACGTACATGTACCTTGAGGTAGCGGGCTTACAAGTGCATGTCCCTGAACCTGTAGCAGCCCCACGGAGGAACATCTCTCCTTACAACCTCCTACTTACATATTACCTCTTACACTTACAATACTTTACATACGATAACGGCTGACGCGAACATCTAGCCTTTTCACGACCAGTACGACTCCTTATTTTGTCCTTCTTTTTTTCTGCATAGATCCCGTCTTCGTGACACGTTCAGCGTTATTGCCCTTCCATCATTAGAAATGAATTGAGTTATAACTACATGGACTCGACTCTGCTGGAAGGTCTTGCACCATGTTCAACAATCTCAGCAGCTTTGTGCAGAAGGCTCAGTCGGCTGCTCAGCAGCTGATTGATCCTATGCAAGGACTGAACTTGACCAACTCAGACAGGCATCCCTCCAAAGCTTCTCTATTCCAGAATCAGTTCCGACTACCTAGTTCTCAGACGCCCTTGTACGAGATCCCCGCCGAGCTCACCATCCCTCCTTCGAATGTCACTCAAGGCGATAAAGAACGCGACCGCGGTTGGCACTATGCCGGAAAACTACACCTTTCCGAGTTCTATATGTGTTTTTCCACCACTCCCACTAGTTTTACCCAAAGCGCCAGCCCCTCGAGTGCCGCCGCATTCACCGGTCAGACCCATGGTGCCGGGCCTAGTGGGAATGGATTTACTTTCCCTCTATGCGCTATCAGAAAGGTGGAGCGCCTAAATACCCAGAGCCTTCAGGTACGAAACCATTTCTCTTACCATTCAAGCCTGTTATATTATAACTCGAGCTGAGCTGACGTTGAGGAATTTTAGTTTGCTCTCGCCATCACCACTTGGAACGGAATATCGCAAGAATCAGTCAAGGATAAAGACGCGCAAAAAGACAAAGATTTCAGAGAACAGAGGATTACTATACAGCTTGCTGGATCCCGTCCGGTATGCGAGAGGTTTTGCGATGGTCTTAAGAAAGGCTTAAGGAATGCGGTCGGTAGCGTCGGGAGATACAAGAAGGTTATCTCCGAATGCTACTCGGAATACCTCCTGAGACCGGAGGATAAAAAGAACGTAAACCCGCCCGATGCCGGCTTAGGCATGATTTTTCGATACCCTGGCGACCCGAAGAAGCTTAGAGATCGGGCGAAGATGAGGTTATGGGCTGAGTATCTTCGTGATAATGGTCGAAACGCGACTCTGATCCGTCAACCTACCTTTCATAAGTTAATTAGAGTCGGTCTACCAAATCGGCTCCGAGGGGAGGTCTGGGAATTAACGTCTGGATCTCTCTATCTGCGACTCGAAAACCCAACCTTGTATGTGGATACGCTCGCAAAGTTTGAAGGGAAAGAGTCGTTGGCTATAGATGAAATAGAAAAAGACTTAAACAGAAGTCTCCCGGAATACCCGGGATTCCAAAGCGAAGATGGCATCAGCCGCCTACGCCGGGTTCTCACGGCATATAGTTGGGTCAACCCCGACGTCGGCTACTGCCAGGCCATGAATATTGTCGTGGCCGCTTTGTTGATTTACATGTCGGAAACTCAAGCGTTCTTCCTCCTGTCAGCGTTGTGCGATAGGTTAGTTCCTGGATATTACTCCTCTACCATGTACGGAACACTCCTGGATCAAAAGGTCTTTGAAGCCCTCGTGGAAAAGACGATGCCGATCTTGTGGGAACATCTCGTTAAGAGCGATGTACAACTCTCCGTCGTTTCTCTTCCCTGGTTTCTTTCCCTGTATATCAACTCGATGCCCTTAGTTTTTGCATTTAGAGTTCTAGACGTTTTCTTTGTTGAGGGACCCAAGGTGTTATTCCAAGTCGGGTTGGCTATTTTAAGGATTAACGGCGAGGAATTGCTAGATGCTGCAGACGACGGCGCCTTCATATCCGTCCTAAAGTCATATTTCTCGCGGCTTGATGAATCCGCGCACCCCAAATCGGAAAATCCGAAGCTACGAGCTATCAACAGGTTTCAAGAGCTTATGGTAGTAGCCTTTAAAGAATTCTCGGGAGTGACTCATAGCACGATCCAAGATTTGCGGCTAAAGAACAAAGATGCGGTTCTCAATAATATTGAGAATTTCGCCAAACGTACTGCCATCCGGAATCTTGGTCCCGACAGCAAATTACTGAGCCCCGACGAGCTGGGGGCCCTTTACGACAGGTTCTATGGGATTTTATACGAGCGACAACAGAGAGACCATATTATTCAAGAGCAGCTAGCTCGATCTAAAGCAAGTAGAGCTAGGGTTGCCGAAACATTCCCGGAACATAACCATGGCATCGAGAAGGGTCGAGTCGGGCTAGGACCCAGTACTAGCTTAATGGACTACGATGCGTTCCGGGAATTCTTAGCGAGTGTGTCTAAATGGGCCATCTCCGACGCTCCAGCAGCCTCGCCTAAGCGTGACATGTCCGAGAAAGATCGCGGGTCTTATTTTGGCAGTTTTAGACGCACCGAACCGAACCTGCTCTCACCGTGGGGCGGAAACCCTGAGCCGGCTGATCACGAGTTCATGCAAAGATTATTCCGAAGATGGGACGTCGATTCTAGCTCTACACTAACGTTACAAAACGTAGTAACAGGCTTTGCACATATCAAAGGCAAGCGTGATATTATGGGCACAATCACGTACTTTTTCGAGCTTTATGACGACGATGGCGATGGTAGAGTTGATCGAGAGGGTATTCTCCGAATATCAGAAGCGCTCTTATTCCTCTCGCGACGTGGTCTCGAGGGATCATTGAGTAATTCCGCGTCGACCCCAGGGCTAAACGGACTGGGCGAATCTAGCAGTAGCTCATTAACACCGCCGATTGGTGGCACTATCAACGAGCGATTTTTAGGAAGCGTGAGCGCTTTCATTAGGCGCTGTTTTGAATACGCCGATCCTGATCATCCAAATAACCAAACCACAAATGAAAGGACCTCGCCCTCTGATACTGACGAGCCGGCGGTTGACAATAATAGCGCATTTGCTATTGGTGACGATGAAGATGAGGAAGAAGATTTGCTTGCCTTTGAAGGTCCAGCTGACAGTCCGCAGCCCGAAAAGAAGAAACCAGAGTTGGGGGACAAAATTCCACCGGCTTTAGGTAAACCGGACACGGATAACGAGACCAGACGTGCGGTATCCAAAGCCCAGTCTGAGAAGGCCAACGCGGCCCTGGATCCTTCAAACCCACTACACATAACTTTGCCTACGTTCCGCATGGTAGTACTTGCAGACGAATTACTCGAACAGTTCTTCGAATCATCGTTTCCGACCTCATTGCACCTCATTGACGGCTTGGTATCTACTAACCAGTCTACCTCATCTCTAACCACATTTTCGAGCATGGGCTTCGGACGTACTTCCGGTGCACCACCTCCTGTTCCGCAGGCAGGAATGGCAGGCGCTGGCCGTAGTCTACGTGGCGTTTTAGATAACATCGTCACAGATGCATCACGCGTTGCTGCCGAAGTCCGCCGGCGTATGGAAGAAGCACAACGCGAATTGGAAAAGAATGCAGTGCCCGGGCAGAGGGACGACGAGGAAGAAGAGGAAGAGGATATCCATGGCCTACGTCCAACTGCGTATGGAGGAGATCCCGAGCGAAGGAGCGTCAGGTCGTCCGATAGAGATTTACTAGATGGAGCCGACGCCGGGGCTGGGGCAGCGAAGAATCCAGAAGGGCAAAGCCAGCCAAATCTCGACGCCAATGGCGTGCAAGACGCGAGGCCAAGAACCGCTAGTTCAGCAACACAGAGGATTGTGGAGTTTGAGGGTTGAAATGCATGCAGAGGCTAGCACAGGGTCAATAGGGGGAGTTAGGGTATCGGTCTGGAACATGATTCAAGGTCTTGGCGTCGTTTCCCATTGCCCGTTCGTATGGTGTATGTACAACTAAAAGCCACTACTATACCAGGGACTGTAATTCAAATTCATTAAATCAACAAATTGGTCGGGCTGAGACATTGTGCTATTAAGAATTTGGGGAGGTCTCCCTCCCTTTCGTGCCTTGGAATCTGGATCTGCAAGACTACGCTAACGTTAAGTTATTAGGTTAATATTGCTATGTAACTGAGGAAATCATCAATATTAGCGAATAAGACTGTTATAGCGGTCTGGTGTCGCATGAGAGAGCTGATTCCTATACTTGATGCAGTTGACGCATATGAGCCTACACTCCGGAGGAAGCTGTAGGCAAACCTCCCTTTGAGACCACCCTGTTGTGATGTTTCTTTAAATCCAATCCAAAGGGTCGAGCTGATTCATTCCAGGGGCTGCAACACAGCTCAGGAGTAAATTATAGAAATATATCTGAATCAATAAGGGAATGTCAGATTCACGTCTCGCCCTTTTAACAATAATATTGAGCATTCCACTTCGCTTTTACCTACCTAGGTAGATAGCCTATGTTACATATCTCACTAGAACTTGGTAGTTTGGATAGTCTATTCAAATACTCCAAAGTTCGCCCCATCATCCGGTCGATCATCTTGATATACTAAACCAGCAAGCACCACTCCTTCTCAGCAAACCTTACGGATATCTATTTATACCATTAGGTAGTTATTCGACCGAGGTAAGGCTTCTTTCTTTCTTTTCCGTACATCCAGCATCCGAACAAACAGTACACAATGGGGCTCTCGAACCAAGCCAGAACCGCCGTCGCAGCCGGCTTATTGGCCTTCTCCGCCCAGGCTGCTGCTTCGGCCAACTCGCCCTCTTCTTCTTCTCGGTACACCGCCACCTCGACCGTTTCCCTGGCCAAACCCTCGTCCTCGGCCATCCCGGGCGTCGCCAACGTCCCGATGCTGCTCGCCGTCGTCCCGGTCGGGAGCACCCGCAGGGACACCGTTATCGCGGGGAAGAATAACCGCAAGAACGCTAAGCGCGGACCCGCCGCTTATTACCAGGGCTTCGTAGGCGCCCCGGCCGCGAACCCGCTCGGCTGCGCGGACGCGACCGCGTTCGACCTCTCGGACGGGGTTGTGCACCACGGCGACGCGGGCGCGGGACGGGACGTGCTGTACGAGCCGCTGGCGGCGGTGTCGTCGGCGGTGAGCGAGGGCGCCAAGTACACGCCGGGCAGGGTGGTGGTGGAGGACGGGCGGCTGCGGTGGTACGACAGCGAGTTCTACGGGGGGCGGGCGCGGTACTGCCAGATGCCCGGGTCGGGGCAGGTGTACGTGACGTTCCACGTCGAGGACACGTGGCCGGAGGGGTGTCGGGAGGTGGACCTCGCGGCGGAGCCGGAGTCGTCGTGCCGGGACGGGACGCTCGCGTCTGGGGGCGGGAATTTGAAGGGTGGCGATAAGGCGGGGAAGAAGCATACGCATAAGAAGGGTAGGGGTGGGTATGAGTCTGAAGATGGGTATGATAGTGACGGCGATCATGATGTTGATGATAAGCACAAGCATAAGGACAAGGGAAAAGGGAAGAATAAGGGCAAGGGGAAGGATCATGACGACAAGGACAAGAAACACGATGACTCGGATAGCGATGATTCGGATCACGACTCTGATAGTGATGACGACGACCACCACCACTATAGAACCCGATACGACACAAGCACCGGATACAGCACCTCCTACAGCCAGGCGAGCCCAACCAGCTACCAAACCAACTCGGGCTACAAGACTTCTTCCTCTTATTCTTCCTCTTCCTCTTCCTCTTCTCCTCACAGCCAAGCATCGCCCGCACCCCCCTACCCCACCACCGCCAGCGCGCAGACCCCGTCGTCCGAGGGCATCTACCTGACGAACGCCAGCCCGACGGGCCAGGAATGCGTCGAGACTCACCTCTCCTGGGTCCAGGGCAGCCACACGTTCATCAAGGACGAGCTATGATCCATCTCTTTACGGGACGAACTTGGATCTTTATACGCTCGCGCATATCGTATGCTATTACTATTACTACTACTACTGCTTGCTGTCTTGGCTGGAATACACGAAATGACGTATGAAGATCAGTTTTACCACCACCACCACCACCACCCCTACTACTACTACCTCTACCAGCCAGGTTTCCTGGGCTAGAAAAAGAGGAATAATAAAAAAGGACCGGAAAGCGGAAAAGCAACGGAATGAGGGGGGGGAGGGGGGATACGGAGTAAACGGAGGAATGATTTTTGGATTTGCCTTTCACCTGTCAATATAATACATACGATAATACTATTTCGCACTGTAGTTTGGGAATCTGAGTCAAAAATACTCCTAGTCCAAACTCATCGTGTTGTTTTTTTCCTAGAAAAAGTTCCGATTCAAAAGAACGTGACTTTACCCCAACCCCCTTTATAAACAAAGAAGTTTTACCTATAGAAAGAAATGGATAACTAGGAGATAGGTTACAGATTTCGTATATTAATACATTTGAGGCGTAATGAACCCTGTAAGCTCAGAGATACCTAATTTGTCCCCTTATTTATAAGCCAGTATCTTCTCATCTATATCTCCTTGGTGCTCGAGATATTGCAAAGATCTCGTTAGTCAAAAAATTACAAGTACGCAAGAGTATTAATACATGAGGTGGCAGGGGGTTTACTCTCACTTCAGATAATTAAACAATTCAGGACTTAGAATTCGCTATGGAATGAATTCACTATGGCTAGGTTATGCTGTAGAAGGTTTAAAGGCAGGAAATTACCGTAATTGCTCACAATAGTCACTGATAACATACCAACCATGAATATTATTTAAATCAAGTCTCTTGGCCCTATTCTCTTTGCTTTAAACTACGCTTATTCTCCTCCTTTCATCTCTTCCGCAACCGATTCTATACAGTTAGTCTACTCTGCCTATCCCCTCAGTAAATACGGCCGGCAGGACCGGATAACCTAACCCCCCAACCCCGAACCGAAAACCCAACCGTGAACCCGATGTGCCCAGAAAAATTCGGAAATAGCGACCCGATCTGATGCTTTCTTCTTTCTTCGCAGACCTTGCCCAGGTATCATAGCACACGACACACGCGCGAACAGATGCGCGCCAACATAAGACAGATAAGAGACAACCCCACCCTGGCTCAGCACATGCGTAATAGTCGTAAATGCCGTGAGACTCCCCAAGTTGATATTCAGAGATCTCGAAAAGACAAAAGAAAGATGAGTAGCGGTAGCAAATGAGGAAATTCGGCATATTTTCCGTCTTATCTCTCAGAGTAAGCTGCATCTATCTATAAGAAAAAAGACAATCCCAGCTAGTTGAAATGAAAACCGTTATCTTCGAGGTTTTCCGTCGGCATTTAGGCTTCATCGTAAGGAATTCTAATCTGTATCGATACATGCCAGAAGGCATTAAAAAATAAGAAGGTAGAGCGTATAGGCCCACCAGAAGAGCGTATTACTTTATCTTCCTGGCGTCGAACAGCGTCAAGCTTAAGCTCGTGTCGTTCTCGCCCACAACAGGAGTGGGTTCGTTGAGAATTTCCCACCTCCTGAACACAAAAGGGGTTAGTTTCTCTGGTATTATGTTCATCCCCATCGCCATTGCCCTTCTTTCCTGTATTCCATGGGGTGGTTTCTCGCGATGGGCCAGCATCAAGTTCTCCGCAGGATTAGGAGCGAAGCTGAATAAATACCTGATCCTGGGGTCAGCTGTGGCGTCTCTAACCGCTCGTACGCACTGCAAGCGCGCCTCTTCGGGTAAGTTGTCCGCTAGCACGAGCGCGATGTCGAAGGCCTTCTGTCCAAGATTTGCGGACGGATGGTTATCGAGCTCCTGAATGAGACCTGCGAGTACGACCAAAGCACGCCCCCGGATTTCACCACCAGACACGCGTGACGCATCTAATGCACTGGTGGATGGTGAGGTGAAAAGCGTCAGGTAAGAAAATATAAGAGGTAGCCAGCGTGAAAGCACGGCGGCTTTAAGCGATGCGTACTCGCTATTCCTTGAGGCCAAGATATCCCACAAGTCCGCAAGTTTGTCTACTAAAGCACTAGAAAATTGGACTACTTTCGACCCTGACCCTCCGCGGAATATGGAATCTATAACTGTCAAAAGATTTTCCGCCATATGAATATCTCTGTCAAAAGTACCATCCCCGGGAGGGTTCTTGAGAGATGGAATGATATCGAGCAAGCGCGACTCCGCTCGGTTCCTCATATGCTGCGTGATGTCAGGACTTAGAGAAGGGAGCATGCCTGTCCACATGATGTTATTAGCATCGATAGCGTTGTCGAGTGCCTTCGATAGTAGCTCAAATTGAGACTGCGTTCTCTCCGATGTCTCAGGTGATCCCGATTCATCAACTGCAAGGTTTAAAGAAAGCTTGACCTGGCAAAAGGGTAACGCGAATTCGTTTGCCAATTCTAAAACCTGCTCGAACGATTTCTGGCCACCCTCGCTGTTGGGTATCAGCAACTTCGTAGTCCACGTTTCAATAAGCGTCGCTAATTTCGGGTCGGGACTTTTGATCGAAACGATTTGGCTGGCGGCATTCGGATCGACAAGGACTAGAGATCGGAGAACTTCTAGTACTTTAGACTCGAAGAGTTTATTATCCAACGGCTGGGAGATCGACGGGTGCTGATTGAGGGAGGTTGAATACTCGGCCAATGCCCCACGGATCAAGGGCATCAGTTCCCTGGCATGCTCACACCTTGCACGATCCTGCGCAATACGAAAACGATAGCAGTCCTCTGAAGTCATTACAGGACTAGGGCTGCATGGCATAACCAGCATTTGTAATATCTCTTGCATGTAGATAGAAGCAGACCCGACTGCGCTCGGCTGGGGTTGGATGCCCGTTTGATCTTGGTTCCGAGGGGCGGTTGCGAATAGTATTGAGAGAGGTAAGCAGCCCGAACTCACCAGGGGCGGAAATAACTGGTCAATGTGTGGTCTATTCGTCAGCTTCCGAATGTGCTGGATCCATCCTCTCATAAGTTCGTTGAAATGTTGAATATCAAATACACGAAGCCTCGTGAGAAGGATGCAACAAAGTCGCTGACGCTCGTCTGCTTTACCCCAGTAAACCTGTAGTTTCTTGATAATAGCGTAGAATAAGCGTTCCATTGTCGGTCTATCGGCACTCGTGTAACTAGCAAGCTTTTCAATTTGCTCACTTAGTTCAGTTTCGGCGTCTTGAAGTTGGGTAGCCATGTTGTCGGATAGTGGCGATGAGGCATCGGCAGCGCTGCTACGGTCTATACGTATCAGGTCATTTTGTAGCTGGGTCGCCACGTCTTCTAGGCCGGGTAGACGGGTTGCAAGATGAGCAAGAGAAGCCAAAAGTGGTCGGGCCCCGACACCTTGCTCCTCCATGATAATTTTAAGTCGCTCATATAGACTTTGGAAAAGTGGCTTAGCTGCTCCGGTTGCTATGAACACTCGTAAATGGAGATTGATGGTGTCAGCGCAGAGTGCGAGAAGCTCTGCATTCGAGTAGGTCGCCGTTAGCTTTAAGACCTCTTCGAGCATAGTATAATCCTCGGCGGCTTCGAGTAAAGTCCGAACCAGCTCAAACGTGGTCTTAGGTAGTTCAACACCGCCTTTGCCGGGTTGCGAACTCTGAACTACGCCGCTAACGAAAACATGGCTGAGCCACGAGGAAATAGTTGTCTTTAGAGAACGACTGCTCAAATTAATCCGCCTCGATAGCTTGTTTAGACTCATGGGCATGTTCGGGGGCGGCGGATCTTCGGGTCCCAATGGAACAGAGAGCGTACTCTTGATACAACTGATAGCTATTGCTATGTCCTGCGCCTCATAATCGACTGAATACGACGCCCTTCGCAGTAAAGTTCCCCTCAAATTTTTCATGGAGTCGTTTAGGGAATGGAGTGGCAACTCAACAAGCAACCTCGTGAAACATGGCCCGTCGGGTGCTGCTTCAGAGGAAAGAGAAAATCCGCCGCGGGATATGAGCCATTGGATGTACCGAGGAACTGAGAAGTGACCAGAGCGGACGAGTTCTGACACGAGATAGTATACTAGCTGCTTCCGGGCAGTTTCTTTTAATGGGTCAGTATCTAGAAAATCTAGCACAGCGCCGGTGATATCGACATCTGATACAGATGGCGAACGCAGAAGTGTTGTAGCAATGTACACTTTCGCAATCCCAGGCCTGTACAGCGAAGTGCACCATTCGACAATAGTTCTAATTATAGGCAACTTGTTATCGCTGGTTTTCCAAAGTCGCTTTGGAATATCCGTGTCGAGAGGTGTTCGGTGTATACTATCAAGTAATTGTACTACTATGCTTCGGAGAGCAGGCGGTGATTTGGCGTTAGAACTAGTTAAATAGTTATTCCGCAAATCGATTGATTTAAAAGCCCGTGATCTAGCTTCATTATTTCCAGATCTAGGAGGCTCAGCTAGAGAATCTCGAAACTTGAACCAAGCTCCCGGATTGATGAAATTCTCTGGGCAAATAAGAAGCAATGACTCTACAAGCGACTGCAAGCGCGTAGCAAGAGGGAGTAAAATATCACGATCAGGATGGTGATATATCTAGACAACAAGTTAGCTAGGTGAGATCAAGATATGTTAAAGAGCCATACAGAAGAATGATGAGAGAGAATGGCGCTAACTAAGCGTCGACCATGTCTCCTTAATTTGAGAAGGTCTTTCCAGTATATTTGGATGATCAAAAGCCACATGGGGAGCTTGGCCTGGTTGCTATTCTCCAAGCCAGCAACTAGCCAGTCCATATAATGATCGCGGTCTAAAAGGTGTTCTGCGTAAAGATGAGTAGCGAGGCGGATCCTGAGAGAGCGGTTAGCACTAAATAGTATTATTCTAAAAGGTAGAACCGTCACTTACGCATATGTAACTTTGGCCTTCCAATCATTCTTGCTGAAATTGTTGCAGACGGCCTCGACGAACTGTTCGACAAACACTGTCCAGTCCCTAATCCATTTGGCTTCTCCGCCTCCGCCCATAACAAGGACACCGTTGGCCCCCTTCCTCTTGAAAGCCCGTATCTCGTTGGCGCCGACACATTTTGCAAGCCAGACAGCGCGTTCCGTGGGAACGTTCTTATTTAAACATTGTTCAAGCAAGACCTTCCCACGAATACCATGGGGGATAGTTCGACTCAGACGTCTGAGAGAGATAGCTGGATTAGCAAGATCTTTGAGCCATACCTCTCTTTTGGTGTCAGTTAGCGTAACTCGAGGTGGAGGTTTGAAGGTAGAAGCCGAAGTGATCTGGCCATTATGTCTCCTCTGATTAAGGATGCTAGTGAAAACGGTTGATAATGTGTGAAGACCAGTTTTATGTTTCAGCGCAGGAAATAACGAAGCCTTGGCTGACGCCGGCTCCTGCGTGGATTGTGCCGGCGCCTTATCGAAATATCCATGCCTGATGATATTATCAGAGAATTGGTCCTCCGGATGTGACCCGTTCCAACGATAGAAATCGGCGACTCCTATACATGGGTCAGTACACGCACGAGCGGGCACATCCTTGGCTCTAGTTTTACCGGTGGAATCCGACTTGCCCGCGTTGGGGTAGCGAGGAGCAATCGATGGTGGTTCGAGGACGAAGGGCTTTGGACGAGTGTCCTTCTTAGGGGTAGGAGTAGTAGTGGTATTGGTATTGGTACTCGAAGGTTCCGGTCGTTTAACGGGTACAACGAATCGAATCCGACGAGGCGGCATGGGGAGAGGAACCGAATCATCGTCAGCCGTCTGACATCTCGACGTCCGGGGAGTTAGATCGCCAGCATCAGATGCATCATTCATAGACATGATTCGCGACGGGGTAAAGGCCTTGTTAGCGGATAGGGCATCCAAATTCTGCGGGGATTCACTGAAGCCGGGATGCTCAATGCCATCATTGGCCAGCTCGAGCTTGAGCTTCGACCCTCCTCTTCTAGCGAGGGTGGTAAATCTATTTTGTGCGACATCGCCGGCGTCGACAGACTGCTCATTAAAGCTTTCCGACTTTCGTATAGGGGATGAGGGTAAATATTGCTGCGATAGGGTTCGCTGGTGAGTAGGGGACTGCGACAACCCCGAGCCGCTTAATGTTCTCTGAGGCTGTCGCTGGGGGACGGCCAAGGGGGGCCTAGAGGTCATCGCGGGCGAGCGATGCGTTGATACGCCATGTCTTCACGTAGTCGGGATGAGCGTTACGTACGCGGTGGGAACAACTGTGGGTTATGGATTACAGGTTGGAAGGGATGCGATACCACAGGGCTCGAGAACGGTAATAAACGGACTAGATCGAATGAGGCTAACAAGACAAGAGTCGAACCGAAGCCGAGAGAGAGATAGACAGAGAGAGAGAAAACAAACAAGTTGGGAACGAAGGGTTGTGTGTGTAGCAAGATTTAACATGTGGGTTGTTGTATAAAAGATGGTGGTAAGATGTTGTTTAAACTAAAAAGAGGTGTTTTCCATGATTACACACACTTCTCTCTTCTTTCCGCCTCACACGTCCGTAGCGGCGATACGGTGGTAGCGGCAAAAGGTAAATCGGGGTTGCGGTAAGAATGCACCAAGGACTTAAGACAAGGCCTGTGGCCATTATGGCCTGTAGCCTGTACCTAGCCTGTAGCCAACCAGTGGTTGTTGTAACGGGTTACCTAGGTAGGTACCTAATGTACCTATGCGAGCGGGTCAACAATGGGCTTTGGGTTTGGTCTAAACCGGTACATGCGCTAGAGTTGGCTGCTTAGTTGCTGCTCTTGCTTCTGGTTTGGCATGATCTGCGTGGCAGGGGGTGGAGAACCAAAGCCAAATGGTGGGATCGGAACCGCGGGAAAATATGCGAACTGACACCATCGCACTTTACGCTTCTGCTTCCTAAGCCGTTTTTTAGTGTATTGTACATACCTAACCTCCTAGACTTCATCCTAAGTATCTCCTTCCGTCTGTTCTTCATAACCTAACCTAGCACCTAACCCGTAGTAACAGGTACGTAAATAACAAATACCTAGCGCAAATGAAAGAAGTTACGCCCCGAATAATAGGTAGTAATACCTTAGGTAAGGTAGGCTGGGGTTAGGGTAGAATGAATTTATATTTCCTTTAATACATGCGTACATTAGTACCTACCTGTAGCACGCATCACCTAAACCCTTTCACAACATATTACGGTACCGACTCAGATTGGAAAGATTCAAGCGACAAATAAAAATATCTAACTCGAACATCACATAGATACGTAACATTACCTATCCGGATATGATGATACACATCGATACAAAGTAAATCAACTCGGAAAGCTACCAAGAATAAATAATACGATTGAACACTTGGCGCACTATCTCAGCTTAGCCAAGCCACGAAAGCCCTCAAATTCATTCACCATTACAAAACAATCGTACTAAAAAGCCAAACCATGACCAACGAGTCCAAGCCTGATCTCGTAGTCATCCACGAGGACATATTGGTCATCTCCCTGTTCCCCCCCTGTAACCTACCGAACCTGCTGAATCTACCTTGCCTTACCTTCTTAGCTTGCTTAGGCTGCAAGGCACTGGGTGTAACCCGCGGCTATCGTGGCATTTGGGTTACACGCATAGTAATCATCATATCAACCAACTATATCAGCTAGGGAGGTAGGTACCTATCAGCTCCTTCTAGGCTCTCCTTCTAGGCTTTCTTTTCTGCGCCGCAGTGTAAGCCTCCGTTCAGGGATGAATTGAAAAGTAGCATCGATAGAGAGAGAGAGAGGGAGAGGGATTTTGCTCGGAGATTCGACAACTTCGCCTCGCGAATGGGGTTTCGTTACCGGGTAAGACGCCGAATCGCTTACACACGCAATATCCGTAATCCGCAGGATGAGCAACTTTTTTCGATTTACGAATCCGGTTACTAACCAGCAAGTTACGATAAACCAAGCGGAGTTAAAGAAATCCGCCAAAGAGGAATGAATGCCTTAACCTAAGGAGGAGGAAAGGGAGTTGGGTGAAGAGAAATGGGGGCTGAACCGAGGCCCTGGACAAGCTAAAATCTGCTAGTCTACCGGGCAGGCCGGTCCAGATTTGATGACCCTGTCATCTGGTAAGTGTGGTTTGCTATATCCGCCCCCAAATAAATGAATTGAGATGTTACTACATACCTACCTCATACAACTACTACTACTACAAGTATTACATATTACATATGCAAATATGCTAGGAGGTAATTGTACCTAACCTAACCTAACTAACTAACCTAAACCAACGACAAATCATATGGTACATGGGCATCGTGAGATGATGGCACGTTCTACTATCACAACGCACAACATAGCAGGTGTTGTCAAGTCGTTATGTCACCCGGAGATGGGAGCCGTAATCACGAGACAAGAGACTGACTGATAGACTTCTTCGTGCACGGGAGTATGCATCGTCGTTTACCGATAAAGTTGCAGAGGATGGATTGCTCTGATGAGGAAAATCCTTGTGTCATCAAAGACTAGAAAGTGCGCCAACATCGCTTCCGGTGTTTCATTGGGCTCTGGCTCTGGGAATCTTATTAACACTACCCTCTCGTTTACTTCGTTCCCAGGCCCGGAGGCCCTATCAGCCAGTCCCAGACGCAGGTCATCAATAACCCGCGTCCGGTCTTCTATCTCTGACAAATGATTGACTGAATTTCGGCCGTCTTTCGTATGAAGAACCCCGCAGCGAATTGCCGTATACGGATCACAATCAAACTCGCCGGAGACCCATTCGGCCGTGGGCAGCTGTCGTGTGTCCAGGTATACAGATCCAATGCAGGATCGAATCCCGTATGTGTAACAAGCTCTGGCGTGGGCGACTCGGATACCATATTAGGTCTACTGCCAGTAGATGAAGACAACGGCGATGTGACGGAACCGAAGTTTGGGCTTTTATTAATTAAACGAGAGTGCTAATAAACGAGAAAAGTGGTTATTATTCAGAGCTGCCAAACTTGGGCTATCATTATTCAAATTTGTTTTAGTTGGCTTCCTGCAAGGGGAAATAGAGGAGCTCAACCAATTATCGTGGCAGCGATTGTCCTCGTCAAACTTCCTTTTAGGTATTGTTAGTATGAGACGTGGTTGGATCCGTTGTTGGATGCATGCACTTAAGGGGTACTAGAGTGCTAGGACACCTGGCACTCGGCAAAGAAGATGATGAAGTATACATAGGTTAGGTACCTAGGTAATAGGTAATATATGACCGAAACGAGCTCCGCTTCGTCCCATAATGACGTTGCTCGTTTGCGTACTAAGATATGAATAGCTACAAAATTTCAAATACCTCCTTCCCCTCCTCTAAGGTACGCTACCTAACACCCGACACAGTACCTAACACAGGCGTGTCGAAGGGTGCAAAAAAAAAAAAAATGATTTGGTTTTAGGAATTGTTCGCATAAAGTACCCGGTTCGGAAGTTAAGAAAATAGAAAAAATAGTAACCCCTCACGGTTGATATCGATGATTCCCGAAATCCACCAGAAAAGATCACCGGAGACAATCGCCTTTTACAGAATGATGTCTTATTTACGAGAAGAGGAGGTGGTGCATTACCTGACAGGGAGTTAGGAGTTACCTAGAAGAAGAGCGTAAAGAGGGCGTTCTAGTCCCGTCTACCGTCTACTTCATCTCCTAAAACTTTTGATTCCACTGGCTAGTCTCGTCTCGCCTCGTTAGATTGAAACTTGTTCGTCCGTATAGCTATCTAACTTAACTACTTTTAAAAGCCGCATTAGATTGGGAAATCCCACCGACCGGGCTCTTGGCCATGAATAAGCGGTCGTGCCATTGCGAAGCGACGTTGATGTTGTCGTACAAAAAGAAAACTGATGGGGGGGAAAGGGGACACAACGGCGCCAAAGGCCGAACCGGGGAAGCAACCTTTGGGAATATGGAGAGAGATGGAGATAGGGGATGGGGGAATGGAGAATGGGGAATAGGGATAGGCCCAAGGGATCGTGATCACGCAAAAGTGCCGGCTGATGTGCGAAGATACTCCGCCAATTCCCGCCTTTTCTCTCTCATCTGTGCATCCTCAGAACTCTTGGTCTCTAAGACTGTTGGACTTTCTCTGCTCTCTTTGGTATTTCGCTTCTACATTGTATGATCTACAGTAACACCGGTAAGACTTGATATAATAAGACGAGACGAGACGAGACTGGACTTGAACTCGGGATTACTTCTTTGAATCGTATTCGACGTTGCACTGGAATTTCAAGGGGCAATCGTGTAGGTACTTTTCACATGGGCACCTAGGTAGGTACCTAATGGATTGTACAGTATTAAATGTATATACACGGTAGATTTCGACTGTACATAGATATACCTAATGTACTATGGATGAAGTACATACGTACCTAACACTAGTAGATCTGTAATCTGGCTGCTCCCCGCTGTGTGGCTTCACAACTTCATCGCACAAAGGTGGAGAAAAAGAAAATGGTGGGAAAGAAGCCAGCTTTGCTAAGATAGGTTTAGTGCTGAAGGGGAACCCTGGTCCGACCCTGCAGCTCCGATTACAAGCAACGGATCTCAACGACATCTCAGAACCGTTAACCTCAGTAAATCGTAACCTCAGCAATTAGAAAGATTAACCAAGTACAACACCAAAAGAGAAAAAAAAGAAAAAACCCCGCTCCCGTTATACCCGAATAGTATATACGTACGGAAGAAAAAAAGAAGAAAGGGAATTAATTATGGCCACGAAGAAGGATATGAGACGGCCGGACCTAGGTAAGTAAGGAAGCTCTCTCACCTCCAAAGAAACACGTATCACACTACACCATACCATATCACACCATACCATACCGCATAGCATCGCATAGCATCGCATCGAGTTCATATGTAATTGTCGCATTAACACTTTTTCTCTCTCTCCCCCTCCCAATCGCAGTCGTCCCGTACCAGGAACCCGTACCCAAACCCGGCGACAACGCCGAGATCTCGTCGACCCTGTCGTCGACCCTGCCCATGGCCGCCATCTTCACGCGGAACCGGTACGTCGGCTGGGCCTCGGTCGTCATCAGCATCCAGAACTGGCTCGGCGAGAGCGAGGAGGTCACCAGGAGCAACAACAGCACCCCCGGGTACTTCACCGTCGGCATGTCAGGTAAGATATCTACCATCCCGTATCCCGTATCCTCTATCCCGGTATATATATATATATACAAATATAAATATATATCATATCGTCGTTCGCGTCCAACAAACATGGTGTGTGAGAGAACCTCTTTAGCTGATTGGAAGTTACCACCTTATAGTCATGGCCCTCGCCGTAACTTACCTCCCCATGTTCCTCCCCCCGCCTCCGAACCAAGCCACCGGCACCGGGCCCGCTGCCCCCGTCGCACCCGCCGCCGCTTAGAAATGCCTATCGAGCAAGCATACACCCACACACACCCACACACACCCACACACTCCCACACGCATACACATACAATCTTTGACGACGACCTAAAGCAGGCTAGCTGTCCTGTCCTGTCCTGTCCTATCCTGTCTATACCGCAGAAAGGAATGACACCCAGCTACGAATAAGAAGGAGAAAGCCGTAATGACATAAAGGCCTGGAAGATGTAGCTAGCTACCGAGGCCAGGTGAACGAGACAGGGAATGCAAAGGACCTAGTAATAATGTACCTACCTACCTTACCTACTTACTTTAGAACGAACGGAATATGTAACCGTGCCCAGATCTACCTAACCTCCCATCCCCCGTGGAGTGGAAATCCACGCGGATGGATTGGCTTCTATGCTAGCGTCTGCGAAATCCCATCGGCGTAGCAACAGATCGCGATCGTAACACTTAACTTGCCCCCCCCCCCCCCCCCTTTTTTTTTTTGAAGCTACCTAACGTAGGTTGGGTTAGGTTAAGTAGGTACCTAAGATAATGATAAAGTCATATATCAATAAAAAAAAGAATGGCTATTATAGTCATGGGAATAAACAATCGATCGACCTATACATATTCAAGAAGTCGACGACTTAGGTACCTAAGGTTAGGTTAGGTAGGTATTATTCTGGTACTCGTGGCTTTGAAAGACCATATATCGTCAAGTAAAAAAAAAAAAAAAAAGTGGAAAAGAAGGCTTAATTCGTACTTCATGTTGTAGACAAACAAATCAGTCTCATCGCGTAGAAATACGATTGATTCGATAATAAATGTCTACTCCTCTTCATCGTTATACTGGTATCTATCTATACCTTGTTTGATAGATAGACCAAGTCAGCACAGATAATAGTATATAGCCAAGGTGAGAGAGAAGTGGTAAGGACTTCGGTTAAGCAAAGCGCTGTTCCCGGAAGCCTTTCACTACTGTTAGTTAGTATGTATACAAATCCACTGTATAAATGTAGTATTCAGTTCAGCCGCATCTTAGTCACTATAGCATACGAGCATACGAGCATGCGAAGAAGTCAAACTACGTCCGTAGTAGAGGTAGTAGTAGGTAAAGCTTCGAGACGACTATCTTAGCCAACCACCATCACCTATCCGTACCAGGTAGTCATTCCCTTCCCATTTCCCTTGCGCCCTCTTCTTCCCCTCTTCCCCCTTCCCTCAATCCCCCTTCCTCGCCCCCCCTAACCGACCAACGAAGAACAAATTGCTTGTTATGTAGGTAATGAAGTCAACTAATGGTATATTACACTAGAACATACCCCTCGAAAGAAAAAAAAAGGCATGGGACCTCACATATACTGTACAGACACACTACTCTCTCGGCGCCTTCTTAGGTTCAGTCCTCGGACCGATTCCTATAGCTAAGTTAGGCACAGTACCTTTGGCAAGATATGCGTGCACCTCGCTATGTACCTTACTAATACCCATCCTCTTAATTCATCTCTCCTCAAACCTAATCCTCGTCGAAGATCTGGTACGTGTTCTGCAGTATCGTATCGACGACCCTGACCTGCCACCCGGCGTCCTGGATATTTGCTCCCGGGGCCGTGCCCATGAGCGTGGGGCCGAAGACGATGGCCAGGTTCTGCGAGTTCATGCGGTTGACGGCCGAGTGCTCGATGACGCGGTGTAGGTGGAGCGTCAGGGCCCGCAGCGTCGCGTAGTTGGGGTCCGGAAGCGCGTTGATGATGGCGTGCAGGCTGTCCCGCCGCACCACGTCGTCGTCGTTCTTCGCCGCCTCGATGAACCCCGCGTAATGCTCCGACGTCAGCAGCGGGTCCGGCAGGTCCCGCAGGAACTGCTTGAGCAGGCCCGCCACGCTGTTCACGTCGTGGAAGAAGTTTTCTGGGTTCCGGAAGTCTAGAATTGGTGCGTCTTCGTCTATTTTCCCTCTAGGTTAGCTCCCATCGACGTGTCAAAAGCAAAGAGAAAGACGCGGGGGACGAACTAGTGTCGAATAAGTGCTTCAACTTATTCACATGCGCTGATGAGCCGGAAAGTCTGTAGATACCCTCGACTGCGAGCCCGTACAAATCAACAGCCTGGATACACTGGTAGACGACCATCGGCACAGGCCCTTTACTATTTTCATATAATCGTTCTAAAGAGATCCCAAAGACCGGACCCCTAGATATCGCTCCCTCTGTACTGGGTGCGGGAACACCATGGGGCGATCCCGATTGTACCGGAGATTGGTCACCACGTGACGGGCCCTGGAAGCCCGTTTGCGCACCTTGCTGCTGAGAGCTTTGCTCCAGAGGTGTCTGGTTCTGGAACGGCAAGGCTCCGAGTTGCGGTGGGCCACTCATGCCACTACCGTTGAATCGTGACTGGGTCGGAGGAGTTTGTATCGAGTTACGTACATTGTACTGTGGCGGTGGTTGCATGCTAGGCTGATTTAGCATTGCGCCATGGCTGAAACTTCTTTCATGGCCTGCTCCTGAGGATGGCCGTTGGGTAACTGGCATTCCAGGAGGAGTGGTGAAGTCCAAAGCTGGACCTTGGAACCCCGTGGGTGACGATATAGAATCGTACCCTCCGGTTCGGGAACCCATCGAACCTTGCTGCTGTTGCGCCGGTAAGGGTGATCCTTGTCGCTGCTGGGACTGCGGGTGTCCTTGCTGTTGATGCATTTGTGAGAGTTGATTTAGCGAAACGTTTTGCTGAGGGTTGAGAACCTGGCTGAAGTTAGCGTCGAGCATAGCTCGAAAGTCAGATAGCCGACGACGTACGGGATTCCTCTCGTATTTCGGCTCTGATGATTTGGCCGGAACCTTGCTATGGACACTGATAATATAGTTCTCAAGGTCCTTCTTGTTGTCGATGGTCTGGACGACCTCTTTGAGACTGCGAGAATGCTGACCTGGTTGAGTGGCGGTCTTCAGAGGACTTATAACCAACCCATTGCTAAGCAACAGTTTCTCATTGAATGAAGCTAATGAATGCTGTTAATACGGCACATCAAATGTTATGCCCTTACGTTTACTTACCAAATTTCTGCATCTGCAGGGTAGTCCCGGAATCACATTCTCTGATGAGATCTTGTAGCGCCTTAACGGCTTCCGGCCGAGTGGAAGTTTCGACGGTCGCCTTTTCAGACTGGTATGCCTGGACCTTGTTCATATAATCCGTGTCTGCTGCTTGAACTTTGCGTAGGAGATCCTCTTCATGTTGCGCTGCTGATTTGGGCTTGATACCGAAAACTCTCGGACCTTGCTTTGCTTCGCCGGTTCTCACCCTATCGTACTCCTCGGCCAGCGAATCGTACTTGGACTTGGACTTGCGCATTGCGTTTTCCACATCAGTTAAACGTTGTTCTGCGGCCAAGCCGTTTTGTTTCCATCCTTTGCGGTGCTTCTCAGCTACCGCGGCCACTTCAAGGAGGTCCTCGTGCATTTGATGCAAAGACAAGGCAAACTGTATTCCGTTTTCAGCCATACGCTCGTGTATTGTGAGTATTTCTTCGTATGATTGCGCAAAAGTCCCCTGCCTGTGATCTGAATGGTGTACGTTCTCCAGCGTCGATCTACACAGCTTTTTCAAGCCCTTAGCGTGTTGGTCTTCGAGGTCGGATCGCTTTTTCAAAAATGTAGCGAATTCCTATATGATATAACGGTTAGAAAATCCGGAGTGGAAAATTACAGGGCGTACTATCAAAGAATAACCAACCTTAGCTGCAATGATGCTTTGCTTGAGCCTATTTAGCATAGTAGACACGCCAATCTGCGCAAAATCAGCCATGTCTTCTTCGGTATAGGAAATCTCTTGGGGATCAATACATCTGAAGCGAGCACTTCTTGTACTTCTTTGGGGGTTTCGGGTTCGACTTGTCCGGGACTCGTCGGGGCAGGTTCGGGACCGCCATTCGTTGAAGAAATACCACCATCCTCGGGCGGCGGGGGACTTGGGCTGTTCCCCAGAGACATGCTGGCTATGTGCTCGAGTTCAGGAATCTGAGGGGAGGTGAGGTCGGGAGACTGGCGGCTATAGTCTGCCATGTTGGATGAGATTGGGCGAGGACAGTCAGGATATGTATTGAGGTATTGAGCCCCCCCCGCAGGATCAATTAGCTTTCGTCACGCTATTTTAGGTATAGATCTGGGGTAGACAGTTCATGGGCAAGGTCTCAGAAAAAGCTTAGTTTGTTGGTCGGAAGGGATGCGTGAAACGTGGGATCGGGATTGATATTCATGCGACGGGGAGTCAGGCATTTATTTATTATGCGGGTGATAAGTTGAGCTGTCTTTTTCTTCTTCTTTTTTTTCTATCTCCTTGTTGGATCTATCGAGTATCGAGCATCGGATATGGTACTATATTCTCTTCCCTTTTTGTGGCTGGATTTCCTGTTGATAAATAAGGAGGATAATGTATGAAAGTCTACCTGTATTAACTTGGTGGTGTGTTGCTATGTACAGGTAGAGGTATGTATGGAGGTAGGTTAGGTAATAGTGAGCAAGTGGAAGCTCCATAGGAGGTAGGTACCAAAATAGGTACCCTTCCCCCCCCTCAATTACCTAGGTCCCTAGGTCCCGCTTTAGCTTTTAGCAGACTCGTGAGAAGCTTTTGTGGCTTAGCAGGGGGAATCTACGTAATTCCACTGTGCTAAAGTCAGTTCCTAATTTACACATGTAGGTACATCCATCAGTGGCGCCGCGGATGCAACATTGAAGCGAGATAATTGGAACTCCATACCACAGGTAGGCCTACATACCACAACTTCTGATTGGTCGCCTCACCATTTATATTCTCTCCAGCAGTAAACTGACCGGACCCTACCTTGGCCCGTGACAAGGTGTACCTAGGTAACCTGGAACTTCTCGGAATACCTAACCGCATTACGGGAAGTCAATTCTCGTGTCGTTCTAAAAAAAAAGTTATGTTCGTATTGGCAAATAAACTTGATTATTATTCATATCATAATCGCTAAAATACGTACTAGAATAAGGGATGCAACCTACTGTGAGGTAGATATGTTTAAGAGGCACATGTACATGTGACAAGCCTGACAGTGATGAATACCATAAGAGTTTGCAACTTTAGCCTCACCATAGAATACTCGCATTTATGTTTCTTCCTTGTTGCTATGCTATATGTACATGTTTCCTGCAATATCAGGCAGCTAGGTACTCGTATACCTACCGAGCCGCGATGCCATAACGCCCAAGTAAAACAAACATAACGTCCTTGTTTCCGAATGGGTATAGACTATGTGATTCCGTCAAATACGTGATATCACTTTCCATTTATTAGAACTCAAAAGACAAAATAGGAGCAAACACCCCCCTCCCCCCAAACCTCAGTTGTGACTGTTGCTTAGCCTCGTAAATTGTTGCCGTTATCATCCAGAATCAGAAACCCACCTCCGCCTTCCAGTATGCCACAGATCAACCCCACGAGGGTACTCTTCCGCCGGATAAAGGAAAATGGACCGTAATAATGAATGCAATGAATGCAGTGTGACAATCGAAATACCATATGATACCTGTTATATGCTACCACAGAATAAAACGCCGAAAAGAGCAATGCAGGATATCAAGAAGAAAGTAAGGAAAAGTTTGAGAGACGTCTCAAGTCTGAATACAGGAGTATAGGATATTTCTGCAATTCATCTTTGAAAAAGAAGCAGAATCAATAGTTTATCTCCAGATTGGTAAATGACGGTAAGCAGGAGAGTTGTAGGAATGGAGAACCCGATAGGGCATAGGGTTGCCATACTGATCTAGGCTTCGATGCCTGATATGGTGGCGGGGAGGATGGGGGGGATATTGTACACCTTGGTCCCACTGCTGTGGCAATGACATCGACCGACCACTCCAAGGATTCGAAACATATGTTTGTCCGTTGCGAGATAGCGATGGGTAAGGGCCGTTATCTCGCGCGCTGCTGTTTTGTGGCAGAATATTATATTCGTCATAACTAGACCGACGGTGTAGTGGCAGGTCAGGTTGCGAATGGTACTGCTGCCCGAAGAAGGCTGGCCCGGTAGTTGCGGCGCTTCGTTGACTCGACTGCCTGGAAAGTGAACTTCGTCGGCTGATATCGGATGATCGCCGAGAAAGGGAAGGGTCATGATCCATCTGGAGTTTCTCCCGACTCGACCTCCTGGATGCTGTCATCCGGTTGGCCGCAAAAGTATTGCTCATCTCGGGAGTTCTCAATTTGTCTTCCGGGTTCCCCCTGTGTGAATGAGGAGGTAGCCTTGGTCGGCCCATATTCTCGGGGGGAGTTGATTTTGACCTTGCAGGGGAGGGAACCCGTAAAGAACCCATGTTCCGAGTTCTCATGCTAACGGGCGGAGGGCTTTTAGAGAACCTAGAACTAGGTACGGGTGGCGGAGGTTCAAGAGTTGATGCAGAACGCGATTTGCCTTGCGCAAATTCATAACTAGCCTTGGAATTTATCGTTCTCGATTCCTCTTCCCTACTGATTGTCATAGCATTTGAAATAGGCTGCTGAACGGCGTATGTAGGGCATCTCGTGTTCTCACTCGCTATCATAGCATTGGTAGAGCCGTTATAATCCCTATTAGCCGTCTGAGATGATACGACTTGGGCGATATTATTTTCCATCGATGTTTTGATGGCCGTAGTTGACTCGGGAGAGATATCGTTGCTTTGGCTAGACACAGGCTTGCGACGGATTGACTTCGACAAAGTAGACAAATTTCCCGCCGCCTTTGATTCCATAGAGACAAGGGCCTTCTGGTTTCGATCCGAAGCCATTATCTGGCCGCCTAAAGTCTTTGAGGAGAAGTCTTCATCTTGGAGTAGCTCTGCACTCCCAACGCTCAAGATTGTCCCAAGTGTCTCCTTACTAGCTGCAGACCTTAGAGCTAATTTCCTGAACGAAATTGCCCTCGATCCTGTATGCGTTTGAAGCCTCGCATGCATATCTCTAGGGACAGCAGGAACACGCGTGTATCCGGTAGGGTGCGTATTATGAACTGTGAGTGGCGCCCGTCCTCGGCTTCCACTTAGAAATCTTTGCAACTTTCCTGGCTTGCGGAATCCACTAGTGATACTTCGACTAGGACTAGATACATGTAGGCCACCTGAAGGCATCTGGTGAGTTTCGATACTGCGGCTAGGACGACTCCGAAGATTGCGTGGTGACAAGACTCGCTCCGGCGCACCCGTAGGCTGCGAAATGCCTGTCAATCTAGAGGTCTGTTGAGACTGTGGCGATAATTCGCTTGGCGCTTTCGGGCTTGCGAGAGCAGCAAGATGGGAATCTTTCATAGGAACAGGTGGAGGTGATGGCTCATTAGATAACCTAGAAATTTTGACGTTGGCCGTCGCAGTGGTAAGTATCGTGGCATCCGGTTCTTCAGCATGCTCGCTCTGCTTCACACCAGCGTCGCTCGTAGCTTCAACGGTGCGATCTTTTTTGGGAGCCGATGGTTTCGAAGAAAGTGATCGCAGAGAAACACTTGAGCTGTAGCCCGAATCTGCCTTAGATAAAGGTGCCACCGAGGACTCTGAAGCAGGGCTTGCAATACCGCTATCTGACCTGCTGATTTCTCTTGAGCTTCCTTTTTCCAACACTGGCTTCGAGCAAGGTGGCGTAGACTTCGCATTGGTGTCAATTCGTACATCTAGAATTTCCACCGACGAATATTCATCCGGTTCGTCATCAAATAGTTTATCCTCCATAGCCGTATGTTTACTAGTTACGTGAACATCTAGGATGTTCGGCTTCCCATCATTAAACAGCGGTAGACTTATCTGATGCTCAGTTGTAAGCTCGGAAGACCCTAGAGACGAAATAGAACACGCAGAGGTCACTGCTTCTGTATTAGAGCTGCTAGGCGGGCTCAAAGAGTTCTCCACGTTTTGACCTTCAACTTTGGGAAGTGAAGTCTCGGAGTTTCTCGTCTGACTGTGTCCGGTGGGAGCCGTTCCAAAATAATCTTCTGTTGTACGATTCACCGCCAATTCCTCAGCCTCTTCTTGTCTGATATCACCACTTGAATCTCGGACAGGGCTTAAACTTCGTGCCGGACTCCTCGCCGGGCTACCGTTTGTAATTCGGAGAGTGCCAAATTTAAAAGCGCCCGTCTGTGTATATTCCGCCTCACAAGGTGTTAGCGCACGAGGTGCGGGATCTGAAATGGCTAAACCAGGAGGCGCCTCGATTGTCCCAACATCCATTAATTCCATAGAATTTCGGCGGGCCGGAGTTGAGGGGAGACTGTATCTCGACTTAATCTTTGGTAAGGTCGAATCTACCAGCACTTCACGAGTAGCAACGCCGGGAGTCATAAAAGATCTTCTTCGCATAGGAGTATATAGAGAGATGTCAGAACTACTATGAGTTATTGACGGAGTCACTTCGGGTATTGACGGCCGTCGACCCCAGACGTCGCCCCGCATTGCTTCATAAACGTGTGTTCGATTCTCCAAAGCAAGTGAACTATCTTCGCGGGACGGTTCGCTAACAAGATTTGATAAGCGCTGAGCCTCGTAAGAGAAAGGGTCATAGTTAAATGAAGTGCGCGATGTGCTCATAGACAAGCTCCTAACGATCCTCTATCAGCGCACATCTGCGAAATGGGAAAACAAGCGCTCCAACTTACACTGGGACAGGAGGTTGACTATAGTTATACCCTCTCTCAAATCCATCCCCCTGAGATCCTGCCCGGGTTGCCCAACGCTCTTGCGAAAGATCTGATACCTCGACGCAGTTACTTCTCCGTTGATGTCGGGGCGTCTCTTTGGAGGTATTGGAACGGAAGAGCCTCCTCGAAATGCGATGCCCTAAGTCCAGTCCTTTCTCGCTAGAGGGTACGCTTACTGATACGACAGGGTCTTTCTCAGGGAGCGATGGCGGGGCTGCAAGTATAGGAGCTTGGGGAAGCGAGGTACGTCTCGCCGCCGAGGAATGGCACGCTGAATTTGAGTCGCCATTGGTATTCAACAGGCCAGCTGCAGTAGGATTACCTATCTTAGGTTTCGATAGCTTCTGAGATGTTCGGTGACCCCTCCATGGAGCTTCGGCGGAGATCGAATTTCCCATGACGCTGGGAAGAGGATAAAGCCGAAAACCCGGCACAATACTATTACTAGGCGAGCATTGACAATTCCATGCCGATAGCTTCAGCCAAACATTAGTGACGAACGGACTGGATCAATCTCATATAGACGGAGATAAATAAGCTCAAATAGAAAACAAGAACTATTTAAAAATTGGGTATGAAGGGAGCTTGGGGTAGGTATTATATAACGGTATGAGTTACTTCCCTCAGATGGGAGGAAGTATAAGTGGATGAATGAGAGGTTATTGGTCGAAGTGATGATCTTGGTGGTTGGGATATGTGCGGGACGGTGGATTAATAGGAATTGCACAATAACATAATAACACAATAACCCTGGCCTATCTAAGTCGGTTCGAACGCGGTGTGCACCTTGAGTCTTTCTAGACGACAAACTGAGCTGACTGACTGAGATATCTGAGCCACACACCGAGATAGAACGAATGCGGTGGTATTAGATAGGATACTGCTTTATTCACGTACATCTCGTAGGGGATAGATCTTCGCCCATGACTGCATGTATTATGTAGGGGATGGGAAAAAGCAAATAAAAGCAGACAAAGGAGAAAAGAGTGTGTGCGTCGTAGATATGTATGTTGGAACTAGGGTAGAATAGGAAGTAGAGTAGAAGGTTTGCGTCCACTTACATATAAAATGTTATGTTACATGTATGTACATACCTCTCAATGCTTCACCCAATACCTCAATACTTCAATGCCTCATAAAAGTGACCTGATCTAATGGATGTTTGAGTGGAGTTGAAGTAAAAAAAGGGAAACAGAGAAATCCATCCGTCAATTATGATTGGGAACATTGAAGTTATTGGTAGTTATTGGCCCCAGGATGGAAGTGTGAGATGCGGGCCTTTTGGATCCTTGACGCAAAAGAAAACCTGAATTTGGAACTTGATCTTGAATGAGTTTAATGGGACATCGAGATCTGGAGAATTAAGATGAGACTTGCATGTTACTTTCCAACTGTTTCCCACTGTTACTTCAACGCGGCAACTGAGACGTTCGACTTTCCCATCCTGAGAAGTATGGAAACAGGCATGGGAAGCCACGGAAATTAGCATATTACCGTAGGTACCTGACTTACCTACCAAGAAAGTACATATGTTGTACGTGTTTAGCAGTCATCTACAGAAGTATTAGGTATTCAAGGTACCTTAGCGTCTTGGGGGGGTTTCTTAAACCGTATATATACCGCTTATGTACGACTCAAAAAATTGAAACGCTTTATACCGTAAATGGAAAGCATTGCGCTTATATTTTTAAACGTTAAACCCATTTGAGCAGTTCAAAATTTTTTTTGCCGTGTATTTACGGCTCAAAATGGCTGAGCCGTTCATATGGTTTACAAGCATATGTGAAAAAAGAAGTACCGTACCATTTCAATTGTATGGTGCAACTATACTAATTGAATGATGCGATACTTTTTTTTATTATATTATTATTATCATTATTATTATTTACACAAGTCACAAGATTACATTACAGGCTACAAGCACTTTTCAAATAGATCAATGACTACGAAAGGTTTACGTTAGATATTACGTTACGCGCGTACGTGTGACATCCTTATTGGGGTATATATGCATATAATAGCTTCGCACCCACCACCACGTACAAGGCCACATACAAGGCCATATGCAAGGCCACACATACTGAATCAATTGAATTGAATCTAGTCAACTGAATGAAATGAATCTAGTCAATTGACTTGTAACGTGTAAGCCTATTGAGCTATATACATACGGCTTATTTGATTGAGCCTCTTGAATTTTGAGCGGTTCAACTTTTTTGAGCGGCTCAGCGTTTTTAAGCCGTAAGCATACCGCTCAATTCAATTAAGCCGTATCTATATAGCTCTAAAAGGTGTACGTTTTACAAATTTATAACGTTAAACAAAGGAGCTGCAAGGATACCATTCAACTAATGAATCGTGGAAACATAGATACGTTAATATATTTGAGCCGTTCATGATTATAAGCCGTATATATACCATTCGATATATTGAGCTGAATATATACTATTAAATAAACCCCTACCAAGACGCTAAGGTATGTTTTCCTTTTTCTAATGGTCCGCTTAATAGGTAGCCCCCGCCCTAACCGGCTGCTCCTGTACCCGTCTGATCTTTATCCCTGCAATCTCCATTCCTACACCAATTACAGACCGGAATTAATCCAAGTTAGAAAAGCTAAAGACGTTAAATAGGCACTAAGCAGGCACTAAAATTAGGCGTTCCCAAATTCCATTATTTTGATTAGCTAGGGAAGCTTCTTTGATAGAGTTGCTGGGTGCATTAGCTACCTAAATAGGTAAGGAATATACCCAAGACCTTCAAAGGTAGGTACATAGTACCTTTAAATGTTCTATCCGAACATGCTACAAAGCCACTGGAAGCTCATCCTTGCTCATATATGCGAGACAATGGGTTCAATATCACCTCCCACGAAATTCATCCCTCTAGCTTCGCAATGCACCCATTTTACCTTAATAAGTTATCGTTGCCTGTCATACTATCATCATAAATGTACACTCGTGGAGCAATTCTAAACTTCGATAGCACAACTACGGCTGACGTTGCATCTTACGAAGACCATCCAAGACCAACCAAAATCCAAGACAGGTAGCTCTAGCTTAGATACGTACAAAGGCAGGCCGGCAGTAATACTACTATGTACCAGGATTATGCCAACAATCTTCCAGGATTGCCGCTCCAAATACTCCGGCCCTGTTCGTTATTCCCTTTGTTACCTATCTATGATTTAGGTATCTGAAGCTGAGGACAAACAGGTATTTAATGCCTTAGACCAAAACGATCACCCGATATTCATCCCCACACGTTTAGTATTGGGTCGTCCTCTCAAAAGACGTTATTGATAAAAAAGAGCCTCGCGCGTAGCCTCGGACTTATTACCTAGCAGACGCGCGCGCTGTTTACATCAACACGTCAAGCTTCTCCAATAGATCACGTCGGCAGTCCACCATGCTCCCGCGAATTAGACGATGGGAAGATGGATTCCCGCAGCGTCGTAATTATGAATATATGCAACCCACTTAATCTTATCCAGAACGTCCAAATATGTCGCAAAAACCTTGATTTGGTCTTCCAGTCCCGAACCTATCTCTCTTCTTGCCGACACTTACATGGTGCATATGCAGACCACTACCTACATACGTATTTTGACGACGGCAAAATGTTATTTCTCACCGCCTTCTTGTATAACCATCAGCTGTTTCAAGTACGCGGTTGGCGTTTGCTTTGCTAAAACTGACGCAAAAATGAAGTTTTCCATCCGGGTTACCTATCTCCTTTCTCCCATGGCGGTCAGGAGCTCTCGGGCTACTATGAGTATTAACATAAGACCTCGTATTTGAGTAGCTGCTAAGTAGGTACCTAATGCTTCCCCTACACGCGAGACAGGGAGAGAGTCATACCTGTTAAAGACCTCGCGCTATTGACAGTATAGGTACGGACAGGCCTGGGTACGGAGCATGCTTACTTAGGTATTACCTATACCTACTATCAAAATCTTAATACCTTTAATGCAGATTGCAGATCAGCCCGGCCACTAGGAATTCCCGTCAGAACTGCAATATAACTCCTCATTTATAACTTGCAGTCATTTGCTCTAGTTGTGTCACCGCATGCTACCTAAGGATATGCAAGCTTTTACACAAGCTTCGATTAAACCCTACGACGAGAGCGTGCGGCTGATCGAATTTGTTAATTTGAACTAGGCAAACGAGCCGATGTCGCAGCAGCATACTACCTTAGAAAGATATTTAACGATACTTCTTCCCCCAAGGAAGTATACTCTTCTATACAGTGTATATCCACCTTAGATAGTCAAGCTAAATAACATACAGGTACGTAAACTCTATTCAAAATATTTGCATGACGTTATTGTAAGTGTTTGAACGAAATCGTATAGTCGTTACTTATAACCTACCTCTCATCTTTGCTCGTACGATATCTCGTAATATGGCAATGCGGAACGATAACCTCGAACGCAAACTTCACCCAACTATTACGACTACCTAACCAGCCACCTAAATGCGGTCATCGAACTTTAACTTCACTTCCGATAGGGAGGGTCTAGCATGTGTTTCAAACCACGAGCGCTGTGGCTAACGCTCACCCCGCGGTGTAACCGATCCGCACACGGTTTCTGATAGGTAAAGATTTGAAGGACTCGTCAGCTTCTTGGAATACGGTGATACGAACCCCCCCCCCACGAGATCGATATTACACGGTATCTTGCGGCGACCGGATAGCGGGAAGTTTACCTGCATGTTTGCTCGTCTGAGTTTGTGCGGTTGCACACTTCGACGATAGGTCAACGTTCATAAATTCAGCTGGTTATGGGTATTTCAAAGCTGCATGAACTGTGCTTAATATTTGTCTAACTTGGACATCAATGACGACTACAGCTCAACGAGCTTGATAAAGCTTTCTGTCTGCCGTTTTGTTATCTCTGCGGGATTTGCCGTTGGTAACGGCGTCATTTATGGCACCGCTTCGGAGGTTATCGCCACCATCCTAGCCGTCTCCTATGATAAATTCCTGCATGCGAGGATAGTTAAAGAGCAATACCAGCCGGGAATGCCGATTTCCATATCATTCACCTTTGAAATGGTGGGCTTGGAAGCAGGCCATGCATTTTCACTCGAACCTCTTCGTCTCATGACTATCAATAACCTACCTCCTAATTGTTTCTATAAGTCTCTAAGTGTCTTGAATTTATCCCATGTCTGATCTACGAACAACCGCTAAACTTGAAATATAGGTACGGTACCTAGTAGAACCTATAAGTTTGGATCATCCGCCATGCCAACATCCGAAAAGCACAGGATCACCAGCCAGTTTCCATCAGGGTTTGAGAATAGAGATTCCAAACTACTTGACAGGTAGTGTCACGAGCGGCACCGATACTCACTCATTACTACACACTTGGTTGCTTGGTATTTCTTAAATTAAAAGTTTCTTAGATTGCGGGCAAACGGGTTTCAAGATATGATATGAATGAGCCCTAGCAAAATACCATCTATAAGCCTCTTCCCCCGGCCCTGTCTAAATGATTAGGAGAAGTCGCAAGCCTACCTAGGTAGGCAATTTTTCAATATGCGTATTCGAAGCAAGGCGCATAGTCACAGAATTATCTCCTCGTCTGCAAGTGTAGGCTGATCGAGTGACTAATTTACTCACGGCCAAAAACGACGGAGCGCCATCTATACCTAATGGCGTTTGAAGCCACCGCCACAGTGACCGAGGTATATTGGGACATTAGTTAGGACATTTGCGCCCGTAGTCGATATTCTTGTCTCTTCGAAAGACCTATTTGCCACTATTCTCCTTACCAGGTGCCTAGGTAGTTAGTATCTAATGTACTCGATTTAATGCCTTGGTTGACGTTAGAACTACACCGCAACCTCGATGCTTGTAATATCTCACCACCCTTTATTCGACATTGCTTACGAGTAACTAAACGAAGACTATTCGCCGATGACGTAGGTACATCCATTGTCGCCTACCCAAACCTCATGGACGCGCTTAGCATCGACATCAACGCGATCGCCGACGGTGTATGTCTTCTTCTCCGGATTGGCATCCTGGGGGTATGCGATGGTGAACTGGCCATCCAGGATCAGGTGCGTGGTCAGGCCGGCATGAGAATGCGGCTTGTAGTAGGCATTGCTGCATGAGTATGATGAGTTAGCAATTTCTTCCGGTTACCTGGTCGATGCCTCTCTCTCTCTCTCTCTCTCTCAGCCCTTTCTGCTGCATTGGCTGACGTAGGGTTCTGAAACATACGGGCCGTCGGTCCAGGTGAAGACGTGGGAAAAACCCCAAGATCGCACCTCCGCCTCGTAATCCTTGCGGCTCTTATTCGACATGACCCCCTCCCTCTATTTCCTTGTTATTATCGATACCTGGGTGAGTTGAGTTAAGTTCGGTTGAGCTAGGGTCTGATGAATGAGAACGGTTGATTTGCTGGCACAGCCCAAAACGCCTTCAGGTGGATTTGACAGGTCGAAAAAAAAAAACCCGTTTTGGGGGAAACGTGGCTATGTTCCTATTTTTCATTGAGGGGAGTTGGACAACTAGGTAACTAGGAGTAAGCGATCTCGATAAATCATGACGTCGCTTCGGTCTGCAGCCTTGCCCATTTATTGTTACTAGATTTGGACATGTCTATCGGATAACTCCTCCCCCTCTCTTTCTCTTAAACTCCAAAACCCCAACTCCACGTGCTGTTTTTATTGATTACCTGAGATTAGGTAGTTAAATGTCTGCCTATAGGAAGTAGCGATGTTAATGGTTGGGTACTTAGGTACATGTACCCAATGAATTGGGGCTGACAGACTCTTTGGTGGAAAACTGCGTTGTAACTGCAACTACATAGTACGATTGCAACGGTGCAACTGCATCTGCAACTAATGCAACTAAGATACTGTCAAATTCCCACTTTTACTCTTTCCTTTCTACTACTTTCTGCATTCTGATTCTGCACGCACCGCCAAAAACTCCCCAATATGCAATGCCCTGTGCTCAGAAGTCCCTTAAACTACCTACCTAACCTAACCTAACCTCTACCACTTTTCTCACGAAACATTCGCAACACTTGGACGCTCTGTGGAGGCGCAGCTATTGATAGACTACCTTAGCCGCATCAGATCATCTTATTCCGTCATCTCGTCCGCTCAATTCCACCCTTGGCAGCTGGGGGTAGATCGATTCACGATTCGAATCGCAGCGTCTTACCAGGACGGGATATTCTCTGCTTTTTGAGTTGTTTGTCCTCCAACTCCAGACTTTGACCTGAAATAAATTTCTTTTTTTTTTACCTTTCCCTTTTCCTGTGCAAGGCCTCAAATCATACCAACCATGCATCCTAGAGTCGTATCAAAAGCCTTTTCAGCTGCGCTCGGGCTTTGAACAAAACAAATGACATTATTCTAAAAGAGTGGAGAGCATCATCAGTGGGCGATCAAAGGCACCACTGACTTGCATGCCTACACTCTGCCACCTCCAGCTGTCGGTCATCAAATTAGGGTCCAATTAGGCGTTGTCATCAAGCTGTAGAAGACTCCGCCCCCAATGGTCAAGGCCGCGGCACGGCACGACTTTGGCTGACCTAAACCCGTCTTGATAGTAGTAGCAGTCTGGGCCTCTGCTCAGCTGTGCGTTAAGATCAATTCGGCGACCATCTAATTTATTTAGCTGCCTTGCCTCGATTCTTCTTTTTTCTTTCTCAGGTTTTAATTCTGCATCTTCGTTCCTGGAATTCGAAGTCGGTATAACCAGGTTTCCAAGGCCCTCCTCCAAGGACCCTCCAAGGACCCTCCAAGTAAATCAGCTACGTCGTTTGGGTGGTGGGTGACCAAGACATACAGGGCCCAGTCCTACGGTACAGCCCTACGAATAGTAGCTTATTTTCAGGGATCGGCTCCCCTGAAACGGTCGGATTGGTCGTGTTCTAGAGTCAGGTAGGCTTGATTGCTGGGATGAGGCTGCACCCTGCCCATAGCTGAACCTGAACCTTGACATTTTCCTTCTTTTTGCATTTCTCTTCATTTCGCATTACAAACCCTCCTTGTTACTCGCTGTCTACTTGTACGCTTTTCTCGAAATTTATTTTCAAACTAGTTTCCCTAATCGTTAGGTCATCGTGATAGTTGAGCACTTCATAATCTTTCTGTTCTGATTGAGTCGCAAATTGATCTCTTTTTTTGACCCTTCAAAGGCCCAAGGGGAGCGACGCCCTTACTCTGATGCTCTTCGACACGCCTTCTCCTGCTCGATTCGGGCATCAATAAAAGAGCGATACTTTCCAAGAACCGGCATAGTCAAACCGTCTCCGCGAGCCCGATGTGTTTCAATGTAAGCTGATAACAACTTGATGCAATTCTTGTTGCTTCATAACATATTTAGATCACGTTTAAGAGTGAGTGCTGATAACTGTGTCACAGATGCGGAGACCAGCAAACCACGCGACACCGACGCGCGCAGTGACGATGCGGCGGCGACTTACGTTGAACTCTGAGCTTGGAACCAATTCGATTAAAGCACTTAAACGGGCAATTGCTCTAGCTTCATTCATCACACCAACAGCTGTACATTTTCAAGATGGAGAAAAGGAGATATATCTGAGTGCTGCTATCCAACGGCATCTACGAAGACTTTACGACTCCCTGCGCCGAGGACAAACCTTCTTATCACGGCAAGCTTTCACGGACTTCCTCGAAATTGTCCAGGGCAATGAAGCACCAGTCCTAACGGAAGAGAGATATAGATTTGAGAAGTTCCTTGAAGTATGGTGGCTCCAATTCGGTCTTGAAGCGGAAAAACCTGTCCCTTTCGAAAAAAAGGACCTCTCCAAACCTATCAGTAATTATTTCATTAGCAGCAGCCACAACACGTATTTATCTGGCAATCAATTGTCCGGACGAAGCACGGCGGACGCTTACAGGCGCGTTCTTAGGAGGGGATGCAGGTGTGTGGAGATAGATGTGTGGAATAGTGATTCGCAAAGCTCTACACCGGAGAATCCAAGAGAAGCATCGACGAAACCGACTTCGAGATTTGAGCACGTTCGTCACCTTTCTGGGGGGAGTCTTCATACTGCTGCCGCTCATCTCAAGGATGCTGTGGAGGAGACGGTCGAGAAAGCCCGACAAAGACTAGGCGTTGAGAAAGTTCACAGCCATAGCCCAAGATGCAGCAAATCCGAATTAACGCCACCGGCCTTTGGCCGGGAGATTGGCGCTTCCCTCGATCCGGCCTCCCTTGCCAACGAACTTGACGCTGAGCGCTTATCTCTAAGATCTAGACCGTCATTGCCGCCGGACGAGCCGATCGTGATGCACGGTTATACTCTTACAACGCCTATCGGATTTCGTGAAGTTTGTAAAGCTATCCGCGAAGTAGCCTTCGAAACGACCAATCTGCCTATCATTATTAGTCTGGAAGTCCATGCCGATCAAGAACAGCAGGGAGCCATGGTCCAAATTATGAAGGAAGAGTGGGCTGGCTTACTGGTCGACAAGCCCCACGAGAATTGCCCAAATGGCCGAATGCCAAGATTGGAGGAGTTGCTTAACAAAATCCTCATTAAGGTCAAGAGAGCTTCGCCGAGCTTAGACGGGACTATGTCGACGTTATCGCCCCATAACACAATCGACGATGACGCATCTGCATCGGAGGACGATAGATCTAGCATTCACAATGGCGCCAAGAAGCCCAAGGTTCCCATATGCGAGGCCCTTAGCTCTCTTGCTATCTACACCCATAGCGAGCATTTCACGAACTTTGAAGCGCCAGCTGCTAAAATTCCCTCGCACATCTTCTCCATAAACGAAAATAAAATCTTTGAACTAATCGCTTCTAAACATTTTGAGCTGTTTTCTCACAATCGACATTTTTTTATGCGCGCGTACCCCAAAGGCCTGCGGTGGGACTCGTCGAATCTCGACCCTTCTCATTTTTGGCGCAAAGGTGTACAAATGGTAGCCATGAATTGGCAGTCCTGGGATGAAGGGATGATGCTCAACGAGGCAATGTTTTCGGGCGAGCATGGTTGGGTACTAAAGCCGCCAGGATACCTTAGCGAAGACGCGGCCGTCCCCCCAGAAGAGGCCGGCCCTCAAAGTACTCTTGATTTAGCCATCACAGTACTTGCAGGTCAACATATCCCGCTACCTGAGGGCGCTCATAGCACCTACTCGAGATCCCTGAGACCTGTCGTAAGGTGCGAGTTACACGTCGAAAAGGCAGAAGAGCGGTTCGGGTCCTTCATCGACGGGAATGGTAGGGTCCGCGAATGCGAGTACAAGCAGAAGACAGGGGTCGGGAAGACGGATCACCCAGACTTCGGCTACGTCAAAAATGAGCTTCACTTTCTTGGTGTCAAGAGGGTCATAGAACAGCTCAGCTTCGTCAGGTAAGAGCTTACTTACAGCCGTGTTTTCTTTCCGTATTTTCATTTCAAAATTTCCTCCGATACGTCTTCCCGCCGGGCAGCCACATATCTGGACCCGGACGGTCGGGCCTTCACTATGGTATACACACCCAATAGTTCACGTGTTCCGAGCCGGGGAGCAGCCGGCGGCTGAGTTTGCATGCGCAGCGAACCGTCGAGCGACGAAAAGGAGAATATGATATATCACAACAGGCCATAATCCCTCCTGGCTGTCCGCGGGAACGGGGCGAGTCCTGGGGCAGTTATTCTCCCAATCTGGTCTTTTCCTACTACTCAGATCTGCCGACCAAGTTCCATGGCGTTTCGTTTACCAGCTGTGTAACACGGGTCTTTTCCCTAGTTTGTGATATCATGGAGTGTTCCTGAAGATCCCGATTTGTTCATGGACCCTAGCTTACGAATACTTCTCTATCTAGGTTTAAGGTCGAAGATGACGCACCACGATTCGTGTCACTCAACCGCGATCCTCTGCTTGGCTGGGCATGCATCCGTCTCGACCGTTTAGCGACGGGTTACCGCTTTATCCAACTTTTAGACACCAATGGTAACAAGACCCCAGGTGTCATTCTCATTCGCGTGGATAAGAAATTCCATTGACCCAATTTCATGCGAACCAGCGAAGTCGGCGGCCGTAAGCACGCAGCCATTTTGTTTTGACACCGCTCATGTGCGACAAGATTAGCATGTCATGCATGCATGACTGCGTAAACCGAAAGCCAACGGGGTCTTTTCTTCGCTCAACTTCCCCTGGCGCCCATTTCCGAAGTTAATCTCACTTGTCATTTATCATTACTACCTACTGTTAAATCGTTTATGCATCAAAGAAAAGGAAACGGGAAGCGAGCAACCGGCCAAAATCTAGGGTAGATTGTGCTAAGGAAAGCACAGGTCGAGTAGCATCATTGTCATTATTATACTGGCGAACTTTTTTTTTCTTCTTCAATCTCGGGTGTAACTGGACAAGGTTTTTAGGAAGGACACAGCAGCTGTGGTCCGAAAGCCGACGTGTTTGGGAAAGACACCGGCATTATCAGATGGGATTCTCACGTATGAACGCGGAGACCCATCATTTTTTTACTTTATTTTTATTGCATGATAGGATACCCGGAACGACAAACATGTTCTTCGTTGGCATAATACCTGCATTTATTGGGCCCGACTTGACGGAGCTGATGCAATTATTACTCACTCAGCCCTTAGAGGTGAATGTTGAAAGTCAGAAGGAGTTATGTAGGAAAAAGAAAGCTTCGTCCATGATACTATGCAGCGGTATTTGTTAACTTAGGTTAGGTACCTATATGAGGTACGTATGTACGTACGTGGTTATCCATGCAACTCACTCACTCACCTCCTATACGGACCCTACCTACCGTACGATTCAACCGTTTCCTATAGGCATTATTGAATAAGGAACAGCTTACGGCCCACGGGGGATTTCCTTAGCGTGATGATAAAAATGCCCATGAGCTAAGGCGAACAGGGATAGAAGAACTTAGAAGTATGGTAAGATAGGTAATAATCTCAAGGACAGGCCCTAGGGAGACGGGTACCTAATCTTTCAGTGTTACCCTTCCCAAGTGATGCTTCTGTCGTCTATAGACTACCTAAGGTACCTCTCTGCCATAAACTTGACTTGACCTGGACTAGGTAGGTAGCTTGGGGGTTTGGGTACTTAAGAGGTAGGTTAGGCACTCAAGATACTTAACTAACTAACGGAGCCAATGTGGATAGGTTAGGTAGAGTGCGTATTGCTCGAGAAGGGGCTAGAATTCCTGATAGGTGTCGACTACCTACTTTAGGTAGGTACCTTAGGTCAGGTAGCTGGTACAGGTGGGCCGGAGTGATAGATATCAGTAGAAGCTTTCCGACTAATTCTAGATAGTAAGAGGTAGGTAGGTATGTGTGTATATTCGGGAGCGGCTCGATGTGGCGTTTATTCATATTCATATATCGTAATTACCTACCGTTCGTCCGCTAGGTAGTGGGGAAGTGAAGGATATGGCATATACATACCTAGATAGGGATCGTCCTAGGGGAATAGGAAAAAGTCTAGACCATGTCGATTCCATTTAATGAGGTAATGCCCATTCGCTCGGTTGGTGAGTTATCATATAACCTATGCCATGTCTCTTCGACCTTCCTAGGTTGGTGAGAGCTAATTCACCAATCACAGCTTGGATAAAAGTGAGTCCGAGACACCATTCGTGGGCCGATACACCTAGTTTCTTCGCATCTGACGTGTCTAGGCTAGTTCTGTGCAAAACCGACCTTTCCCATGTGATCGTTGGATACGCTATGGTAGATCCTCGATCAAGCTTATGAGCTATCAGATTTCGCCTATCTATGACTGTCTCGGCGGCCCTAGTTGGTGTATTTGCTCGTGTCTATGACATAGACCCGGGTTACTGGGAGCTTGTCTGGCTCGGGTTTACCTAGGTAGCTAGTACTAGACAATACACAGAAGCCGACTCGGCCGTAGGCAATGTGACCTATTGAATTTGGAGGAACGTGGTTGTCTGTCTACTTGCTATACACCGCCTAGGTATTCTCGCCGCGATCGTCATGTCAAAGTCTACCTGAGTAGGTCTCGTCTCGCTATTCTATATCCTTTTTCGTATATCCCTGGCGTTGTATAGAGTGTAATAATGTCTTACTCCTTGGAAGAGTGAGACAGGTTGTAAGGTAGGGCGGGTGTGTAGGGCGGGTGTACCCGTTAACCGTTGAGTTTAGGCTTTTCCAGATGGTTGCAAATGAAAGGAGAAGAGGTAGGTAATCGTAGACGAATGATGTACTCAGGCATGCAAGAGCATTATCGAATTCCTCTGGTTTTCTTCTGTTCTTGCGGGTCCTAGTTCTACTGGCCTGGTTTTTCTGCCTCTCTAGGTACCTGTTAGTCTGGATGCTCAAATCAAATAGTGGATTAGCATCTACGACGTGACCTCCCCTTTGTGAGGCTCCATTAGATAACGCCGGAGATATAGTGTCCATCTCCTGTGTTGCCATCCTTAGCTCAATCCGTCGATGATGTCCGTAAACATCGACTCCATAGACCGCCTTATACCTTAGGTACTATACAGACTAGGCGTCCTTGGCGACAATATGACGGATGGAAATCTATGTTTATACCTTCTATACCTGATACTGTATCCTTGCTACACCAAGGGTTCTCCCTGCATAGACGCGCGTGTGCATATGGTTACAGGGAGATCCCTTCTGCGTGCCGGCCCGCCTCCTTTTTGGCGAGAATATTTCCTGTTGTGGATGAGCGTGTTCCATCCGCGTCATGAGGCTCATCTTAGACACCTAGGTCTGGCGGCTATACGCTTCCTCTTTCCCTTTTTATCTAACGTCTCGCACTGGCGTTACTACTTTGAAATTCTGGCCAGAAATTTGGCCCCCACGGATACTCGATCTATTCATTGTTAGCTAGCCTCATTCGATATCGGCATCGATTTGACGTTGAATGAACTCAAGTTTAGGTACAGACTGAGTACATATCCGGTATATGCATATGCAAATGAACAGAGACGCAGGTACATTAATGTTCATTTTTAATTTTGTACCCCAATATCTGCATGACGTTCCTGAGCGGGAGCGCCTATTTACCTGGTTGGTCAGTCGGACCCCGAACCGCCCCATGCTGACTGAACATGGGCCATTGCTACCCCTGGTATATAATAAGTTTACCTTTGCGTTGGCAGATGCAGCAACGTTACGGTGGGAGATCTCTGAGGATCTAAAGCAGTAAGTATACGTCAGTCGGCTTGTGAAGCAACCAGTCAGGGACTTTTGTGTAACCAATAACCATCCCATTCACATAGAGCAGACCCTTTTTCTAGAAACCAGGGGAAACGTGAAGATTCCCCAGGGTAGATCAGCTGCGACTGTAACCGAATAGCCGAGCAGAAAGGTGGGATGGCCAGCCTTAAGGTTGATCGCCATTCAAAAGGTGCCAGTAGGCTATAGGTCCCGTCATAATAGTAGCTGGTAGCTATAGTTCAGTAGTTTTTTTTTCGACGCCTATTTCGGCAGAAGCGAGAAGGGGGCGGGCCTCGGTGTGTGATATTTGCCCAGTAGCGGAGTTTGATCAACAAAGGCCGTTGCTTTAAACTTGTCGCTACCACACTGAGGGATATCAACGGAAATAGCCACACTATAGCCATTCATAGATTAATAATGCTACGGAAGTAACAAGCGATGCAAAGGTACTAGTTTAAAAATGGGTTGTGAAGACACGCTTCAACCAACGACTGCGGACTGGCTGTGTTGCAATGAATGACATGGTTGTGGTCTGATCAGCCTATGCGTGTTGGCCGGTAATTGTTGCAACGAGTTAATTCGCGGCAGCTCGTCGATACCATCTGCTGACGAGATCTGCAAAAGGAAAAAAAAAATTAGAAGAGATAGAGAGGAGCAGAGATAGACAAAGGGAAGACCCGTTACGGAAACACTACCTAAGCTAGTAGGATGCTGTTAATAGCGGGCAACAGCTGTGCTGTACCTTTATTTTCCGTCAAGGCATAGAAGTTCGATGCTGTCTCTCCATTGTGTAACGGTCACTAAGCGAACACCCGCTTGACAGCAACATGGTCCTGTTTCTGATGTATGCCGGAATCGGCAACATATCCTGCAGGCAATGCGCCGCTAATAATGAGAAATAACCTTTGCATTAGTTGCAATTTTTTTTCTGCTACGTCGTGTGGCTCGTCAGCTAGTCCTGACAGGGGGTATTGCTTGACTAGTCGGCCGGGCTGTAACTGCGTCGACATCTCCTATAGGCTGCGTTTAAACAGCTTGGGCGATGTCATTGAATAAATTCGGGATATAAGAACCGAGAATTGGATGGACCCTTTTTAGAAGGGAGGGCCACATGCTTCGGAGGCTAGGTATCAAGACGTATGCAGCTTGTGTCCCTAGTATACAAATGGATAGTTTAAGCACTAGGTAGTGATATTTTTGGAGACTAGAGACGGGTGACGTCGGTCGGGGAATTTCTAGTTTCCCTGATGGTCGAGGTGCAATTCTCGATAGAAGCATCGCAATGGGATGGCTGTTGTTATCTTGAGGTCGGCAGTGGGGCACGACGCTCGAGACTAGGAATGTGGTCCTCTCTTCATTCGTCCCGGCGTAATGGTACCGTACGCTGTAGCCCATGCAAGTTCCCTTTGGTGTTGCCGAACCTTTGTAATAGAACAGGGATAAGACCCAAACCCACGGACGATGAGCAGATCAAGTGGCGTCGTCAAGGGTGCGACAGGCCGGTATAATTACGTCCTTAGGTTATCTGTTTATGGTTAGCCTCGACCGCCTGGCTTCAGAAATATACCTAGATGTATACCTCCTCTACTCATCATAACATGTTTGGTAACCGATGTAGGTAGGCGAATCTTCAAACCTGTGCACTTCCGGGTGTTGCATGGCCGGGCCTAGCCTAGCTACGTGAGAATTGACAGAGCGGAAATCAAATCGGACGAATAGTTTCACTAGGGGAGTGGACGGGTGAGTACACATGTGCGGATTACAGAAGGACATGTTCTTCAACCTTATTTTCCGCTAACCATCAACCGGCGGGGATACTAGGCGGTAAGAGCTGTCGAATATGACAGGTCTGTTGGGCTTGACTTGAAATCTCGTCGCTGACGTTGATGTACGTCCTCTACGTCCTCTAAGTCCCATGACCTTTGTCTTGCCGAGTGGGACTTAGTGATCCGCAAGACTTAATGCATACCATTTTGAATATCGCGATAGCCGAATAGTACGACCAATTGCTTGTCGAGCCTGGTTGTAACAGGTATAGGGGATAGGCATATTGTGACCTGTCATTTTTCCATGCAAAATACCGGGTTAAAGGCTCTTCCGCATGAGACCTGCAAGGACCCCCGGCTAACATAAACTCCGTTATGTTGATAATGGGTCGGCTATGCAGAATGGCGAAACTACCTCTGATACCTATGATAGATGGCTGAGACTATCGAAGCTGAATACGGGCAATACGTTTCGCGGCTTTGGAAAGAGTCGATACCCATCAAATTAGCGACAGAATCCCAACTTACCTAGTATCGCGCCATTATAGTACTCGCTACGAAATTCGGCCATTTCCCCCTCTTCCGAGCTCGCTTGATTAGGTAGTCCCGCGCAGCGGTTTTTCTGGACGACTATAAGCCTCGAAGCTCTTACCCACTAGAATAGCTTCAGCTCGAGCTGTCCATCTTTGAGCAATTTGATTAGCAGCCTTCTTTAGTCGAAGAAAACCGTTTCTAGGTGCTTCTTTGATCGGTATCCAATCTAACTGAGCCTATGCATTGGCTGTTCTGACCAGTTCAACCTCCCGAGCGACCAACGGGATGGGAACATGGGTGGATTGCTGGCTAAACAGACGATCTTAGGAGTCAGAAAAATCGCGACTGGGTGGGCTGGTATGAGAAGAGCTAATTATTGAGTGACTGCAAAGATTGATACGCCGGGTTCAAGGATACTACCTCCTCAGAAATCATTCGCGGTAGTCGCTCGGATGAATGGGCTAGTATCCACTGGGAAAGGCTTCATGTATGCCAGCTCATGTGGTTACTTTGTGGGGCTCTGGAATCCAAGTCTGCATGTCGTGAGGAGGCCCCGAGGTGACAGGCACAGAGACGAAGGCGTCAAAGAGGAGTAAACTCCGTGGCATATGATAGACCCCCTGGTCGGACGGGAGCGCGTAAATCAGTCAGCAAAAAAAAGGAAAAAAAAAACATCATTCGATTAGAATGAACGGTGGCCCAACCAGAAGGACGTCTAGCGGGTAAGTTCAAGAGGGTATGGGTGTGGTGTAGCGGTTAGAGATAACCCTGGGATCAACGAGCATTAATCGACTTTCTGGTTTGGGCAACGGGAGAATTTCTTACCTAACGGCTTAGAACTGCTACGTACGACGTAATGAGTTCTGGAACTTGTCAATCGGGTTGTTTCACGTCAGATATCAAACCTGAACCTCTGGTCGTGTATTGCTCTCTTTGTCGAACACGTATGACGATCTGCCTTGTAGACAGCTCAACTAAATCCCCACAAAAGGATTGCAATCCCGAGGAACAAAGCCCAATTGCTTTTATGGTAACTGTTTAGGAAAGAAAGAGAAAAAAAAAGTCAATAAAAAAAGAAAGAAAGAATAATAGCCACGAGAGTTAGTGATTGATCTGATTCCTGTGGGGTGAATCTGGTTGGGTGCAACGAAGCCAGCGTAGGACAAGTCCAGGGGTTACGGTAAGCTCTTCTAGACTCGCAAAGGGGGGGGGCGCGTGAAAGGGTAGTAAACGATATCGAAAATAATTCAACAACGGCAACATCGCATGGATACTGCAGGCGGTAGTACGAGAGAGTGACAGGGTAGACGACGAATCGGCGCTTGCTTGATTCTTCTTTTTCTTCTTTATTTTTTATTTTTATTTTTACTTTTCTTATGTTACGCTAGTCTTGCAATCAAAAGAGAGACAAGAAGCTAAAGGGGAAAAACATACGTCGTGATGCGCGTAGATGGGATAATAGAATTCCTAAACCCAACAACCAACGACTTGAAACTTCCAATGTTTCTGGTAGGAAAACAAAAACAAAAACAAAAAAGAGTAGATGAGACGTCGGGTACTTATCAATATTGGACAAAATACGGAGTATGTAAGTGTAAAAGCTATGAAGGAGTCGTCTACTCGCCCAGATGAAAAGTAAATTTAGAGTTTTAGGAGTAGGTTAGATGGCAGCAGCGCCTTCTTGGAAGAAACGCAGTAACAAACTTTGGAAGTGACGCAGTAACAGCCCTAAAGTTTCTCAGGTCGCACAGGGGAGAGTACACTAAGAAGGCAGCTACCTAATTACACATAAGTGCCTTTCGATGCTTCCACTCCCCCATCAAACCCCTTCTCCAATATCCGAATTCATCTTTCCCATATTCCCTTGCTTTGATCTAACCATTAACATGCAACTCTGTGTCTTTTATACGCGGGGGATCCGAACGCTTGGATCGAGAAAAACTTGGCAAACCCGGATACTGGGATGATTTTCCATCAATATAAGAGGTTACAAATGTATGTGATGTGATGTATCATGTATGTGCACCTCCTAGGTAGGTACCTAGGTAGGTATGTTGTATGTATGCATGTATTGCGCATACCTAATGCATACCATACGTGCATATTCTCATGCGGTACCTAAAGGTTTTATTTAAGGTTACCTAAGGTAGGCTTACGTACTACATACATGCATAATAGATAAAGTATTGTACGTATACTTTCCACCCTGTAAATGCCCCCTTAGGTATATCCACGTACAATACAATTTGGACAATTAAAAACCATAAGCCCATAAGCCTATCATGTACTACATAGGGAATTGGGTACGTAGGAGGTAGATAGGGAGGTAGGTAAACTCACCCTTTTCAAAAAGAAAAATAATAATAATAATTTTTATACTTCCCAGTTATTCATTTTTTTCTATTTCTACCTAGATCTATATCTAATTCTTTTTTTTTCTTTTCCCCTCTTAGGTCCTCTTTCTCCCTCCCCACCTCGAGATCTCATAAAAATCACCCCCAACGGGCCCGAGTCTCCGCCAACCCGGTCTTTATGACAATCGTAGCTAGGTAGTTGGCGGTACAGGCTATCCCTGTTTTCTTGCTTTTTTATCTCGCCCTGTCTGACCCTTAAAGCATCGTCGAGATGTTCTGGCCCACACACACTTTTGAACATACGTACATAGACTACCCGCATACAACATAAATACACTGACTTGACGGTCACGATCTGCCTCTAAACATTAGTCCAATAGAGTCTTCTGACGCCATATCCGCTGTGACACAGATGTCATTCAGTGCCAAGAAGTCTACGGCCTGACTGTCCCACGTTTCTGCCCTTTCTACCCTTTCTGCCCTCTCTGCCCTCGAGATCAACCCCACTTGTGTGAGTTGTGTCCTGTCAGAAATTCAGGTCGCCGTGTTCATCTGCCTATCGAAGCATGGCTGGACGCATCGGGCTCAGTCACCGTAATGGTGCTTTTTGCCGGGATATTGCTCAAAAACTTGACTTGCAATATTATTACCTTGGCTTAGAATCCGTGCCCCTGACGAATAGAGCAGAGCGACACCCCCCTCTGCCGCGAGCCTTCCGCTGCGCGCTCGACATGATTCCGTGCTTCTTCGTCGGATACATACAGGTTCCTATTTTCCACGCATAGACTAAGTACGCCAGCCGCACCCAACGCGGCAAATCGTGGCCTTTTGAATTGACCCTCTTGCCTTGGCCCTACGATACACCTCCCTCGACCCATGTTTCGGCGTTGACCTACTAGAAAAGTATAAGTACGGCCGTAGGGACTTCGAGTTTGGTCAGACATACCACACCATCCATTATTATCCACGTCCGTCTCGTCGCTCTCCTCACCAATAGTCCTTTCATAATTGTTAACGCTCCTTTGATATATTTCCCCCCACCTGCGTCTCATCCCTGTTCTTTAGCCAAATCTGCACAATGACTTGCTCGCACATTCATTGCTCTCACCCAACATCCCGGGTCCAGCGTTGCTCTGACCCGGCATCTGACCACGCTTGCCCCTTAGTTGATATGTCTGGAACTGTACGTGTCAGGTGCCTATTTACGGAGAATAAATCATGTCTCTAACAATCCCAAAAAGGCTCCCGGAAAACGCTGCCCTACCTGCCAGAGCAAGGGCCAAGAAGTCTGGGTCTTGCCAGGACGTGACTGTCCGTACTGCGGAACTTATGTCGCCTGAGCCGAATAACCTCAAGTCAGTTGCCAATTGTCAGGTGATATTCGGAAGTTCTCGACTGACACTGGAAATTCAGGCATGGGCCGACGGCGGGGCTCTGTTCTGCGCAACGACCATCGCAATATCATTTCTCAATTCCTTTCTCTGCATGTTCCAAAGAGCATGACGAATCGATCTTGACCCTGTCCTGGTCGACCGCATAGGCTATCGAATTCGCTAAGACCTAGCGTCTGTCTGGAAAAGAAAATCTTTCGTCGGAGGGAGGCGCATTTCTAGTAGTACACGTCATTTCGAAGTCATTGGCTTGCTGGCTTGAAAAGTCGGTGTCTACTCCGGGGAACGCGAGTATGAAACTCGATACAATTTTTTTTTCTCGTATTCCTTTTTCTTCTTCGTCTTGGGGATACGGAAGGGGGAAGGGGGGGCGTCCCAATAGATTCGAGATCGGCCGGTTAGAGACGTGTATGAGCATGTAGAAAGCGGCAATACCCAGAACGTGAAGGAGTAACCTTCATGTATCTATTCAAAAGGCGATTCAAAGACGTGAAATACCATCCCATTTTCGAAAATCAGATCACACACTAATGCCTTAAGCAAGTTGAAAGGTCTGGCGAATCATAGCAGCTGTCGATGAACAAGGTCGAGTACCGGAGTAGGACCGGCGTGGTAAAGTATTATATCTGATTTGTCAGTAATTATCCATCTGAGACGCGAGTGGCTTAGGAAGGTTGGATATGATTCGCCATATGTCCCCCGTCAGCCCTGCAAGGCTTGGGGTGCTTTGGGGTGCTTGGGTGAGGCTCAAGGGGGTAGCACCCTAGTGAACACGGTGCTTTACTGGCGTATGTTTTTTTGGTTAAAGGTGGAGATGCAGGTTCGTAGCATACATGTATCTCATGTATCTGCATATATGTCTGCATATACGCACAGGCGTCGGAAGGTGCCATCAGGTACCAACATTCACCGGGCATGACCGACTTACCGAATATGTAAGACGGCCTGATGACTACAAGCCGTTCGAGAGTACATGTAGTTACTTATGAGGCTCCGGCATCCAATCTTGGCTCGGGTTTCTGAGCTCGGAAGTTCCGACGTTACACAGCAGACGCGGGCGCTTCCCCTCGGTACCTGACTTTCCAATAGGGCGGGTTTAGGGGCTTGACATGCTTTCCATCCCTGGTATTATCTTTTCTACCACCCTGACATCATTGGTCACCTACTTACCTGTGCAACATATACTTCCCGGTCGACACTCGTCTTAGCATGTGGCTGTTATAAGATACCCCTACATCTTCTAACGAGTGATGAAGACAAGGTAAAAGGACTAAGGAACAATATCGTCCTAAACCATTGCCGCCGTAGTGCGTAGAAGGTGAAGGATGGACTTGCTTCATCTAGTAGTTATTACCGGGTAATTCGGCCCCTCGACGAAATGGCTGTTAAGATCTTATTTTGGTGATAGAATACGATGGCCTATTGCGGCCCAGACGTATATACAACAAGTACTGGTGTGTTTATTCGGGAGGGCCGAAAGTAGCATATGCTTCATTCATAATGTGAATAACATTATGACATGAGGAACATGAGGAACTTCCTCAGTTCCCTGTAATAAGTAAATAAAAGGGAGAAGGGAAAAAAAGGTAAAAAAAAAAAAAAGAAAGTCTTAACCTTTTTTTTTTTTTTTTTTGGTAAAACCAGAAGCGACAAGCAGACCGGCAGGTAGGAGAATGGTGGGAAAGGGACATGGCAAACCCTTACCCCCTTACCCTATGCAAACGGCAGGCGTACCGCGCCCAATCTTACTAGGACGACAGTACCCGATCTAGAAAGAGCAACCACGCCGGTTTCCCCCTACGGCTTTTCTACTTCAGCTGTGTTACTTGAATATCAGCTAGGATTACGTACATAAGTATGTATTAGTCCAGTACTATCAGTCCAGTGCTCAGCTGGGCAGCTGGGGTCACTGGGTACTTGCCTCGCTCATCGTTTCCCTTGTTAAGGAGAATGATGAGCAATAGCAGGCGACATGTCATTTCCTTCCCACTTGGAAGAAATCCTTTCGAAAAACTAGCCCCAATCGCGTGGACGGACCCCGAATCCACTTTCTAGGCTTTCTAGGCTTTAGGTACATAGGTTTCCTTGAATAACAAATACCTTTTACCCGAGTCTATTCTCTCTTGTTTACATCTCAGGTGGACATTATCAAGCTGACTTCACATAGGCTTTGCAAATAGTTATTGCATCAAACATTCCATCTACTTACTTCATTAAGTCACATTCGCTATACAAATATATGGGATACCGAGCTTAAAAAGAAAACAAAAAAAGAAAACAAAAAACTGAGGTCCATACAAAATGTCTTGTCGCATGCCGGAGTGTCATTATATCTCCCCGAATGGCTCAGTGACGAAGCTCGACCACGACAAAGACACTAGACCCGGCGCCACATTTTATTACTGCTCCATCCACCATGTCTATCACCGTATCGTAGTGAGGGCCCATCGGCGTCTCCCTCAGCCACTCTGCGGAGAGTGCGCCTGGCTCTTCTTTAAGTTCCCTAAAGAAGCCGCCAAGCATCCCGAGTCTGACATCATCGCCACCGCCGGTCCTAGTGACATACCAGCTATCGCAGTTGGTTCTTCTTTCAGCCGTGAAGATCCCTATGACAGCCTGCTTAGTGTCCATAGCAGCACTGCGATCGATACTAGCGCTGTTACAATGCCTTTAGATAGAATTAAGCGTCCGCTATTAACTATACAGGAGATGCTCGGCAGTCTCAAAGAAAGTGTTCACAACCGCCGCGAGACGTCACAGCCTGGCAGCTAGGAGCGTGTCCGCCAGTACCCCGATGTAGTCGGTAGTAGCCGAAGAGCTCCAAGTCGTGTCAGAGAGGATTCTGGAGCCGGCGAGTATGATACTTACGTGGTAGACACAGACGGCGATATTATCATGCAGGACAATACATCATCGTCAAAACAGCGCAACATCCCTCCCGCGATACCGGCTGGCGGAATTGTCTACTTGCCTATCCGCCGAAGCCGCAATGGAAGCCGAACTGACTTCCTGGAGTTTATTCCATATGACAACCCGGCTGTCCTTGATGTGCGGCCGGCACAGTGGCATCGTATCCGTCGAGGAGTCTTCCTGTTCCGATACACGGACTACAGAGGATGGCCCGCTATACAACCGGTGGCGGATGAGCGCTGCATCAAAGCGTACTTTAAGCCTCTTGACGTCATTGAGGGAGACGGAAATTGCGATAGGGCATTGATCGAGGCGCGCTGGTGGTGTTGTTGGGCTCAGGGCATAACATATCTAGAGCCAGAGCTACGATGGGTCCTGACACTTATTTTTGACCTAATCGGATTTTTCATCGAGAAGCAGAGGAACGCTACGAGATACTCGATAATTCATGGAGTCACGGACTTAGCTCTTGAGAGGCTGTTCTGGGAAGGTCGATCATACCTCCACAGCCTAATAGCTATCGTGAATGATATGAAGGAGGGGTTTGGCATCGAGAACTTGGTGACTCCCCAGTTGCCCCAGATTATTGGGACTTGATCGAATTGCGGTGATATACTATTCGGTCCTCCAACCTACCACAGCGTTAGATATCCTACTTTGTTCTGGGTAGAAATTAGTATACTTCAAAAAATAAGCGTACAAGTCGTTACTAACTCTTGAGCATCAGTTTTTACCCCTGCAATGCTACTTGCTTAATAACTGGACTTAAGGATACAAGGCGATATGTATGGTTTAAATATCATCTAGGGTAAGTGGTTGATGGATGACCTTCTTCCAGTAACTCATGAAAGTACAATCTCCACTCATCTATATCTCTTAAAGATATGCTTACTCGTTTAACAGAATGTTATCATATACAGAACATAATTAAGTCCTGCCTCACTGGCTGCCATCCTCCCCTTTGCGTAACGAAGTTCCTTACCTTAGGTAGTCAATATCAAAATCCGTTTCGCAACTGTCGGGACCGGTTCACATCGGTCCATAACAGGGTCTGCAAAAACCACGCTTCGTCTTCTTGCCCTTGTGGCGCGGTGTAGCGACGTTCAATCCCCTTTGGCCATTTTGAACGGGTGACTCCCCAAGCGCATTCTGAAAATGCGCCTCCTGAATAATAGCAAGTCTGTGCTTGTCCGATATGTGAATGGATTCTGGTAAACGTAAGTAAGTACGCTTGGTGGTATCCCCTTATAACAGGTGGGTGACAAACGGCCGAGATGTTTTGATAAGAGGTAAGTACGTAGGTAAGTAAGGTATGCGAGCCTAACCCAATAAGTACTGTCTGTCTGTCTGTCTATGTATCTTGCCACTTGGGAAGTTCAGCTAGGTAACACTAATATTAACTTAATTAGAGAGATAGACAGTCAAGGTTTCTTTCTTACTATACAGCCGCTTCGCACACGAGTACATTTCGTAGGCACTTAAGCAACGATAGGTTTCAACTTTTCAAATCTGGAATGAATTCCTATGAAAGCCGAAGCTGATTAAATCATATATGGCCATGGAAAGAATAAAATAGATTCAAGTTAGTTGGTCCTCTCGATATAGATAGTCTACGTTGAAACTTGGTAATAACTCACTCAATTCAGTGAATACCTAGGGGCCAAGTAAGATAAGACACAGTGAAAAGTTAAGTAAAGTGCTCCTCCTAATAAAACTGTTGAAACTTGAATATTACCTAACTTACCAGGCAAGTACTTCTTAGCGTAGTTAATTAAATAAAAACAAGGGAAAGCATACTCTTATTTATATCTCTTGACAGTATGTATGTATGTATGTATGCACGATGGTGGTGGTTGATTTGCAAAGGTCTAGTTTTGGCTTAGAGCCGCCAAAAAAAAAATAAAAAGGTAAAATAAAGGGTTTGGCCGGGGATTGAACCCGGGACCTCTCGCATGCTAAAGCAAAGGGTGGACCCTAAGCGAGAATCATACCACTAGACCACCAAACCAAGTGGGTTGTGAAACCATTTAGTGACCAGTGGCCAATCATGTCAAATAGCCCTTTACTAAACCTTATAACGCAAACTTGCTCCTTCCACCTGAATGAAAAGCGTGACAATCGTGGGACGTATGTAGCAGGGACGGCAAAAGCAACAACTCACTCAATCGGAAATATCTCAAAATATCACAATTTGTACCTTTAATGAAGGTATAACTTAGACTTTGGTATAGTCACTGTTAGTTACGCAGTTCTATATTAAGTTTATTTGTAAATTGAGAAGATACAAGGTAAAGCGACTCATGCAAGTCGTTAATAGGCTTTTGTTATACGCTTTCAAGCTAGAGACCACCAACAGCAGCCTCAGTTCCAGGTTCAAGTTTATTAATTTTTCTTTTATCGATCGGCAGGCATTTAACCAGAATTCAAACTTCAGGACAAGTGAATACTGAATTACCAAATTTTTACATTTCCATACCTGTCTTGTCTTGTCTTCTCTTTTCTGAGTACCTCATATCTTCTAACAAATACCCAGATTAGGTACCTAAATGAGTACTTGTCCCTCCCCCTTTTTTCTTTCTTTTTTGTTATCTTCCCAATGCAAAATAAACCAACCAGTTTACCTACCTACCCTCTGCCCCCCCCTTCCTGAAAACGCCCGTAGATGCTAGTTAGGTAGTCAAGATGCTCGCTTCGCCCTCTCCCTCCTCGCCTTCTAGATGAATCCCTTCAGCACCGCCGCCTCCGCGTTCAATATCGAGGAACCGGCTGCTCCGATGACAGCTGTGTAGCATGTTAGTCCTGCTCTGACTACTCCTAAAAGGTACTAAGGCATGGGATGGGATGGAAGAATGAGAAAAAAAAAGAGGGGGAGGGAGGGAGGGAGAGGGGGGTTCTTACTGTTATGGCTCAGCGCAACAAACTTGATATCGAAGATCCCGCTCTCATCTTCGCGCACCCGGCCCACGCTAACCGTGTACCCACGGCTCAAGTCGCGGTCGAGCCTCGGCTGCGGGCGGTCCGGCTCGTCGAAGACCTGGATGCTGGGGCGCGGGGCGCTCGGGCAGCCGAGCTTCTCGGCGTCGCTGACGTAGTCCCTGAGGGCGGCGCGGACGTCGTCGGCGCTAGGGGCGGGCCGGTTCTTGAAGCGCAGGGAGACGCAGGCGGTGTGGCCGTCGAGGACGGGGACGCGGTTGCAGGCGGCGGAGACGCGCAGCTGCTCCTGCTCGACGAAGGCGGTGGCGTCGCCGTTGATGGACCCCAGGATCTTCCGCGCCTCCGTCTCCAGCTTGTCCTCCTCCCCCGCGATGAACGGCACCACGTTGTCCATGATGTCCATGCTGCTGACCCCCGGGTACCCCGCGCCCGAGACCGCCTGCATCGTCACCACGCTGACTGTGTCCACGGGTCCGAAGCGCGCTTGCAGCGCCGCGAACGGGATCACCAGCCCGATCACCGCGCAGTTCGAGTTGCACACCAGGAACCCCTTCTCCAGGCCGTGGTGCTTCCGTTGGTGCGGGATCAGGTCGAGGTGTGGCAGGTTGACGGTGGGGACCACGAGGGGCACGAGGGGGTCCCGACGGTAGTTCTTCGCGTTAGAGAAGACGGCTAGGTTCGCCTTGAGGAATTCCATCTCTGCAAGACGAAGGGGGTATACGTATTAGTCTATCATGTTATAACTTTATAATAGAGGTAAATGTTTTTCTTCTTTTTTTTCGAGATATATAAAAAAAAGACGTACCGATTTCACCAGCGACGTCCGAGTCCAGACCGCTGAAGACGACGTCGCAGTCGGCGAACTCGCTGGCCTTGCACTCGCGGACGACCAGCTCGCCTACGGCGCCTATGGGCGAGGCTTGCTTCCATCTCACGGCGTCCTTGTACTTCTTGCCGGCGGATCTAGACGATGCTCCCACGGCGTGGAGGACGAAGTGTGGGTGTTGGGATAAGAGCAGGATGAACCTCTGGCCCACGGAGCCGGTGCATCCCAGCACACCTATATGTAACAAGTATAGTTTAGTATACGACTTCTTTCGGCCATTGGCATTGGCATTGGTACCGAAGGGAAATTCTTACCGCATTTCTTAGTAGGGAATTGAGAAGCCATTATCGTCTATAAGATCTAAATAAACCAACAAGACTGAGGATTTAAATTTCCGGTGTTAGATGATTTGTTTTGTTTTGTTTAATTTTTTTTATACAGACCAGAGGAAAAGCAGAAAGGGAAGAAGAAGTTAAAAAAAAAAAAGTTAATGAGTCAGTCAAGCTCGTGTCATTCAACTCACTTTGCCCCTTACGATTTATAGATACCTAACCTATACCTAGGCAGATTTATATACGGAATTGGAATCGGAAGTAGGTAGCATGAGCATATCGTAGTGAAAATCGGCTGGTTCCAGTTTGTTACCAAAATTTTGCCCCGCCACCTGAGGTACAACTCGAACTCACCCCGCTATCCGCCATCGGAACAACGCCTTCAGGGGTCTGTGTAAAAGACTCCACTGCGCTAAAATCCATCCCGCTAGACCATTGGCCTAAGATTCGGTGTCTGACTCCCCCCTTTTTTTGGTGAGCTCTTTCAAACGGCGTTCTTCTAACGGAGTCTGCCGTTTGCTCTTCACAGAAGCCGAGTTACATGTTTCCGGATTTAACATTTAACGTCTGATTTTCGAACGTCAGATTCTGGTTGATGGGGGAATACAATTGTCTCTTATATCTGGTAACTATAAATTGTCGTACTCTCTTTACCGGATATGATCATATATTGACTTCCGATCTACGGTGGTTTACAGATCAAGCTAGATCAAGCTAATAAACATCTTTTCTAAACGCTTCATACGGCATAGATATATATACAAGTTTTGCATTGCCAAGCGTTCAATCCCAGAACCTACTTTCACCAGAGAACCCCTTCTAGTCCATTAGAGGTATACCTTCAAACTCCGCATATCCACGAGCCAGGTTCATGTTTTCTATTATATATGTTAGCATCCCAACTTGCTTGTTATAACATCTGGGGTATCATGATACTTACGCAAACATTGTGTTGCAGCTCCCTTGAGAAGATTGTCGATTGTCACGCAGATAACCGCTCGCTTCCCAGAACTGTGAACCGCGAATCCGCCGATCTCGACGCCGTGCTTGCCGCTGATGGCCTTTACCAACGGTGCCTCTCCTACCACCTTGACTAATTTCTCACCCGCGTACCTATCCTGGTACATCTGCCTAATATCCCGCGAAGTCATTGTCTTGTTCAGGGGAATGTTGATAGTGTGGTGAATGCCCTGGAACCACACTGCGACGTGAGGGATGAATCCTACATCGACGCCGAGCTGGCTACTGATCTCCTTTTCGTGTATATGATCCGTTAGGCTGTAGGGAATAATATTGTCGGTCAGTAGCTCTATATTGTTCTTTGCCGAAGGCTTGGTGCCTGCTCCTGAATATCCGGAAACTCCAAAGACGGTAGGCTGACCACCAAGATGCTCCACGAGAGGCGCGATACCGAGTTGAGCTGCCGTAGCGTAGCAACCGGGGTTTGCAATGTGCGTTGCCTGAGCGATTGCTGATCGCTTGACTAGCTCGGGAAGACCATACGTCCACGATTTGTCAAATCGGTAATCAGCAGAGAGATCAACAATTATGCTGTTGTCTTCCCTGGGGTTAGATTCTTTGGCCTTATTGATAGCGTCGACAAAAGGCTTGCAAACGCCGTTCGGCAATGCCATCACCCACACGTCTATCTTGCCCTTCTTCTCCATTTCGTATACGTCGTCGAAGCTCAGATTTTCGTAGATGATGTCCTTTTTCGTATAGCCTTCCAACTTCTGACCTGCTAGTTCTCGCGATGACACGTGACGAAGTTCGAAGTTAGGATGCGTATTGATAAGGCTGATCAGATTTTGGCCTGTATATCCTCGGGCACCAATTAGTGCGACCCTGGAGGGTTGCGTGTTCGATGCGTGCTTCTTGCCGTACGGGGGGTTGGGATTAGTCTCTGTCGCAAAGCCTCTGCGTGACCCGCGTGAGAAAGCGCTCATTGGTGTAGCCCCTAAAATGGGACGGCGGGCAAGAGTAGAGTAGCCCCGTACTTGATTAGCCGCTGACCCAGAGGCGAAGTGTGCTCGCAGATTCTCAGAGGCAATCTGGGCTGCCCGGTGTAGCCTCGACTCTAGGTTAGAATCACCAAGCATCGCCCGGCCGTGGAGGGAAAATTCGCGCATGAGCTTGTTCAATTCCTCTCCAGGCTCGATACCATACCAGAACATGACATCGTTACCCCTGACGATACTTCCGTCAGCCTTGCCGAAGAACCATGTGAGATTCTCGTCATCGGCCTTGACAGTCCAGACTAAGCTAGGGTATTCCTTCTTAATGGCAGCAAAGAGGTTGTCGGCTACGTTGGTTAGCCAGCCTGACTTAGTTATCGTCAAGGTAGCTAAGGTTGAATACGATTGGTCCGTAGCGGGGTCGAGGACAACAGCAAGAGCTTTCATGGGTTCATCGAAATAAGCCTTGAATTTTCGGCCGTTCAGAAATTCCAGGTAACGATCTACTGTGGCCCTAGCATCGCGAACTTCGCGATCCCGGATAAGGACGTCCTTCAGCTTTTCGAGATCACTGAAATCGGCGACACTCTCCGCGGTCATCAACTTATCGCCTCGGCGAATGAGCGTACCGGCTCCGGAATCTGTGAATAGCTCCTTCTGTAGGTCGGCAGGATGTATGATAGCAACGCTAGACGAGCGTGGAAGGGTGTCTAGAAGTTCCTTGATCTCGCGAATTTTTAATCGGGTACCAAACTTGCACCAAGGCTGTGCCATGATGTGATCATATTCCTCGTCAAGGTTGATAGCGGAGATCTTCTGCACGTTGCCGTCGAACAATCCACCCTTCTCGCTAAGGTAAACAACCTTTAGCGGTTCGAGTTCCCGAGCCAGCTCTCCCGCTGCGACATCGGCGTTGACGTTTAATACCTGACCCTCCCTGGTCTCCGCCATGGAAGTGAGAATAGGCAGATAGCCGTTTTCAATAGCAGTCTGGATTGGCTCCTTGTTAACTTCTGTAATCTTCCCTACGAACTTCCACTTGTCTTTGTTGAGGTAGTCGGCGGTGAAGACGCTAGAAGTAATGGGTCGAGCGCGGACGCCCATTTCCTCTAGACGTTGGACAAGCTTCAAGTTTTCAGCCAGGAAAAGTCGTCTCGCGATTCCCAAAGTTTTTCCGTCAGTGATGCGAATTCCTTCCTCGAACTCTGGTTCAACACCGGCTTCCTCTAGGAGCTTGTTGAGCTGCGGGCCAGCACCGTGAACAATGATGGGGAAAAGTCCAACATGGTATAAGAAGGCGAGCGAGGAGCAGAGTTCATCCAGGTAGTCGGTCAATATAGCACCTCCGACCTTGATCACAGCAAATTGCTGAGAGGAGACGGAAGAGAAGTGGGAAAGATACTGCTTGACCTCTCGCTTAGATCCGACGTTGTTTAGCACCTGGATGACGGCAGCTCGGGTAGTCGAGTCGTTCGATCGTGCGGAAGAGTAAGCAGCTTGCGAAGTTCGTAAGGGAAGGCTGGTGGCGACTGCAGGAGTCAAACGAGTGACCCGGGGAGAAACACGGCGAGAGCCAGCCCTTACGGCTGCTCGTACTGCTCGTACCGACAGCATGGTTTGGAGTCGAAAAAGCGAACGACTAAGTCCTTAATTCGAATTGATACTTCCACGGCCTGTAAAGCCGTGGTATCGCGACGGAGAGCAAGCTGTCGGCGACGAAGCTTTGGGGAAAACTTCCAAAGGAGAGAGTGACTAAAATTGAATAAGGAATTGAGTCAGTTTATATTCGGATCGCAGACGACGCAACATGGAAGTTAAATATATACAAGGACGGCAGTAGGGGAACCAATTGAACTTAGGTAGTTAAACTTAATTACTAGAATTGACTAACCTGGGAGAAAATAATAAGTTGTTATGTATAAGTTTTTCAAGTTTCACATTATTAGAATATTAACGAGGAGGGGCAGATAGGTAAAGTGGCCGTTGATGCTGTTATCCTAGGAGAACTTTTGTACCGTGACCAAAGAAAAAAAAAAATCTTGGACTTTTTAGGACGCCGAAAACCGCAGGCACAGCCAATGAAACTTGCAGATCAGCCCTTTTGCTAGTAAGTAAAAGATGTACATGTAAGTACACCTAGTATCTAGTGTCAGACTAACCCCACATCATTCAACTTGGAAAGAGAGCTTAAAAAGCCATTGATACTTAGAGGTACGTAATACACACCAGACAACATTACGTACCTTAGGTTAGGTACTTACCCCTAACTTAAGAGAGGTACCTAGGTGATTGCCGTTTGCGGTATTGAGAGACACATATCAGGTCCACCGTCCGTAGTATGGCTTCAAGTTTCCACCTTTTTTCTCCTCTACATACTACCACATAGAAACTCAAGTATACCTACCACATACTCAAACACCCGACGTCCTGCTTCGGTAACATCCTCTTTTAGCTCGACCCTATGATCGGATTGAACTGCAACATCAGCACACCATCATTATCCCTGGTTGCCTTTTTTTAGGCCTCCAAGCTTCGAGCTGCTGTAGATCCAAAAGCTTCACTCCCGTACCTTGCACATCCAAGAAATACAAACGCCCAATGAAGTAACATCTTCCCTATCGTAAGCCTGGAGTAACCTCGACAAGTCAGTCCCCTTCATAGATTGGTACATATATTATCCATTATCCAAAAAAGCACTCGGTTCTGAGTGATTTCCCAGTATAGTAACCCGGTGACACGCACTCACATAAACAACATACAGTACCCACACCTCTCATACTTCGAGATCGAGGCTGTGTACGCTTTAGCTACCAGGAAGGATTTGATGAACGTCTAACGTGCTCGAATGTTGATTTTTGGAGTCTACGCAAAAATCCCGCCGCTTTTCATGGAAGTCGTACTGGCGCTTAAGACGGCATATCTTGTATTTTACTCACCTGCCGACTTTAAACGAGAGGCAGTGCTTCATGCTGATGCAGTCGGATTGGTACTACCCGCCGTAACGCTTGCCGAAGGGACACCTTCTATATGTTCACCGCTGTACTACCTGATGCCGAATTGTTGCGCCAGTCCTAGTCCCGGCTACTATGATATACCCTCGAGTATACTGAGGTGAAGTTTTTCTCTCCAACATTCTCCAAAAGATGCATTGTCGGGAATTTGGCTATAACCGTGTGCAGCCGGAGCTAGGTTCCAGTTTTTATATTTTTCAGATCATAGGATTGTATGTTGCGTTGCTATTCTAAGGGACCCGTTCCTCTAGCTCTACGCCGGGATGCTTCTTTTTATCTGCCGATATCATCAAATGATAGGTACCTATGTTTTGAGACAGGCCATTCTCGGCTGCTCAACTCAAATAGAAAGACAGTCAGTCAGCCGGGGCTTTCTATAACCCCTGATTCTCTTAATTGAAGGACTTGCCATTTCTGCCATTACCACCGTGGCTTTTTAAGATATATAAGGTAGGTAACTACGTGAAAATTTTCAATGGCATCATATCGCATAGATTTGCTAAAGGGCTATATTACTAGACCGCCGTCTACCTTAAAAGATCCACCGCTAATCTTTAGGCAGATGATCGAGGAGTTCAGCCATATGGACACTCGGAGATTTAAGGAAGTCTGTTTCCCTCTACGCCTTCAAATTGTCCGTCTATATTCAGCATTCCAATCATAATCGTGGCATATCTAAAATGCACGTATCGCCAGTACCTACACGTCAGTGCCTACACGTCAGTACGAGCATCGCGCCACAATTTATCTCAGTACGGGTTGTTTAGGACTCACTCCACGACTCACCACCCCTTTTATTCCAAAACGTTCATCTTATCCATATTGAGAAACCCTTTCTGGTAATGCGCTCAAATTTAGAGTCAAGCCCAGCTCGCTCTATTGGATAGCTTGCGGTACGTGAGAAGCCGTAGACGTCTTCGACAGTTGCAGCATTGTGTACTTGGATTGCGGCTCTCGCTTCTTTCTGTGTAGCAGCGCCATGCTACTCTCTAGAATGGGTTGAGCGGAGTGAGCAAGATGTCGGTAGCCATATAGAACGAAGAAAAGGCTGTCGCGAAATCCTAACTATAGAATCCAGAACGTCGTAGACTCTGCTCTGGCAATATACAGAAAGGAGAAAAGGGAGATGGTGGATGACTAAGGGAAAGTCGGGCCCCTATTTCTGTTCATTGGACTACCTATACATATAATTGCTTGTTAAGCATGCATTTAATGTAGGTGTTTAGGTTCTATCTTGTTAGTGAAGCCAAGTACATGATTGAAAAGGAGGTCGTTCATATATCAGGTAGCTAAACCAGCCTTTCGCTTTACAATAAGATAGTCGTTGGTAGTCACATATCTACATGCCTACCTAGTCTGATTTTACCTAAAGAGAGAGCAAGCTTCTATCAATCGAGACATTCCGCACCTTTGCTTTTTACGTCATCCTCGCTCCTCGCCTCGCCTTATTTACCACCCTGCCACCTAGGACTCCTCCCCCGAGACAATATGTCAAATGTGTGAACGTCCCTGGTACCTAATCCATCAAGACTGATTAAACTAGAAAGTGAAGATCGGCGGAGCACTTTCAAGTAAAGCGATTTATCATTCTTACTAGTTATATTCCATACAGAAGAACAAGGTTTTTTTTTAATGTTATTGGTACGAAATAGTTGCGAGACAAAGACTGTTTGCTATAACCTTTGAGTCCTCGCCTTTTCGTTTATGAGATTATAAATAGCAAAACATAAATGCTACCGAATGAAACAAAGGTCGCAGCAGGTACTTAATATATAAGGTAAGACAAAGAGCTAAGGCAACGGTTACGGGTACAACATGTAGTTGAATAGTTCGTGGAACTGATCTGGGAACTTTAAAGCAACCACTGCATTCATCACGGGATTTAATTTCAGAATGACGACTACCACAATCTCGAGGTTAAGAATCTCATATGCAGCGGCTAACATCACTATTCGTAAAGAAGGCTAAGAACAGATTCATAGTAGGAGCAAAGGCCAAGGTATGTAGAAAGTAATTAGTTTATACGCCATTAAGCATCATCCATCTCGAAGGTGGGGGGTTCGTAAGATATCTTAAATTAGTCGAAAAACGCCTCGCCATCATACATACAAGTGTTTGGTTTCCTCCGCCGCTCTGCCCTCAAAGGTGTGGGGAGGTGTGTGAGTGATCAGGGCGTCGGTGGTATCCTAAGCGTTCCGAATTCGTTACGTTTGCGAGCCAAAGAAAGAAGACCGGCCAAATCATCAAAGACAAACTCCTCTTTCTGTGCTAGCGACTCCGAAGATTTTTTTTTATTCTTTCATCATGTTCGACATCGTCCCATGCGCTGATGCTCGTAGCCCGCGAGATTCAACCCGTCGTTCGTGCCATCAAGTTGATCTGCACTTGATGTACCCCAGTGATGTACAATGTAATTAAATTAGACCTTGCCCTGGCTTGCGAGGACTATAGAGCGAGTTAGAATAAGATTCATTCCGTGGAAAGGCGTAATCATAACCTACCGGAGGGGATGACAATAACTAGAATCAGGATGATGACACCGGCAATCAGGCACATCCTCATCTTCATGTCCTTCCACCACATCTGCTTACGAACTCTGTTCGCACCGCGGCGGAAGCCCTGGGCGGAGACGGCTAGGTTGTCGGTCTTATCTTGCAGGGCATCGAGACGCTCACCACGTTGCGAGACCTTGTTGATATTCTCTCGCATGACACCGACGGTGTCATCGATTTGCTACAAAACATATTGTTAGCTTAAATTACTTGACTTATTTTGCAAACGACGTTCTGCTCCCAAATCACGAGATATTGCCAGTTTGAAAATGAGGTGATGCCGCGAAAATTGAATAAAGATACCCGGAGCCTGACGCAATGCCGTAATCCGTGATATGGTGTTTCAGCGTAGGATTCTTGGCCTCGAATCTTCCGTCATCAGCTGCCGCGCGTGCGCATCTCATTTTCGGTATTTTCGGTACTCGTCGCTCGAGCAAAACGTGTTCTAGGCAAGTTTCGGGATTGATGATTCCGTGGAGAAGTAGTCGGTACGGTAGGTGACGTTGGGCATAAAAGGAGTCGAACTCGGAAAGCTGTCCTGTCGCAATTGGTCCTGACATTTTGGCTATCGATATCTCGTGACCCGGGAGCACAATCATCGAAAATTCTAATCTAATCGACGAGAATTGAAACTTACAGCCTGCAACGCCTGCGTTCGGTTGTTGCCGCCCTGCTGGGGTGCGGACTGGCCGCTGGGGATGTAAGGATCGTAGGGAGCTTCTTGGGTCGACATTTTTGGCGGATGGTGATTTGACAACGGTCGGATTGGGGATTCTGTCAATAAGGAAGCGAAAATTGGTCGAAATACGGCACCGGAATAAATACGATAGGGATAGTTTTCTTGTCGCGAGTGATGGGAGTTGGTATTGGTTTGATGGTATGCGTGTGGCAAAGGAAGTTGGGAATGGGGAAGAAGCAAAAAGAGGTTGGAGGGAAGGCCGGAAGTTAGGAGTTTGGGAAAGTTACGAAGGCTAAAGTTGTATCCGAGACGCTTTGGTTGTCTGGGGGAGAAGATTAGGTAGATAGCGCTGGAAGGTTTGTATTGTTAGGTACTAGTATTGTACTGGTATTGTATTGTACTAGTATTGTACGTACTATGTAGTACAATACAATACATCGGTACCTAGATAGGTACCTAAGGGAGGGCAACGCTACCACCTGCAATTACCCCATCAAAACAACCCCAGCAGCTTGTTGCAACTTGCAAGCAGACAAGAAAAAGCCATGAAACCAGAGTCATGTGATAGCTTAGTCAGTACTATGCATATTAAACTGGTGCCTTAATATTGTCTTATTAATAACCTTATGTTCCTCAAAATAAATTCCATTAGTTCAAATCCATTTACATCTTCATTCACGTTACTTTTCCCTAAGCACGTATTATACGAAGCATTTCTACGAAGCATTAATCACATGTATGCGAGTACACCTTACCCATTCTAATGGTGGGGCAAGATTCTCGCATTCTCGCATTCTCTCCGCGCCCGATTCTCGCTCCAGGAAATTCTTGTTCTTATTAGCTGTTCGTGGCGGAGCAACCGGAGGACGCGTACGACCCGACAGCGCCGCGCAGGCTGCCATCATCACCATACTGCATATGGTAGGTATTTATTGCCGAGGTCGAGTCAGCTGTGGCTGGTGGTCTCTTTGAAGAGACTGCAAAATTAATTAATTAAGAGGGCATATCAAGTCAGTCAACCTCGTTATGAGACGCAGATTTGTAGTTACTAGTTACTAGTTACTATTAACTATCAGTCAAGCTATATACACGGGAATGAAGTACATGGCTAGGTGGTCTTGACATTTATTATCTCTAGTTTTGACCATGGAAAGGGAATACCAGAGCTTCTATTCCATACTAACGTAGTAGTGTCAATACACCAGGACGATAAGGCAATTTGTCGTAGCCACCACCAGAGTTCTTATCTCGGCCTTGGTAGAGTAACTCAAGGTGGCATGGGTCGACAGTCATGGTTTGGTCAGGATTGCTGCGAACCAGATCGCCGTGACTTATATCGTTGGTCCAAGTAGCGCCGCTGTTAGCCTTTCCTGCGAACGGCTGGCTCTCCGTTGCCGCCTGTGGCTCCCAGGATCCGCTCAAACTATCAGCCGTAAACGACCGGAAGTATCGCCCGTTTGCTCCCATCGCTTCGACGATCATAAGGTACTTCTTCTGGCCCTGGAGAGTGTAGACCTGAACAGCTTCAAAGAGATTGTTGGTTGTATCGCTCATCACGACCGTTGATGCCGTGCCAAAGTTGCCGGGAAACTTGTCGATGGACATACTGGCTCGATAGATCTTGCCGTTGTCTCCTGCGAAGAACAAGTACATATTCTTGTCGTCGCCGATGACTGTTTGGTCGATAGGGCCAGTGCTAGAGCCGGAGATGGTACCGGAGAAAAGTGGTTGCGGAGATGACCACCCATCCGCGTTGGTGGGATCCGTTGACGTTCGGTAAGAGAACGTAGTTGGGCCCCATTGGTAGGCAAGTACCCAGATATTCTTGGGCGTGAAGTAGAATAATGTCGGCGCAACTGTGCCTGAGCTCATGGCATTTTGGCTCGCTCTTGCCATATCGGACCAATTTTGGAAGAGGCCGAAGGCCATAGAGCCGTACCCCGATCCGATGTCGTGAGTCGACCCATACACAAGATGCTGGCCGTTATAAATGACATTTGTGAAGTCTTTGAGAGCGACCCAGCCAGACTTCGGGTTTGCTAGCGGTTCCGTAGACGTCCAGCGATACGTCGATGGGAGATCGCAAGTTTGCGCGATAGCGGCTGTTGCCGAGGCAAGCCATATAATGCCGGTCGATATCAAGCCCATATTCGTATTTTAGAGTCTTCTGATGATATCTTCTTGCAGTCCAGAGTAAAATGAAAAAGACAATAATTCGATTTTTGAAAGAGACCAAGATATATGGTCGTCGACTTATATATTCCTTTATTTCACTGCGTTTGCGGTGGCCTGTTTCTCGTGTCCGATCGAGGACCGTATAGCCCACCGGGCCAGTCCAGGCATCGCATCTCACCCAAAATCCCTATTTATGGATTAATAAAATATAGAAGATAAATTAACCGGATCTTGCACTGGACACTGCTGTTGGTGCTGGTGATGCTGTGATAACTGCGCTTATAGCCCCAATTAACCCATTTGCGGGGACCGGATATCATACGTTATGCCCGAACTTGTTTGAGATATTGTTGTATCAAGTTAGGTCGTCCAAATTAAGGGGCTGTTTTTATTCAGACCACAATTCGCGGTGTACCCCCATAGTACAAACACACAAACCAACGATCTGTGGCGCGCAAGTAGCTTTGGACGTGGGCTGAGGCACCCGTGGACTGAAAGTCGGACGGTTGCTTTTGACCCCCAGTGGGATTCGAACCCACTTGCAGGTGTTTCCGTCGAGCCAATCAGGTAGTGTTTCTCTAAGGTTCGCAAACCGTATATCCTTAAGTTAAAACTTAAGGCATAGCTTGAAGTTCTCTATCATGTATATATCGCTGCTCCCCTGAGGAAATTCGGAGTAAAGAGGGATAATTTTTATCAGTCCTACTGAACCTACAAGGGCATTGATTTATGCCTCATAATAGTGAAGTTCTTAGTCTCGTACCGTACCCTCCCTTGAATACTTACCTCCTATGCTTTCCGCTCATTTCCCTCGCTAGAAACTACTAAACATCTCGGTTACGTAAATGCCAGTCACCTCATCCGAATAATTTGCAAAATGTTCTTGGCTAGCCTCACTTGGAAGCTTTATCTTCTGACTGCCTGGCTTTTTACGCCAACCTCGAGACATCCCGAATGCCTTCTCAGCGAAGGAACTCTCACTAGTGTGTCCAGCACGGTTCGGGCTTTCGACCACGACAGAATGACTATTTCCTTTCAACCCTTTCCCGGAACGTGGTCCTGACCCGTTCGATCCGTAAGTACTAGACCGCATACTTGACACGTGAGACCCCATAGGCGCCGACTAAAAAACGGCTTGATAGCAGGCGCGGAAACGACGAAGGCAGTAACGACGTATTCGCGCGTGGCCCATTGGGTGGCGACCAGAAGGTCAAGGAGAGATCGCGGGGAATAAACCGTTCAGATTAGGGTAGCTATGATGATAAATATTCCGGATTCAAAAAAGAGAGATCAATAATAAGTTTCCTAGGGATCGGAACTTTCACCTGCCATAAAAGGGGTAGCGGGATAGCCATAATACCAAGGTCGGAGATAATGCTAAGAATCGGGTATAATATGTAATACTCTTTGCGAAAGACGCATTTATCTGGCAAGCAGCTTGATCAGGGTATGTTTTCGAACAAGGAAGAAACCGTAGGTTGAATCGTAGTCTCACTCACCACTAGGATACGGCTTGACTCGCCAAGCCAACTCGATAGGAGTACAGAGAGTAAATTGGAATAAAATGGCGATGGCGAAAGTCATCAATGTGCCCCAGCGAATCCACTTAGCGAGCTTTTTCTGCCATAGATTCATGGTCTACCAATTGTAAGTATGCCCCTGAATCGATAATAATGGCAATTGAGACGTACCAAGCGATCGTAGGAAAAGAGCACAACTCCCTTCATCGACCAAATAAGGCTTATGTAGCATATCCAAAACGCAAAAGTCAACTTGTCGCCGATTCTATAGCTTTTCACTTGCTCGTCGGCGAGTGCGAGAGCAGACTCATAAGTTTGCCCAACGCTACTCCCGTAAACGCCGATATAGTTTAAGATTACTAGATCTGTCGTCCAGAAAGCCTAAGCCGTGCTCACTTTCTGTTAGCAATCCCAGATTGTAAGCCTAGCAGAGATATATAGAGGATAAAACATACTATTGCGACAACTGTAAAGGCATCATCCTACCGCAATCTACGTATGCTTACAAGCAGTATCCTCCCAAGCAGCCGTGTGAAGAAGAATGTCATACCAAGGGCGTACTGTACTCTTGAACAGAAACGACACGCATCGAGCAAGTTAACAGATGGACGAAAAGAAAATCTATACTCGGCAAATTTTGAGTGAAATTTTCAGCATCTGTCATTATATAAAGATGATTAGTGTCACAGACCTCTATAAAGCGCCTATCTTGTCTTCGTTCCACAGCTCAAACAACTCGAACAATATCGATCTACTGCTCCTGTAGGTAAACGAACAGTTTACCCCTTGACATTAGGTGCTAAGTCAAGATATTGCAAAACAATCTTTAGACCCTAAGTAAGCAAACTACTTCAAGATACGATCGGCACCGAGGCGGCATTGGCAGAAGGACGCTGCCGTTACATACAGGCGGCCGGGGTAGGGGAAACCCGGTACGCGCACGGTACTATTGTCTGGGATAGGAACGCGACATGCCCGCATCAATAAGTCGGGTAATTCATATTGGTTTTCTGGGAGAGCCTCACTTATACTGGTGGGGAACGCATAGAAGGTACAAAGTCCAACGCTGCTGTGTAGTACCATATCAAGTATTAGCTTACGAGGATGTAATAAAGCTCAATACATTAGGTAAACATAAATTTGACTAGGTATTTACCTTGTGTGCTAACTTAGGAGGTACCCAGACAAAAGTATTGCTATGTGTAAAATGATTAGATACTATCCCTTGCCCGACATGCTGCATCTCTTACTCGTCGCCCTAAGCTTTCTACTTTCCAATAATAGACATTGGTAAGTCAGTAGGAAGAATGGCTACGTCAGTGCTAAGTTACATCGCATCAGCAGCCCCAAGACCCCATCAGTAATTATTAATTCACGGCATTTCCTCCAAGCCTCTTGTATACCTTCCTAACGTACTATTTAAGATTGGAATTAGGTGACGAATCAAATTGGTCCAACACTAGGAAAGCCGTATAAGTGTTTTCTTCTTCTTCTTAGTTCGTGTAGATGAGGTCGAGGACGGAAGGTTTCTATAGGAATATCGAAGTATAAGGTATCGTGGAATAAGATAGGGGCTGGGTATCTAGTTGAACCTGGTTTAGGATGGTCTTCATTTGCCGCGATCTTTTAAGCTTATTTATTGCGCGTTTATCAATCGCAATGTCAATCAACTGGGATGGGACTCCGATATCCTGGGTCTTGGTATTAAAGTCACATGGGGGTTGAATGGTCCTGGTAACTAGGGATATTTGGTGGTATCGGCTTTAGTCTTCTGGGTACTTGTTGGGCTTTCTCTGCATCCGACATGGACCTTAGCGTTACCTTTAGTAAGTTTTATATTGTCCTGCCCATAAGGATCAAAGTTAAGAATCTTAACGTGACGTTATCCTAGCTGTTGCCCCTGCGATGCGTAGTATAGCTGGTTCCATTTTCACCGCGGTCTTTACAGCCGAATATCGAATAAGCTCCCCGTGAAACCAATGGCTATCAAGATTCCTGCCATCACTACTGCCGACCTACCAGCGTCGTCTGTACCGGACCTTCTCCAAGCCATCATAGCTGAGCTGTACTAGGAATGAATGATAACATTCTCGCAGTCATCACTCGGTCTGCTCCGCAAGACATAGCAGTAGGCGAGGTAAGAGAAATCAAGCCTGATCTTGTTCAGAGTTTTGGTCACTAGCGGTAGGTAAAGTAAACATTAAGCTATAGGTCTTGTATGGACATGCCGCAGTAGCTTTTGTTTCACAGATCAACGATGAAAATACAATGGACCTCGTCAGATAACTTTTGCAATAAACCTAATGGGAATACAATAAAGACTAAATACCATGAAACTTTGATGTCTATGGAAATACCACAACCGCCCTCCCCGCTAACGTCCCAGCCCGCAAAGCATTGTAAGCCTCGCCTAACTCGTCAAAGGAAAACCTCTCGATGTCGATCCTGAGTTTCCCAGCTCTAGCCAATTCGCACACCTCCTTTAAGTCCTGTCTCGTACTTCCTAAGCTGATGGCAAACTCGCAGCTGGTAGCTAGCAAACCCCATCCCACCTCCAACGTACCGCCTTGCATTCCAACAAGGACAATGCGACCCCGCGGACGGGATATCTTGGCGGACAGTCGCAGAGTATCTGCGGTGCCTACCAGGTTCACAATAGCGTCCACCCCTCGGCCCCCTGTCTGCGATATAATCTGCTCGCCTGCAGGAGTCCCGTCGCCCGTGAAAAGCACCACTTCGTCGGCGCCTACCTCCCTAGCGGTCTGTAGCCGCGCCTCGATATTGTCGACGGCAAAAATGCGCGCCGACGACAGGAGCTTGACGAACTCCACGGCGTACGTGCCCAGCCCTCCGATCCCGATAATCGCCGCGCTGGTGCCGGGCTTCAGGCGTTGGATGACGGTCTGAACGGCGTGGTACGCCGTCGCCCCGGCGTCGGTGAGCGGCGCGTATAAGACAGAGTCCGCCGTCCAAGCCGCACCCGCGCGTCCTGCCGATCGCGCCGCGCTTGAACGCCTCGCAGTGCTGCTCGGCGCCGTCGGTGCCGCATGTGGTGGACAGCCACGGCTTCGCCGACCCGCAGGTCCGTCACCGCGCTGCCGACTTCCTCTACGAAGCCCGCGTTCTCGTGCCCGAGGATGTACCCCGGGTCGAGAGAGTTGGCGTACGGCGCCGACCCGCGCTTGCTGTCTACCATGTCTAGGTCCGAGCGGCATAGGCCGGCGGCTTTCATGCGGACGAGGACATCTCCGGGCCCGGGCGTCGGTCGGGGTACCTCGACGTATTGCCCGGGTTCACCCCATCGAACCAATTTGAAAGCCCTCATGACTGAAGATAATGTGTTTTGATAGCGACAAGAAAAAATAGGTAGCTGATACCCCGGCCTGATTCGATATTCGCTTTGTTCTACGAAGAAAAGAAAAATGCCCAATCCAAAACATTTAGTACGAAAACCTTGGCTGGTTGGTTTATGATTGTCTGCTCTTTAATATTGATTCGCATAGACGGGTGGATAGAGTTTATGCTTACCAACATACAGAGAGCTATCCGACGCTGTGATATTTGCATTGCAAATCCGGAGATCTTCTAAACCTACCGAACCCAGCCTTAATGTTTCGAATCGTGGTCTATCTGCGGAGACTGTTGCTTTTTCTAGATATCTGTTCCCTGTCTGAAAAATCCCACCAAGTACTTAGCCATAGCCCGGAGCATGAGAGGCTCTGAGAGTTAAGAAACATATTCGTTGTGATAGACATAAGGTTACCTAGGTACCTACCTACCTGATATAGATAAGACATGGGAGTATGTGGGGTACGCATAACGAGCATGCATTATATATTGGACTAACTAACTACCGACGACTGCAACGCTGAGCAGGGGTCTTCCCGTGATACAAGGACATACTCTTATGAAGCTTGTTGATAAGCTGCCCCCTTAGGTTAGGTAGGTACGTAAGGGAGATATGCATGCATCCTTATAGCTAATAGGAGTTATATTGCTTTCGAAAAGGGAAAAACGGTTTAATCGGCATTGGGTGTTGGTTAAACCCCTGGAATGTGTGATCATTAGATAGATGCCAAAATTTGGAAATAAGTAACATAGTATGTATGATGGGCCATATAAGGTTTATATAATATACAGGTACTTAGCCAAGGGGCATCGAAAAGGTCCAAGTACGGATTCTTCCTGGAGTAACTCATTGTATTGTCGCCAATAGGCCACAAATCCACTGTCTTGCGAGTTCTTTCACCGTCGAGGATAAGCTTCATAAAGGTCGGTTTACCTGGTAACGCCTTTTCCAAAACTTAGAACATACCGGGGCCGGACTCAAGCCGCTGTCACAAGTCCGAAATTACTTCCCGGCCGTCATCGGTACGTTTGCCTTCAGGTTCTAGTGCCTATTGATGTGTTTCAGGGTATGCTAGCATGATGTAATCGGGTTTTCCTAAGCTAGTATCTCTCCTTGGAGTGCCTTTAAAGTTTCTTTAAAGTCAGCTGCGACCTGGCCTAGTGTCTGGCCGATTTGTTCGCTTTCGTACATTACTTTCTTGAAAACCCTCATAGATTCTACGCCCCATTGGACGACATGGATAACGTTAGCGGCAAACGAGAAGGCTATAGTCACCCCTATCCTGGCATTATTGGCATGATATAAGTATGGAATAAAAGAGGTAGTTGAAGTAATCTTTCATACAGAGGCCTTTGTTTCATGAGTGATTTGACGCGAATATCTTGGGTGAGTGGAAGGTATGCAGTAAATTTACAATTATTTTTCCTTTTCTGTTAATCATAAGCGATGTGTCCTGAGTTTATTTCTTCATCAAGCACTTGAATAAATACGTAACCCAAGGTTACATGTAGGGTAGATGTTAAGGGCTATTGTGACGAAGAAACTGTATTGCCCCTATTTTTACCCCTATTCCTGTCCTAAGTATTGTTAGTAGGACGGCAATTCTCCTGTACCTGGATTTTAATAGTGAAATTAATCCCGACTTGTTGAAATATTCAACTTGAACCAACTTTGGTAAAAAGATCCTACGATAGAAACCTCGTTAGGCTATTTCTTACCTATTTAATGGGCCGTTGATGTCTATCACGGGAATCCTATATTGGATCGAAGATGATGGAGTCTCCTAGATGGATCTCGCCGGTTAACAGGTATTCAACCTTTTCAACCTTAGGTACCTACTCAGTGTTACTGTCGTGCAGGTCCGTCCCGCCCCACGGCCATGCTCACTATTATCATAACTGTCGTCGAGTTTGGAGTATGCTGCAACACCATGCTACACTATGTAGTAACTGACTGTGTATCACGTGGTGAAGCAAGAAGTATGGAAACAAGCTCGCTATTTCACAAGTAACTAAATACATAGATACAGAACCTATCTCTTGTCCTTTATATCCCATCTAGGATACTGACACTGTGTAACAAGAAGCAATCGTAGTAAGTCGGTCTGGCGGGTTACATCTGGCAGTTTGATAGAGCACTCAATGCTAGTCCGGAATGGAATAGAAACTTACGCGGCCATATTGAAGGATTGCCGTAGGCTCTCGTCGTCATTTGTCTCAGCCCGACGCTCTTGTGCAATTTGAAGCCTGTGTCGTGCCGGAATGCGAAATGAAATGGTCGCAAACCAGCCCGGACTATGTGCGGGGGGCTGGGGCCACAGGCGAGCGCAAACGGATCAGGTGGGAACACACTTCCAAGACAAATCTCGTCCAACTAAGAGAATAGATGGACTTTGGACGGCATCTATATAGCACGGAAGGAGTTAGAATATGATATGGATGAGTTGCTCTAGTGTTGCAGAGATTCTAGGTACTGCAATAATACCTAGAGCCCCCTTTTCAAAGCTACCACCCGAACTGAGACAAAAAGACATCTTCATCCGGCCGATGTGTTCCGCAACACAGACCCAGCCGGCCGATAGGATTGACCGCACATCTTGTATTCCCAGTGCTTTACTAAAATGGGCTGTCATGAGCAGAATCACGGTAGCATCATGCATCCAACGGCTATCACTCCGGCCTCGAATGACCAAGGTAAGAACTGTCAGTCGCGGGGTCAAGATAGTCCAAGGGCGTAGAATCCATACTCTTAGGCTATCTGTTTGTTGGTCTAATCAACTATATAAGAACCGATATGTTAGAACGAGGCAAGTCAAACTTCTCAGACGCGCACTCTAGATGTCTTCAAACCTAAACAATCACAAAGACTGCTTGCTCATTACCTACACGGTTAAGGAATAGCATCGACAAAATGAAACTATATCGAAGCTTATGCTTTGCCCTCTTCTCCGCGGCATATGCCTGGCCTCGAGACATCAAGGATCATAACGTCGGCTGCAATGATGTCAACGTTGGCCATTCGTACTGTGCCGAGGTTGACCATGGCCAACCCGTCTCGACACCGACCATCATGCCGGTCGGCACAATGCTAGCTCGTCTGCCTTCGACCACACCGGAGGCGCTCCTGTCAAATCGTACCTTTGCAACAATAACAACCTCGGCGGCGGCTTCCCACCCGACTCTCATGCAGATAGGCATCGCGAGTGATTGCAGCGCTTACCATCAGGCAAGAGCTGGCGACACCTGCTCCAAGATCGCGGCCAAGTACAAGTTGTCGGACGCAGCCGACTTCGTGAAGTGGAACCCCGCCGTCGAGGCCGACTGCTCGGGGCTCAGGACGCATTACTTCTACTGCGTCGGTAAGTCCTCTCAAGATATGTATACTTCCCTACCTACCTACCTAACCTAACCTACCAAAGGATATCTTAATATAATATAAAATTATCCCTTTTCCCCTCTCCCCTCCCTGTGTAAAAGTTCTCAGAAATCTCACACGTAAACCATATAATAGCAATCAAGGACGGCTCGTCGGCCCTAGACCCGATCGACCCGATCGACGACCCGAAGACCGTGAGCCGGGGCGTGACGACGGGGATCCCGCCGGGCTGCATCCGCGTGCACCCGACGCCCACGCAGCCCGGGTCCGTGTGCCGGTGCAAGCTGTGGCACGAGGTGGCGATGGAGGACACGTGCGTGTCGATCGAGGCGCACTACCAGATCTCCGCGGACGACTTCAACAAGTGGAACCCGCTCGTCGGCCCCATGTGCAAGCTGCTGTGGATGGGGTATAACGTCTGCGTCGGGGTGTAGCGGGTGGGCTAGTTGGCTGGCGGGCTGGCGGGCTGAGCGGCCGGGTTATTGTCGGTGTTATCGTCTTCGTCGTGTAGAGCAGATCGCTTCAGGTAGTAACAGGACTTTCTTCCTTTCTTTTAAACTAGGATATATAGGTAGGTACCTATGCCTTACCTTAGGTAGACACCTAGGTACCTTACCTATTCTTTCCTATATGATTCTGCATTAAGTCTATCTCTGTGTGTCCGACAACTGTCCCTAGTTCCGGATTATAAATAACCGCCCCCTTCACATGGCTTCCTCCAGAAAAAGAAATAGGCAAGAAAGGAAAAGGGGAGGCGCGGCAACGCTCGGAGCAGGGACGTCTAGAAATACCGATATCCTGCGCTCCGTCCTACAGTAAAAACGGGATGGGGGAGGAGAGATAGACGCGCTCCAAGCGCAGATGACGGCCGAGATCCCTTCTTCCCCTCCTCTCCTCTCCCGCCCTGCCCCCTGGGAAGGTAGGTTGAGCCCACATGTTCGGGGCGAGTCAGTCGACATACCGTGGTACCTTTGCTTGAATTATTCTAGATTCTTATCCCGTACCCCCAGTGCCGAGTCCCCAAGCCGAGGGTTTTCCTATTAGGAGGAATAACCAGGCAGGCTATTGGGCGTCTTCTTCTTTTTCACTCAACACTCACTCATCCTTATCCTCACACTGCGCTACCCTCTTCCCTATCTACCCCCCAACTACTTTACATTACCTTACCTACCTCCTAAGGCATCTATCTACCTACCTGGGGTGATAATCTCTCATCCTTCGCCTTACGTAACCCACATATGGTAGGTTAGGTAGGTACCCAATATGGCAGATCGCGATCTCATGATATGACATTTCCGGGACGAATGCAATCAATGCACACCGGCGCCATCGAGATGAACCGCGTAACGAACCGTCGCATCCACATTGCCTTACACTACGTCGTAGTAGCGGTAGTAGTAGTAGTAGTAATAGTAATCAAATCCTCCCAAAACGGTTCTTAACACGTACGTACATAGATAGGTAGGTAACCTAAAGTCTAGGTAGTCATAAGCCCTGCGCCAATCGGGCGCTCTGCCTGCTCGTTCTGTTTCTGTCTGTCCTCATTCTGCCCGTTCCAGAACGGCTTGGCTCGAGACCCGTTTTCGTGCTACCCTAACCCCCTACCCCTAACCTACAGAATTGTGTTTTTCTAGCCGGCCAGCCTTGCATCGTAGGTACCTAAAATATGTAGAGTTACTATCTAGGTATGTAGGCTCGACGTAACGCTGCACGTGCAGGGGATATTAGCATGGCGACGCTTTACCCACCCGTTCCCGCGGACTATTCCGCGATGGAACGACGCGGAACACGCGTCTTCTTTTTTTTTCTCTCTTAACATCTCAATTTTCTTCTATATTTACCTATCAACTTTGTATGGAGCGGGTTCCAGATAGAGCTATTGGGCGAGCCCCCTTGCATTATATATCTCGGCTATAATGGATGGACCATGGATATACATTAGATATCAAGGTACCTCTGGCCTATCTGCACCTAGGGTTAGGTATAATACGTACGAGCAGTAATATGAGCTCTATTAACTTTGCTGCGTCGTGTATGTGGTGACCAAGCATCTAACATACATAGTACAGGGTTAAGGAACGCAGCTCGTTTGCGCTGTCAGCTAGGTATGCAGTAGAGCACGCATGCATACAATGGCAGTTCGACGTGCCTTTATCCCCCACCATCCAAATTATTCTCCATTTAAAAGAAATTCTGTGGGACGTTTGATGCAAGGCGAAAGCCATCCGAAACATCTATCCCTATGGTCCCCTACCGATTCCCTACCGATTCCCTACCGATTCCCTACCTGAGGGCTCCAGCCATAGTTGTCCACCTATAAGTGGCACCGCCTCACGCGTCCAATAGATCCAGCCAGTTTAATACCATCTGCGCCTTCAGTAGGTTCCCTCGCATGTCCATATGCACGCCGTCGTATAGGGTTGCTTGGATGCTCATGTTCCACGTCCCGAGGTGGTCGATTCCTCTCTTGGCCGCCTGGGCTGCCATCTCGTGCTCAAACTTCACAAGGGCTTTATTACCTTGACTAACAATCCACTCATCCGGCTTCTTTTCTCCCGCCGCGTTTGGCGTGATCAAGAGGACCGGCGAATTTCCTCTGGAGTTCGGTCCCCGCTGTCGCGTACCGGTGCTCGTCTTCGATTGGATCGTATCTAGTACTAGATCTAGCCAGTTCAATGCTTGATCTATCTCCAGATTATTCCAGAGCCCGTGACCAAGGATAAAAGCCTTCCGCTGTGAGGGATTAGGATCAATCGCCTTTTCTAGCCGTCGATGTTCTTCCTCTGGAATGGGATATCGCACAATTTGCTCAACTGCCGCCAAATATCAACATCGGTATGTTACTTTTAGGGCTCATTATCATAAACATACTCCGTAAATCTGTGTCCCATTCCGGTATCCGCGTTGGACACGTGAGGCTTACGGGGTCATGCCGAATGACATCCGCCGTGCTGAAAATGCCCTGGACCGAGCAATCGCGGACGTCGAATTGCCCATTACAGAAGCAGTTGCGTCTGGATATCTCACATCAGCAACGAGTCAATTCAAGGTTTGGAAATAGTATGCTTGTATTCCCGTCGTACTTTTCTTCCTCGTCGAAGTTCCAATCGGTGACGCCGCCGTATCCCAGGTCCTCTCGAATTATGATATTTAGGGCGCCAATGACGTGCCTCAGCATAGAGTCTCCGACGAGGATAACTTGGGAATATCGACCCAGGATAGCGCACGCTTCCCATGAGGTAAACCAGCGCATGTCGCACCCCCGCGAGGTGTAGGGTGCATCCTTACCAGCCCGGCCACCAGAGGACATAGCCGTCAGGATCGAGTTCTTGTCCGGGCAAGGGGATCCGGTAGGTAAATAAAGGTCCAAGGAGGAAATATTACAGTCCGGTCCGTAATGCTTATATTGACGCAGTGTATTAGCATCTACGGGACCTCTCGCCCGTAAATCCGGATTGGAGACGTGAGGGTTTTCGTCAAAGAAGAGGCAATATAAAACGATCATGGCAAGGATCAGGAGAAGCCTATAAAATGTTTTTCTAAACTTTCGCGGACAAAATACATAGCCGGTCTCGTGGACTCTCAGCGGCGAGACAGTAGTCCTGAAGCCTAGCAGCCATGCTATAATTGGATGGCGACGATGGTCCTGTCCTCTGAAGGTTTCCCGTGGAATCTGCACACGGAGATTATCCTCAGAACCGTCAGTAGACATTATTGGTGGTGCGTCTGTCTTGTAATCAAATTGGTAAAAATTTGGTACCTAACCTAACGTTTTAATATGGACGATGGTATAGCATTTTTTTATGGCCAAGAGGGTTAAGAGGGTTTAGATAAATTTGGAAGTTCAGTGCCTGTATAAAAGGTATAAAAGTTGGTACCTTACTATTACATTAGGTAAAGGCAAATGCCTCTAACAATTTTGCCTAGTTCCATGTATTATATTACCTAGGAGGCAGGCACGTACCTCATTTAAAGCAAGTACGATGACTGTGGTAAGTACCTAAGGCAGGTAAAGGCGAGGGTGTTTATAGGTTAGGTTAGGTACCTAAGTTATACATTGCTATCTTCAGCTATCGGTTCCCTCTTGCCTTCCAGAGAAACGCGTGCCCTGGAGTCAAACGCACTGTAGGTACCTAACATATCGGCTGGTTTTCAGAGGATTTACTGATACATCAGCCACCTTCTCCAACTGAACTATTCTTATAGTTCGCCCTTCACTTTATCCTTCACGTTGTCCTCCACATCGGCATCGTACATCATGTTTGCAACTCCATCTTTCGCCTCCTTCACACCCTCGGTCGACTTTCCTTTTCCCTGGTCTTCGAGACTGATACGGTCCATCTCCTCGGTAACACCATCCACCAAGCCGTCTCCGAGTTGAGTTGTCTTGTCTTTCTGGCTCTCGTTGCCCTGGCCCGGAGTAGGAGTAGGAGTAGCAGTAGCAGTAGCAGTAGTAGGATTCGCACTGCGTGCCCTGTAGTGTGCACCGCGAGTTCTGTAGCGCAGAAGCTCCCGGCGATGCATGATTTCGACCATGTTTTCTTGGGTGAATTCCAAGGTGAATCCCGTATCCGTTTCTCGGTAGACAATGGACTTTCCGACCCGGATCATCTCGTACGGGGGCCGATCATGAAGCTCTCGTCGTGCCGTTTTGCACGGGCCGCGATTCAAATGCTCTTTACGCGGCATCTGGGAATGAGTTAGCAATTGATAGGCCAATGTTGGGCTTGTTCAAGATGTTGGAAGACTAAAGTAGTACACTTACGTTGCAGGAATTAGTGAATCGGTAGAGTCAACTTGTAAAAAGTATTCGGTAGATGTTCGTTGAGGAGTTCAATGCGTAGCAGCGTGAACTCGTGTTCGTATTTGATGGTTCATGCACAATTCCTCATCAAAGTTCTTAAGAAAAGGCAGAAGTGAAGGTATTTTTAAAAAGTTGGGTGGAAAGAAAGACGCGACGAGCAGCCGACGTGAAGGGTTATTTAATGTTTCGCTACGTGCCTGATTTTAAAAATCGTTGCTTTGGCGACCTGTTAAGGACGACAGGTGATAAGCCGTGTTAGTCTAAGGAAGAAACAAATGATTCCTTAGATAAGACAGGTTAGGTTAGTTGCCTAGGTACTGAATTTATTTATTTTAAGGTTTGCTACCGCCGATTTTGAGGCTTTGTATTGGTAAAGGGAACTGAGGCCGTTCTAATTAAATGCGACGCCTTATGTCGATACAACTGACGTGGAACCCTATCGGGACAGCTCTTTTTCTTACTATGTTTAAATCACCTCGATATTAGCTGCTAAAATCTATATCTGGCAGAGTTGAAATGGTTCCTTTTCCCTTTGCCCCCCCTTTCCCCTTTATCCAACTACATTTTGTGCGGGTTCTTCTAAGTCGCCTTACGTATTTTATATCAAAAATAGCATTGAGGTCCGTTTAGCTTAGCTCAACGAGGTAGATGAGGGTATATCCACCATGGCTTTTCGCTTGGAATCGATTCAAACATTATAACAATCTGTTGTTTACTCAAGTGGAGCTCTCTTCTATGCATTAAGTACAGCAGTCTTGAACTTGCTCATGCCTGTTCTCGTCTTTTCTCAAGATTGATTATAAGCCACATAATAAAAGGAAGGTATCTAGCATATCTTACATAGCTGAGTGGTAGTGGTGTATATGCACTATTAATGCTACTACTAACGCTGGTAATAAAATTCCCTAATGTACGTCACCGTCAGTTAGATAGATAGCATTGAAATAAATATATTGGACAATTAGAACCACGATCTACATCGGCACTACTTCCTTGGCGGAACGTGTTCGATCCCGCCAGGGTCCTGCAGATTGGGCTATTACCTAATGATCTCTATGATCGTCATCCCCGTCGTCGGAAAATAAATGCGTACTATGCAGTTCATGTGGATACGGAAAAGCGGACCAAGGTCTGAGTTTGAGCTCTTAGTCCTATTCCGCTTTTTCTACGCTTTGCTCTAAGGTAAGAGAACTTAGGCAACCGAAACACAAAGGCGCTTTTTGCTTCACGCTCATTGCGGACAGAGAATACTATTTCAATAGTCCTTTAGGTATTTGGTAGTTGCGAGATCTCTAGTCTCCTACGATGCTAAACGAAATCAAACATGTAAGAAAACAAGAGTGGCTAGATACCGTGTTTACTCGGATCGCGCAATATGAGCAAAGCACCGGGCTCTTCCGGTAAAAATGGAACCCCAAGCCTCGGGATATCGAACCCCAGACGTTGAATTCGGAGCCGCACTGTTCCCCGTGATCGCGGGGGTGGAGCTGGGGGGGACACGAGTCTTGATTTGATCGAAGGCTAAAGCGAAAGAAAGGACCGAGGAATTCCGAGACTTTTTTTGATACTATAAAAACCTTGCACGGGTCCCTATTGGCGGAGGCTGTGGTTTCTAACCACTTTTTTTTTCGCCTCTCTCTGTCATCTTGAACCTGGGAGCCCGCCCTACGATCCATGGAATTGTGTTTCGGACTGCCACTTTGTCAACCTATAGATTCCGCACTCTGATAGTTCCCCACAATACCTACTATGGGCACGTAGGTGCCCAGTCAGTCTCGGGGAATGTATTAGGTATCTGAGGTATTCTCGTCCTGAAAGATACTGTGCTGTTGAATGCCTAAATCTCGCTTAGAGAGCGAAAGACGCATGCAAGTCTAGGCACATTGGGCATGTGACTTCGAAAGCACGCGGGTCACCGCTATTCCCATCGAAAAACCCACGAGGGTCTTGGCCTGGTCTGTGAGTTTTCCATAAGCCATCGCCTTGCGGCAGAGCCCATGCGTTCCCGGATCTGTGCTTACAGGAAGACAGGATGGAAAATACACACTCCGCGGTATCTTTGTATCTACCTAACCTAGGGTACTAAGCAGCCCCGACAGGCATTAGGATTAGGTACACGTGTACAGAGCATCTCGCGCCGTCGGACATACCCAAAGGGTAATGGGCCTGTGAATGGTGCATGGTTGATTGTGATGATTGTGATTGCTGCGCTAGGATACCTACTTACCTTGGCCCAGGCCGTTCGAGAAGGAAGTCCTAATACATTATTGGATTCGGAACGCGTTGCGTACGGGCTCCAGTAGGTAATGTACTACAATACTGTAATGTGATTAGAGTATCTGGTAACATAAGGCAGGTATCTGTACCGGACATGGCGCCAAGGTAAGCAAGGATAAGGGTGGCCATAGAGCCCTCGAGACTTTCCATATTTTTGTAAGCGAAGATCTCATGCGGGAGCCGTTGGGGACCCTCTTCTCCCGAGAGTACGGTAATCATACTCGACATGACTTTGGGGTGCTTTCAATATCTTGTTTGAGCAAACAAAGTTGTTTCTTACGGCCATTGAATTCGGGATCATGGGACAACCTACGGTAAAAACCCAAGTCATTCATCAATCATTAACGAGGCCGTTTGTCGGTGAGCGCGGAAAGACTTTGGGGAGAGGGGCATCGTTTGAGCCAGTCTCCCTCCCGGAAATGATAAGCTACGTGGCACTCGATGTCTTCTTAATAGCTACCTAACCTAACCTACCTAGCCTCGATTGAAACCACACACTGGGTAGGACGTCGATCTGGAAGAATTCTAGACAACCTTGAGTCTCAGAGCGCGCTATTAAACATCGTGGGGGTCGCTTGGGATGTGTGTGTGCTATGTCGGATAATGTACATAGTATTCGATTTGATACGCACGTTCCAATGATGTACATACAGTATGTTAGTTATCAACCTGTCAGCTTGTCAAGGTCCGATGCCCACAGATAAAAAATTCGACAAGTCGCTTCTTTAACAAGAAAAGATAAAGAAAAATTTAGTAATCAATGTTTTTGGTAAATACATTGGCAGTCCTCTTCGACCAACAGGCAGCCTTACCGGAGAAGCACGGGATGCGTGTAAGCACGCAAAGTCGAAACAGCTACATAAGGTAAGATCTTAAACAAGGCAGACCCTGCACCGTTCAGAATCAAACGCTGTTATTCCGTATATTAGTTAGCTCTGTGTGGTTAAGCTCGATTTGGACGATAGGCTGATCCGACAAGCTGGTCTCTTGGGATAGGATAGGATAGGATAGGTAGTACTTTTCTTTTTTTTTCCTTTTTTCTTTTTGCCTCGGCTTCTTTTCTTAATCGGGGATTGTCCTGCGGTGAGCAAGCAGATGACCAGATTACCGGGTCGGCACTTTTTTTTTTTTTTTTTTCATTATTTTCTCTTCGATAACCGTGGGTAGATTCTAATGCCATGTCAAACCCATGATAGATAGCAGCAGGTTAAGCATGCAAAACTCATGAAATAGTCCCCATCGGAAATCTCCTTACTCGTTTCAAGGCCCACCACGAGTCGTGTGCGTGTGCGTGTGTGTGTGTGTGTGCTTCCGGAGCGACATATAATAGGATAGACCACCATCATGTTGCTCAATGGCGCCATGCATGAGGCTGGCCGGGGGAGGGATTGATTTACCGTTTTGACGAATGAGATAATCCCCGCAGGAGGCATAATTTATTGGCTAAGGCTTAGGAATAACGAATGCAACTACATCACGTCGATAAATTAAACCCATCGATCCCCCCTCCCTCCCCCCTGTGTTGCTTGCTGAAGTAGTCGGGATGCATATTGTCTAAGGCTGGATAAGTCAAACACTTAGGTATGCACAATATACACTACGCACAAATACATATTTGTGTTGCATTACTCCTGCATGAGAGCATCCAAGCGTGCTAGCCCGGGCTCGTGGCCAGCAGCAGGCCTCGAAAGGGTCGAGTTACTCTGTTAAAGGGGCCAAGCTTCTAGTCCAGGCACGATGGTTACCTTCTGGGGAAGCACGAATCGGGATCCGTTCCATCTGTTGTCTCAAAATTAACCAACCATCACCGCTACCACCATTTCTTAGGGTATTTTTTCTAACAGGCTGACAGGCCAAAAGAATATCGAGATATGTCATCCTCCCCTTTTGTTTTTTCAATGATGAGAAACATGTATCATTCTGTCGTGTAACCCAACCCGCAGTTTTACGAAAAAAGGGACGCCGAGAGATTTTTTGCTTTGGCGTGTCTAAGCTGGCAAGATATGTGCTGCATGTCCATTCGAATATGAGGCTGATGTCTACTTCTACCCACCATTGACAGATCTCAAGATCCTGTTGTTGGCGTAAGATCGCGGTTTCGATAGATGGGGGCCTACCAGAGTAAGTGTAATGATCATAGCATGTTCTGATCGAGTGGTTGTGCTCGTGTTCGATATTTGAAGACTGTTCAGAACCCCCTAAAAGCGACGTTAAGGGTGATAGTACATACGATCTAGCCAATGGAGACAGGCATTGGAGAAGGAACTATATATGAAGATCATGACAAACGTCCTCTCAGATAGGTAGTCAATATATTAACACTACCTGTCTGAGAGCTACGTGGATACTTCACGTTTTCACGGCATAAACTATCGGGATATTTCTGCGCAAGTCGCCGTTATGCGCCTTAGGTGTACAGCCTGTCTGGAGTCTCGAATGTGCCAGTGTAGAAGGAAAACTGTAGACAGTACATGATGCCGCTAGAGTCCTAATATGCCAAATACTTAACTCTAGGTCAATATTAGCACGGCTTATATGAGGTCGTTCTAGGTATCTGATCCCCATACCTACATGAGGTACGTGCATTGGATGAGGGGTGCCGTCTACGCAATTCCCTCCCTCAAGAGCCCTACGTTAAGGTTGTGCTACCATAATACCTATTACCATGCAATATGTAATAGGTATTGAGGTCAGTCCCTGTCAGGTGGCACCGCCGAGGAAAGCCGCTTAAGGCTGAGATCCATCTAAAGTACCGACAAGAGCAAAGTAAGCTGGTAAGTACCTAGGTATAAACCTCGGAAAGGCGGGGGACTAGGTATAAAAATTGTGTCAATTATTTGTAAGCCAGCTAGTTGAATATCTGTTCATGTAGGCTGGAGAGAATTGTTGGTGTTGGATGGTTTGAAGCAGGCAGTAGGGTAGTACGACACTGAGGATGAATAAGTCCACAGGTTATTCCTAAGACGCAATCTCTAGGTACTACTTAACACAAAGGAAAGTTATTAACGTTGATAAACAGTAACTTGAGAGCAATAACCAGTACATTACGTTAAAACATTGGTTTTACTCGAGTTGCCTTACTCGATCGGTTCGTTATAAACACAAAGATCTTTTTCCTTGTCTTAGGCCATTTTAGAGTTTGATCCGGCGGCGCATTTGAAAGGTTGTACACGAACAAAGAGAGCCTAGATGATCTGTAGACTTGACCGCGCGTTCTTGGAGAGGTCGTGTGAGACTCGGCGGGTATAAAGTTCCTTTTCTTTCAAAGCACAAACCTTCCGCATTCCATAATCCGCGTAATGGGGAATGACTCCAACTTCACCTGACTACCTAGACTACCTAGACCTAACCTAAGGTACTAGGTATGCTGTTTGATCTGGCGATGCAGTTGCTGGGCCTCTCTGCAAGTTGTATCAACTCATGTACACGTGGGTGACTCTGGGAGACGGGTCGTCCCCAGTACCTAGCCTACCCCCCTCGAAAAGATCTCCCAAAGAAAAAAAAAAAAAAAAAGGGAGCCAAGACTGATCAGAAGTGAGCCTAAAAGGAAAACAAGTGGGGATAAGAGGTAGGTAGGGAGGTTTATGTAGCATTGGGCTTGGGCTACCTTCAGCTATTTGCATGGGCTTGGCGTTAGGTATGTTGCTTGTCCACCGACATCTTTACCAATCAAAAATCCTTTCTTACGCCGTTTCCCTCCCCCCTAACCCTCCTTGTGCGAACCCTCCTTTTTGACGGATGCCTTGCTGCCTAATCCTCACCGGCTGTGCTTATGGGTGTATTGAAATCTGATAAAGAACGGGTTACTACTAGTACCATACGTAGTTATATCTTCCTCGATCCTCGATCATTGGAATGCCGCCTAATATTGAATATCTCAATAGTGTAGTAGTGTAGTATATACCTTAGGTATGTGTACTTTCAAACAACTCCCTGCCATTAGATCTTTCCAGTAAAGCCTTTTCTAGCCGGATCGTTCTTAGTGTACTTTGTAAATTTTACAGGTTCCAAGGCATCAGGTATTACCAGATTTAAAATCTCCCCCTGTCCAACTTGGGGTTCGGAGTTGCAACCCGAGTCCTCGATCCCGGGTCACTTAGTAATACCTTGATACCTCCCCCGCGGGTAAACATCTACGCTTTTTTGTCTAGAGCAAGGTACCTTAGGTACCTAAAGTAATTGCTTTATAGCCTATTGCGGATTTCTTAGACGTAAGAAAGCGAGGTGTTAGTTATGTAGGTACTTAGACGTTCAGGTATGCCTCTTATTCGTTATGACCACTTGTTGAATCATACTAACACACGATATACCAAAGCTGTTTGAAAAGTCTCTCTGTAGCTAAAACATCTAAATTGTGCGGTATCTTCATTATTAGGTAGCTACCTAAGCTTAGAGGCTGTAGGTATTTGATGGTAGGGTACCTGGTCTTATATACCCCTCACTCTTGTGGCATTTTGTACCCTTAAGGATTCTTTCCAGTATGTCTCGAGATTCGATCACAGCCTCGCTGACGCGCAAAACGCATAGACCTTATCGTGGATCTCTTCAAAAAATAATTCTACCAGATCTATGACCCTCAGAAAATAAAACTTCGGTACCCGTAGTAAGTTTCGACGCCCTTGAACTATCTAGACCTTGGTATCAGTCAACCCCCCAAGTTTGGGATCCATCACACCGGTCACTTTACAGACTTGCAACCTGATTGGTACGATAGTCCTGCGCATCATGGTACGAGAGAGGAGCCCACGAAGAGGGGCGTTCCTTTTATGGTGGGCCGTAACGCGCAAGGCTTATTACAACTTGAAAAGGTCTAGACAATCTTCAGCCCAGAATAACTTTGATTCGCTTATATAGCATTTTAAACGATCCGAGCACGTTTCCCATAATTTATTATATTAGTTCGCGTTGTACGGCGATGGCTACAAGTGGTAACCATGTAGCCACCCTTATTGCCCTTATTGAACCCGCGAAGTTCTACCGCCCGTATCATCCCACATACATACCTAACTGAATATGAAAGTCACCACGCGATCACATATGCGTATTTGTAGAGCTGTTGGTCGTACGTGATGGGCTGGTAATTCTGGACGAGTCTTTTCTGGCGTTACCGTTCCTAGTTAAGTCTGTTAGATCCTGAGCTTTAACCCCCCCACGGGCCGATATGTCTTGATTTCGATAACAATTTATTATGAGAGTACACGGGTTATGCGATACGTGTTTACATAGTATTCTAGTTTGATTCCGACTCATTCCAAATAAATTAAATAATTCTTTATTATATATATCAAAATTATTTAACAAATGTTATATACTACCAAATTGCTCAAGCTGTTTTATGTTTCAATACCTGGTACTTTATGAATTTAGGTACTCTAGGTACGATAGATGTAGTGAGTGTACCTTGTATATCGGTATCATCTCGATCGTGATATTGCCTTTTAGCGTATGCTTAAAAGGTTTCCTCACTCCCTCGCTCCCTCACGCCTTGACTCTTTGCATTGCATCTTTGCGCTAGTCAACGTTAAAACCACATAAAACGCACTCGTCCCGTGTTTCTTAGTTGAATCTTGGCGAATGGGAATGGATGGGAGCATGTGGGGAACGGGCAGGGATAGCGTACATTAGGTACGTAAGGTATAGTACGTATATTAGATACATGCATAACAGTATGCCCGCATTATGTTTGCACGTAACTAAGGTTATGTAGGTACAATAATGGATAGGTACCTAAGGTAGGTTATCTAAGGTATCATGGTGCCTGTCATCAATTTATTACATAGAGAGGCTAACGTCCCCGGTTGTTTCCCGCGCTCCCATCTGTCTTCCCTCTACTGCTACTACAAAGTTAGTGTGCTGCTGCTGCCCTGACCTTCTTGCATTTCTCAAGCTGCAAGGACACTGCCACACCCACAATTTCGTCTACCCCCGGCAATTAGCTGCCTCTAGCGGCGCGTCGGTGCACACGCTGCAACCGTGCGTCGGGACCACCAGCAGTAGGAGCTGCTAGGTTAGGTACGCTAGGTAGTACCATATACTAGTACGTACATTAGTACCAGATAGCTTGCGCATGTCCCGAGTTCCATATTCCATAGTGGAGGGTCTAGGTTGCTCTTCAGTTGTTTATCTGGTCCTGCTGGTCCTTTTGGTCCTGGGATCCAGTGATAATTATGTGCGAAGACAAATACGGATTTTACTCTTTTTGTAACATTCTAACATCACTTATCAACCATTTTGGCTTCAACCTAAGGAATAACGTATTCCTAAACTCCCGAATATTTTTTACTGTTTGTTTGATTAAGCAGGTTGGTTTATTTTTATTCTACTTGGTCATTGCTTTTCTTCTTTTTTTTTTAACGATTTGAAGAATCAGCGGCCTTACTTTAGTACATAAAGTTTAAGTAGCCTTAAAGAAACGCCCAGCAAAGTGGATCTCATAAAAGTTGCAATGTTCAAGTATAGATACCTGCAGCATCCTCTTTATAGTACTCAATGTGGATATGTGTTAGACCACATATGCACGGGTATCATAGCCCCAAATAAGAAGTAGAAGTACCAGAGGGGTAAGCTCCCAAACAGACGCCTGGGGAGGTACGATTAACCACTCATAGGCCTAAAAATGATCAGTCAATCTTTTTTTTTCCCTTCCCACTCCAATATCCACCCATAACTGGCCAGATCAGGAACAAGCCCTTTTGTCAATCCTCTACATAGTAACTTGTAATCTTGTATTAACCCTCTGTACGACAGCACAAAGCCAAACAGATTTGAAAGGTTCCTTCTTTTTTTTTTTTTCCCACCCCCCATCCCACCACCACCACTACAACCACTACTACTACCAACCACTACCAACCACTACCATCTGCACTCGCTGCACTCGGAACGGTCTCTTTCTCCAAATCCCCCAAACTCATTATTATCATCATTATCATTATTACTTCTCTATCTATCTAGGCCTACCTTCCACACACTGCCTTACCTTTCCTGCCCAACCAAAAGACGCGCATCCTTTTTCCTTTAGTTTTATTTTATTTTATTTTTTCCATGTGTCTTCGTGGCGACCTGCGACCTGCAACCTGCATTCCTCTGTACTGCCCCCGTACTTCTTGTCTTATCGCGTCCTCCGTTCCCAAGGAATCGTCACCTATCTCCATTTTTCGCGGCCGCGTCGTCGCTACTTCGAGATTGGACAATCCCAATATCCAGTATTCTTTCAATCGCGTCAACTAATAGTTTATACGTCTTACTTAAAATCTCACGCCTTCTTCCATCTGCGCGCCGCAACCTGCGGGCGCACCCACAATTTAAATTGCTAACACACACCCAACCCATCGAATTGCGCCAAAGCAAGGGGAAAATAAAAGCCCACCGCCGCGAGTCCGCGACACCCCATCCCGCTATCCCACGATCAGCGCGATCGTCATCCAAGTTCTCGGCCGTGTGTTGTCATAGGGTCCCAAAAATCCAGGCACCTTGTGTAGGGCGACCTTAATTGCATGCATCGTCTATAAGCGTCTATAAGCATGAACGTGGACCTAAGCATCTCAGGTGTAATTTCAAATACGACTAGCAAATCTACCTTCTCTCCTTTGTCCTCGAACCGCGCGAGTCCCTTTCCTTCTACTACGGCTACCGCCACTAAACCAACTATGGCCACGTCCGGCTTTCTTCCGCATTCGCAACCGCAATCCTTTAGATCCACTGCTGCGCCTGCTCCGTCGCCTTATCCGCTGTCTATTGGTGCCATCCACCCTTTCGAGCGCGATGCGACTACTAAGCCCGCCGCTATGCCGTATGTTGCGACTCCTTCGCCCGTCTCGTCTGTCTTGATTCGGCGCTTGCCAGCAGACACCACCGAGGAAAAGCTGAGTTTGATGCTTCTCTTCTCGAAGGAATTGGTTGACATTGAAATGCTTTCTGCCGAGCAATCGGAAGATCTGGGGTTTCGATCCGCCATTGTGAGATTTAAGACTCCTGGTGGGGCACAGCAAGCTAAGGATATGCTGCACGGCAAGTCTATAAGCTCGAGCGACGTCGATTTAATTGTCGAGATTGTGTCGGGCAGTCCCACCGCATCTAGAAGGTACCCGATTGACGGTGCGATCTCTGCCCCGTCTAGCGCTCCCTCCTCGACGACATCTTCGGGCCAGGCCTCGCGTCAATCATCTAGATTCAACGGTCCGTTTCAATCTCTGGATAACATATCACCTCCTATGAATGGAATATACGGAAGTAATGAGTTATCGAACCCCGAATCTAGCGCGCATTATCAGAGCATCTTCTCGCCGCAGTCGCCTATCGGCAACCACCTCACCGAGCGCACACGTATCTCGGGCAAGACTCTCATTAATCATGATGTTGCCGAGGATGATGAGACACGTGAGCTTTTGAAAGATCCCGTTGCTTATGCCGAGAATGGCGCAACGCAACAGCGTAGAGCTACGGCACCGCAGCTACCCATTGGTCGTATGGCTAACCTGTCTTTAAACACGGCAACCACTGGGCCGACGGCTCTGACGCAGTATGGGCACCCGAGCATGACCCCTCTGTCTGCACACGCCAATTCCCTGTCTCCAACTGTGATGAGTAGTGCGAGTCATTCAATGAATTATCAGATGGGTAACCAGCATTACCAGCGCCACAGTAATTTTCCGCCCGTGAATCCTGCCGACCAGAATCCACCATGCAATACGCTTTATGTTGGCAATCTCCCAATCGATACTTCCGAAGAGGAACTCAAAGCTATGTTCTCCAAGCAACGGGGCTACAAGCGTCTTTGTTTCCGTACCAAGCAAAACGGTCCAATGTGCTTTGTTGAATTTGAAGACGTATCATTCGCCACCAAGGCTCTCCACGAGCTATATGGTACGCCACTTCATAACAGCATCAAGGGAGGCATTCGTCTTAGTTTCTCCAAAAATCCCTTAGGAGTCCGCTCAGGCCAATCCCCGGGGCAGAATGGTCCTGGTTCTATGGCGGGTATGAACGGGATGATGGCTGGACCTGGGAACGGCTTTACAAGCGCCAACGGCCCACCTCCAGGCCTTGCAGCTCCTCCTGGTCTCGGTCGTATTGCTTACAATGGTGGATCAACGACACCTAGTAGCACGACCACGCCGTATTCATCGACAACATTCCCTAGTGCCAACGGTAATATATGGAATAACCCATTATACAACGGACCGCTATCGGCTGGTGGTGGCTCTTCTGCGGTCAATGGAACCGCATCGGCGTTTCCACCCTATATGATGGGGCGATAAATTATTAATCTACCTAGCGAATCGATTATAGACACATATACCATGCGTTTCGGGAATCGATTATTGGCGTTTAGGGAGACATTCGAAATGAGAATTCCGAGTTGATGGTATTCCTACTCCACATGAAATTTTGCTCGGTTGATAGGTGGTGGATTTGAAATCCCCAACCTTGGGGGCCGGCTTGGCTAATGGCTGCATATGTATTTGCATTTGCACATGGGGATGGTGGTTATGCATGGTTTCTAGCGTTGGCGTCAACTTTTCTTTTCTCTTTCATTTCTATGATTCCCCTCGGCGAACCACCGCGTGGTTATCAGTAGCCCGGGAGTTCAGAGTCATATCGGTGTTTTACTTTGAAGACTTGGTCACAGGAGGCATGTTCCGGTGTTTGCGTCACTTTGTGTTGGTCGGGTCATTAGCATTACGTTTCTATTGTAGCGGTTACCCCGCCGCGTTATCGCTCCCCCTATCCGGACCGAACAGCCTGGGACGATCCCGGTTATGAATTTGATTTGAGGCCGTCGTCTGCGGGTTTATCACACCGGCTGAAATTATATTCGATGGATCACGTCTGGAGTGGAAGGGCGAATCGGTGGTTGTACTATCTATCGGTCTGTTCGATATTTGAAGCATGGTGAAAGAAAAGAAGAAAAAAAAGACGATTTATCTGGCATACCTGTCCATGTCTGAACTAAAACTTTAAAAAGGAGATATTCATTCTTCTACGTGTGGCATTGTTGAGATTCCTAGGCGAAAAGGGGGTTTTAGGCCTGGTTTCAGACGGAGCGAGGGGCATACATACACTTGGATCGTTCATTATTTTGGAGCTCAGGCGGGCTGATATTAGGTTCACGTGGTCGAAATACTTGGGCAGACGGCCGGCGTCACGAAGCATCCAGCATCTGAAGAGAGGCCGACATTTGATCTCGGTAGCGAGGAAACGGCCTCTTGAACATCAGCATTCCCTGACTTATATTAGCATAGCCAGCGTTCTCCCACTTTCGATCGGCGCATCATCATCATCATCTTACAAGAGAGGGGTTCTCTTCGGTTATTCTTGGAAGTACACGCGATGAGCGAGGGTTAAAAGCGACGGAGTACTTGGGCATGGGTTTCTATATCTGCAGAATGGGCATGGGCAGGTCTGGAAATGTGGCATATGGCATAAGGCATCGAAAGGGGAACGAGACCAGCAAAACGGAGCAAGAGATAGGAGCAAACTGCGTTGTGTCTTGCAGGGGGAGGTTGTTTGTTGGGCTTTCCCCGAGTATACCTTCTGTCGCCGTCGTTCGTCATTATCTTGCCTCTCGCTTTACGAGTTCTAGCTTATAGAACTGAACATGGCGCGCCAGGCATAATCATGTTTCCTTTGGGATGTTTTGGTTCCTTTTCCTTTCTTTCTTTTTTTTTTTTTTTTTATTTTTTTTCTATTTTCCTCTGTCGTCGTAATATAGCTAGCGATTCTTAGACGGTCACCTCGATTCACATCCATGCCAGAAAGGAAGCATCTATCATATCTATCTACTTCATTATTTTTACTCTCCTATCTAATCTTTCACTTTGCACAGTATCTCCGAGCTGTCTATTATCCATATATCGCACTTTCTTAAACGTGTAAAACAAAACAAAACACAGTTCGGATCTCTCCTACCTACCTCTAGCTTAAGCCGAGACTTAATATGTAATAGGGACGGTTGGCCCGTCCTGTTGTACCCAAACAACCTAGGTATGGTCCGAAGCAAGCGTCTAAGAGAGGGTAGGGAATGGCGTTAATAGTATGTACGTATAATATAGTAAATTGCATGGATTGGGCTATTCGGTAATTTTGGTCCCGGCGCTGCTGCTTGCTACTTGCTACTTGTAGAATAATCACCTGACCTATGGATGGCTTATGCTCGACAGATTTTTGACTGCTGTCCTTCTCTCTCATGTCTTCCTTTATTATTTATTCCTTCCCCGTCCAATTATAAACCGCCTCCCCAGATTCACGTTGCTTTTTAAAGCGGGATCGAGTACTACTACCAGGGTGCCATCCAAAATAGATTGCTGCGGTACAATTCTGCGATGATCGCAATGTCCGGATACGATGTGACGCTGGTCGGAAATACCACGTGTATGTATACCTCGGCAGAGAGAGAGAGAAAAAGAGGGAGAGAGAGGGAGCCGGTCGCGGGACCCGCGTTCGCGTGGCGATGGCATCGTCCGGGGTTGAAGAGAGGTTAATCATTACCTTCGGTTTAAACAAACGTGTCTCATCCAGGATTGGGATAACCCGCAGTCCGGGGGGTTCGTCAAGCGCTTTTCCTTCACCACGATATGAGAACCCTGTATTTACCCGTGCCATCGTCACGTCTGTCTCCCGTCGTCGCAGCGAGGAGAGGTCCGAATACGCCGAACAGACCAAGTGATGGTAATTATTTCTTTTTCGTCGTCTTCTTCTTCTTTTTCTCGTTCCTATTCCCCGAATCAGTCCCATCCGATGTCTTGCTTGGGTCGTTGCGACGCTAGGTCTTTCTGCCTCGAGGCGCGATGGCGGCTTCTGCGAGATAGGTTGCGAGCGCCGCGGTTTTTTTCCTGGTTGACTGATTGACTGCCCGGCGAGTCCTGGTGTTGGATGATGAACCTCGTCTTACTTGGAGCAGCAGGTTCAAGGGCTGGCTGGCTGGATAGGGTCCGTGATAAATCATTTCTCTCGTCGAGCAGTTGAAAGAAGATGTACGCTTCCCAAGCCTCAGAATCTCCTTGTAGGAAGAAAACTAGGCCGAGCATGGGGATGTAGTAGTAGTACCATTTATTTGGTCATCTCATCGACGTGTCTTTTCCCCATCGCTCGGCAAAGCCCCCCTTCCCCCCCTTCGTATACCTAAGTAGGGCAGAGATTCGAACTTAACAGATATCCAAAAGATTAGGTAGGTACCCCTCTCCCCTGTCGGACGAGAGGAAGAAACGGAGTTGGGACAACGTCAACGTCGTATCTTAAAACCACCCCCTGGCTTTTTTCTTTTCTTTTCTTTTTTGTTCTTTTCACTCGACGTCGCGAGGAGGTAGGTTGGGATCGGACAAAGTTAATCCGTACCATTCGTCGTCTCATCCCGGATCCCCGTGTCCGCCCCCTGGGGGGAATACAACCTTCCCACGTTGTATAGTGCCATTTTGTAATTCTTACCTAGGTACCTAACCTACCTCATCCCCGCTCCGGCCCGACCCCGACAAAGTTACCTAAACTACTACGAGTCGATAGGTATATTAGGTGAGGTATGTACCTACCTGCGGATAGGGGGATGCCACGGCGTTGTAGAAGGGATATATCAGGCAAAAGGAGCAGGCACTATCGGACGTTTCCGGGTCCTCTCCGCCAACGACTTTCTCTCTTTTCCATCGGCCACGTGGAGGTGTTTTGTTCTTTTTTTCCTTCGGTTTCTGTGTTCTGATACGGGTTGCGGGCGTGAGTGCTCACCTGGTAAGGCTATATTACATACTGGGAAGTGTATTAGCTAGAAGGCCAAAAGTGAATGCTCACAGGTTGCTACTCAAATGGCCACGAATATATATGTATGTGGAACCTATGAGATTATTGAAGAGGAGTAGGTAGGTAGTAGAGTGTTGTTGTAAGCAGAGAGACTTGGTAAGAGAACATAGCTTGCTTTTATCTAATTTAACAAAAAAAAAATTTAACAAACGGAGATATCCTTGTGAAACCACAATTGTAGGTTTCCGGTTAGAGATATCATCAGCCTTCCATCATTTCATAATACCAAAAATATTATATTCCAGGTTAGCTCAGATAAGGATTTGGGGCTTGGGGAGGCATATGCAGAGGAAAGGCGTATGAGCAACGTGTACGATCGATTACTCCACGTACAACGGCAACTTCAATTTTGAGCAATATTCTTCGAGCACCTAAGAGGTACCTAAGGTAAAGACTAGGTATGTATGGAGGCAGGCCCATTGTCAACTAGGAGATACATACATGGGTGGTTGGTTAAGAAATGAAGTCAGGGTGTTAATCCCGGAAACACGAGATAATATATGTACCTCATACCTTACCTTACCTCCCTACCTATCTTACCTTAGCTGGTAGTTACCCCGTATTCCACTTAACCGTGGTAGTCCTACAAATGGACAAATCGGTTCTAAACTGCCGAGATCTACCTACCTACAAATCGACCGCTCACGGTCCCCAGACGAAGATCATCAACGGGCGCTAACATTGTTATAGGTATACCTACCTCCTAAGGTAGCACTTTGAACTATGGAGGGAGGGAGGGACCAAGCGAACAGGGGCCGAACTTGGACTTCGAATCTTCTGATTAATGGGACAAGATAGATATGAGACTACTAAACCTTGGGTTAATGACGAATACCGTATTACAAAAAGTCATACGAGAGTCCTGCTTCCTGTTGGGAGGACAACTTACCTCGAGTTTACACAGAATTCTTTTGCCATTTTCGGATCAAGCTCAAAGTACCAGGTAGGTAGTAAGTAGGTGTTTTTTTTTTTTGTAACGCTAATTACCGGGCCAAAGGGGGTGTAGATGGCAAGCAACTAACGCGAAAGCCTACTCGATTCGTATATTATAATTTGCGATCTCTTAACTGACGCGTTTCTAGATACCCTTTACCGAGATACCCGCACTCCAAAGAAATGAGCTCGGACCCTCGGATCTAGGTATCGATCCTGGGGATAGAGAAGTAGGGCAACACTTTGCGAAGATGATATTTCTATTAAAGAAGCTTAGTTGATAGTCAAGAGCTTTACGCATAAGCCAACTGAATAATATGGTACGCGGCGCCTTGGGGGCCAAATCTAGGACGTTAATGACTACAAGATGTTCCATCGTTGCAAGCGGACAGGTAGTGATTGTTATCAGCACAATGTTAAGAAAGTATCAGGGATATGTATCTATACAATCAAGAATTATCAGACTGACGTACTATACCACCGTATAAAGAACAGAAATTTATCAAAGTCTGATCATGTGGCAGCTACACTCTTAACGCCGATCTAAGTGAGAAATGAAGCTTTTCCATGACCAATGAGTTTCACCCCCCACGCCGGACATGCTCAAGATAGTGAGCAGCGAAAACTATCTGTAATACTAAATGCAAGTTAACATATTCAACAATTCAGTTACAGATGGATTAAAGATTGAAAAGATATATTCTCGTGCATTTCGTACCGAGGCAGACTCGGTCAGACATGTCATAAGCAGTTTCAGCACACGCCAGCGGGTGTTAGTATGGATTTCAGCCGAAGGAAATACTTGCCTGATTCCACCTGAGCTAGTAGTACCTGTGGGTGTAGCATAAAACTGCCTCTGACGGCTATTCGGGGTTCGTCCTAGGTAGAAAATCCACGATGCGTCAAAGTTCTGATGCTATACTGTTAATAGCATGGCCTGCATGTCATATCATATGGCAAAGACTAGCGGAGCGGGCACGGGATAATGATGGACGTCGTTCCAAAATATTGCTCAATCGGAATCCCAACCGGTCGGAGGCTCGGAAGCGGGTTGACAAAAGAGCATATAGCGAGATAAGCATTGGCTCGTCTTGGTCCCATCTCGTGTATGCTTATACAAATACGAAAGGGCTGCGCAAAATTTCGGTATTGAATATCGGGATTTGAGGTAGGTAACTCCAACTCAAAAGGCGCTTGATGCAGCGTCGGGACCATTCGAGCGGCCAAGTAGGACCTGATATGAGCCTGATATGAGCTGGACCGGGACAACTCGAAGAGGAATGCGATACGGCTCATATATAAAAATACCGTTAATGAGCCGGGGTAAAGCTTCAAGATTTAAGTTCTAACGTGGTAAAAAGTACTTTATAAGTGAGGTGGAGACGTATTTCCTAATTATGGATAAAAAAAATATAAAAAAAAAAACTCCGGGGAGCTAGGCCGACCACTTCCGGCGGTTCGACTGGGATGTGCTTGCTTAAGCTCAACTTCTGACTGGCGGTGGAATATGAGTTGAACTATTTAAAATGCGCTCTCTCGTATCTTTGCCGACATGGTATCGAGGCGGTAGGAGAACTCAAGATGTATGGCCTGCACGGCGTGCAGCTGGTACCTGTCAGGTGACGCGTGATAAAAAGAAAACGGTACATGGCAACACGACAACATGGCAACCATAGCAAGACTGGACGGTAGGACTATCTCTGTTTTCATCCCTTTTTGGGTAATCGATCAAGGAAACACCGAAGGTTCCCCTTAAGAGCCTCGTCCGGGTTCTCAAATAAATGGCGCGGGATGGACCGTGCAAGCCTTACGAATAAGTAGTTGGTGCGCCGTTGGTGCATCGGAAGCGCTCGGATGGACAGACAGCTGAACTGCCCAATATTTTCACCGACACGTACCACAAGTTAGATGACAATCGATTAGCAAATGCGATTTGCACCTTTTTCAGCCCAACCAGAAGCCTGTACAAGGTTTCGCCGCATTGGAATTAGCCATGCTCCGGTATTGGCGGGCACACCATCCAGATTTGCTAACTTGACCCGGGCTGTTATCGAAACTTGACAATCCATGCTGCCATGCTACCAGCGGAGCTATGTAGCTGCACCAAACACAGACGGCTAAGCCGTGAAGAAGAATGGCATGAGCAGCACCCAGCATTTACTAGCACAAACAACGGGGCACGTCCAATGCAGGGCCGACCCGCTTAGGTTACTTTCCTAGTTGCTGCGTTGTCCAATGATTTGTCTGCGACTCGAGGTTGGAGTTTCTGCCAGTCTGCATGACATGAAAGATCAGGTCAAACGTGCGTGCGAACTAGCGACGAGGGAAGTTCTCGATTTTCATCCCTAGCATCAAGACTGTCTTTACCGCGAAGACGAGATTGATGAGAGAGTATGTCAAGCAACGTAGTATCTTACAAGTCGATGAAAAGTTAGTTTCAGGTAATTCGTGGGAAAATGTATAAATATAAAAAAGAATATGAAAGGGGGGTGTCAGGATTGAGGACTTAAATTATGACGCAAGTAGGATGTAAATGAAGGGTATTTGGAGGGGGGATATTATATTATATTATATTGTATTGTATTGTTATTTTGACTTGATTGCCGAACCAGTTGAATTGAACTACCTACCTAATAGAAAGGGGGGGGGAGAGGGAAGGTTTTACGTTACTCAAGAGGAAAAAAGAGGCGGGAGGATTCCCCCCCCAAAAAAGGTGTCTAAAATAATGTTCGTCAGCCTATTGGATCGGCGTGGGGATTGTACAACAATCACCATGCAACTGCCCAGGTGCATCCACGGGGTAGTACTTAGGGTGCGTATCTGGAAGTGTATTACCTGATGTACGGTTTAATTGTCGTGCCTAATGGCTTCCTACCTACCCTAGTACCTGTACCTAACTTAGGCGCCCTACTTGCATGTACCTAATATCTGCTAGTCGCAATACCTAGTATTATGTACAATACCTATTTAAGATACCTAACTTAGGTACCTAGGTATATATAGGTAAGGTCAAGTAAGAGGCATGCACTTGCGATGTACCTACTAAGCTATTAAAGTAATGTAGGTAGGGTCCGCCGCCAGCGCCTAATGTAGGCCTATCTGCTTTGCGCATGCAGGTGCAGAAAAGATGAAGAGAAGCTGCATCTGCCGCCATTGCTACCCTTAGTATACTTGTATACCTACCTATGTATTGTACCTTGTAAAGGCAGGGGAGCTAAGAGTGCTTAGAAGGAAGCCTAAAACCTCACCAAACGTCTGCTCATTTCGATACAACGTTAATAAACGCGCCCACACCAACAATAAGGCGGGCCGACCATACCAAATCCAAATCTATCCGTACCACTCTTTTGCTCAACATGAAGCTTAACATAAGAAAGCCTTTGCCTCGAAGCTACAGATGCAACAAGTTTCTTAACATCCTGCACTAAAATGAAGCAAGGAAACCCGCGAGAAATATATAATAATTGCTCGACTTTCCAATCCCGAATTATTGCATGTTCTCATTTTTTTTTCAAGGTTTCTGTAATCTGCATCTTATAAAATCCCATGCTCATCTCTTTTTTTTTTATCCATCTATCACATCTTTCCGTTAAACTACTTATCTAGGTACCCAGCCTAGCCGGGCCGGGGTTGCATTTTTTTTTTCCCTCCTCTCTTCCTTCCTAGGGGTGTGCTGGCTGCATATACTGTACCTATATACTTGTACATATTTTTCATCGTTCTGTCGTGCAGTACGTACTCGAAACCCGTTACCGGTTTAAATCGTACCGGTTAGGTATCCGTCTAGGTATCCGTCTTGGTGCTTAGGTGTAATACTGTTGCATTTTCCCATCCATTTGGACTATTTGAACCATTTTCAGGTAGTTCCTTACATGTACCTAACATTGAACTTCCATATATACCCCTCTTTTTTGGCCCCCTAAATAAACCCGCCGTTCTGTACCTCTTAATAGTCCCCGTTTTATCTCTTTTTATTTTCCCCCCCCCTTCCCCATCCTCTGCCCAGGTGACGGGCGTACCGAAAAGAATCGCTGCGTCTGATCCCTTTCCCTGGTTCGTCCCTTGAAATAAGGAAAGGGGCCAGCCGCGCTTTTATTTTTCGTCATCCCCGTCCCCCGTCCCCCGACATCAACTAACGCGGCTCTTTTCATCTGATTGTTTCTTAAGCGGCTACTTACCTACACTTACATATATACCCTCGACCTTAGGTATCCGCTTTGAATCTTGCTAAAGCTTACTGCTTACTTGCTTGACCTTATCTCTCGTTAACATTTTGGAGCAATACTCAACTCGACCATAAAAGAATAAAAAAACATTTGCCATCCGCCACTTGGATGACAATATCTCCACCACCACACATCAGCTAAAAAATAATTATTCCAGCCGCTGCTTTGTCGTTTGGCGCCTCTGATGCGCCTTTCGTGAAATCTTTAGCTTCAGGCTAGCTTGGAGCTTAAGCTGAAGCTATCTCCAAAATCCAAAGGAGAGAAGAAAAAAAAAACCCCCCGACAATATGCCTCCATCGAGACAAGGCCGTTATCAACCTGCGTTCGTTTCCTCCGCCGCATCAAATTTTGCTACGATTTATTGTACCAATAACTAACTTCCGATATATGCGTATAGCCGGGAATTCCACGTTGTTGTACTAGGTGCAGGTAAGTCTTTTCTTCTTCTCTAGCTATGGTGTGGAATCAAGCTTTTTTCTTCGACATGGTCTATTCAGCACTGAAACTTTTTTTCCCTTGCTTGTGCGTAACCTGGGACCGCCGCTAACTTTTTTACTAGGTGGTGTCGGGAAGAGCTGTCTTACAGGTAATCCTTCTTTATAGCTATAAATGATTCCGATTGGAGCATTTTGGATTGAAACGAAACACCATCCATCCACGCCTCATGCGTCATTCTCTATGCTGTTAGTTCCAATTGCTAATTAGCCTTCTTATTTGTCGACAGCTCAGTTTGTCCACAACGAGTGGATTGAGAGTTATGACCCAACCATTGAAGATTCGTATCGAACCCAGGTGGCTGTCGATGTAAGTGTAATTTACTTACTATCTATCTCCTTTGTGAGGCATCGATATTTACTAACACGTTCGGACTAGGGTCGTCAGGTAGTTCTGGAGATGTAAGACCATCCAATGCCAACTACCAGCATAATTCACCATTCCATTTCCTTGCTGCTCTGGCGTACTAACTGGGAATAGCTTGGACACTGCAGGCACTGAGCAATTCGGTTAGTCACATTACCAGACGTATCATTCGCTTGAAATTATGCTAATTTGACTCTAGTTGCTATGAGGGATCTGTACATGAAAACTGGTCAAGGGTTCTTACTAGTCTATAGTATCACCTCAAGTTCGTCATTAACTGAACTGGCGGGGCTCCGTGACGAGATCATCCGTATCAAAGACGACGCGACCGTGCCAATTGTTATCTGTGGAAACAAGGCCGATCTAGAAGACCAGCGGTCCGTGCCACGCACCAGAGGCTTCCAAATCTCGGAGAGATGGGGTGCGCCATACTACGAAGCCAGTGCTCGGACGAGGAGTGAGTGCATTTACCCACACTTCTTTTGCATATTTTCACTCCTACCCATACTTGATGCTCCGCGGTTGCAGGGTCATGAGACTAACACCGAAGAAGCAAATGTCGACGAAGTATTTGTCGACCTATGTCGACAAATGCTACGAAAATATGACACGACGGAGCCTTACGCCGAGGATCAAGACAAGTTTGATCCATACTCCATATCCTCCTATAAGAAACGAAGACGGAGAAAAGATGGGGAGCGACACAGACCTAGATGTGTCATACTGTGATTTCTCTAACTAAGAGCTTTCACTCATATGCTTACGATGGATTTAAGTGAAAGCTTTATATGAGAACTCAGTTTCACCCGGGCGTGCAATTACTAATGTTGGGACGCCTTTTCGAATTATAGAACAGCTACCGGTTTAAGTGCGAATAGTCTACACCATGGAAACCTAGGCGTTCGTGTTGGCAACTTGAAATGAGGGCAACGAGACTCTCTAATGGATTTGAGATAGGGTTTACAGTTTCATATTTTTGTTGCTGTTACGCAGTGATCCTTCGGACCGACAGTTGATCAGGTTTCGTTTCAACAATTTCCGCGGCGAAATTCCTTTCGTATTCTGGAGCGAACATTCAGGGCTATGGGCGGGCTGCATGTTCATAGTATTGCATGGAAGGGCATAATATGCATGCATCACGAATCACCAAACGAAGGACAGCGTACTAGTATCGGACATGGCGTCTACATACTACATATGGACGTTCCTCGAGTTATTATGGCGACCGTTTATTTTTCTGCTTTCGGGACATCGGGGTTTCGATGTGGAGCTTTTATCTTGTCTTTTGTTTTCTTGTTGAAGATCCGGACTGCGCAGGCAACTTACATATCTGGGAATCCATTTATGATACTACAGCACTTACCTTATTCGTCAGAGGAATAGGCATTTCCACCCGAGAATATATATATACCCACTCTATCGCCAACAACATACTCGACGCTCCTCTTTTGAATTGGGAAGTGATAAAATGCGGAAATGACTATACATGTGATTTGTATGCTAGCTACCTAGAGATTGCTCGGGGGGGGTTGGATCCGTGGATTGGAAAAAGGCGTCGCTTGGCAGTTGACCGACTTGCCTGCTTGTTTTGCTGGAAGCGAAACCCTCGAACGACCCTGCTCTTGACGATCTCAACTCGTATAGAGAGTTTGAACCTCGCACGAAAATAGATCGAGGTAACATCCGAGGCTGTGCCTCCACATGGAAAGGGTCCAAGGTGCATACATACTAGGAGCTAGTAGTAGATCTTGTTGCTTGGACCACATGACCCGTGCTCGTCACACCTAGGTGGGCTAGGTAATTCGGCTCACCTTACTGCCAATAGGTGCTGCAGATTTACAGGATACCCTAGGTACCTGTCTAACCTAGGTATCCTAGCCAGCCATACAATAGCGTATGTGTTGTGTTTCTCTCTTTGGCCCCCGCCCTGCAGTACTAGATCAACCGGTGGAGCAGCAGCAGCAACCCACATAACCATATCGTAACGTGAGGTACGTACGTGGATCTCTCTCTCTCTCTTTTTTTTTTTTTTTTTTTTTTTTCCTTTTTAATCCAAAATAAGCAGATGCTCGCCGCCGAAAGGGGAAAGGGCAAGGTATCCGGAAGAGGTTGGCAGCGGGGTGTGTGCTATGTGTGTTGTGTGTTGTGTGTATGCGGTCAACGATCAACAAGTCCCATTGAAGTGTGGTTCCGCTAGGACGAATGCGGGCGAACAGGTGGGCGAAGACGTAGACTTAACCTTTCGACGCCGGAACGGCCACTTGTGTGCGAGTTGCTCGGTAGGCACGCTACAAATGCATAACCAACCTGGGATTTTCGATGCTGCTCTTGTTGGGTTTTGGGGGGAGTTGTATACTGTGCGCGCGCGTGCGCGTCTATACCTTAGGTAGGTAGGTATACTACTTTATGGGGGCGGAGGCTGGGGTGAGAGAGATCCATCGATGGATGGATGGATGGCTCGTCGCCGCTTGCGGACTCCGCTTGACCCAGATTCTATCTGTGTACGGCGGGTATGGGTAGGTAGTAGTATATGCACGGCTGGATATCACGAGGCTGGCTCGTCGGCCATTTCTTTGGATCGCAGGCTGGCAGGCAGGCTGGCTGGCGTGAGTATGTTGCTATGATGGTAGGAGGATGATTGTTGGGGGGGAGTGTGTTTTACGGTGAGCCTCGTTTAACCTGGGACTAGGATGGTGTTGAATACTTACGTGGTATCAAGGCTTGAGATCTTTCTGTCTGGTACCTTTGATACCTTTGACACCTGTACCAAGTGATTTTGTTCAAGTATGTCCAATTCCGTATCTTGTTGTCAGCTAGTGTATATACCTCCACTCATAGAGTTAACCCGCTACAAGGCATGCGTTCATCCATATTAGGTAGACAACAGGGCAGCCAGTAATAGACTCGCATATGGGCTAAGAAATCGCGGTCAACTCTCGCTCAGGGCAAGTGGAATTAGGTACGGAAATCACTAAGAAACAGCAGACTAGCTTCGATCTATCTACGTCTTTCCCTTTCCGTAATATCACGTACATCGGGTTCATAAATAATTTAGAGCTCGGGAGTTAGACCGACTAGCGTAGGTAAACACAACTTCCCTCACACTTACATACATCACCGACCCTTTCCTGTGTGTATCCGCCATTCCGCCTCACACTTCAGTAAACTAACCAAATAAAAAGGGAGACAGACCACTAGTTAGTTAGTTACAACTTATGACTTACGATTTAAACCACTCACTCACTCACTCGAGTCCTGGCTCGTGAAATGCCGAAGCGACATCTGGACGTTTTAGCGCCGGGCGCTAACATATCAATAGACTTCCCACCACGGGCTAGCGCTCCACGTGTACTTACCGAAGGGAGGTTAAATAGCGTACCTGCACTAATACCAAAGGAGATATAGGAGATATCTGCTGTTGAACTACCGCACCAATTTAGCTGCTGGAGAAAAGAATAGACTCAGGTACTATGTAGGTAGGTATTGTACCTAGGTTGGTAGTTAATCGCCGAACAAATACACTAACCTTATGTACCTATGTAGGTACGTACATTGCCGTAGTATTGGAATTTTGAGGCTTAAAATAGTGTAGGTATTACACAACATGACGTCGATCAGGTTGGTTCGGAATAGCATTGACTATCATCATCAACTTGTCTACCTAAATTATCGTCTAATATAACTAATTAATATTAGCTCGACGTCTTCGTATGACAGGTAAAATAAACTAGATCCGCTGGTATGGTCGAGTTATGAGAACCCTTTGGGCTGCGTAGACAAGAATGGCCCCCCAACTTGGATTTCAGTCTAGAATTGCCCTCCCTTTGGGTAGTTATGACGAGTAACTGTCCAGCTAGGTTGCCGTAAGCTAGCTTAGAATCTGTGGTACGTTGAGATGAGATTGAGTTTCGCAATGGGCATTAGATTGACGGCTAGTTAGGATGTATCCTTACGTCTGCCTCTATTTAGCTAATAGAATTTTAAAAGCACCAAATAGCTAGGCCGAACCAATGCCATAATGAAAAAAAAAGAGGCTCACGTGACGCCTATCTAGCTCTTCGTCGACATGCTTCGTTCAAGCTGCGGTCGACATTTTTCTGAAGCCGAAGTTTCTCTCCTATAGAGAAAGTGCAGTCTTAACCTAGGTAGAGTTTTAACGTAGAAGGGGTTTCCACTGATGCCACTGTATTATTTATCTCATCAAGTAGTGTTTTTCCGGCCATAGCCTGATTATGCTGATGACGCTGAAAATATCATTGAGACTGGTTCCTCAAGAACTAGCTAGCAGATTTAGCTTCGATATATCGTTGTAAAGTCTTCTTCTGAAGAGCCCGTTGTTCGTTAATGACTTCCCACAACTCTTCATTTTCTTTCCTTAGTTCCTGATCCCCAACGGTATCCTCGGCCGGCGCCTGGAAGGCCAGAATGGCTTGTTCTAATATATTCTGCGGAAGTCCGTTAGATTTAAGCATGCTGCTGAACCTTGTTTCCTCTGAGATATCGGAATCTAGCTGGGACGTGAAATTGTAGGTGCGGCTTCCAAGGAACGGTTTGACAACAGCGACGGGTTTAGTGAGCCGCGAGGCGGGAAGTGGAGAGACGAAGACAATGTTGGTGACGGAAGCGTTGAGGTTCGTTAGCTCTGTGGAATCCGCGCGGCTGCTCAAGTCCCATCGCAAAATCTGACCTTGCGGGTGGCCTGATATCAAAGTCGTACCATCGTAGCTCAACGCCATGCACGATGCCGCTCCCGCCTCCTGAGGCGTAGCGCCGAACGCTGACGAAACCTGAACGGCCGTAGAGCTGTCCTCTACGCTCTGAGGACCCAAGAGAGCCTTTTCGCTAAAAAGATCAATGGCATATAGCGAGCCGTCATCGGACGAAACGTAGATAGCCCGTGCACATGGATCGAGGGATACGCAGAGCGGCGAGCTCGGGAACAGCAACGTCCGTAAAGCTACACCATGCTGGTAGTTCCAAATGACACAAGACTTGTCCTTGCTTGCTGAAACGCAGATGTTAGTATCCTGGTTGACGCTCGAGCCGAGGGCGAGAGACGTGATGGCGGCTCTATGATTCGATAGCGTATTTTGAGGTTCGTGTTCGATAGTCGAGTCTAGTTCCAGCAGACGGGGGACGGGCCAGACGTTAATATTCGAGTCTTCGGACCCGGTAAGAAGATAGTAAGGTGTGACAGCGATACACGTTATGGCTTGGACATGGCAAGCCGACGTAGTTACTTGTCTACCGGTGCAGACCTCCCATATGATGAGCCTACCCTCTTGCGAACCCAAATAGAGCACATCATCTTGTAGTGCTATGCTTCGAATGCGCTCTGGAAAAGTGACCAAAGCTTCTTGGTTTCCTTTGGTCCTCGAGTAGACGTGAACTGTCGATTTATCTTCTTGAGCTGCAAACACATGCGTGTCACTCACGGCTAGACAGTGCCGAGGTGTAGAGCTTTTCTTAAAGGTAGTTGTCGTCGAATGGCTGGGGTGAAGCGTATGTTCATATATCCCGGCATCTTTCGAGATAGCCGTGTTGTTGGCTATTGGTGGACCAGCCACAGACACGAAATAAGTTTCAGTCAACATTGAACCCCCCTAATTCACCGAGTTTCGTGATGATCTGATCTAAGTAGATTTAGAACTTATTATGCAATGGTGAACGATGAACCAAATATGATATCCTTTACTAGTACTCAAGTAGCTAGCTAGCTGGTTTTAGCTATCTCGGATATTCTGAGGATTGGTCCAATTACGTATGTACGTCTTATGATATTCTACTTGGGGTTCGAAGCTTGTGCCAATGACTGCGTCTTTGATGTTGTTTGGTGTTTTGATGTTTAATGATGTTTTTTTTTTTTAGTATTGCTACAGCTTTTTTTCTTCTTTTGCTCTCCCCACAAAATGTCATTGGTAGTTTATCAATGATAGCCCCACTAGCGTGCAGGTTTTATGCAGGTCTTGCGTGGCTGTCGGTGGGGCCGGCATTGCGGCGTAGCCTCAGGGCTTGGCACAAGGGCAAGCCCCTTCTACAGATTGATGTTTGGGATCTATATAGATTCTAGAGCATTACACATGTCTAACTGTTAATAAGCCTTAGGTACAAATAGAATTAGTAGCAGCAGCAATAGGCAGCTACGACCGTAAGCGAGATCTTATTAGATAAAAATAATAATAATAAAAAAGCAAAAATGTTAAATACTAACGTGTACGTCACATATGTACACAATCCTGCCAATCTGGATCTGGGTAAGGTAAAATCAGATTTTCATCTTCTCTACTTTTTTGTCAACTTGAGCACAACTAGCCTTCAACTAAGCTTCAAATAGCCTACCGAACTACCTTACCTTATATTGGACTTTTGATTCACCTTATTTGAGTTCCAAGTTTTCCCCTCTTTGGTTCTTCTATCCGCTTTTTTTTTTCTTGTCAATATTCCCGAGGGAAATACGAGATACCAAATGGGTCATTGCATAAGTTTACGCCGTTAAAATCCGGTATGGTTATCGTGGGCATCGGAAGCAGGAGGATTTTAACAGCGGCGGCTACCTACCTGCGTCATCCCCAATCGATTATATATTGTCGCCCAACGGCTCATCCTGCCACCATCCTCCCGTTAGTTCAAGTCGAGGTATATGTTATTCATTGATCTTCATTGGGCATTGTTACACCTTCTTAACAACGGCCTTGTTCATCGGAGGCGGTAATCCCTTGGCTGCATGGGAGGCATGATGCGCGCAGCTAAGACAAGCCAAAAACTAAATCCCACAACTGACGGTAATGCTGCAGCATGTCTGGGTTTTGCTCATAACTCTAGCCAATCCGACTCCTAGGCTTCTTTCAGCTTCGAGAATCTAGTGGAACTTCCACTCTACGCACAATGATTAGTACGGTGATACATAAAACGGGACTACCTAGTCAAATCCTTCATAGGAGGGGTTTCTGCATACGGATGCATACGAATGGCGTAGGAGCATATTCGTACGCAACGTGTTCGCCCGTCTGTCGTGTCGCTTGCCAGCTGCAACCAAATCAGGTATCATCTCAGGTATCATCATTCGACCGATTTAAACTTCCTATTCTAGATGCAGGAGGTAGTCATCTGAGAAGAGGAGACACGACACGATCAGCTGCCCCAATCTAGGTATATTGCCTAGTAAGTGTTAAAACTTTATGCCAAGTCTATTGAACTGATTAGCTACTGCTAGCTGTTATGCGTCTAGCATATACGGGCATACGCTAGGGTAAAAAGGCGTTCGTCTGGCCTCGGAGGTTTCTTCGATTATACGCAATAGTATCCCCCCATCTGACAGGTGAATAGCCAAGCTTGCGCCATGATCATCTTACTCCAATCAAGGGTCCAAGTCTGGTGGCCGAACGATGCTGCCATGGCTTGTCAAGAAAAAAAAAAAAAAAAAACCTCCGAATTTTAGGGAAAATAAGAAAAATATGGTGTAATGCGGTCAAGTGCACATACGATTAGAGTAATCGATTGGCTAATTAAGCAAGAATAATTTCCAGAAACGATAGCAGCGTTGCATCGTATCACTTAGCGAATGGATTTCTGGACCTCTCAATTAAATTGATTGATTGGTTCCTGTCAACACGCTACTATGGTCAAAATACTACCCTGGAAAACGATCCCTTGGCAAGAAGATCGGACGGTCAAGTCTGATGAAAAATGTCAAAGAGTCCGGAGAGTCAAACCCCCCCAACTTTCCAAGAAGCAAGGGCTTAGGATATTTCTGGGATATTTCTGGGATGTCTCTGGTATATCTCTGGTATATCTCTGGGGATATCTTTTTGGATATCGCTATGAAGGCATGCGTTAGAGGTAGGTAGGAATGTCTCAGGTGAGATGGTTGTCGTACGTGATTTCCGATGACTCGGGGAGTGGCTTCTTGTGTAAGTCATCACGACATTAGCATCGTGAGAAAATGCCATGTAGCTTGGAGTCGTTTCTATGACTATTCTTTTTTTTTCTCTTCTTTTATTCTCGTTGTTAATAATTGTTAGGGCCGGACTACTTTAGATGATGAGCTCAGGTCCCACATGGGTTCTCATTCTCCTTTTAGGCTCTGCGACCTTTCACCTTTTCAAAAATACCCCCTGGTTTGTCCGGGGTCCATGGTTCATGGTTCATGGGTATTCATTCATCTCTGTCGAATTATGAAAATCACCCACGTACGAACATAGCTCCATCCTTCAACGGCGGGACCCCCTGTCCACCGCTCAACCTTTCTCTAAGTCTTCAAATCTATGTGGATTTCCATCCCAACCTTGAGCTTTTTGCCAACGATTGTTTTTGTTAATTTTCAGTTTCTTCGGATCTGTTTTCGACATCGTCTAATTAGAGTATATTGTTTATTTTTCGCAATCCTACCAAGCATACTATCACATCACGGCGAATTTAAACGGACCGGAGGTGGAAAAGCCACCATTTATTACTTATCGTTTCCTATGAGAAGAAACCCCTAGGATTTCGTTGCCGGCTTACACTCCCCCTGCAACGCCACCGACCGATTAATTCGTAAGTCGCGAACGAACGTCACGATGGGGAGCCTTGAATGCTTCGATTGTTTTGAGCCTTTGATGGACTTCAATCTACCAGAGCTTCTGGTCGGCGATTTAGAAGAATCGAAGGAGATTTTCAAGGCAAGGCAATTGACTGCTGGTGCACCAGCTCCGTCGTTAGCCGGTGATGGATCTAGAAGACGATATTCGTTACAAGACGGTTCGTTAAGCGCAGTCGATTCGACTCATCTCCTAGACGTAATGTCGAAAGCGAAGTCACTACAAAATGTGAATGAACCCGATACGCACTTCTTTACCATTCGCGACAAGTCACATCGGAATAGCAGCGATTCCGATTCAACCAGTAGTCGATCATCTGGTGCATTGATGCCGCCATCAGTCGGCACACGAGACGCATCAATCGCCACAACAGCCACTTCGGTTACTTCTGAGAAGTTGGAGCCACCAAACCAATTGAAATTAAAGCTTGTGATAAAAGAGAAAAAACAAGCCGGTCAGAGTTGGATGGATCTGGATGCTGAGGACCCAACTTCTCCGGATCGAAGATACAGTATGATTAACATACCGTCACCTGCTCAATACTTGTCACTACAGCAAAATCTAGATGAATCAAGGAGCATGTCTTTAAATTCATCTGTGCCACGTCCTGACCTAACCAACCCTCCTCCAACTTCACCAAATGTGCCATCAAAAGCGTCACCAAAGGAATCCCCGGAAATGTCACCAGATAGTACCAAATCTTCCGGCACTGGGGAACAACGGAACCGCGTCGTATCATCTTTGATATGTCCAACTCCCCCTCCGGAGCGACGTTCTTCTTTGATGCACCGAAACTACGCCGTACTTCCTAAGATCAACGTGTCCTCCCTACAGGCCTTGCCCAATGAACCTCTACCGACGCAGCGCGAAGGCAAGACGTCATCACCGGATCGCAATAAGCCTTCTTTAGCCCCAGTTCGATCATCCAATCGTGAAATGGATTACGTTACTACCCACAGGCGTAAGGGCAGCAAGACTAACTTGCCCTTACCGGAGATGGATATCAGTAAGAACGAGTCGGGGCAATGTTTGGATACAGGAAGCCCTGAATATCCAGACATTGCGCCAGGTGGGATCGATGTTGAATCTTGGCTAGAATCTAGCATTGATAACTTTCCTTATTACGCCCAAAATAAAGCTGACGGTGGACATACGCCCTTACCGCTCCCACCAGATGTTATCGAGACCCTTCGAATATGCATCACATGTTTTCCGGAAACGATGCTCCAGTGCTCTAGCCTCTCGATTGAGACCATACGCAGCCATTCTAGAAAGTTGAGGTACAAGAGCTCCAGTCCTGCAAGCCTCTATTCGGAATCGCCCGCTTCGGTAGAGTCGGATCAGTCGAAGCAGACGAAATGGAAGTGGTTACCACTTAAGAGACAGCAGTCATGTCCTACTGACACGCCAACCAGCCCACAACGAGCTGGGTTCGGGGAGAACCTGGAACCAAGGTATAGCCCGGTATGGCCTAAGAGACCGGATTGGACCGCAATCCAGAACCTCTTCCCCACCGGATCTGATTACCTTTGTGACGCTCTCTACGCCCACCTCGTAGCATACAACTATATTACTTCCCTATGTCCCCGATCAGTCCTAATTAACCCTACTACTTCGAGACCTACCTCGAAATCCTCGAAATCCTCGACAACACCTTCAGAACTCAGTCTTAGCCTCTCAATTGATCTCCGTACGTCAGTCGACATACGCGCTTCTACGGACGGAGGCGCAATCCCGCGGAAAGCGGCAAGCTTGCTCGGCTTGCAGGACGACCCGAACGCACCGATCCCGGAACCGCCCTCGTCGCGATGCAACACACTCCGTACCAAGCGATCATTCTTTGGGGCACCTAGAGCCGTGTCTTACTACGAGGCTAGTAGACCAACAACAGCTGTAGGTAATGCTGGTGGTCGCCGTTTCGGTCAACCTGATCAGGGCGAGCAAGTATTAAAAGATTTACGACTGGGACTCGCAAGATGTATCTCAAGGCTCGTCGCCACGTTACGAATGACGAATGGCAGCTCCGCATGTTCTGATGAGACAGGGCAGGTGAAGCGGGAAGAGGATCCCGACTTTATGCGAGCCTTGTGCGAGATCGTGCGTCTCTCTGAGGAGAGATATATGTAACAGAGCCAACGCGATTATAACGTCACGAACCGGATGATCGACCAGCTCTACGTCCACAAGAAAGAAAAAAAAGAAAAAAGAAGAAACGAACGGCGGCCTCTCAACACCGGTAATTCGTATATTCTAGATAGTATTGCCGCCAACGATATTTTACTCTCTATCGACAGATAATTTTCTTTTATCTACGAACTTGCGCATTTTCTATAGTCGTCTTTACGACATCACTTATACTTGCGTTCTACAGCAGCCATAGCAGTGGCGGCATGATTATACACCGTAATGCGTTATCACTTTCACTTCTGTTCCTCATATATATAAGGGATCCAAGATGACAGGCAAGGCAATTTGACCTGAGTTGAGTTTGCCTCGGTGACGGATGAGGCTAAAAAGAAAAAGTAATAATCCGAGATGTTGGGATGACAGTTACAGAGTGCGTACACGAAACATGCTTTTTTTTCATATGGGAGCATGGGTTAAGGGGGATGTATCAATGGATTCAATACTTTTTGTCTACGAGCCGGCGCATGGGAATAAACAAAAAGGGTATGTCACTGACTGGCAGGAGTTGGCGAGCATGATTTTCGTAGGTAAGGTGCATATCCCTCTCCATACAGGGCTTTTTCTGTTTATATTATTCATTGGACCTACATGGTTGAGGTCAAGGGATTGGATAAGTCGCATTTTGTGTGATGGTGATATAATAATAATAAAATTATTATTCTTACATAGGTACCTTGTTATGTACTACCTCTTCCGGTTATTTTCGTTGTATCAATTTCCGATGAGTTCTACGAAAACAGAAACGGAAACGTACCTAGACCTAACGAAAAACAACCAACCAAGAAGAAAAATGAGGCTTAGATCGGAATTATCTCTGTACGTCGGCTTGGTATCCTTTTTTTCGTTTTCTTTATTCTTTATGAAAGGATTGTTTACCTACTCCGATCCTGGTTCGATGCAACCTCTAGGTACTAAGCGAGCACAAGCCAGTCAGCGACCTTTCGGGGTAGGTATTCCAGGCTATAGCAGACAAATTATACCGTACCGGCATTCTGGACGCAGCCCTGCGGGGTTGGTGGTTACGCGAACTCATGCGCTACCGACCTAGGTACATATGCAGTAGTAAAGCTCCGCTAGGCTAGCCGTTCGCTACGACCTTAGCTCTTGGTGCTAAAGCTCCTTACCTCTTAACCTATACCTAAGGTACATGGAGCTCTGAGGTAGCTTCTTAGCTCCTAGCTTCTTGCAAGTTAGGTTAGGTACATACAACCTCTGATTCAAGACGGCTTCAGGGGCTGTGCTTTGTTCGGAATACGGAACGGAGTCAGGAGGGCGTGTATAATCCATTCTCTCTTCTTCTCCATTACCTACCGGTAGGTACCTAACCTAACCTATCCACGCCTTAACTCAACGTCTATCAACCAGGTAGGTACGGTTTACTTCGTTCTGAACCACACGTTTAACGGAATATTCCGTAGAGACACTACATGTACGTAGAGCAAAGGCCCCAATTTGACACTTGCAGATGTCCTGGTGAAACGTGTGACGGGAATTTCTTACAAACCCCCTTGGCTATATGACGATAATTTACTTACCTGGGGTGCCCTTACATGCATTAGGTACCTACATATCTACTCGGACCCGTGGCAGTGAATTTAGGAGGTACCTATATTGTACGATCGTAAAGTAGGAGGTACCCAAGGTAGCACGGGGTAATTTACATACGATGCTACGATGTAATCAATACAGCATACCTATCTAGCATTGATGGACAACGGCATAAAAAACCTTGCTGGGACCAATTTTCGAACTCCCCCAGTTTACGGCAAAATACACTAGGTAAGGTAAAATCAAAGATTGGCAACGATATGTAAAACCCATCTCCGATAACGCAAAATGCTAATATCCGAAATAACACACCACACACCGTGCTTTGCATCGATATCATTCCTACTATACCTACCTCCCCTAAGGTAGGTAGGTATGCCCTTTAAGTTACCGCCAATATAATATGCCTTAGGTTAGGTACCAATATGCTTCCTCGCATGTATGTCGGAATGACCGCGAAATAGCCTAACTACCTTTGGCAGGTGGACGAGTAAATCATCATGCAACGCACTCGCTCACCACCCGTACTACCTGTAATCAGTCGACTTGTCGAAGGGATACCTGTCCCTCAACACGCCGCCAACCTGTCCCTTCTCCGCGAAATCGTCCATCCCCGTGAACCCGCTCGACGACCTCGCCGTCATCGACGGAGGCCAGAAGGAGAAGCTGCTTCCTCCTCCTCCCCCTTTGCTATCCGAGTCGCTAGGCGGGTACGGCGTAGCGACAGACTTGCCGGGGCCGTTGGGGAGGTGATCGACGGTCGGCGCAGCGAGACGGCCGTGCATGCGGAACGTTTTCGCGTGCGCGTTGCTCAGCCCCAGGAGGCCAGCGGTGATGAGCAACAGCAGCATGAAGATGATGGAGCCGACCTGCGTCATGTTGCCGCTGAAGGCGGCCACCACGTACACGATCAGTTTGGCGGCCGCCTCGAGGTACCCGTCGAGGTGCGTCTTGGCGCGCAGCCACGACGTCGTCGTGATAGCCTGTAGGTCCTCGGCCACGCCGCGCAGGCAGACGGAGCGGCCTTCGCCCAGATCGACCAGGTACTCCGTCAATAGGCTGCTGACGTCGGGTTTGGGGGGCGGAGCCACGGGGGGCTTCGACCGCTGCTTGATGACCCAGATATTCAAGACGCGGGATAGCATGAGGGCGAGAAGGGACGCCACGCCCCACCACTCCCGAAGCAGGATCATGAATACGAAGGCGGTGATGGTGAGCGCGGGGCTCATGAGGTACAATACGTGGGAGACCCAGCCTAAGTCGGCGCCTTGGTCACTCCATATGGTAGCTCGCTGGCCGGGAGACTGGCGCCGGCCACCGGGGAAGTAATAATTCCGCTCGGGCATCATGCCTACGTCGACGGTGACCCTTTGCCCGACCATACCCACGCGTTCTAAGTAACTCTGGGTAGCGGTGTTGGTGATATTGTGTGTCGACGTCCGGCCCTCATACAGCTCGACGGCGCTGTACGACTCGGTACTACCGGCAAGCGCGTCGGCAGCTTGCTGGTAATGCAGGCCTGGAGCGAGAAGCAGTGCGTCGAGCCATGACGAGCCTCCTACTATCTGCGTGCGCTTAGCTATGGTTCCTAGGTCCGCGAGCGCGAGGAGGCCCGAGGCCGAGACTTCAAAGCCCGGGATAGGGGTTTGAGTCCAGTTTGGAAAGGAGGCTTGACGCTTCAGTATGCCCTAATAGGTATATATTATTAGTATTCATCATCTGAGGTACGTAACAGTTTTCTTCCTTGGAGTGGATTTATCTTAACGCACATCCATTTCCAACGGTCTTTGGAACTATTCAGATGGTAGATGCCCTTCTTCTAGTCGTCTTGACTAGACCTGGATTCACGACAGGTTTAAACCTAGGAGGATGGAATTATATCTCCTTTTCATACCAGGTAGCCATCATTGCATTCAAAGAGGGTTGCAACGAGGTGCAAGGCTCTGAGTTACCCCTCGCAGATCAGTAGGGCTAGGCCCGTTGTCAAAGCAACGATAAGCAAGGTCGACATGTGAAGGGGTCTAGGAAGACGTAGCCAATGGCGATGCGGCGGCGAGATCACGAGGACCAACCGCATCGTAGCGCAGGGAGATGATAACACCCTCCCGCCCGTGAAATACGCCACAAGTGATGGTTGATAGAATTGAAACACGGGAGGTATTGTCTTCTTGGCGTTTTAATTGAGCAATTCAAAAAGGCCGATGCGTTTTTACATTGGTTAGGTAAAGTCTTATTAGAGACAATGTTTGAGGGAGGGTTTGGGGAAGTTTTACTCAAATGTGAGTGGAAGAAAAGATAGGTATAGGTACAGGTACTGAGACCTACGACAGCTGACCCCTCGTAGCCACTAGTCTGTACTACTGTCTGCATAGTACGGGCCCCACCTTGTCTACCTGGTAGGTATTCTTCATAAATTAGTGCCATGTACAATACAGTACTATGTAGGTCTGGCCCGCACTTCCTATTTTTAAGGTTTATAGACCTGCATAATTAGGTCATTAGGTTATGGTTTAGGTGCCTTGACGTTCCGGGTAAATGCCTAATACGGTCTAATAGGTACCGGATGGAAACGGACCGGGCAAAGGTACGCCCTATGTTATCGATAAAAGCTTCCAATCCGATAAGTCGATAAGTCGATAAGTCCCCTACCTAGGTACCTTTAGGTAGATCCCCCCGTCTCTCTCATACGTCGGCTTGGCAGTTAGCTTGGTCGCTTTCTCAACCAAACGTCCCCATCTCATCATCTTCTTTCCCGATCAAGATCATCGAAACTAGCACAGCGCCTACCCCAAGGCCTGCAGATCTCATCTCACACGCGGATAGGCACTAGCTAAGCATGACTTGACACAGAATGGCGCCTACGCAGCCAGAACCGACCTACACGGTTTTTGTCCGACTCCCGTTTCCTAGAGGTGGCTTCGTCGATCCTCCGCCTGTACGTAAAATTCGGTAGACTCGTTCTCATCCCGTCTCGCCGCTCGAAAACTAAGTGATATCGTATATAATGTTTTAGGTAAATTGGGATTCGAGTAAAGATGAGATTCTCTGGGACATTGTATCCCATCCTTCCAGGACGGAGATAGACTGTAAGTCGGAATCACCAATACGTCTTGATATATCTTGACTATATATAGCTGGCGGTATAGCTGGTGAGTGAATCATGAACTGACAAATAGTGAATGAAATAGGGAATGACATGTAAGTACCTATAATAAATACCTATATTAACTCTCGCCTCCCCATTGTCGGCATTTCACCAACAATCTCTCTCCCAGCGCAAATTCATTCGGAGTCACCGTCGACTTCCTCCTTCAACAGGTTACTTGGCTCACCGATCGCCATGCCTCTCAAGTTCGAAACCAGATGCGTAGGGCTGTAGCCGCTGCCAGGAGCTCGGCACAGTCTCCTCAACCTGGTCCTGATAGTCCATACTTAGCGGAACCCATGCGGCGGACCGCTTCTGGTGACAGGTCGGTACGAGCACCGTCGGCATTGTCCATTCGGAAGGACTCCGCTCTACCGCGTAACGACGGTAGTGTTCCCGGTACACCAATGAGAAGTACCCCGCGACCAACTGTGGCGCGCACGTCCTCGTCAAATACCGCCGTCGTCTATACCGTTCGCAACCTAAACAGCAGCGGCAAGGCTCCCGTAAAACCTAACATCGACTCTCAGCGCCACCGTCTCTCATCCCTTCCCATTGCAACATCCGTCGACGAGGAGGATACTCAAAATAATAATAATAACAATAGCGATAATCAAAAAACCGAAATACCGTCCCCGGTTCCAGACGACTACAGCGACTCTGAAAGCTCTTCGTCCTCTTCCAGTCCCGCCCAGTCCAGAATCATCCGTCGACCCCCGCGTTTCCAAGGTACTGACGCTGCTCCCTCCTCGTTTGCTGACGACGAAGATGATGGCGATGACGACGACGATGACGACGACGATGCAGGGCCGGCTTTTCTACCGTACCAGCTGCAAGCAGACGGCAGCAGCGGCGCGCAACATGATCTCAACGCCACGCTCCGCGGCAACCCGTCGCGTGACTTCGTGAAGCGCCACGCCGCCGCGGCCGCCGCGATGGGGTCGGGCCGCGTCCATCGCTCGCAGACCTCGGACTCGTCGACGAACTCCACGGCACCCTCCGCCATGAGCAACAGCCGAACCGGGCCGGGCGGCGGCCCGCTGTCGCCGCGCAGGACCATGGAACTGGCGGGACGGAGTCCTGGGGCCAAGGGCAAGGGCAAGGGGCACTCGAAGAATAGCGACAGCGGCACTCCGAGCATAGGGAGCAGCTTTAGTGATCTCGATGGTACGTAATAAAGCTACCACTTACCTATTTTCTCCTTTTTTCCCCTTTTTCTTTTCCCTTTTTCGGCTATACTGTGTCGGATATAAACAGGGATATGGTTTCTAGGACACAGGCACGTAAGCTGGGCATTTCTAACCACGTCTACAGATACTTCGGTCACGCAGTCCGCTCTAGAAGAAGCGTTCGCCAGCCAGATACAGCACGGCACGATGAGTAATCTCAGAGGCACCATCAGCGCGGCCTTCCGGGGCAGCAGGTATCTCCCTGGTAATTCGAATCCGTAAGGTGCCGGTTTACGGACAATTCAACCTTCATTCCTGTCTTATATTTTGATTTTAATCTTCGCCCTTTTTTTATTTTTTTATTTATTTTTTTATTTATTCCTCTCTTTCTCTCTTCTAATTTCCGTGGACATCTCTTTACTCAATTCAGGCGATCGGTCAGGGGGAACAAATTTGGTTGGGGGCTAGGTTTTCGGTTAGGCTCGGTTTGGTTTCGGTTTCGATTTCGGTTTCGGTTTGGTTCGTGTGGATTTAAGGAATAAGCACAGGTGGTACCTAATGAGTGATATTGTATGGTGTTTAAGGGCTTGAGATTTTTTTTTTTTTTTTTTTTTTTGTTCAGTCAGCAGGTGTTTTTTTTTGGGAAGATCGGGCTGGATGATTGAGTCGAATTGGATCAGACTGACCTATACCTTTGGAGGTACGTTAATCTGATATGTGCGTGCTACCCGGGTCATATAATAATTCAGCATTTGCATCAGATGAGTACCTAGGTGTTTTCATGGTACCTACTACACTCAGATTGAGGGTTGATAGTTCTATTAAATGCTTGTTCTTTTCAATGCTCGTTCGTTTCCTTTTTTGTCCCCTTACCCTTAGGATTTAATCATGCTTGTTAAGAAGAAATTAGTATATATCCTTCTCAGGGGCAACGGGCGGGGTGATCCTACGTAACCTTAGGTAGTATATACACCTCATCTACACACCTGGTTTTCTGTCATATATTGTACAGGAAGGGAACCTAGAGGATTCCTTTAATACAAAGGTTAGGCACCTACACAGACCCCCTACTTAAGTCTGCTCCCTGAGTACCTAATTACCTATAAGTATTAGTAAATATGACCAGTAGTACGGGCTGTCAATATTACGATAGAACAGAAATGGTCAATAGTCAGTCAACGAGCGTTATTATTTTCACGTAAAAGATACCTAACATAACCTAGAGAGAAAAGGGCTATGATAAAAGAGCTAGACTTGTAGCATCACATTAAACAGGTCAGAGGTCAAAAAAAAACAACTTTTCTAATCACAAGCACGATCAAGCAACTGAGTTCACAGTGAGTGCTGTCAAAATTTGATGGCGATTATTCCTTTCATTAGGCCATGTAAAACAACATGAAAAAAAAGAGACGCAAGTTAATGCAAAGATCCTCCTGAGCAATCCACCTCAAACGTTCCGTGAAGAAAAAAAGAAAAAGATAAAATCTTTTTTTTTTCTTTTCTTCATGTCAGTTCTCCTTTTTGCAACAGGGGAATAAATGGGTTAACTGCGAGCGATCCGTACGAAAAACGTAGCTAAATTAGACGAAAGCAACACATGCTGATGATGCCAAACTCCTATTACCTGCAACAACTGGCGGGGGGCGGCAGGGGCATCGCGCTCCAAAGTTTTGCCAAAGATTGCACCCACTTTATGAGAAAACAAAGTCATCTAATCCTTCATCGTGTTGCCGGCATCCATAAGTATCAACCGGGGAAAATGGTGGTCATGTTCCGGGAGTCATAATCACAAATGTAGTCGACTTTTCCATGTCGGGGATATATTATCGGATTAAGAGATGCTTAGAAACGGGTTGCTATCTCGTGTTCCTCGACTACGATAAGAGTTAGCATATTCACAAAAGGAACGTAAATAATAGCATACCATGACCGTGGTTTCCTTCTCGGCGGATAGGGGTCCAATGGCTCCACTGAATCTCCTCATTGCGGCTGGGCGGCTGGGGGATACGTTGGTCGAAAGACGCCGGCTCTTCACTCTTGACCGCGCCAAAGGGGGTATCCTTAGGAGGGGGAATAGGCTCGTTAGCCTCGTGGTTGTCGAGAGGCTGAGGGGAGCCCTCCGAATGGGCAGTGTCGGGTCCAGAATGAAGAGTGCTAGCGCCCTTAGCAAAGCGGTTCTTTCGGGCTCGCCAGACGAAGACTCCAACTACAATGATCAGAACAAGACCACAAACACCCGTAATGATGCCGATCTCAAGACCAGTAGGCTGGTAGTGCGTGCCGCTGTTTCCTAGATCAGAAGGAGGGGCTCCGCCGTCAAGGGGAGAACCAGCGTCGTAGTGGTCGTCCGGAGAGCTAGGTAGAGCCGGCATTGTGATGCAGATTTCGACGATGACAAAGAAGAAAATTCAATAGTGTTTCTACGAAGAAAAGGGGGGTCGACACGCTGACAAGATTATTAGTCAAGCCGAGCCGTGTATGGAGGGAGGACGAGATAGGCCAATCTCTGTTTGACGGGGTGGGATTGAACGTCGGGTCAAACAAGGACGAAGGACGGCGTTGTCAAAAAAAGACTTGACGCGTAACGTCGTTGTGAAAGTAGAGTATAATAATAGTATGAGAAAAAGTTGAAAAGTTGTGCGCAAGAACTCTCCGATAACCAGAGAATTAAAACGCAAAATAAAGAAACAGAAAACTGCCCAGCAATGTAAGAGTTGCTGAAAAGTTTTTGAAATAGTTGTTTGTAGAGGACTTATTTCAAAGGGCAAGATCGTTTAGAGGACGAAATCAAATCAGCATTGGAAAAAAAAATAAGAAAATAAGGTGCCTTGGGAAGAGTTTTGGAACTGGCAAGAACGACGTCGTTGCATACCTAACCTAGGTAGATAGGGAAGGCACCGGCGGTTAGCTTCATGCAGGTAGATACCTTAGAGATACCTTAGGTAGCTACCTAGGTAGTAAGTTCCTGCCGTCTCTTGCAAGAACTTTCATTCAATGCCTTAAGTTTATCTTGTTATCTTGCCGTTATCTCTAATGCTCTCTTCAACGGTTTTTCTTCCAATGGTTATTGCTACATAAACGATTATTCTTTGAGATTAGCTTCTATCACGAGATAAGCCACGCTAAAGTGAATACCTAATCCTATACTTTACTACTTACTGCCTTCCTGTTCTAAGAGATGTTTGCCCCCTCTTCCCTAAAAAAAACTTTCCAACTGTTTTTTTTTGTTCAACTCGGATTAGATTTGCTACCTCCCACTGACCCAAAAGGGGAATCCCCTCGTGCTCTAGTGACTCAAAAACCTAAACGTCTCATCGCATTTGGCCTCTCTGCTGACACCAACTTGCTGTTTCTGAGTGAGTGAGTGACGTACGGCGTCTTCGGTTCCTTGCAACGGCAATGTGCCTACCCGCCCGAGCACGCATGCACTCAACGGCTGTGACACCCTCGTCCCCTCGAAGACCGCTAAGCCTGGTGATATGACAGGTTGGGAGGGGAGGGTGCGTAACCGGTAGTTACCAGGAACGGCCTGGCTTTCATGAGCCTCGACGCTGCCAGTCGCACCTGTGTGAGGTATAAAGGGGGAACCCGTCCTCTCATTGTACCAGGCTCCTGTGTGCCCTTGGAGTTTTATGATTGCTTCCTCCTCCCGCTCTGGTTCGAGAGTGCATATCTAGATGACCGGATACTTTACCTGGCATATACCTACTTGCCAGTAAATCAGGAATATTCGGACAAGTTGATAAGCCCTTCGATTTGGTTGAAAACAATCAGATACTCGAGATACCCCCAAACCAAGCCAAATACCTATGGTATCATAGTCGACCTAGAGCTGATATGCGTATATATAGGTAGTAACACAAGAACCGTTTCGGCAACCGAATAACTTTTAGCATTTCCCTTTTTGAGCTGTCAATAAATACTAAGTCCTGTCTCAGAGCGAACTATCAACTACCACATTGTCACGGTACTGTCCTTATAGGTGAAGATAGCATCGTCAACCCCATCGAGTTAACATGGATCTACCTTTTGGTAGTGTAGCGGTTTGATAACTATCTTCCGAACTCTTACACACATGTTCTTACACTACTCCTTAAAAGCATAGCATCTGTCTGAGATAATAGCCCCTAACGATGGGAATCACTTAAGGGCATCTCGGCCGGTCGTATCTATGTTCTTGATTATCTTACCGGCAACCATGGGCACAGAAAACATCACTTCCTATGGTGTACCCATGTACGAATATGAAATTGAAGGTATTTCATCAGATTCCACACCCTTGACGTCTTTCTACTGCTATGTTCTCCCGCTCTCGTTCTCCGGCCACATAAAACCCACCAGCAGACTCAGTAGTATGATAGGTAAAAAGAAGGTTGGGATCTACAAGCTTGTTTTACAAGGGTTAGGCGTTCAATGTGTGCCTAGAGGTAAAAGAAAAAGAAAATCGCTTGGGCTGGTTGACGTTAACGTACGGTTGCAAGCAGACTCACAACTTAATATAAAGTTCCTACATTAGGTCATTGGAGCCGATTTCCATATCTGATTGATACCTACAATAATAACGGCCAAGGGCAGTCTCACGGTTGGCCGAGGGTCTATGGCTAATGCATTTCAACTTAACTACCAAACTATATGTTGACATTCCCGAGCAGTCTTTATTAAATTCTAGGTACCCTTTATTGTAGGTTAGGTACCAGGTAGTTATTATGAGATTAATTCCGGTAGATAGGAGGGGCTACATCTACATACTTCTCATTCAAATATATGAGAGATCCAATGTACCAGGTCAAGCCATAATAGCATTTAAACATTACCCACGCCCGTCTTGATTAGCAAGGAGCGACAGCCAATATATAATGGTACCTAAGGTACGTGAAAGCAACAATATGTAAGACGTTTGTGGTATCTCATATCTCTCTCACTCTTTCCCTCTCTCTACCTTGCACATCCAGACCAATGCTTGCCTATCCCTAGACCCGAATGGTGGTGACCTGTAAAAAAAGAAAAACCCCGATGGAAATGTTCATGAAGCCTCGTAAACTGATGCTCAAATACTCAAACGCCTCTCCTAATGCAAATCCCTTTTGTATCCTTATGTGAGGTAGGTAATTCAACCATCCACTCTTTTATGGTCTTTGTTTCCTAAGCACAGACCCTCTCTGGCCGAAGCTAGCTGTCGACATACGGTTCTCCCCAACCGGGGTTGCCGTTGGAGATACTACGCCCGAAGTTGACAACGGTCTTATAGGCTGTGCTTGCTGTGAATTCTCGGGGTGTCTTTGTAACCTGCCGTTCGCATAGACCGTCGGGATTTTCTCTCCCGTCTCGGTACTCGAACTTCTTTCCATCGCAAGTCCCTTTCCCTTCTCGTCTAGCACTGACTTCTTTTTACCAGGCACCAGAGCTGCTAACATACCCGGTCCAGAAGCAGCGGCGACACCCGAGCGTAGATTGGACCAGTTTTCTTTTGTCGATTTTGTCTCATCTGCCACCATGAAAACAGCACCAGCTAAGAGAGTTCCGAGGACGACTATAGTGCAGATGGCCGCACCAGCTCGATCGCCCCCAGTAATCGGCCCAAAATATCGCGCGTCGAGGTCAACTCGTCCGTTGTCTGATCCACCCGCCGAAGGATTTCCAATGCTAGTTCCACCAGTGCTATTGGTAACCGGCACCTCCGCTTCGCGTATCATGTTAGCTAATACCACTTCCATAGCCGCCATTTGTTGTCCAACACCAGTCGAGCCATCCCATACCCCGCTGTTATTTGCCCACTTCAACCCGCACATGCGGTGGTTATCGCCGCCCGTACATTGCTTTGCTGCAGCTACAGCAGAGTTTTGCAGCAAGGTCTTGATCCGATCGAAAGTAAACGGCGCCCACTTTGTAGTGGCGGCCATCCATCTGCTTAAATAGGCTTTAAATGATAGCTGATCCGTGTCACACAAATTGACTGGCTCACAAGCGATCTCGATCATAATTCGATTCGAAGTGTCGTTTCCAAAAAAGAATATCTGCTCGGTGTCGTTCAATAATCCGTTAACTCGTTCGCTCCACATCTCGACGTCGCCCTGTTGTTTCGTGCTGTTTGCGTATGCGACCATGGCGGCCGATCCCAAAAGGAATGCACCGACGTTATACGAAAATTGATACGGCGTAATAGTGGTACAGTTGTCACCTATATGCGCCCCGTCGTATACTCTATAATCCTCGTCAATAAATTTAACGTTGACCATCCAGTCCCACGTCCTAACGGCCCAGTCGGCATAGGTACTGTTCCCAGTATAGAGTGCCAGCCGTGCGGCGATGTTGAAGAAACACGCCTGAGAGATGGAGTTTTTGTAGTCATAGCCGTTGTTCCAGGTAAATATCTGCCATCGCAGACCACCATTACAATGTCCCTCATCCCATCGGGCGGCTTGTGTGTTAAAGACAGCCTGAGCAAGTGCCAACCACTGAGGCTTGTCCGGCGGCGGGTCCGGAAATTTGTACTCAGCTGCGGTCATGACAGCCATCCCCCAAAATCCTTGGTCATCATTACCCTCGGTTAGTGTCTGGTTAGGAGGCATGTAATCATTATATGGGCCAACCTGATGAAGAAGACCCTGCTGAGCGATGTCGTTGTAAGTGGTATCTCCAGTATAATACCAATAATCAATTAATGCGCCCATAAAAGCGCCCCCTTCCCACCCTGATTCAATTGGTTAGCAACAAACGAGATCCAAAGCACAACATTGGACTTACAGTAATACGGTTGTGGCAAAAGACCAGGGGTTTGTCCGGGTTCGTTGCCGTGATAGAACGACACTAAATCCTCTGCCATCTTCTTCGCTGTATCCTTGATGGAATCTAAGAGTTTCATATCGAGGTTAGAAACTGAGCTAAGTACATGAATTAAGTAGATAGCAAAATTCTCACGTACCTGTTGATTGAACGTCTAGCTCATACGTAGCGACAAGGTTGGTGGCCATTAAGACCGAGGCTACCGATAATACGGCATTCCGCCGCAAATACCACAACCACATAACGAGTTAAAGCCCAACTAAGACGAAGTACACGAGGGAAGGCTAGTTGAACAAAAGCACAAACATGGAATTAGACAGTAGATAGCAGACCGCAGACAGCACACAGCAGACAGATTTTACTGGAGGTATGGCATTTCAGATTTCAGATGCAATTCCCAAGGGACAGGAGCGGTGTGGTACGGCAACACAGGGTGTGATGTGTTTGAGTGAGCAGATGTGATGTGGTGTGGTATGTGTTTTTTTTGTGAGCTGTGTGCGCCAAAATCCAACATCAGCAGTATACAACGAGAGGGGAATGAAGATGACAAAGAATGATGTCGATAGAGAGAGATGGTGGAAGAGACACAAGCATCATAAAAAGAAATTATTGAATTAACACAAATGATATAAAGTGTAAAGGCATAGTGTAATGTTACCTGTTGAGGAAATTGCATTCCTAGTGGTTGTAATAGTGCTGTAATACGAGGAATGCCCCCGCGTATTACTCCAAAAGCGCCAATGACAGGGGGCCTTCAAGGGATCATTCGATCTTTCCGCCTCTGACTTCAAGAGATGGTGTTAAAAAGAGGTAAGAACAATGAGAATTTTCGAGAGCCTGCCTTCGTGTTTGCGGATAGACTTCTATCTGTGCGACTATACGACATTTTGACAGCATTAGCTATGTCATAAAAACTTATTCGCTTTCAGTTCAGCTCTTTTAGAAATGTGAAATAAAAAAATAAAAAATAAAAAATAAAAAAACCGGTTGAAAATCATAAGGCCGGCATTTTCGGATCTGTTGTCTCGGCCGCTACCGTCAAAAAGACTAGTAAACGCTACTGCGATATGTCGTAATAGGATTTGAATTAGCGCACTTAAGCTGCTAGTTACCCCAGGTACACACATACTAGCAGCACAGTACCTAATGTAGGCATGATGACGCCAAATAGTAAAAAAGTCTGGGTCTTTTTCGACCCTTGAGAACAAAGAAATAGAGCTTAGCGTTCCTGTTATACGATGTTATACGAAGTTATACGAAATTTTATAAAACTAGACTGTTATACCATTACCGTGTATAGTATAGCGTGTGAACCGGGATAGCCTGATAATTGGGATATAGACCCATTCACATCAACCACCCGTCTAAGCCTTTACAAGTCGTCTAAAACGCATCGGCGTTTGCAGATAGCTCGAAACGTCCGATCAGACTGCGATATTTCACGCTAGTGCGGGAGACTCTAATCATCGAGAACGTTTCTAGAAGCGAAGACTAAAATAGTAAATGTTTTAGGTGACTGATATTAAGGGGTATTATTACATATGTAGTAGCGTTACAATACATACCTTAGGTACCTAATTTAGCTAACCACTATTACGACAACCCTTGCTGTCTTCGAATTGGAATATTATCGATTAAGGGGTTAGATCACCCATTTATATCGACAAAACCTTGGATAGGGATTGGCTTAAGAAGAATGAAATAAAAAAGGGCGAGGACTAATATCCTTAAATAGCTGTGCATGGATGCATGGATGCTAGATGTTGAAGATAATTTGACCTTTCGCTAGGAGGATAGGTGATAGGTAGGTACTTCGATAATAGAGAGGCCTGAGATGATCCTTTTAGCGGCCGATCTTCCGAGACGCAACCGATCTTCTTAATGTATACTGTTTATATAACAGGTACCTAACCTAAACCATATAGTAATGGGTTGGCATATCTTGTTCTGACAGTGCTGCAAGATGACATCATGTTACATTATCGCGACGGCGAGATCAACCTTCTCGGAACTGGGTCGGCTAGAGGAGGATGATTATGTAAACTTACACGGTTGAGATTCTTACATAAAATCTAACTACTAACAATTATCAGACGACGCGGACGACGCGACATCAACATCTTATAAAGTAGCAATCAAGGTGCCGATCAAGTCTTATGTGAGAAGCAACTCCTATATAAAAATAAAGGCACGGTATTTTCTATAAATATCGTCCATGAGAATCCGATATTACGTTAGCGTTGCCGGCCGTCTGGCTGGATAGGTTGCTCCTAGAAATGAAGAGAGAGCGACAACTCTCGCTGTATCAATAAACCCTCGAAACGAGCCCGTAAATCATCAAATGAAGCCAAGCAATACTTCATCACGAGCCCACGTGTCTTCCTTGTGATACCCCAGATATCAGCTTATATCTTACAGCACGGAATCCTCGCCTCATGTAGCCTCGATGGACCGGATCGGATGCCAAGATGGTAGATCGATCATATTCCACGCGACAGGTTAAATTTTCACGCTAAAGTAGTATTCTAGGCCGTAGGGCTGAATGATCGCGTATTCGCTGCATAATTCAGCCCATGGGAGCGTTCTAATTAATTGGTCGCGAAGCCGAGCTGAACCGCTTCGTCTCCTGTCTCGGAACCGATGCCCGTGCCCCTTATGAATTAAGATCTGATGAGCCGACAGCCGTCTCTATGTCACGATAGGACTCCTGATGTCACGCTGGTAATCCTTATATTCGTCACTGATTCGGGTAGCTTAAGTTGTTACTGACTGTTTTCTAAAATACGGTGAAAGAAGGATTCTAGATCTCAGCTGATCCATTGAGTTAGGTACAACAGCAAGCTATTCGGTATCATCTACGAAGTCCAGGCTGATAATTTGTTGGTCTTCGGGGATCAATCCTTCGCAATTTCCACCGTAAGCTCACCGGGGCTATCACGGGAATCACTTCCAGGATGCTATTCGTCCCCTAGGAAAAAGCAAGCTTTGGCTCAATTATGATGGCTTGGACATCCAAGTGACACCTAAACAGATAGTCAGCCACAGGAACTAGTATCTATCTGTAAGCTGAAAAGAGCTGCGCCAAGAAAATATATAAACACTAGCACCTCGTCGACGGACAGACAAGATGCAATACGACACAAGCCAAGCTTTCGGACAACTACCGACATCATCACCTTGACCCCAGACTCTACTTGCCAGATTATATCCACCTATCCAAGCAACTCATAATGCAGTTCATCGCGTATATCGCCCTTGCCGGTGCCGCCTTGCTAAACGGGTAAGCCACCCCTATTACCTTCGTATAACTATTCGTCTTCTTCCCAAACTAACCATAAATCACCACATACTTGTAGAGCCAATGCTGCTCCCGCCGAACCGACTACACTACCAGGGCACATAGTCTGCACCAGTGTCACGACCATCACAACCACTGTTCCCCCGGTCGGAGTCTGCCACCCGGTGTGCGTCCCGCCAACTAGAACCTGCAGCTCCGGCGAGCCTACCGCTCCTCCTCTGCCTATCGTCACGACTAGCACCCTCCCTCACTGTACCCAGGAGGTTGTGGTCCACGGCCAGTGCGGCGAATGTGCTACCTGCCTGCCTGCCTCGACCCCAACTCCTCTGGCTTGAGTTTCGCCAAACTACCTAGACGGGTGGCGATGTAGTTTAGCAGCAAGTTTTAGAAAGGCTTCATGGTAAAGCCATTGTTTAAATTGGGATATATCTTATGGAAAGATTTTTGCATGCAATAGAGTTCGAACTTCACAGCATACATGCATACCTGCGCTGGGTACATAGGTACATACATAGTATAGGAGGAAAACACACGGGAAAGTACTTAGCTCTTAACTTTTATTAATTCACTCTTTTCATTCCTACTCGAAGTCCTGTTTGTATACCTCATTTCAACCGGCTCAAAATTGTGCCTAGGATCTCTAGAAGACGAAATAGCAAATGGGATTGGCTCATATGTCTTCTCCTAGTTATTGTTGACTATTAACTACTAGGAGTTAAGAAAACTTCTTCCGTAATCCAAGCAGATATGACAACGGAAAATAAGCCGTAGGTTGAATACTAGGTACCTAGCAGGTACCCAAATCATAGATCTATCTTGGCACCCTTATACTTGATTTCGGAGCAACTTGAAGGTGTAGATATACGGAAACAGGTAAGCTATGGTAAAAAGGGGCACAGAAAGGGATATCCACGTCGCTGTGTATGTACTCAGGTACGAATAGATTTCCAGTCTCTGACTGTCTAGGCCGTGGTATCTACCAGGTACGCAGCGGCTCCAAACAATATCGCTATGATAACAGCGTGGACTTTTTTGGACGTTAGGCCGGACGATAGCTTAGATACATGTTTCCTTTCCAAGACAAGAGGGACAAAAACGGGTTATGTCGTGTTTCTAGTGAGACGGCTGATTTTTTACGTGGTTATCGACCATGAGAGAGATAGATATGGAATTCCAGGGGAACAGCAAACATCGTGTACGGCCAAAAGGGGACACTATCAACTTCTATCACTTTTGACAAGGGGATCTGGGTTACGAGTAGGTAATGGCACCAGGTTGATTATCGATACTTCCTACAGATGTAAATTGAAAGGAACGTGGGTATTCCGCCTGCTAAAGTACATGATACAACCCAAGGAAAAAGAAAGAAAAAGGAAAGGAGAGAGAGAGAGGTCCCAACAAACAATGCAATCCGAATACATCGCCTATTCCGTATTGGCCATTTGCCATTTTTCCCGTACAATATGTCTCTTGTTCTTACACAAGCAATATTCAACGCCGAGAGCCACGAGCCATATCCGCTTATCCACTTATCTCAGTTCTGCTAGGCGTCACAAATCTACTCCGTCAGCCCGCGCCTGTTGGATCTTGACGTTATTGTCCGCTAAACGGTCGGGGTATCACTTCCTTCAGACTACATTTTCGGTCTTCTTATCGTCAATGACGACGACACTTTCCTCACCGTAGGCAGGGGGAGCATCAACTTCTTCCTGGTTCTCCATTAAGCCCGACTTCTCCTCGTTGACAATGGCTTCAGAATGAGAGGCCTTGCGGTGATGAGCGTGTCGGCGGTGGTGGTGTCGTCGTGTGGCACCACGGCGGACAACAGCACGCCAGAGGAAGACGGCCAATGTACCAGCAATCATGCCGAGACTAGAACCCAATTAGTGTGTCTACTTACTATTTGCCATTAATAGGGGGAAACTTACATGCAAGCAGTGATACCAGCCAAGATACCGACGGCAACCGGGAGAAGGATGTGGGAAGCGATATTCTTAAACAACAGTCCCCAGTTCTTTTGACGATGGCCGCGATGAGGCTCTTGCGGGTCTTCTACTTTGGTTTCTTCATGACCCTTAACAAGGGCGGGGCGACCGCCACATCCTTTGTGGGAACGAAGGCCGGCAAGTTTCTGCATTACGGCGGCCTTCCACTTGCAGAGTAGGGTGGCGCATTCCTTTTGTTTATCCATAGGGTTGCCTTGCGTAGCCTCGGAGTCAAGTGTTTTGATCTCTCCAAGTATCAACTTTCCAGCAGGAGTCTTGACAACATTGATCTGGACCTTGGGAATACCATCAACAAAGACGTCGCCAACTTCGATAATGTCGAGTTCGATTTCGATGAGCTCCAAGGCGTCTTCTTCATTCTTGGCAACAGGTCGAGTCTGCATACCAAAGCCTAGAGCCTGAGACTTAGGACCCTTGGAATGAGGGCGCTTCTTCATTTGTCGATGTAGGACGTCGGGGAGAACAGGCGCAGAGAGCGTGTTTCGGAAGGGGTCAGCGTTAGGATAAAGCTCGAAGTCGTTCAGCATCAAGCGATCGGCATTGTCGGAATGCGCGATGCCGAAGTCCAGCTCAAGATGGCTCGGGATATCGTTCATAACCTTAACCTTTCCATGATGGGGGATAGGAACGGGACAGCCGGGACACTTGAGCTTTAAGTTTTGAGATTCGGTGACATGGGGAATAATGGTATCGACTTGGACAGGGACCGGAAGGGTCGTGATAATATCATTATCGGACTCGGCGATGTCAGGAGGGAGAAGAAAAGCGTTGGATAGAGCCGCCAGGCCAGCGGCGGAAACGATGGAGGTCAACTGCATCTTTTTGGGAAGTATATGATAGCAGTGGACGTATAGGTTTAATGCTTCATAGAAGCGCAGGATAATGGGATGAAATAGGAATCTGTCGTTGTTTTGGATGAAGAAAGGAAAAAAGGAATGGTTTTGTTTGGTGGCGTGTTGGTTTTGTGTCAGTTGTAAGATTGAAGGTTCTGGGAAGACCGGAACCCTGCGGACCCTGCGGACCTTATCGACGGCCTGCGTCACCAACTACCTAGGTACTGCCAGCTGCAAAGCAGGTGTTAGCTAAGGGTCTGGCAGCTGTGGCCACTTGATTGAAGTGGACAGATAGCACAGTAAACGCGTTAAATAGGCACCGTCCTTGCCCAATTGAGTTCTAGAATGTACTTGCCTGACCCGAGCATGCCGGATACACATTACGCAATGTCACCTGATTTTCTTTGTCCGTACAAGTATCAGTGCTTTACTTTATGTCCATTTCTATCTTGTGTATTATATACGGCGTATTCAACCACTGCACTACCTGCAGAAACAGAAAAACAACTCGACTAATCACTCGACTAATCCTCGATCGCTCTATAATGGCAACGCTATTGCTACTTAACTGTCCTGTAGAAATGTCCTATAAATCTTATAAGTCGTCTAAAGGCTGACTTATTTGGAACTCGTTCATAATACTACTACTTCCTTTTGTGGTCATATCATGTTCAGCTCAGAATGCTAAGATGCCGATCATCTGCAACGCTGGTCTGACTTTAAAATATAAGAACCAAGTTGTTCTACTTTCAGAATTGACCCATGAAATAAACATATAGGAAAACCTTGGCCATTTTATCTTGACTATTATTCATTATATTTACCTTAGGTTAGGTAGCCATGTCATCTAAGGAGCTTTTAGGGGATTTTGTGGTTACTTTGGCCAAAAAGACCCGATGAACTATCAGTTCAAAGGCCAAGAAGCCAGACCAAGGCCAATGTACCCCTAATAAGCACGTCGTTAAGTCTTCAGGCGTGGAAATAGTATCTGATAAGACCTCGTTATCGCGTCGGCCTTCGTATAGGAGCGTTACTGTCGAGAATGAAAAATCCACACCTCCCGAATCTGTGGATACCCAGCAGTTTCTCGAAGGGCCTCCAAGCCCATAGACAGAAGTCACTGAGTCTCAGATTCTCGATCTGGCAACTTCATGTTTCCCCCCTATCCCGGACGACGCAGAGTTGCCACCGCTGCCGAAGCCCGTCTTAATTCCTCGTGTAGATCCGGGGGTTCACATACCATTCGCACGTGCGTGGGTGCCAGAATTGGCAAACCACGCCGTCACTCCGGAAGATCTGGTAGCATTCATCGACAATCTCAACGTGCTCATACGACCTCACATAGCCGGGCTCGCGGTTCTAGTCGCAGCCCTCGGCGTCGGGGTCATTTCATACGACGGAACTGACGGCATCGCTGCCGCGTTGGAACTGGCAGCGATCATTGGAGTGACTATAATAAACTATAGGCGTTGCAAGAAATACTTCGGCATCATGAACGAGAAATACTTCCATCCTCGTAAACTGCACGCAAAGATCGTTAACCCTAAGCGGATAACGAAGACGTTCAATCTCGACAAGAAAGACATCTTGCTGGCGCCGCTTACGGAGGAAACCCTCGACTTGAGCAATCAGGAAAGGTGCATCAAGTATATGTCCCAGTGGACGTGCCAACTGTCATTTGACGACCTGCCTCCTCCGAGCGAGCAGACGAGCATACTGGCTAAAATGGCGGCGTGGGAAGTCAAGCACAAGATCGCGAAGGCCGAAAAGCAGGCCAAAAGGAGTAGGAAACGAGCTTGGAAGAGACACATGAAGGGTAAGAAGCTCAAAGAGTGTTGGCTAGAGAGGAGCCAGGCCAAGACCCTTGATTGGCTTCTTATTCAAAATTTGGACGAGTGGGAAGCTGCTCAAGCTGAAAAGAAGGCTAAAAAGGAGAAGAAACGATACTCTAGGTAGCGTGTTGGTCGTTAAAGTCAGCTTTTTAGTTTCTGGTTTGCGATTCCCCTATGGATGCCTCTCTTTCCATTTTGCCACAGCTAGTTAGAGAGGCATGTAACAATTGTAAGGTAGGTAGGTATCTATCTTGTACCTGGATTGCCATGCCATATTGGGAATCATCAACTTCGCAGTCTCCCCAGAACCTTGTCTCTAGGTCAATTCGGCAATTGGGTACCTATCTCTCCCAAGCTAGCTAATATCCTACTTCCAACGAATTTGATAGGAATACTCCACTCAATTCTCTCCTTGGACTTAAGAAATTTAGCCTAGCAGCAAAGGCAACCTATAATTCTAGTTCGATGAGGAAGTTTCTTGTTATTTAGTTTATCTATGTTAGTGTACGCAATGTAATATGTTATGTTGATATACTTTAACATGATGAAGACATCATCTTAGACGAAGTCTTGAGAATTGTAGCAAGTGACACGTGATATCTAATGCGAATTGCTCATTTTTTAAGCTACACACAGAACGACATGGAAGTGACAAATTGATATCTGAGACACATAATCTAGCCGTTGATTACTAGGGACTCTATTCTCCTACACACTCGTATATAAAATATAGATGTAATTTAAATATGGGATAAAGGTGACCATTTCTTAGAAATTTCTACGTAGTTCGTATATTATTATGTTTTCCCAACATGTTTAGTAGTAAAGGCAGACTATCTGAGTCGAAAGTAGATCGCCATATGCTGACGCGGTTATTGTACTACCTAGGTAGGTAGCGGCTGAAGTCTGAAGATCGAACCCGAATCATCATAAATGAATTTTTCTTAGCGTCCGGACTACTTAAGTGCCGCTTTTTTAAGTAAACCAAAAGTATTTCATGCGTTTGGAAGCACAAGTTTGATTAAGAACCGTCCTAGTCCGTAGTTCTCTAGCAAAAAGCAAACCGATTTAATTGTTATCTTAATTTCGATTGTTTCTTATCTACGGTACCCGGTGCGATTTTAAAGGGAGGGAGTGGCAGATGCCGTACTGGAGCTTATTGCGAGACAGATTTTGAACTGAAACTATAGGTATCGATTGATTTTTAGGTACATAGGTACCCGTACTTGAGCTCCAACGGATTCTCGATTCTCGGCAAGAGTGGGGCGCGTTTGAGCGGGCCACCGCCACTAACTGGATTGATTTCAACGATCTGAAACCGCCCGAGACTAGCGTTCGACCCTGTTGCCCTGAGCCTATCGTTTGGGACCTTCAGCGTCTCGGGATCGGCCTTCTGCAAGATGGCTGGTTCGCAGGAACGACGACAGCAAGCTGACGTATATGATTCTGTGCCCGCCACTTATTTATCTAGGTACGCTCACTAATCTCAGATTCACCGAAGAGGATTCTGCAAGGTTGTTATATATGTGCATATATCACAATACTTTGTTTTTTCTCTCTCTTCATGTTAGCCACAGGTATTCACTGAGATGTCTTTTTCTGAAAACATGTGGATATTTTAGCGCATTTTCTTCTAGAATGACTGGCTGTAATGATAATATCCGAGGACGACTTGCGCATCAACGGCTAATACTAGACGAATACCTAGAGGTCGGGATTTCGCTAGTGCGATGGAACACCAAAACATACATCGCATCCAGACTAGGTTAGGTAGCTGGACGTATGTAAGTGGCCTATGTAAGTGGCCAGGTAGTACTACATCACTATAAACCACGTAGTCTGTACTATATAGAAGATTACTACAGGTATGCATCGCATTAACCCTATTTACCTACATTAGAGCTATGCGGATTATTGGGTAGCACTCAGGAAAAAAGCTCTGTCTCATCGGCGCCACACAACGTGGGAAAAAGCTAAAATTTCCGGGCGATCTGTATCACTTTCATTTTTTCCCCATTTAACCCGTTAAGAAAAAACTGCTTGACAAACATAAAATTCCTTCGGTGACAGTTCGACGCTCATTATGCATTCATTACCTTGTCTTGCAAGGGCTTAGTCATTGCATTAGGTACCTCTCTTATGAAGCCCTGATGCTGGATAAAAACTTTGCCTTGCAAGCAATGTCAAACCCAGACGACTGGTTCGTGCGACCTGATGTGCGACCTTATTTGAGATGAAAGGAAAAAGCTGCGCACGTCAAATTTATATCGTACGTAGGAATCTTACTGCTCGACAGCACTTTATTTAGCTGTATTACGCACGCCACCCTCCTATATAGATTTTTGTGACGTCTTTCTACATGTATTTATGCTTGGGACGGTTGAATGGTTGATTCCGCGATCGTTGAGTTCTATCTTTTTCCCGACTCGACGAAGTTTGCGCGCGGGATCTTGCGGTACGTACCAATAGCAATGTCCAAAGCGACCTGGACTGGGATGGCGGACGTTTAAATTGTCTGCAAGTAACGACACTAGTGTTTCTGATTGGTGAAGCTTCCCCAAGCCACCTGGTGATTGGTTCGAGATCTTAGCTTGAACGCAGGGGTATTCAACACATGCATGTACGTACCGAGGTACCTCTTACGAATTATTCTTTCTGGATAAATGCCCAACCACTTCGGGAATGTAGCTACATAGTATCGTCCGAAAGAGAAAGAGAAATCTCTAAAAAGTTCCCTCACATTTGGGGTCCCACGTGTATACTATATAGGAGGTAAATACACTACCTAATGTAAACGTAAATGAGTTAATGCATCTGCCTTGTCAGTTGTTTTGTCAGTACCCAGATTGCCAAGCTACCAGGCTACTGCTAGGATGATGTTCGTATGTGAATCGTTGATAGGTAGGGGTTTAGAATGAGGTTTTTAAGATTCGGCGGCTATTACTGGGGGTTCCATGCTTGTCCGTGGGGCCGAAGTCTCGTTAACGATGCGATGCACTGACTGTCTGGTGCCATATGAACCTTTTTTCAGTCAAGCCCGACCCCCCCTTCTCCATAATTCTGCATAGACGATATGAGCTAATGCCAGGTACGACCCGGACCTTGAGAGTTGGGAGAGTTGGGAGAGTTGGAAGGTAACCTCGACCGCTCGACCGCTCGATTGCCCTAGATGGCCGAGATGGCCTAGATGGCCCCCAGACGGACAGAACGTTCTGCTCTCTCTTTCTGTCTTGTCTCTGGTTAGAGTTGCTCTTTCTTTTTTGAAGTTTCTATTTTTCTTGTTTGTGCAACTTGAGATTGCTTGTTCAATCGCATTTTCTCGTCCGCCTTGAGTGGTCGACTGAAAACTCGCCTTACTTCATTCAACCTTTTATTAATACAGCCACCTTCAAAACGAAATATCACAACTCACGACCAAGTGTCGTCTAGTCTCACAGCACCGTACTTTGCAACTGTCTGTCCGACGTCCCTTCTTTACTTACCACTTCTATTTCTCTACTCTCGTTTTTTCTCTTCTTCTTCCCCCTCATCTTCTTCTTATTATCAAACTCCTTGCAGGACTTGGTTTACCTGCGCCTCTTTCGTTTTCTATAATTGTCGGCCTCACTGTCGCCTTACAACCTAACATTCGGTAGATTCTCGATCGCCATTTTCAAGATACCCTACTGGTCGTAATACTTTGAGCTCTCGGTTGACTTCTTGTCACTCTCAACCCTGTGTTATCCTTGGGCCTGAAACGCGAACGGTATCCAAGACTTCAAGGTCACATCATCTGGATCTCTTTGCCACCCCACTCTCACCTAATCAGGAGCAACGTTGTGCAACGGCTACGGTAGCTTCTTCGACGTATCCACCAACATATCGGCAAATATCTCGCGTCCGGTCGTGTCCGAGACTTGGCTCTGTTGGAAGGCGTCGGAAACCGTCACGAACTTAACCTTCGTTTGAGAATCATCAATCTTGGGGTGTCGCTTTCCGGTCTGGTACTAGTCGCTCATTATCGAACGAACCCTGGCTGAATAGGATTTGGTACGAGAAGAAAAAAAGGCTAATACGTCGAAACGTCAAGCGTACGTGATCTCCCACTTTCCTGCTGTATCTTTAGCTACCCTCTCAGGATGTCCCTCGCCGGGTAATATTGCTTGCGACTACTAGAATTGGTCGTGCCGAGTCCGGGTTTTGAATGGCATCTGGCCGGATCTTACGACCCCCATGGCTCCGAATTGGAGTTAAACCTCAAGTTCAACCGCCTTTCCTATCTTGACTGTTTTGAGAACTCTCATATATTTTCCTACAATTATGTTCATTTTCACCTTTAGTGTTGAGGCTAATAAAAGTTTAGCTATGCTAACTATTCTCTCGATTTAAAGTGACTGGGTTACTTTTTTAAACTGCAAATTGCCGTCTGCCTAGCATTGTAGCGGCTTCTATTCTTACTATTATCTTGGTCAGGACTGGGATCGGGTTCGTACGTAGTCGCTTACCGACCGTTCTGGATAAAAAACGAAGGCGACGATTTGGTTCCACGACCGTCAAACGAGTCGGGCGAATTCTTTTGGCCATACGTTTGGTCTATTTACGTCGAAGTCATTTATCGCGTTACAAAGGCGAAAACGAAGTTGGTAATTCCCGATCTCGTTTCCGTCTGATTCCTTTGATCCACCTGCTGGCGGGTCTACGGCTACTGGCATTATATCGATTTAAGCTTGTAGGATAGGAGCCGGGACTTGTGTATGCGGTCCATACAACTAAAGAAATACGTGAAGGGCTGGGAAGAAGTGGAGAAGTGGAATGAAGAGGTTCGATCTGGGTTCTGTGCTACCCAGAGAGTTCGTTTAAATGAGTCAACCTCAATATGGGCGCAATGACGGCCGATCACCGGCTATGGCAGGATCTGTTAGAAGAGCGAGGGAGATGGCCGAAGCAAGCATGGCAAGGGGAAATCCAGACGTTCCGTCTACAAGACGGGCTCAGGTGCCTCCAGGACTACAACTCAGGGATGAGCAAGGGCAGATAGGAATGGCGATATCGAGACCGACACCGCTGCCTCAGTGGCCGCTTCCCGGACCCGTTTCGCTACCGTCACCTAGTGATTCAGAGCCATATCGACCGCCACCTGGGAGATCGCAGCCGCCCCAACGTCCTCCACGCCCGAGCAAAGTACCATCAATTTTAGATGGTTCTCGTATTCAGGAGCACACGCCTATTTTCCAATACACGCCCCGGAACGCTAGAGCGTCGGAGATGTCTGCACCCGAGACAATACAAAGCGAATCATCGAGACTGTCGACCGTCTCCTCAGTCGGAACGATTCCCGATTTCCCATTGCCAGTAGCGGCAGTCTCGCTACCCCCCTCTAGGCGAAGTGCGAATTTAGGTCCGCCGCCATCTTCAAGGAGAGGAGCCTCGTCATTTTACTCTACTATATCGTATGTATCGCCGATACCAGAAGAAAGCCCCAGAACACGATCGCGTACTTCCTATGCGTCTAGCGCGGCTATACCGCAAAGCTTCGAAAGCCTGTCGCCAGGATATAGCCCCACATATAGTCCAGTCGCGCCCTCTATTAACGATACGATAGCGGAAGAATCTTTCATTAGTGACGACGCGGACGAGAGTAGTCTGGTACGGAGTGCAAGCATCGGAAAGAGAGGAAAGCCATCTTTGGTAACCACGGGAAGCTTTGAAAAGAGGGAATCGATGCCAAGACCCGGACCAACGCCGCTCCAGGGCGGGCCGTTTCGAGACGGCACTGGGTATATTGAGGGCTCGTCGAGTTCGTCTGCAAATATCTCTGGGGAGAGTGTCGGTGCTGCTGTGACTGCGAATAATATGTTGAATGCCTTTGAAGGTGCTAGCGCCACAGACCCTTCGTCAGTACGGAATGCTGTTCCATCGCCGAGACCATATAATAGACTCTCCGCAATTCGACGACCGCCACGTCTTGACATAGATGCAGTAAGGGCAGCCGAGGCTAGAGGGAGCTTGACAAGCTTACCGGATCTAATTCGACGGGCGACGAGGTTAGCATCGCTAATGGATAGAGGCCGTAGACCAGCGAGCCGTTTTGACGATCTCGACTTTCCCGAGGATATCTATGGCAGTGATCCTGAGAAGGACCTTTATAGTTCGTTCTACCTACGGCTTCTAACTATTCTGTATAATACTAATTGGTTTGGCAGACAATAAGCACCAGTCCGGACTGTCTGATATGTTGGCTGCATTTCCGCCCCCAGCAAGTCGAAGTGGAGTGCGGAAGAGTAGACTCTCTACTGCTTGGCCATTAGGCCGAACGTCATTCCGCGGTCCACCACCGCCAGCACTAGAACAAGGTACCGATTCTGAACTCGAACCGCAGAAGAAGGGGCGCCGTTTTTATTGCGGGTTACCTATATGGACTTGCTTCGCATTGGTAATTATTTTATTATGCATTATAGCCGCTGCAGTTATCGTTCCTGTCAAATTTCTGGTTCTTGATAAGGCGGCCGAAAAGACTACGGCGCAACCAGCTATTTCAGATTGCGAGGCGCAGCTAAATTGTGCTAATGGGGGCACAAATGTTATTGTACAGGGTGTCTGCTCGTGCATCTGTTCCAATGGTTTCACCGGGGTGGACTGCACAGTTCCCACTTCCCAGGGTTGTACAACAACGTCGATTAGTATGGGAGGCTCTGATATCAATAATGTGACTATCGGCCAGGCAATTCCTCGCCTGATCAGAGATGCGGAGAGCAATTTTTCTGTTCCTCTTGTTGCAACATTGATACAGTCCAAGTTCAACAAGGAAAGCCTTTCCTGCAACACGGAAAATTCACTGGTAACCTTCAACGGGCAATCTTTTCGAACACAAGGGGCGAAGGCCGAAGTCGCCGACTTTAGTTCTAGTCCCGATCTTGCGCAAGCTGCTGTAGCTGCCGACGGTGTCATTACTCTTAGCGTTTTGCCGGACGTTGATATTACGTTGACAGTTGAAAATCCGGCAGGGACTGGTGCTTTTTCGGGAAGTTTTTCGGTGACTACTTTGACTGGTCCGAATACGATTTCCGGATCTACTCTATTCGCTACCACTATAACACCCAGCAGCACCAAGCGATCCTCACCTACCCCGTACCCTACGATCGCCACAACAACGATTACCACACCAACTACTTCTCCTGCAACCGCGATTTCAAGCAGTACGAAGTCGGCCCCCATGCCAAGTTCAACTTTTGTTGTTACGGAAGAGGTCATCGACTTTGCGCGCGTAGCTGTGCTATACATTTTCCAAGAAAAAACATTACCTGATGCAATTACTGCTCAGTCCTCAGTTCAAAGCTTTTTCACTGACGTAGACGCCAGTCGAAACACACCTTCATCTGTGATGGTGGAGCAAGGACTGAATGTTACCGTTGGCGGAGGGAGCACGATTGATTTCGTGAATCTATCTGTCGATATTGGCAAAGGACGAGTTGGGGGTCGTAAGACCTGAAATGTTTTCGCCGACGAAAGCTACGCGTATACGTCTTGAACGATGTTCTAGCCAGTCGAGTAATAATACCAAGCTGCCCGTTGTACGAATAGCAGTTGTGGTGCTGACTTATAATAATAATGCGCCATGGGCCCACAGAGGTCATGGTCACCAAACGTATGACTCTTCTATTTTCTCAGTTGAAGACGACCCCCCAATGGGGTCGTTTTTCGTGTACAAAATATTCGTATCGATTTTCCTGCATGAGCAGCACGGATAACCCAATTGCATGTGTAAAGGTGATGGTTTAGCGCCGGCGTACATAGGGGGAGAACTCGTAGATAGCTCGAGCAATCTTTCGAGGAAATATTTAATAGAATCGAAGTTTTAACTGCATATCTTTGAAAGAGGCTAGCTGACATGTCATTCGATGATTCAATCATTGCGCTATCGTATCTTACCTAGGTACCTAGGCCTTGTTAAAAGTTGGGGGAAGGAGGTTGACAACGTCACGAACAGGTAGCTTAGGTATGTTAGTACAATACAGTGAAAAGGATGTACGCATCGCATGAAATATACTGTGCGAACGTTTGAGTTATGCCGTCAGCTATGCCGCGCAAGTGCTGTGTGGACCGGGGGAACTCCACCAGTCCACGAGGCCACCAGATACGAGAATTTGAGGATTGGGAGAGAATTACAAAGCGCGCGATCTGTTGGATCTGTTGAATTCGTATGGCATTAAGTCGTTCCGAACCTTCGGGAACTTTTTTTTTTATGCGATCGTAAACCCGGCGAGCGAAAATGGTTATACCAGGAGGTAGGTAGGTACCTACCTCTTAAGGTGCCTATATACTCTTTTATTTACCCTTTGGGAAAAGAAGACAAATCTTAAATGGATTAGCTCTGTCACTACAGCCCTAACCCTCTTTGCTAATGAACTGGCCTACTCGCGCTACCCGTCCTCTTGCCGCCATTCGCGCAAGTTGGTGGTGGACGGGTTAGGAGTAGTACACGGATTATACTACGATGGTATAAGCTTACGAGGTTAGGCTAGGCTAGGTTAGGTACCTGCCTAAGGCTGCGGCATCTAGGCCGAAAACGCGTTTGGCTATAACAAGCATATAGGTAGAACAAAACACGTCCGCAAACAGCGTAGCGTCAAGGTAGGTAGGAGGTAGTTACCTGGTTCTGGACCTCAATATTTAGGTAAGCACCTATGTAGGTGGTAGGTAGGTTAGTCAAACCACGGCATCGCATGGTTTTAGTGCGCGGTGCCGGATTGCAACGTTGAATATATCTAGGTACATATACTCAATGACATACGCGCTTACCGTATAATCGGCATCTTGGCCTTTTCTACGGCTCGAGTGCAGGATTTAGGGCTCGTTAGGGCTCGTTAGGGCAGAGAGAGAGAGAAAGAAAGAGAGGACCGGTGATAGTTAACTTAGTATATGCAGCAGATGCAGGTACGGTCCCGTATATGCCGTGACCGCGACGACGATTCGCGGAGGTTGGGGCTTGGGGCTTTAGGGAAGCCGCTATTGATCTAGCGTAGAGCTGATAAGGTGGTGGGTTTGTTGTTGTTGTTATCGTCGCCGTTGTAGAGGTGGATGAAGTGAAGTGGGCCGGTTCGTATGTAAGGTACAATCGCAACTGGACGCCGATATATCTGTCTTATGATGTATGAATTACACACTATTGTATGCATATATAGGTATGTTCCTGTATGTACGCGCGTGGTAACGGGTCCTTATACAGTACGTAATGCAATACCTACCTGTTATTATGGGTAATATGGGTTTATTTGTAGGCTGTGCAGGTCCCCCCGTGTGGGAAACGCAGCTAGGGCTTACTTACGAGGCTTTCGGAGACCCAATCGGATGGCGTCTTGGTCGGTGTGATAGTGGAAGGGGAGAGGAAAATGGAGAAAGAAACGCAGAGGCCTGAAGAAGGGCTGAAGAGATGCGGTGTGGTCCGGATGTCTGGGAGTTGGGATGGGGCTTTATGGGGCCTCTGTTTTTTTGTTTTTTTTTTTAAAAAAAGAGCTGTGATTGATTTATCTCGCCGGACTTTGGGTCTTCTTGGGCTGACGCAGGGGCAGGGCGCTGGTCCGCGTGGGCTGGGTCGTAGTGTATTTTGATAGCTTGCGCTGAGGATCTGCAAATGCCGAGCTGCGCGGGGGTTTTTCTTGCTGGTTGTGCTGCTAAAAAAAACCGCATATCTTTTTTTACTCTTTTTTTGCCCTTTTTTCCTTTTATCCTTAGGGTTTCTTTATGTACCTGATCTAACTGCCCTTACTGTACCGTGCGTAGTGCCAATGATGTTGATGATGTGAGCGGCACGACACCAAAGGATGGAGAATCCTGCCCAGAGAACACCACACAATTCCCTGTTGGCTAGGTATTTTCTCGTACCCCTGTGCCTTGCATGTCCGAAGATGCGGGTCGCTCGGGTATGACCCGTCAGCACTCAGAAATATGTATCGCTTTTATATCTGTACGTCTCCCAGGACTCTGGGGTTCTTCTGTTAGCTGAAGGGGGTTTCGCAAAAAGAAAGACAGAGTAAGACAAATCGAACAATATGAACAGTTGACTCTGCATGCGCCTAGACATCTCATCTCCCAGCCTACTACGCTCCTTTTTGATGTTTATGATTGTTATGATGATGATAGTTTGAATACAATCATATTATCTGTCCTTCCTTTTGAATAAGTCGCGCCTCGGATCCATCATTCGCTTTACCTGATCCCCCAAGCCGATTACCGAGAACATTCTCTATTACATTACCTGCCATATCTGTTAGTCCAGATCTTCATCACTCATTACCGATTCCATCCGGCAGTCATCTTGAATTACGCCATAGAATCGACAAAGGTCGGTGGGTTTCATATACTTGAAACCAGCGGATGCACGATCCTTAAGCGGTCTTGAAGAGCGACCGCAAAATAACTCACGACAAATAATGTCGAACAACGAAGCCACACAAACACAAGCTAAGCGGAGGAATTCCGAATTATCAACGCTGCCGAAACTGATTGTGCCCTCCACAACTGTGGAGGAAGTCGATGCTGGCTCATCGAATAGTAATTTGGTTGTCCAGCCTCACGCTCTAAGTGTCAATTTCCGACATAGCAGAGGCGAGCCTGTATCACCGTGTTCGGATGTTTCCCCTTCGTCACGGTGCAGCGTTGTCTCACTTTCACCGTCACTTTTTCCGCTCCCACCAAGCGGCGCCACGCCACCAACTACCGCTCACTCATCAATACTGGGCTTTCCACCACCACGATGCGCAACGCACTCGCGCTCGCAGTCTTCCATAAGTTCGTGGTTTTCTCCCCCGTCACCACCTCCCTCTTCACCATTGCCGCCTACTCCCACAGAAAAGAGGCTAGCTAGCCTCGTCGGTCTTACGAATGGCCTTGAAAGTGTTCAGGTGCCGGCATGCGCAAAGGTTAAAAGTCCCCTTTCGGAGGCGCCTGAAATAGGTCCGGAAAATCCAGAAGATGACTCCATGCCGCGGCCTCGACGGCTTATGAGTTTCACCATCGACTCCCGAGGGGTTCGGGAGTCGGTAATAGATCCAGACGCACCCCTTGCATCGCCACCACTAACACCATCACTGCCACTGCCGCCTCCATACTCACCTGGCCTGTGTACCCCGGAGCGCTTCAGTAACGCTAGCATGCCGAGCAGCCGAGTGGACTCGACTACGCTGTTAGCGTACAATTTAAAGGATTACGAGCTCGGCCGGAGTCCTAGGAGCCCTGGCTTTCCGCACAAGAGAAAGCAGCTTGAGGATATAGAGGCCGGGCGGACAGGATGGTGGGCACAACCCTGGATGAGCGAACCCCAGAGAAGGAGAAAGAAAATCAGGACGGCACTTATAAGTGCGGCTTCGGTAGCTTTGCTGTTGGCCGTCGCCGGGATGATCATCGGGATATATCTTGCAGTATCTGGTAGCGCATCATTATAGAAACAAAAGGCTTTGTCCCCCCATCTCTTTGGATGAGAATATGAGCTTATTAACGACACGATTATGATATATATATAAGAGGGATAAAAGGGAACAGGGAAAGGGAAAGGGATATGCATAGAAAAGAAGTGTTAAAAGGTAGGATAGACAAGGTATCAAAGTATTGCTTATTATTACTTATGAGGTATGTAAGCAATACCTTGCATGTATGTATTATGAGTGTATATATGAAAAGCCATCAAGTGCTGCGCATGTATGGTATGCACACAAGCCTTCGTCTCACAAAGATGCGGCCGTAAGTTTATGCCTCTAGTTCTACCTTCTGACCTATATGCAAGAATAAGCTACTGTATATGCAAGAATAAGAATGCATTGGAGATGAGCTATAGTGTAACTCTGTGGTCTTGTGTAAGTGGATATTTCGTAGTGCAAGTATAATAGGTATAGCATAACTAGTGTAATAATAACTGCCTCATATTTGCGCAACGGGTAAGAAAGAGTACTGCTTGCGAGAAAAGGCAGACTAGCACGTGAGAATTTAGTGGATTGATCGGCATTATGCATAAATCAGCTATGGTAGCATACCGCTAATAAATGTGTTCGCTGATGTTGACCCGGATTTTTAGTTGCTTACCACACTCTGCATGCTGTCACGGCGTTTGTCTCCCACACCGACGATAATTCGAATGCTTACGAAACCCGTACTCCGTAGCCGTTCCCGTTCCCGTTCCCATTCGCCATCATTATCATCATAATTTTTCCGCTTCTGAATTATCGTGATATATCAACCTATACACGAATCATATCCTCTTCATGTCAGGTCTTGGAAATAATTTTATATTTTATACATGTATTTAGGAACACCGATATAATTTGTACCCATTTACCAATATTTACGGTATCCAGCCCTACCTCCTAAGATAATATTTTATACATCACCTACCTACTTTCTTACCTACCTACCTAGGTATATACTTTAGGTATTTCTCTTAACACTCTTTCAGTGGCTCAGCTGTCCTTATCCGCGGTCATGGAGCAAGCCAACGTGACGCAAGGGCGGGCTCAACAACCCAAGCCTAATAAAATAAACTACGCTTGTGAGGCGTGTCGAATATCTAAAGTAAAATGTCAACCTGGAATACAGCCAGGAATCTGTAAGCGGTATGGCGCCATCGTAGCCAATATCCTATCATTAAACTCTACTCTACCTACCTAACTCGATCTCCCCCCCGTACCATGTCGTCCAATGAGCTAAACCATGCATGTCGTCTCGTACGATACAGTTGCTCCGAGTTCAAACGGGAATGCGTATTTCGAACGGGTCCGCGGACTCGGCGACCTAAGATTGCTCGGCCGTAAGTACTACGCTTTCACTTCCTTCCATTTAGACCCTCTAGTCCGGTTATTTCCCTTTCTATACCCTGCTGCAGGATCTAGTTGAGCTTAGAGTACTCTATCAGAGATGCCGAGGCTCACCCGCCTCCTCCCGGTCCCAGTCAGACCTTTAGCATCGACTTTACTATGCCTGCTGATGATGATCTTCATGTCGACTTCGACACTCTGAGAGACAATCATGAGCGCTTCATCGATGGTCTCCTGCCGTCCAGTGACGACGAATTAAATGATGACCCGGCGCAACTATCGCAGACGAGAGGGTCGTTTAACTTCAATGATCTCTCTATCCCGACCCCTTCTGGGACAGAAGCTCGAAGTACCACACGGCCGGTAAGTAGCCTAGGTATTAAACCCCGATTCAATCTAGAGTCGGCGGAAAAACTACTCGGGCTGTTCCGAGCTATGTTGCCGTCTTCCCCATGTATCGCGCTACCCGAAGATGCGGACGTGAGGAAGCTGGCTCGCGATATGCCCTTTGTGCTCTTGTCTTTGCTCGCCGTGACGAGCTGCTCTTCGAGCCTGCAGGGTCATAGTCTCTACGACGAGGAATATCGTAAGATCTTAGCACTAAAATTCGTAGCTGGAGGTGAAAGGTCCGTTGAGTTGTTGCAAGGATTAATGATTTACTGTTCTTGGTAAGTTGAGTTTACTATCTAGTTTCTACACCTATACCTGGGTAGGTACCTACTTACGGTAGTAAATACGATATGCTACTACTTTACGTCCGTATGAGATATAGGAAGGTTAGAATACTTTCCGCCATCTAACTTGTCTTCTACCTAGGTATCCCTTTCATCTACGTCCGAAGAATAGGCAGTCACACCAATATCTACGGATGGCTGTAGACATAGTACGGGAGTTAAAATTAGACGAAGAAACACGAATGGATCTCGCGACCATGCCACCCGAAATAAAGGCAGCTAAGTTGCAAGGCTTTCGGGCGTATCTTTCTTGTTTCTACCATAGCTCAATGTCAGTTAAAATTAAGTATTTCTACTGTATAGCTACCTTTAAGTCTAACGTCACGATAGATACGCCTGGTCATGGACTAAGTCGTATACAATGAGATACACTCCATGGATGGCCAAGTGTTGCAATATGCTAGAGCAATACAGCGACCTCGAACAGGATCACATACTCGTCTGGCTTGTCCGTCTACAGCACGTGCTAAATGAGTTCGAAGAGCTGCGTAGGATTCATAAAAATCACCATGCCAGCAACCAGAGCAATCACCATAAACAGCTTATTCAGGCTGGCCTTGAGGCGCAACTGCGGGACTTCCAGGCTAGAATTCCCAGCCACCTCTCAACTAAGCGTAGGATAATCCTCCTTTTCATTTTCTTGTTTCTAGAGCTGACAGTCGACGTACCATAGCGAGTGTCGTGATGGCCTCTCTCAATGCCGACGCATTCATCGTAGCTGCGCCTCTCATGCAGACGATGCGCCCACGTCCGGAAGATGCGACGGCGCTTATGATCGACCCCTCCAAACTTCAATCCGCCGCGTATACGGCACGGACGTTCTTAGACTACGTCTCTAACCTCTCCCCAACGCAGATGAGCTACCTCTGTGGAGCTGACTTCGCACGCTTCATTATGGTAATCATTCTCAGCTATCGTCTTGCATTCCCCATGTCGTTCTGCCCTGGCTATGATTACTCTCAGGGTCGTAAAATCCTGGACTTCGGCAATTATATTACCAAGCTGTCAAGCAGTGACGACGACGACGACGACGGTAGTGACAGTACTAGCGGCGGTGCTGTCGCGAATGACGGTGCGAGAAAAGCTACAAAGAAAGCAGACGTCGTTAGTGCTCTCAAAGTCGTCCTAGGATCTGTAAAAGCTAGTTTCGAGAAAAAGTCGGCCGTGTTAGAAGCTGCCGCTGAGGAACATAACAGGAGAGCGCGGCTATGCCCAATGTTCGACGGAAGTCTTGAGCAGTATCTTCCGCAGTGGGAAGGAAGAGGGCAGCAAGGAAGCAGTAACAGCAATGGCAACATCACTTCGGGCTCGTCATACGCACCATCCTCGCACAGCGGGAGTGGGACATGCGCGCCTCATCACGTAGCGCCGTCGACGACGGGCGAAGGAGTGGATTTCCCAGAATCAGCAAAGCCAATGTTGTTCCACGACCTTTGGGCGACTATGACGATGGGGTGGGCTACGGATCTGGATGCAGGTTTGCAGCAGGGAGTGGAGATACCGAGAATGGACGACGTCGAAGAATATGTCGATCTTATGGGCATGAGGGGGCAGTATCACGGTCTATGATCGTGATGAAGAAACAATCCTTGGATTTGCGGTCCCTGGCGTCTTAAGTCTAACTCATGGAGGATAGTGTGTTAAATATAGATAAAGAGGGGTGTTAGCGGTATGGTAACTCATGTGGGCATGTATATGCGTGGTTTAACATCTAAACACATGCACGGCTGCAATGTGATATCTTCGCGGATGACCTCTGTTATAAACATGATTTGGAGGTGGCGTTTTGCTCCAAGGTCCTTCCTATATAAGAGGTACCTAAGGTAGACGGAGTGACTATAAGCGCTGAGAATAAGCGCCTGAGGCATGTATGGAGGCTATTGCAAGGGATAGGCACCTACCAGGTACCTAACCTATCATGTAGATCAGGGGCTGTAAGTTTGCTTAACTATTTAGCTACTGAGCCCTTGTCTTTGGTTTGCATCTAGAACGAGACAGCGGATCTTCAGACGAGCGTGTCATCTAGGAAAAGATCGAAGATCTAGGTAGTCTGCTTCACTTGAGACGTAGATAGCGTTGATTCGCTATTAATTTCCCGACAGGAACAGCAGGGTAAGAGATCGGTTCCAACTGTCCTGAGGGTACGTAGCGGGTTCCCATATCTAGGTAGTATGCAGTTGAATTATCCGCTTCCCCACGATGGAAGTTGGCAAACAATTCACGATCCCTGGTAGGAGGTACTGTATGTAAGTAGGTATCTTGTCTCACTTGCTGCAAACTAGCAACCCTCCTAGGCTGGTAGTTAGGTAAATATGTACCTAGCTCTATCTATAGGAGAGACAAAAACAAACAAACGTTTACTTTCGGCTATAGCGTAAAACATAATAAAGCAATTTTTGTATTACTAGGTAGGATTTCATAACAATTTTTCATAGCAAATAATGAGAAGATAATGACGTCTGCTCGCCAAATATTTGTTTCCATCGACTAATATCCCGTCTAGCGCTGACAGGTAGGTAGCTCGGAAACCTTTCCGAGCCAAGAATTACATAGGTTAGGTAGTTTGGTACCTCTTAGGTCGTCTACTAGGTATACCTAGACGTCTTCCATCAACCAAGGCAGGACCTTGCGGCCCCAGTACTGGACCATCTTGTAGTGGCCCAGGCCCTCGGGCATGGACTCGATGGCCTCGGCGAGGGCCCTGCCGTCGCCCTCGGCGCGCACCTGGCGCAGGGGCGTCATGTACGACCGGACCGTGAAGATGACGGCGCTGGTGCGCGCCAGCTTCGTCAGCGTCTGGTGCTCCACGCGCAGGTAGCACTCGTCCAGCGACGGGTCCCCCTTGTCCCCCGACACCACCTGCTCCGTCCCCGGGTAGTAGTTATTGCCGTCCGTGCGGAAGAGGTCCGCGCCGTCGACTTGGAGAGACCACTTTTGTTGGGCGTCACATACATGTACGGATTAGCTTACGCACGCAGGATGATCATGATACCCGAATCGAACCGGTGGGGGGGAGGGGGAAGGGGAGGGGATTGTTCTTTGGTAAGAGGGGAAGGGGAAGGGGAGGGGGAGGTAGGGAGGTAGGGCGTCCTTACGTTCATGCGCCCTATGAAATCCCCAGGCTTCATACGAGCGAAGTAACGGTCCACGCTCAGTCCCAGCTTCCTCTCATACCCAGGTACCGGCCTGTGTATCTCTCGTACCGACTCGCCGACTCGCGCAGGGCTGAGGAACCCCCCCGGAAAGCAGGCGATGTACCCCTGGAGGCGAAAATCCCCGTTCGGGTCCGGGCACATGAAGTAGAAGTCTTCCTAATTTTTTTTTCTAGTTAGTGTGTGTTGGAGTAAATAAAAGCACCTAAGGTAAGAAAAGTGTACTTACCTCCACGTTTTCTCCCATATACGCCAGCATCTGAGCATGCGTCAGGCCCTTTGTGGTAAGCGGGTACGTGGTACCCGTCGCCAGGTTCTTGACTAGCATGCCCCCTTGCGTCTCGAACATGGTTGGGAACCTGGCGGGCAGGTACCTGATCATGATCTCCTCGTACAGCTCCTCGATGGCGGGGTTGACCGCCTCTCCCGTCCCGATCGTGAACTCTGGCTTGTTCCGGATCAGCGGCAGCCGCTCCTCGATGCGAGCGAGGTAGCCCCGGTCCATCCTGATCCAGTCCGAGCGAACACGTTTTTGGATTCCTGCACCACGATGAGCTTTAGGTAAAAATTACCTAACTAGGTACCTATCTAAGGTACCTAGTGAGTGGAGTGAATATCAAGAAAGTTGCTTCAACTTGCCCATAGTGACGTGGCCTTGTGTCTTGTACGGCTGATACTTGATCGGGTCTGCTTTGCGGAAGTCGAAGTCCCACAGGGGCTCGATTTCATCGTCTTTGGGAGCCTTCTCGTTCGGTTGATTGGCAGTGGTCTTAGGTCCCCGGCTGAAAGACTTCATGAACCGAGTTAGTGCTAAGAGCACCGTGGCTAGCAAGAGGAACCATAATGCCTCCTGACTAGAAAGGCTATGCTGTGCAATCTCAAGCATGGTTGGATAGTGGTATTGTATGTGTAAGTGGTCTATACAGGTAATTTCTGAGACTTTAAGGAGATATGGAGAGGTCTTATATATCCATGAGAGACGTCCATTGCATCATTTGACGTTATATCAAACTGCAAGACTTAACCTCTCTTAACTAGGGAGTCTCCCGTACAGCAAATACGAGTCCCCTGTCTATTACCCACTCAAGAATGCACACCAACAACCAGGTATAACATAGGTAAACCTCATCTATGATATCTCTGGGACGCAGCGGGGTATTCTGGAGAATAATCTTTCAAGGTGTTGTCTCATCGGTCTATTGACAGCATCATTGAGATACAGTCTTGCGGACGTATGGAAATATATCTATCCAAGAGAACATGAATGAGTTGAGTAAACGTCTAATAGGTGTAGATATGTGTATATTGGCTCTCTTGAGCCTTGGCTTGTGTCTAACTATAAACTGCTTGTTAGATGAAATTAGATTAACATCTAAAGCTAGTGACTCTCGATTTGCCTTGACTAACTTAGATTAGTGTTGAGTGACCTAGAGAACTAACTATGGTTGTGAGATATGACAGCAGAACGTATAGCACAACAGGTATACAAACTACCTCATAATATCTCCCTGATATCTCCGCGGGTACATATCTGTCCTGATACCCTTCGAGAATCCATCTTAGAGCACAAATATATCGTGGTACATGTTGTCTCTGACGTTGCCGAAAGCCTTGTCTTAAGCGCACTTGTGAGAACACTCAACTGCCTTGCATCAACGCCATAGCCCCACGTTTTTACGGCTTGAGACTTTTATAGCCCATTAACAGGCGGTGTTATACCTGGCTAGTAAGTATATATACCGAATATAAGGTAGTTTAGCTTTTTTTTCTTTTTTTCTTTTCTATCTTTTGGCTATCGTGCGTCATCCCTTGATAACTTGGCACTCTAAGGGTACCTAAGAAACCCGCTCGGCATGCATGCATGTAGTTATGGAGAAAGCCTATACTTGTATGGGTTAGCTAAGTTGACGAACCCTAGGTAATACAAACGTTGAAGGTAACGTCTAGGGTCTTTTCCACTGCACATCACGTCAACTGACTTCGGTCTTCTCGGCATTGAATCCTGGCTTCAGATGCGGAGAAAATGCATCTAGACCGCTAAGAGGGTCTCACATATTAACCTTGTAGGGGTGGATGGTATATCGGATCCGATTGGTAAAACAATCCAGGAATTCGGTACTCGCCCTGGTGTCGTTGATTCTCTATACCCGTCTCTACAAGGATGCGAGTTTTCGTATAAATCTAAGTATTCGGCCAACTAACTAGATGTTAAAGAGTAAGCAACATACGATCCCTACTGGAAACAGGTTCGCCTTTACTAATACGTTCAAAAGGATTATATAAGACGTAATTAAACGCGTGTAAACTATTGTTAACGAATTAGACGCACCGAATTTAGTAGCAGAGATCTATGTAGCTATTATGTGGAGTTAACCCATTAAGAGACCTTATAGGCCTGTAGCTGTAGGAGGTTTTCAAACATTGAGGCTATGAGAAGGCGTGACTGAACGGGATTGAAGAAGCCGGCATAATGTGGCTGTTGTGATCGACTAGATAAACTCGATCTTGCCAATACTGTTCAAAGATCCTTTATGTAAGGAGGCATCAACGTTTAGGCTCAATGATGTACCATGTTAGCTTTTACTTCTTCTCGACGCCAGCCTATCCAATAATACTACGGGAAATAGTCATGATCTTAGGTATGACGAGGCTAACTGGATAATTGGAATGGCATATTCCGCTTTGCCAGTACGTACGTACGTATCTCATAGTCTAGGTAGGTAATACATACTTACTTCACTGAAAGGCGATACGTATAACTTCTGAGAACTATGTAGGTAGAGATGCTCCAGAGATGCTCCACGTGGTGCAAGGAGATGGCTACCAGTCCAACATCCTCCCACCAGGATTTACCCATCCCTGCCTGTAGAACTCCTTCCAAAAAGGATATGAACATAAGAAGATTCGTGGACAGGCGAAACTTTCGTGTGAATGTGCTAAAGGCCTTATTAAACATGATGTTTTTGATCAAAGTCCGACTTCTACATGTCGAAGGACACTAAATTACGCCATGAGTCAAATACGCTTTGCCCTTATATTGAGATATTGGGCCTAATAATACACATCTTGTTGTCTTTCTATCGCTTGGATACCTCCTTATCTATACTTACTTAGGTAGTTGCATACTAGAACCCTTTATGCTAAACGTTTAGCTAACCAACATCGTCTATTCACTCGAGATTGCAATGAAAGAGGGCATCAGTGTAAGTCGTGATTCTTTTCTCAGGCTTTCTATTCCACATCTCTGCTAAGCTATCCTTTAGGTGCTACCTAATATACTTAGACAGTCTAAGGCAGCCTGTCAGAGGAAGGGCTGTTACTTTCTAACTGATATTTAACGTGAAAATAAATATAATTTACCTTGTTGGCTACCAGCTTAGTCGCTCGAAACGGTAGACAGACATTTAGGGCCATATAGACTCTCTAGAACTAGTCTTTGAACGTCCCCACAGACTAGCCGAACCCACCTACGTACCTAATATTGATAAACCATTAACTATCAAAATATTTTAAAGGTAACAGAAAGTTCGATTGTAGAAAAGTCAAAGCGAAAAGAAAAAAAAATAAGTCAATAAAATAAGTATGAGTAAGAAGAAAAAAGAATAAAACGTAGAAATAAAAACGTAAAAAAAAAACGTAAAAAAAAACATACAACACCACGGATTCGCTGGTCGTCACCGACCCAACTACTAATGCGGCGGTATGCAGCTTATCTATGGGAGAGCGGACGGGATCCCGAGTTTTCTGCATCCTATGGTCGTATGTGATAGATTTGTTTGTTTAATTTGTTTATATCCTGCATGTTGACATAGGTGCTTACGCCGTCGTCATATTCTATGGCGGCAATTCATCATGTGGGGAATTGCTCGATCCCCGAGAGTTATGTCACTGCAATCCTCCCTGAATTGCATTATTCCGCGGCTACTAGGTTATGTACTTAGGTACTTTTTTTAATTAGTTGGCGGTGAAGTAAAAGATGAAATGTTATAATAGGGGTTGAACCGAGGTCCTGGCTCACGTTGCCACGTTCCATAACGTCGGCGTGACTACCATAGCGTTTCGAAGCACTTGCAAATATAATAACATCAACCCTTACACTATTTAGGTACCAAGGTAGAACAATGTCAACTCGATGGCTTGACGTTGGTATTTCTACCTAATGCCCTACTTTAGGAGGGGCGCTAAGCGCCCTGAACGAAGAGAAGGCAAGGCAAGCGTTGATAGATCACTTCTACCACATATATTAGGTAGCTTGTTTCCGGTATTCGTTCTACGCATGACATACATGGAATGACCTCTCTGATAATCGGCTTGTACTATCTGTCTCACTCGGGACCGCCTTATGTCTTGGTCAGTTTGAATGGTTCTGTTTTGATAGGATACTTCGTCTACTAAATTTAAAACCAGGTGTCCCGACAAGCTTGTGAGATGAGATTTTCTCGTAGATATTCGTAAGCTTCTAATGTTAAATCTTAAAGTAGTCATAGGCTTTTTTCAAAGTCTCTCCTGTATATTATAACATGCGGTAGTTACAGCGTCGGGTTAGATAGCCTAAGTGTATGTAGTAGGTAGCCATTTTTAGACAATCGAATAGAGTAGAGGCTGATTATCTGAAACGTTAGCAGTGAGGTTAAAATAAATACAAAATACCTACCTTGAAGTTATAATGTTATCAACTCGGCAAATCATCATATCACCCAGGGAGTGTAGAGCTTTAGTTAAGGAATTAGCTTATAACTTAGGACCGATCCAAAAACCTCCTGAACAGGTTAGATTTCAAGTGTACCTACCTACCTACCTATACCGCATTATGTTTCGAATATTATCAAGATATTTTCATTTGAAAATCATGTCTGTTCAAAGATCGTACAGGAGTCGGGAAAAAAGCCTCTTATCAGCACATCGGAATTACACGATAGTACAATATAATTTATCCGTGACCCCTTAACCTAGTCCTAAATGGCAACTTAGTGTAAACCCATTCCCCATCCCAAAGTCGATTTAAGGTTAAGCTTGAAGCCGCTAAGGCGCGGCCCGTTGTGGAGTAGCCCACCATCGACGCCGCTGGATCCAGCAGTAGAGTGACATAACCCCATAAAACTACGGAGCCGGGTTTTGGTCAGTCACATATTTCGGGGTTATCGGTACCTGTTATGATTAGAGCTATAACTACCTACCTACCTAACCTAACCTTAACTTATTCGAATAATGGCGTATTATTTCGAACTTCGTATGTACAAGGACCAGCTCCTGCTCGGATATTCCAAGCGACGGGGATACGCTGCTGTCAAAATTGATAATGTAAGAAAGTTTCCACCGTAGCAAACGGAAAGGGGTAGGATACGGAACTCGAGCATTCCAAGTTGAAGACTACATTCGATAAGTGCGTTGTATTTCTTGCTTTTTATGCAAGAGCTGAGTTGCTCACCCTTGCTGATATAGAGGATTCAATGTTACGCTGCTTACTTGACCGGTAAACCCGCGGCCCCTCCCCCACGTCTCTCAGGAGGCGAGGTCATCCGTAAGCGGCCTTCTCTACATTCCATTATCTATAGTTTTTATTTTTTCAGTCCACAAAGCTTGGAGACGAGATTAACAAGCTTGAAATTTTAGTTCATTTTACCTAATAAGACAGACAGCTTAGTTGCTAGGTAAAAAGCGGTCCTTCTGAGCTCGGACTGCCTATCCTAAAGACGTAAACTATAACAGACTCCTGATAACTTTGTAAGCATCATCGTCAAAGCAGATATCCGCCAGAGCACACCCCTTTCCCTAGCCCCCCGCATGACTACCACCTAAAGGATCACAGTTTACTCCACGGCGGGCACGGCAGGTCCAACTAGGACGCACGAATCCAGCGTCAAGGTGCTGCCGTTGATGTAGTATGCAGCCGGCGTGCAGAGGTACAGGCAGGCAGATGCTACCTCCCAAGGCGCGATTAGACGCCCAGCAGCGGGCAGCTGTTCAATAAGCCCGCGCAGTTGGGGGATTCGGTTGTACTCCTCCCAGGACATAGGGGTGTCAACCCACGAAGGGCACACCTGGTTGCATCGAATGCCGACAGCCTTGTAGTCAACAGCTATTGGCCTTGTTAGCAAGCAATATTTCACGGCAATACCTGATGTACTCGAGATTCCACATACCGCATGCTCGTGTAAGACCCCCGACGGCGTGCTTGGAGGTGATGTAGGCGACCTTGTTGGGCAGGGCGCTGATTCCCAAAATAGAAGAGATATTGACGATCGAGCCACGGCCGACATCTCGAACGCCGTGTCGCCCTAGATCAACCTTGGCGGGTTCTTGGGCCTTCATGACCTTAGCAACGGCCTGAGTGACGTATAATATGCTCTTGGCGTTGATGTCAAATACACGGTCGAAATCGGAGACGTCCGCTTGGTCGAACGGGACGTTCTTGCGACCATCAACCTAGCCGTTGATACCCATTAACATGTCATTCACATCTTATACGCGGATATTGCCGAAGACTCACACCGGCGGCGTTGACGACGTAGTCGATCCTGCCAAACTCCTTGATCGCAACATCAACCATGTCTTGCACCGACTTAGCGTCTGTCACGTTGACCTTCACGGGAATCGCCTTGTAGTCCTTAGCGGTCGCTACGGTCTTGCTGTGCTCGGCGGATTTCACGGCAGCCTCATAGTTGATATCTCCAATGATAACACCCTTCGAGCCTGCTTCGGCAAAAGAGGCACCGAGCTCTATACCGATACCACCACCAGCCTATTCGGAAAGGGGTCAGCACTGTATTGTGTAGTTCTTTTGTTTCGAGAATACGTACGCCGACTAAGATGGTGTAACCGCTGATTTTGAAAGCCGCCGCCATTCTGAATAAGTGTATATAATCAAAGTGAAGTCCCTGTGATGATGGGAATATAGCAAGTTTACATATAGGTTAGTCGTAGTGTTCGTGATGTCTGTCTGTCGAAGAGAGTTCGTCTTGTATAAGCAACTCCAGAAGAACCGAGAAAAGAGGCCATCTACACGTTTAAATATTCCTTTGCCTATAGACAACTCGTTGTCTAGAACTCGTGTGTCACCTCCACGTAGCTCGGCATGATGACCAAAACGCGTTAAGGCGCGGGGAGAATATGCCGCTCTACGCAATGTTCTCTATAAGTCTGTGACGTATAATCTGGCGATTACGTTGCTACCTCAACTCCAACGATGCCCAGCGGGACTATCATGCTCCAAGTTCGGAGATGTAGATGGTAAACGCCGAAAAGAATTCCAGCGGAACGGGCCACACGTGTCAAGTCAACTCGAGCCAAAGAACACTTGGTAAGGCGAGAACTGAAATGTTACTCTTCGGTCACATCCGGAAATCTGATAGTCGTCGCCAAGCTAGCCTCATCTGAATAGTAACGAGCCTCAAGAACGTCAGTCGTAGTTTATAGATTAGGTACGGATGATGATTCTCACGAAACCTCGTTCTACGTGATAACAGTTAATATGCCTACCTAGCGAAAAGCCTGGTACTGGAGTTATGCCCGAAGGATCATTTAACAACAACCTTAAAATCTGACTATGGGGGATTGCTTCTGTGCTAGTCTACCTATGGACCAGCTTTGCAGGTCCCTCCTGTTTTCCGAGCGCTAGTCTTACTGCTTATGGGTGCTTCCCATCTCTTCAGGGATTTATTCCCATAATATGATAGGTCATATTCTTATCCAGGGCCAGCATGCAGTAGCTGTTATGCATGGCCCTTCTGGAACTACCTACCGGTACCTCATAGGCTATTGTAACACATCAACAAAAGAGCGTCGAGAAAGCTGGCGCACCTACTACCAACATACAAACACCATTATCTTTCAACAATGGGTTTTCAAGCACTTCCAACAGTAATAAAATAAACAAAAAAAGTACTATCATAAACCTTAAGTCATATATATAAATCCCCTTATTTTTGTATTTTATTTTCCTAGTATTGGCCTTGATTTTATCTATATAAAGCTTAGTGAGAGGTATTCGAGGTGATAGTGTTAGAGTGTGCGCCACCTTTTTTGACACCTTTCTGATCAAGCTGCCATCCAAAATAGACCGTTGCCAGCTTACCCCCAGCTGGTCTTATTCGAAAGATCTGATTTGATCATGTCAAACGATAAAGAATAACGTACAGCAGTCACCCATCTTAGCGTTTGTATTGTACATGGATCCCGTTTCCAAGCATTTGCAAGTTTGGGGATTACCAACTGTGGTACGAATACGCAGTGCTGACCGCCACTTGAGGAATGTATATGTAGTTGCAGGTTCTGTCTCCTTGTAAGCCGCAACTCTTACGTTACAAAGGATTCGTGTGGGGAAGCAGATCCTGCGGCATGGCCAATTCGTCATAAAAGCGAAAATCCTCCGCTGTCAGTATGTCCCAAAGCTTAGGGCTGATTTGTTTCGACTAAGTCACACGTCAACGGGGATTCTCTTTATGGGAATGCTTTCACATAGATGGGTCTCTTGTATGCTTGGCGTATTAAGGATACAGACCAATTGGACATAAGCTAGGCACAACTAAAGTAACATTACCCCCATTTTGCAAGGTGTAAGCGGCTTACATACCTCCTCACCATAACTCATCACATCAACCAACTGCAATCCCACTCCTCGAGTTAGATAAGAGCTAGAATCAGTATTCGCTGCACATCCAGTTACCGACTTGAAGCAAGTTGAATGACTACCTCTTATCAATCCGTAGGTATATAACCGCGAGACGGGGTTTTAAGACCCGGGCACTGTGACAGGGATGATGGGAGCTCGGCATTTCAGCACTGAGCTACAGACGGTGGCGAAGTTAAGAAGTACCTTGATTTATTGCAAGTCAATATCAGACGTCCAACAATTCATGTCGTTAAGTTTAAGCCCATCGGAGGTATGAGTTATTGTGTATTACTATCAGCATCTTGCTTTCTCCCTACTTGGGTGGTGATTGTGTCCTCAAATGGATACACTATCAACAAGTTTAGGTACCTGCTTAGATGATAATAGGAGCGCTAAAGTGCTAGGACATAGAACGCCGAGTTTTGATATATAGGGATCAAATACAATTCGCGGATCGTGACACCTTTCCTCCAATCTCCCCCTATGCAACTTATCATCCAACACAATGCGTTCCCTGATAAAGATATTAGCTATAAACCTTAACCAATATACAATATTTGGTCTTCATAATATTACTTACACCAACGCAGGCGGCGTAGCGTACCAGCGTATCAGGGAAAGCCGCGTTACTAGGGGGCCAAGGCGTACGGAGGCACAATTCGGTTTGAGCCGGGTCCGACTTCACGGGGGGTCGAATTGGTTAGCGCGGGAGGATGAAGAAGGTGCTTATCCTGGCTCAAATTTACACACCTGCTTACACGCCTGCTTGATGCAGTTACAGGCGCATGGAGGGCGGTTAAAAGGGTCCAGGATATAAGGGTCGTCGCCGTCGATCAAGACACAGACGTTGCTAGGGGCTCTTCCGATCAGCGGTAACGTAGCCTGACCGATCGGGCCAGAGCTCACGCAAGCCGCCAGCACCAAGGCGCTCAGAAATGGTTGCACGTGCATCTTGGATTTCGGAGATAAACAAAATGACGTGTCACGCAGCGAGCCGCGTCGGGAAATTATATAAGAACAAAAGGACGGTGTCTAGGTACCTGGTATCCAATGCCTTGGGGAAAAGAGCAGAGCCAGGTGGTGATAGGTAGAGCTTTATTCCAGCGTTCTACTTATATAGTCGTTTTTTGACTATGAGCTGCCATTGTTGGATATCGGTAGAGCCGATATCTTGCATGTGGTTCCGAATATCGGCTAAGAAACTTCACCTAGGCATCCAACATAACGTCCATATCTTCAGATATTCCCCGGATTTTATGCGCGCGCCGCAGAACTGCATTCAGATCCGAGGTGAAAGATCATCAGGTTGTACCAAATCGGTCTCTTTTGATAGCTGTGATCAAGGATGCTCAAGGAGAGAGTGACTCATGTCAGCACTCAATACCACCACGGAGGTTTCCGTGGACTCGTAAGGGAAGCCTAGAACAGGAGCACAGTTGGTGCCTATAGGCAGTGGCATGATAATATCCGTTTCGTGGTTTGTAATATGATAGTTATATAAGATATCTAGGCAGCAATTTCTTGGTATATGGATGTGTCATACATATGTTCTATAGCTAAGTGCCTGGTTAGAATGTACAATAACAAGCATTGGATAGATTTATGCCACTATAAACCGTATAACCCCTGAAGTCCATACGCAAGTGGCAAACTCAAGTCGTTAAAATACTCGTAAGGGAAGCAATGCCCTTGATATCTCAAGCTTAGAATATGGTGGGATAATAGTTTCTGCGGGTTCGGTAAGTTAGGTAGGCCGATGTTCTTGTATCAACTCGTCCGTATTTTTTTTCTTTTCTTTTTTTCAATATAAGAGGGTTTGGTTCATATTTTGTTAGTTTCTTGTGTGTTTTGTGTTGGTCAACCCCTTTTCGTCTTTTATCGATATTGTAAAACGCTACATACCTTTTAGGCACGTACTACCTAGGGTACATAGTACCTGCGTCGCCCTCGCGTACGCGAACTTCTCCTTCTCTTGAGCAGGGGTTTTGCATTGGCCAATCATGACTTGGTCAAATTCCCCAAAAAGGAGGGGGCTTATGTAATACATATCTTAGTATCCTAAGCTTAGATTTAGAATTTGAAGTTCGCGATAAGAGCCTCCAACAATATCAACCCTTCACCATTCAAACATTCACCATAATAATAATAATAGCATCATCTATGACAACCTCAAGGACCCCACATGATGTACGCCTACGAACATGCGCTTCGATGTTGAAGAGCTGAGGACTCTTTAATACTTTGACCGAGTAGAAGAACGAAAGAGAAAAGAGAGCCGTTGCGTTGCGCCCGGCTGTCTTTGGAATCAATTATCATCAGCACGATGCAGCCGTCACCCACTCTAATCTGCCGTCTCCTCGCTCTCCGCGTCTCCAAATTCCCTCCCACGACCCGCCGATTCACCAGAAATACAAACCTCGCGTCCCGGGGTCGACCTCAGATTCCGTTCCTATCGGTACCGCTAGCAAGGAACCATCAGTTCCGATACCTCACCACCGAGCGAAAGCGATGGCTAGCCTATGAGGTCTTCCTCGGCGTCAAGTATACCCTCTACATCTGGGCCATCGCCGGCTTCTCCATCGCCGGCTACTGGGCCATACAGCAGGAGTGGCTCGAGAGGAAATACCCGTCGCCGCACGACTGGGGGTTCATCACCCGCCTGCAGTTCAGGCTCGCGAAGTGGGCCCCCGACCGGTCCGACTTGCCAGAGCCCGACTGGGTGCTGACGGGCAACTATGCCAAAAGCGTGGTCGAGAGGTTGGAAGACGAGAAGACCGAAGGCGCCGGGCTTAGGAAAACCGAAGACGGCGGCGCATACGCATACGATGTAACGTCGAAAAGCGAGCCGTGGAGGAGGGGCTATTACGAGGCTTTAATGCTGTGTGCCAAGACAGCCGAGCATCTGGATGACCAGGTCGTAGATAACACGCGACACCTAGTCTTTCCAGCCGACCAAGTCATAGGACCGTCGAACCCGAACCCGAAGCCCATCTCCCCGGGCTCGCCAAGCGCGCCTCGCGAACAGGACTGCGATCGCGCCTTCGAAACCCCCGACACCTTCTACAAGAAAATCCTAGCGACCCGAGGCCTCACGCCCAAGCAGAAGCTTGACGCGGCGTTAGAGTACGCCTCGTGGCTGGACTTCAAGGGGCTCCACGACGCCGCCGAGCAGACGTACGAGCGGGCCCTCGAGCTCGCCACGGGTACCGAGCCCCCTCCGTACGACCCCAAGTCCTTCGTCCTGCAGGACCTCTCGCGCGCCCCCTCCGCCAACATCCTCAACACCCTCACCGCCCTCGCCACCCACAAGGCGCGCACGGGCGACATCTCCGCCGCCCTGCCCATACTCATCTCCGTCCTGCGCGCGCGCCGATCCCTACCGCGTCCCGAGTCTTCCCAACGGAAACACACGTACGTCGACCTGGACGACGACGTCCCGACCTCGTCCCCCTGGTCCCCGAGCAACATCGCCGGCGCCGCATCCCGCCTTCTCTCGCCCCCCGCGTACCCGCCGCCGCCGGACGACGGGACGTCCCCCCCGGTGCGGGACGCGAAGGAGCTGTGCGAGGAAGCCGGTCTGAACCTGTATATCGGGGAGATCATTTTTGCCACCACCACCTCTTCCACCTCTTCCTCTTCCGGCTCTAATAAGAGTCGCGAGGACGGCCTAGCCTGGACCCGCGAAGCCGTCGACCTAGCCGAGGAGCAGCTGCACAAGCTGACGCATACGGGCGACGTTCGCGGGGACGCCAAGAAGACGTGTAAGGAGTGTCTGGTGACGGGCCTGGAGAACTGGCAGGCCATGGTGTCGCGGCTGGCGCGGGAGGAGCGCGAGAGGGAGGCTTCGCTGAAAAATAATAACAACAGTAACAACAAGAACGGGGAGTTGGCGACGAAAGCAAGCGGCGGCGGTTGGTTAGCGGGTCTGTGGGGAGATGGGAACGCCGAAGCAGCAGCAGCAGCAGCAGCTGGAGGACGATGGACTGCGGAGGAGAACGTAGTGAAAGAAAGGACGAAGAGGGTACAGGATCTACTGGAGGAGGCTGACGCGCCTAAAGCTGGGTTCGGGTCTTTGTTCTGGGCATGATGGATGTGATATATGCCTATAGGTACATAAAGGTGTATGTTGTTACAATATGTAAGGTACGAAATGGTTAAAAAAAAAAAGGAATCCTCGGGGGTACTTGTCTACCTAGGTACCTAAGGTTAATGATGTATATGCCATCATAAAAAGCATGCAATGCAATCTACGCCTTGCCTGGCCTATTTCATTAGACACATTAGGGTTAAGAGCACGATGGTAGAATCTTTGACTAAGGTGGATTTTGTGTACATTAGCCTCATTTGTGCTTCCGATTCCACCTTTGGCGGAACAGAAGAGACTGGTGATATGTCAATTACCATATCCCTTTAACTTAATATCTTAGGTACCTACCTAAGGTACCTATGATCATATACCTAAGGAGAGGGATATTCACCTAGTAGAATACAGCCACAATTCATGTACCAACCCTTGAAGAATATATTCGTTCACTCATTCATTCATCCCGTCGTTGAGAACCTCGTTAGTCGTCGATGCTAGAAAGAAGCAATGATGCCGACTAATTCTTATTCTTATTCTGTCCAATCTTTACGTTCTCCTTTTTGCTCTGCTCGGTATCGTCTGTATGCTGGCCTGTATGTTGGAGTAGAACAAGTTTGGGTTCATTAACCTCTGGGTTACCCGTTCCCTCATGGTCCTGTTTGGCCTGCGCCTCGACGTTCCCATCCTTCTGACTAGCATGTTCATCGTTCTTCCATTGGCTCCAATCGGGTTCGTCGTTATCAAAAACGGGATCGGCAAACTCAACGTGAAAGTGAGGGTTGGTGTAATCTTTGCCCTCACTTGTCATGGCCACTTCCTCAAGCCAGCCAAGGATAATCTCGGAACCGGTAATAAGTACTTTCTCAGTGTAATTCGGCTCTCCACTACTGAAGATGGGACAGCCCATCTGCGTGAAAGTCGAGGTTCTCGGATTACCTTCAGGACCTGAAATGACCATACCAGTTGGCTCAACGGAGAGTGCATACGCTCGGGCTTTCTGTTTGTCAAATATGTAAATTAGTTTCATAAAATTTGAGGTCTGAAATAATCACAAGAAGGGGGCTTAAGTGGTGGAGAAAGTATAAGGCCAAGGGGTATTTTGAATACCTATGTGCTCACCTTTTTCAAGAACTCGACAAATTCGTCGTTCTTCAAGTAGAAAACTGGACATAAACCACCAGCAATTGCAAGGCAGTTGATGCGTTTCTTCCAGATATCCCACATTGGGGGTAAGTCCAGGAACTCTTGGACAAAGTCGGTGCTGTCACCCACCACTATGATGTCTATTTTGGCATCGTCCTTGAGGAAATGTGGGATCACCTCCTGGAAGATGTGACCAACGTGTATCCTCTCGGTTGAATTCTTTTCAACCATGTTTTCCTTTTCGATTACGTTGTTATAGTGCACGGCACTTTGCATAGGTGCAGCTGCAAAGGCAGTGCGGCTGAGAGTACGCTTTCCCTCTGGCCACCAAATTAACTCACCCATATTGGCAAGAATGATTCCCGGAGGGGTTTGTTGAGTGGTCGAGCACGATTGCTTCTGGAGGGCAGAGACAATAGATACCATAGAACCCTTAGTGACACCACCCTGGCCGCCGATAACGCGATGCGCAAGCACACCTAGGTCCTGTGTGGTCTCGCCAAAGATAACAACAACACGCGACTTTGTAAGGATGTCGTTACTGGCGAAGATGGGGACATGTGGCTTGTTTGCATCGGAAGTTCCCAAGGGTAATAGCACCTTCTCTAGACCTAATTTCTCTAGACGCTCCCAGATCACATATTGTAGAGCCTCTGGATTAACGTTCGCATTAGCTAAAGTCTAGCTCACAGGCATCAAAGAAGTTTAATAGGTCAAAGATAGATACTTACGAGAAAAGGCATAGCGCTGGCGCTCGTTATAGCGAGGGCTGCGGTTGAGGAAGAAGTGGAAGTAGTTATCCGGGTTATCGATGGCACGGACTTCGTCATCTTCGTTGATAAAGTAACTAAAGAGAGAGATCTAATTAGTACGCTCCTAGGTGGAAGGAAAAGAAGAACATGGTGAAAAAAAAAAACAAAAAAAACAAGGGTATCACTCACCCAAGCTTCTCTAGGTCAACAGGAAAGTCAGGATCTGCTGGCAGACCCGACCATTTTCGTCGAAACATCGTGACAACCTAATTGTCGTTGATGCCTAAGGGAGAGAATATGCTGATAAGTATACAATTCAGCCTTTCTAGTCCCTGTTTTGTTTAAGGATATTGAAAGACCTGTCCGATTTGGAGATGTTCGGTTGATCCGGTGATGTTTGATTGATCGGTCCTTTTCTCTGGTACCTAGGTATCTCAGCTACATAGGATACGTTGTAGCTACAAGGTACAATCACATATGGTAACTGCCCAGGTCAGGTGCCCAGTAACTGGTAAGGCAGGTATTCTGGCAGGCACCGTTTGCATTCGTTTGCATTCGAGGGAAGCCGCAGGGCTAACTCCATACTATTAGGACAACTTAGAAGATACAATGCTCATACCTCATTTTAAGATGTTAGGCAATACACCATTTACGTCCCCTTTCCATACCTTAGGTACCTAAGGTCTAATCCTCACAACAAGGGGGCTAGTACCTAATCTTACATGCCCAGATACCGCACCCGGATACATGTTTGATTAGAAAGACACCCTTTTTTAGATGGTTCCCCGGTGAGGATGGTGTCGAATCATCAGGTCCCATCATCAGGTCCATCATCTGCCTATGTGTCTCCCGACCACACGATACAAGAAGCAATTCGAAACCGTAAGCTTGTAAGAGAACAGCATTTCTCCAGCTGCAGTCTCATAATAGTATCAATGTACATATCATGCTCGTAGCATGACCGCTGTCTGTCTATTCGTCTGAATTTTAATCCGGCCTTACCAGCTGGCCTTCTTTACGCCTGGAATGTTTCCCGCTAGAGCTTGCATCCTGAAATTATACTGCGAAAGTCATCAGCAATTGTGAAGGCCGCCTGTTCACAACGGTATATAGCTTACTCTCGACATCTTAAAGTCGCGGAATACACCTCTTCCCTTACCACCTAATATACATCGTCCACGAATCTGTGTCGGCCGGGTGTAGCAGTGCATCTGGGTCAGCTGCAGCTGGGCTTCGGCTCGAGCCCTAGGAGGGAGAGTGGTATTTCGAATGATATATCGCAGAGCTTGTCTATTCAATCAATCGCGCAATAGCTTAGGTAGTTAGCTGGCTGTCGTTTATGTCTAGTCTAAATAGATCGTCGGGTTCATTTCGGTGTTTGGCGCACCTCTCAGGCTCGAATTGAGCAAAGGCCTTCCTCTTAGAGTGATCTCGGATCGTCTTGATATTGACGAAACAGCCAATATCAAGTTTCTTCGCCCGAAACATCGACATCTTGACGGTATTTGTGGCGCAAAGTTAGTCCTTTCGTATCGCGGAACCGTTTCGAAAACCTCACAAAGTTTTGAAGTCGTTAATTCAATTTGCTCATTGGTTTCTGCAGAGGCGCAAATCGGGGTGGTAACTGTCCAATCAGATTTCCTTCAAATCTCTAAAAAATACCCCGATAATTTGATTTTACGGCTCCAGTTGGTACCGGCCCGCCAGGCATCCAGGCATCCAAGCATTTTGTGCATTTTTACGTAAGGGAAGATAGTGGGGGTAAAGACCCACTTTATTCAGGGGTATGGATCCATACGGTTGTATTTAAAGGACGCCCGTCACGTCAACAATACCTATGGGTCTTCTATGACGTCGATCTACATACCAACCACTGTGTATACTACTACATAGTAGGTATTACATGTCATCCTAGGAGATATTCTCATGTGGTTGATATCAATAAGATGATCTCGCATCTAATGACGTAGGCAATGATAGCAAAGCAAGGCGCGTGGCGTGGGAAAGACTGTTATAAAAGCTCAATCCGCGCTGCTAGATCTCGTATTTTCCTACAGAGTACATAGTTCCATACACAATCAATACCACGAAGTCTTGCAAAGATATTTCATCAAACGATTCGAGGTCTCTTCTCATATAACTATAACTATCTAACTTAATATCACATACTACACATCACCAAACATGTCTGGTTACTCTAACGTCGGCCAAAACTCCGTCTACGAGAACGGCGACCAGAGGAATCTAAAGAACTCGGAAGTTCCAGGCCGTCCCCGATATGAAGAGGGCGTAAAAAACTCGCATCAACCTAACGATTCCAGTATGATTTACCTACCTCCAAGTTACGGAAAAACTTCATTCTGAAAACACTTGTCTAACAACTCTCACAGAGGACGAGCGATCCATTGCCAACCGCCTGGCTAATGAAGAGGTATGTAATGTATATACCCCCTCCATAATCCGATTCTACTTGTCGTACTGGAACACAGAGCTAATGGCCCGCAGCGCAAGTTAAACCGTGAAGAACCTCAAGACCCAGAGACCAAGGCCCACAAGCAAGACCCTACATTACCTGTAGGTCAACATAAATTATACCGTCGCAGAGCCCTCCTACTAATTCTAATTGCAGGCCAAGTTACATGGTAACGAACCTTCGAAAGGCGCCAAGATCGATGCCGATCTACAGGCAGAAGAGGAGGAATATTTAAAGCAGAAGGGGAAGAAATAAGCCACGATATCACTTTTATTGTATTATAGTCTTTGAATACGTTCGGAGATGCCCTAGCAAACTAATAAATGGTCTAAAAAGCTATAAATTGTTCCGCGTATAAATCTATCGGTGAAAGTGTACAGTCTGACAACAACGCCTACCTACAATGAGAGCCCACATCTATTACCATCAAGCAGTTCTCACAGCTTCGCTCCAGTGGCTCTTCTCGTCTCCTTTTCCCTATCTCTTAAGAATCTTCTTAATATCTTTCCGCTCGGGCTCTTGGGTATCGCATCGATAAATTCAATCCCACCCTTCAGCCACTTATACCTGGCCTTGTGCTCCTCAACCCACTTGCCGATTTCCCGTGCGACTTCTTCGTCCGGCTTCGAGGCTACTGAGGCGGATTTAACGACGAAAGCCTTCGGCACTTCCCCGGATCCTTCATCCGGTACCGGGATAACCGCGCAATCGTTAACACTCGGGTGGCTGAGGAGATGAGCCTCAAGCTCCGCCGGTGCAACTTGATGACCCTACGACGATACTTCTTAATAATTGCAAAAGCTAGAAAATGTAACAGTAGGAACTCACCTTGACCTTGATCAACTCCTTCAAGCGATCCACCACCGCGATGTGCTCGTATCCAGCCGGCGACTTTCGCACAACCGCCACGTCTCCCGTCCGCATCCAGCGGCCGTCATCATCCCACACGTAAGCCTCAGAGGTCGCCTTCTCGTTGTTCAAGTAGCCCAATGTAACCGAGGGCGACTGGACCCAGAGTTCGCCAGGCTTTTCATATTCCGTGATCTCCTTGCCATCTTCGCCTATCAGTTTAGCTCGACAAGCAGGTGCTAGGCATCCCGATGTACCAATCATCACATCATTCTCGCCAGTGCTCGTGATAACCGTACTCGTTTCCGTCATGCCATAGCCCTGGCCGACATTCAAAAATGGGAAAGCCTTTATCATGTCTTCATGTGTTTCGGCGCCAAGCGGTGCGGCCCCTGTGTACACCATTCGGACGCTGGACAAGTCATACTTGGCGCATAGCTCTAGGTTCCGTAACATTTGGATGACTATCGGAGGTACCTATGTAACGTAGTTAGTATTCATCCTCTCGACCAAATACACACGATGCGTACAATATGCATGAAGTTGATCTTGTATCTTTGGATAATTTCCAGTAGAGTCTTCAGCTCAAACTTCGGTAAGACGATTACGGCGTCTCCCCGATATGTTCCGCCTTGTGAAACTACAACCAGACCGTAGATATGACTTAGCGGTAAAAGGCCGAGTTGGACTTGAGTTTCGACGCCTTTGGCTCTTCTACCTGGATCTTCGTGCCATCGGATCTGCATCATATTTGCAATTACATTTCGATGCGCAATCATCACGGCTTTCTACCCTCGGGAATTAGTGAGCAGTCCTTTGACAGTGGGGCAAATAAACTAACAGGGAGACCTGAAGTGCCACTAGAATAGCACAGATAGGCAACTTGTCGGGCACCTTGCCCTTTCGCCCAGGCCAGCGGCTCCAACTCCGCTAAAGTCCGACCTTCATCGATGAGACTGTTAAGGCTCTTGAAAGGAACCGGCTTAAATTCTCCGGGTATTTGCATAATGAATACTTTATCATCCGGAATGCCGCATGCTCTCGTCGCTTTCAACGTAGTGTCTAGTAGCGGAATGCACGTAATCAAAGCTTTGACGCCGGCTGATTTGAGCTGATGTTCAAGCTCAGCTGCCGAGTACATGGCATTGGCTGGTGTTACGATGCCCGACAGGCGATGTACCGCGAAGGTGGACATCATGTAGTCAATCTGAAATGTCGGTCAGCGTCCCCCATATCCCCATCATTTTCACTATCGCTACCATCTTAAAGAATAAATGAACTACCTACCGAGTTGAAAGAGAAGACGCCGACCACCTTATCCCAAGGCGTCTCCTCGTTCGGTCTCCAGCCCATACGCTTCGCCAGTGACCGAGCTAGGAGCTCGTAGCGCTCGGTCATCTCGGCGGCTGTGTATGTCTTCCCCGTAATCCCGCAGGTGTATGGGTTTCGCGACCTCGCGAGTGGTTGTCTTCCATACTTCTCACTGCTCCAGAACTCGTGAATCGGAATTGAGTCTGGCGGGTCTAAAAGATCTCGTGAGTACGGATATCCTCTTGTGATAGATACGACGAAGCTAAGTTACATACCAAAGGGTAGCTGAGGCACCCAAGCCGGTGGGGTAAACACCATCTTGTTACGATTACACGTTATGATTCTTACACCGCACGTTTCCCACGTGTCGAACAGATTGACTACAGCTCGCAAGATTAAGCGGAAGCGTGCTGATTTACTAGTTTTTCTGAGACAAAGAGATGCCAATTCGTAAATGTTACAAAGAGAAGCTGGCTTTAGAAAGAAATGAGAGGTAGATGGCCTCGGCCAACATCTAATGTAACTTCAAATGCCAAAGGATTGACCTTTATAGGTATGGGTTATTTATTCCCGTTGAGCTAAGCTCAATATTCCCTAGGGAGTCCGGGGGGAGTATCCCTCTCTAACAAAACCCCCGCGTGATCCCAAATTAGTTTTCCCCGACTACCATAGAGAAGTCTCGGCCAGATAAGCCGGGGTTAGAGTTACAGTTAGACACATCATGTACCTACATAGTACCTAGGTAGATTTGGTAGGTACCCCACGAACGCCGTCCACTATGGCAGCAAGTTAGGTATCTGAATATTTGACCGGTTTCTTGGCAATTTTTTATTAAGTCTTCTTTACTCTCTCTCTCTCTCTATCGTATCGAATATATAATCTCTCATTATTTTGTTTTAATACTTGTCAACGTGTGAGCAGCCTGTTGAGCTTATGCGGATATACCCGATATAGGACCTCGGAGTCTGTCGGTTGAGAAGTAGATACCCGGGGTAGCTAAACTCCATTTCTTGGCGTTTGCATACTAATACCTAAAGGAACCAATAAAATGGTCATGTTCCAGCCCTTCGGGACATATCTCACAGCCACGATAATTATTATGTTGGGAAGCATGAGCCACAAACGCCCCATCTCGCTCTTCAACGTCGCCCCTATTCAAAGGCTATGACTTGAACCTCCTTTCTTGCTGTGTAAGGCTGAATAACCTGTATTGTAAATAGCTGGGGTCACTCCGGTTTCAATAATAGGGCTTCCACCTGTTTTAATAATTCATAATATTTATATCGAGTTTTTCAAACCACTGTAGAGATACCTATGGCCTATATACCTACCTGAATTAGAGGAAATTTAGCTACATAACCTACTGAAATATCATCAGTTTTCTGATCATATTTCATCTAACCCTATCCCCTCTGTAAAGGAGTTTTGGATAAGACTGAGATTTAGCATTGTTTAGATTTGATAACATTTAGCTTCCATAGTTGCCTAGTTATATGTAGGTACATAAACACAGGATTTCACGCGTCGCGACACTCACAATAATACCACAAAAATTGTATGCAAAAGCCACAATAACTAGATTCACCATAGATCACAGGAGCAGTATGACCTCTAGGACCATTTACCTAGATTCCTAGTGAAGACCTTAGACACCCACATGTGGTCTTGTGATCTAAGGTCAACTGTTACTAATAAGCTTCAATATCAAAACAGGTAGAGAATGATATGGAAACAGCCAAACAAAGTCACAATCTCAAGCTGCAAGCAAACATGTGGGAATCAAGAACTTAGATCAGTTCTTGCAGCTGATTTTCCTTCTCAGTAGGTAAATATTTGGTACATCAATCATGCCCTGGGTGCCTATTGTCTAGAAAAGGAATCAGCTTGCCATTCCCCCTTAAGTGACATATTGATTGGACCAATCATGTATTTTTGTGTCTTGATTTAGCATGATCATGTTCCAAGATAAGGGGTTTGTGAAAACTACAATCATGTATCTAAGAGCTCAGGGCCATCTCATAGGCTCAGCTTGACCATATGGACATATATAAAAGACTTCTAGTACACGCTCAGTCATGTTCAAATGGCTACAATAGTGCGGCAGGTTACTAAAACATGACCCCTGAGTCACAGCATCATATTGACCTGGTGCATGGTTGTGCTACATGGCTACTGATTGAATACACATTTACTCTCACTCCTACCTAACCCAGTTCTATTTTGATTTTATATATATACCTAAGACACAATAGGTACATCCCATACGTAATAAAATTCAATGTGTCAGGGGCTAGGTTCATACACAGAATCAACGTCCAATGACAAAATTAAGCTCTTCCCCATCCGAAGAATTAGCACTTAGCGGTTTCAAAATGCAGTTAGTCACTTATATACCTTCCCAGATAGTTTTATATGGCGTACCTACCTAACCTGCACGGCGGGTGGGTTCGGATAGGACTGGAGTGTAATACGTTCCTGCCTGCAACAGGACGTCGCTGCCCTACGTGTAGCCCTCCCCCCTGACCTTTCCCTGACCTTTCCCAGACGGGGTCTACTTCTCTAATCACAAACACAAACATCCACCCACATTCATTTCCTTCAACCAAAACCTGATCAAAATTCAATCCAATCTTCCTCCATCTTCTCCCCGTTTTGAATCGCGTGTTAGAAGTCAGCCTAGACTCCTAACTATCTAACCTACCAATCATCCCCACGTGCAAATCATTCATTCTCATGATACCATTCTATCCTACTCCTGTGCAAATTCATCCCAAACCCCAGTGACTTGCCGCCTGATCTTGATCTTCTCTGATTCTCTGATTCTCTGAACATCCCCCGACCGCGCGCGACAATATATAAACTCCCTGCGCGACCCATCTCCTCAGCTTTCACATCAAGAAGTTGGCAGTTTTCTTTTACACATTACCTTTACCACTATCAATCCAGAAATATCATCATACCTGGCATCATAGAACACCTCTTGACCATCTTCACCACCCCTACTTACCAATACCTCCTGTACGGGACCTACATTATCCAGGCCTGACAGCGCTTCCATCCAAGCGGTATACAATATTTGAAGAAGGGTTCGTGACATTTATCTCACAAGAGAACTTCGTAAGTCCTTACCTATTTAATATATCTCTTCTCATGGTTCTACTATTTTCACTATCATGTCCCCATTCGCAGCTTCTTTCCCAGCCAAGATGCGGGTTTGTGAATGTGTCTTCCTATTCCCCTAGCAAAGAAAGCAGTAGCGAAAAGCATCGCTACTGCTACATTCAGTTCCCAGTGACGCGTTTGTCGCGTTCAGGGGGCAAGCACGTTTTACACCCCACCCCTCTCCCCCTTATCGCGCTCCTTACTGCTCAACGTCCCACTTGCTACACCTACAACACCATACATAGATCCTTCAACATCAAATACATTTACATTATACCCTGTACCATATGCCTTCTACCATATGCCTTCTACTTTATACCCTATACCCTGTATCCTATTAAGCCTCCCAAATTCATATGCCTTGATTCAAGAGCTTTCTCTTGGCTCTGAGCAATAATACCGTCCTGATGAGCTATAACACTCTTGTTCACCAACACTATCCATATCGACCATTCTGAACACTTTATACCGAAGCCTATCTTCTTACTATTATTGTCATATCACTATCCATCCCATATATCATATTGTGAATGAACTCTAATAGATCTTCTCCAGTATACTCAGCCCTCAAGGCTCATAACTAGAGCTTTCTATAGGCCTATAAGGTATTAGAAGCATTTAGTATACCTGGTCTTGGTTGTCTATTATACCGCCTTAAAAGGATGGCTGCACCCTTTAACAATAGTGTAGCGGAAGCTATGCAATTGACTACCGGTGACACACCTGCCGGCGATGTTTCACCTGACACAAACCATGTGTCTGTCGCCGATACCCCACACACAGTTGACAGCACAATTGAGTGTTCCACTAAGCGCAAGTATGAGGAGCCCAGCCAAGTGCCCCGAAGCAAATTGGCCAAGGACGAAGCAATAACTGGCAGCACAAAGAGAGCTAAGACCGTCGCCGGTGTTCATACAGACAAGCTAGAGCCTTGTGGCGAACCTGAGGTTTGGTCTGACAAAAGAGCGGCCTTGAATAATGCAGTGGCATATTTCAATTCTCATCAAGGCAGCTTGCATACAACGGACTTGATCCCTAAGGGTATGCTCACAGACAGCATCGTGGGCATACGTGATCAAGCTAAAAGCCAAATCATAGTCACTTCGGTGTAAGTTGTTATTATTCACTATAAAAGAGATAAACTAACTTGGAAAAAAAGTGGTGGTGGCAGAGACTTAGATCCAGTTACCAAGAAGATGGTTAGAACAGAAGATCAAGGAAACTATGGTAAAAATATCAAGTCCTTGAAAAAAGGTCTGGCAGAAAAGAGTCCCATCGTCGTGATTCTAGGTAGGTTTTTCAATGAATATCGCCGGTGCTAAAAGATCCTAATAAAGGTCTAGGGGCCGGAAACAGGAATATCTCTGTCGAACTGCAGCATTATTACAATGTTTTAGATTATTTCCATGTCACAGACATCTGGCAGGAGAGAAATAAGGGCGACAAAGGACAGCTAGTGACAGTGTGGATGGTCCGATTGGAAAAGATTCACTTGAGCAAAAAGTCTTGGTGGGCTCCAAAAGGCGTCAGTGCTTACGAAGCAGGTGAATTTGAGATTGGTGAATACACTTGCAAATCACAAACTTGCACAACTTGTCAAAGCCCAAGCAAGGGGATTTTCAAGCAAGGTTGGACTTGTCTTAACAGCCAGTGCCTGAAGTACTTTGAGCTTTCAACATACTGGGACGTTGACGAGCTCGAGTACAGCGACGCTTTCTTACGAGAGAGGACTGCTTATACTGGCCCTGAGTTCAAGGAAGAACTTGTTCCTCCTTTGCCCTCCATGGACCATAACAACATTGGAAGCGAAAAGGAGTATAAACAAGGAATTGTTTGTCCCAAGTGCCGATGTTGCAGCAGGAGAATCAAGTGGAGTGGCTGGTTCTGCGAGAATGTAAACTGCGATTTTGAGTATGCAGTCCCCATGAAGCAGGCCCCGATAGACAATATGCTGTCCGAGAACCAACAAATCGACCGCAGCAAGACAAAGGGTTCAGATCACGTCCACGGGTGCATTGCTGTCTTCGAGAAGATTGTAGGAGGACAGGAGTTCACGACTTTTTTCCTCCCAAATGAGGACGAGACTTGTATCGGGACTATCACTCGTATTAGGCCCACCGAAGCTGCTATTTCAAGAAAAGGTGGCATTAACGACCTATATATGCAGCTACAACAAGAGGACCTGAAGCTAGAGAGAAGACCAGCAAAAAATCCAGGTAAGTGGGCATAATACCCTGTCTAGACTGATACTAATTGCTACAGGCTGTCGAGTGGAGGAGTTGACATCTCACTTCTCCGGAAATTTCGTGAGTGTCTAACGTTATTCAAATAAATACTCCAACTAACAGTCTTGTAGGGTGCTCCGTACAAGTTTGGAGTGGTTGTAAAAACTACAACTAGTTTCCAAGATGCGCCGTCCGCTATATTAGAGACTCTTCTTCGACTTACCTGGGGGGGAAAAGAAGCTGTTGAAACGTCCATCAACCTTATCCGGGACGAAAATATCCAGGTCTTCGAAAATGCCATACCTAGCGAATTCGACCAGTACAATGAGCAGCTCGTGCTTGGATATTTTGAGAACTCAAAAATCAGCGTATGTAATTCTTCGGTTTAATCTCTCCGTGACAATACTAATACACGCTTTAGGCCCATGACGATGGTGAGAAAGAACTTGGTCCAAATGTGGCATCACTCTCCCTTGGTTCTCCTTCAGTCATGAAGTTTTCCCCAAAGAAAGGCAAGACTATTGGGGACAACAACGACTTGGAGAAGAAAAAGAGAAAACCACTCTTGTCCTTCACGCTGAAGCATGGCGACATGTTGATCATGCACGGAGAACAAATACAGAAATTATATCTTGTACGTACCTGCCGTGTTTCCTTTACCTTTCTAGCCCATAAGCTTACCTTTCTTTTCTCGGATAGCATGCTGTTGAACCCCAAGGAAAACACCGGTTTGCCCTCACATGTCGACACATCCGACCAGAGACCATCCCTGATCCAGAACAACGCGCACTATCTGTTGTTACCGGAAAGGTTCCTGACCAATGGGCCCAGATTAAATATGACGGCAAAGAAGACTGCTTCAAATCCAGTGCTACTGGAGAAGTGGCTGCCGATGTCAAAACCATTCTAGGTAGTGGTTGAGTCTACTCAAAATTCGACATCAGCTGAAGGCAGCAAAAATTTTGGGGATGATAGCACATGCGTATGATTTATACTCCTGTCTCTCGTACGACCTGTCGTGGGGAATTGCTGGCAGAGCTTTAACTACTATCGCCGATAATGTCTAGCTGTTCGAAGTTACCTAATATTTCAAGTATATAGAAGGATCATGGGATGTATACGAGGTCGAGCTCACAAGGTTGAGCTTATGAGGTCAAGTTATGAGATCAAGGTTATGAGGTTGAGCTTACGATATTTGGAAGATGGCCAGTTAGTGATGGCAAAGACTAACGATTTACGGTGTTTGCTTGGTGGGCGTTTATGAACATTACGCCATGCGATGCAATTTATTCGTCCATAACTAGGACAGACATAGCTATAGGTAATATCACTAGCATAGGAAAATGACGAAGGCTTGTGTTTTAATGCATGATTGCATACCTTGCATTATATGGGCATTGTTATATGAGCAATACCCGTGGTGTACTCGACGGACTGGAGCAAGCCAAGGTGTCGAGATGTGTCTATACATGGCGCTATGTCTCTTTCCTCTTCTCTCCTCCCTACTCCCTACTCTCAATATTTTTGGTACCTTTGTCTCTCCTCCATTCTCCATTCTTTTCTCCTTTTCTACCGGCCTTTAGCCTTGCGCCTACGTTCCCATTCAGCACGCTCCTCGTCATCACTACCAGAGAACTCGGCATCGTCGTCGTCATCATCACTATCGTCCCGTCTGACATCAACAAAGGAACTAGCGGCGGGGGCTTTCTTGTTATTATTATTATTATTATTATTATTACTCTTGTTTTTGGAGGAGGGAGCGGGAGGGGCGGAATCGACGAAGTCGCCGGCGTTGAGCTCGGCGTACTCGTGCTTCTGGATGAGGTCGCGGAGGCCGGGGTTGGAAGGGTCGACGAGCTGGTAGGGGGTGAGCTTGGCCTTGTTGCGGACGCGGGTGGAGGAGCCGGCCTCGAGCATCATGCGCACGAGGGCGTTGCCGAAGTCCCGCTGGGCCGGGGGCTCGCTGTTGATCCAGCGGATGGCGCTGTGCAGCGGCGTGTCCCCTTCGACGCGGTTGACGGGGTCGCATTCGAAGTCCGGCTGGTCGAGGAGGGTGTCGATGATTTCGTCTGCGAGGGGGTGTTAGTTACCTAGGTCAGGTATATACCAGGTACCTCAGGTACCTATTGGAAAACTCTCAGGTCCGAAGCAAACGGTGTATAAAAGGCAACATACAGTTCCCCTGCAGGGCGGCCTCGTGGTAGAGGTGGTTGCCCATGACGGTCGTGGTGTTGTTGAGGAGGTTGGAGATCTCCTCGTCCGACTTGCAGTTCGCGATGATCTCGTGAAGGAGGTCGACGTTGTTCCTCCGGCAGGCCTCGATCAGCTGCTCCTTAACGGAGGCGCCCTGTATTCCTCGTCGTCGCAGTTAGTTAGTTTTCTTTCTTTCTTTCTCTCTCTGTCTCTTTCTATAAGTAAAAGAGCTCTGGACTGTGGAGCTTTCATTTCATTTCATTTTTTATTTCTAAGTGTCTAACCTCGTGTTCGTGATCGTCCGCCATGTTTGGACTGCTCTGACCGGGGTTGTTTATTCCTCTATGCGGTCTATATTGTAAATGGAGCCCCGGGAGCGGAGGGAGGGAAAGGAAGGGAAAAACGGTGTTGGCGGAAAAGCACGTATTATTCTTAGGTATGCTCTGGACGAGAGTATTTAATAATCGATAAATAATAAGATCCGGTCCGGTATTCTTTTTTGATAGATCGAGTTAGGAAGAAATAGCTAAGCCCAATTACATGCGTAGGCGTCCAGGAGAAGCCCAACCAAGCGTTGCTGTTGTTGTTGTTTCTATAAGAGACCTACTAACAGAAGGTACCTAAGTAGAGGTACCTAAAAGGTAAGTGGCCGTAAAAGGAGGCTGTGACGTTTCCAACTCCTTTGGCCGAAAACCCCACCACAGCCCACTAACCTTACCTAAATCAATTCACTAGATTCCATGGACCTGATGGAACCGCGGGGTTGGTTCGGAAGAATGGTTTAAGCGCTGTTCCGGCGGGATGCTCAGGTCCAAAGGTTCCACCAATGCCCCATAAACCAATACAAGTACAGAGGTACATTGCCTATCTGCAAGGTCCCATTTCTATTTCTATTTCCATTTCCATTTCGCATCTTGCCTGAGCTCCACCAAAATTTAGAAATCCATCTAACTTTCTCAAGTCATTCACCCACTCACCCACTCACTCACTCATTCACTTACTCTATATAGATCGTCAAAATCTAAGCCAAGAAATATCAGGTACCTGAAAATTTCACTTTATATAAAAAAAGCGAAAACAAGTATCAAGTAACGGCTTTTATTATTTCACAATGTTACTCTGTGAGTTTGCCGTATCCAGCCTAGCCTAGCCCAGCCCTGTATACCAACTATGGATATGGTCATAACTAACTCGATCTCTCCCCCCCCCCCCCCCCCTCAAAGTCTGCCCGCAGTGCGCAAACATCCTGACGGTGTCCATGTCGGCAGAGGCCGGACGCAACCGGCTCGAGTGCCGCACGTGTCCGTACCAGCACCTGATCGAGGAGAACATGTACTCGCGGCGGTACTTCAAGCGCAAGGAGCGCGAGGACGTCTTCGGCGGCGCCGGCGCCTGGGATAACGCCGACAAGACCCCCGTCCAGTGCAACAACTCCTCCTGCAACGGCAAGGAGGCCGCTTTCTACCAGATCCAGATCCGCAGCGCCGACGAGCCCATGACCAGTTTCTTCAAGGTGAGTGTTTCTTCTTCTTATCCCTTCTTTTTTTGGCCACCCAATTATTGGTCTGGTGAGATGCTAACGAAGACGTAAGTGCATGACGTGCGGCCACCGATGGAGAGAAAACTAGACGCTACGTATGTATGTTTGTATGTATGCGTGATAGGGAGGAGGAAAACTTCTGTCGATGAATCTTGGCTGGCGTTTAAAAGGCTCGAGAAGGATGGCGTTACGAATGGTCCGGGAGTTCATGTTCTTGAGTTTTTTTGGGGGGTTTTTGGTTTTTTTTTTTTATAATGTAGATCGCCTAGTGTCGAGTCGTTCGTCCCGGAATGATACCTAATTTGCTTCCACTCCTGCTTCTGCGTAATGCTATTCTTTCCTGAATAGGTCCTTTCCTGATACGAAGTCGGGTCAAGTTTTACGCGTATGATCCATCGATATAATGCGACTAGCCCATATGTATAAATGCATTCGCATATCCCAACTGCGATTCTTCCGTGGGCTAAAAAAAGGAAGTAGTACGACTCGTTCTGAAAATTAGTAGAAGGATATAATTATGATCCAAGGAGCCTGGAATGTAACCACGTATTACAACGATGTTTTGGAGGAAACACGGGCGCGCAATCATTCCTTGTGCCAGTCGACGGCAGCTTTCGCTCCTTCTGCAGCCAGCGCGTGCACCAGCTCGGGACTGATGATTTCTTGTCTGAAGCGCTCTTCCTGGAGCAGCTCGAGGTGCTTCAAGGTCGGGCCCGGGTAGATGAGGTATTTGAGATAGGGCGGGCGGGTCCAGTATCGCAGGTAGCTGAGATATGCGACAAAGGCGGGTTCGTTGAGGAGTTTCTGGGACGCGAGATGGTTCAGGTAGAAGGGATTCGCGAGGGATTGTACGAACTAGATAGAGCATCTCCTGTCAGTACCTAATGTAATGGTATACTTGTAATATACCTGCCGGATAATAATGGTGGATGCAGCCAAAGAATGAATGCGTACCTCAAGCTCGATCTCGAAGCGACTGAATCCGCCGTATTTCGGCTCGTTGTCCGCCGGGAGAGGAGGCGGCGATTGCTGCATTTCGACGTCCATTATGAGTCTATCTCAGGCTTATGGTTTTAGAAATAGCAGCGTACGTAGACAAAACAGGAATTTTTAAGAAAGAGGAGCAATGCCAGCGACAATAAATGTGGTATAGTTTGATGGGGATCGGCTTCGTAGAAGTTGGTTCGCGATCCGTGGAGAGATGGGAGGTACATACCAGGTACCTACCTACCTAAGGTAAAGATTATATGGGGGAATTGCAGTGGGATTGAGATGACTAAGCCTGCATATGCAATCAGAGACCGTCACATGTAAGAAAGATGTTAGATTTGTCGCATTCATTATTCATTATGAAATACATTTATCTACCTAACTTTTATGAAGAAGCACAATTCATCCAACTCCTTGGTTACCTATAGTTACCCAATGAATAGGTAGGTATTCATAAATAGACATTTATAAATATTCCTGTTCGACTTCTAGCTAAAATTACTATCCCCCATCGTAAACCGTAAACCGTACATCATACAAGACAAACACACTCTGTTGACTATCAGCGGTAGCTTATAGCGCGACTGCTGCACCGATTAACCCGGCCAATACGCCAGCTCCAAAATTGACGGGCGTAGCGGCTCCATTCGGTGACGACGTGGTCAGAGACTCGATCTGAGAGCTGCCGATAGGCACCGAAGTTCTTATACCGGTAAGCGTCTCCGTCCCCACCGACGAGAGGCTCGCGAACGGGCTCGACGATATTTTCGGTTCTGAAGAGGTCGATCCCGTAGATGACACGGAATCTGTAGACGTTACAGAGTCTGTAGACGTTACGGACGGGGTGGGCGTCAGTTCTGGTGTATCCGTCGACGTAAGAGATACCTGGCGGGCGTTCAAGCTCGCGCTCTAATCCTCCTCATATCAGCTTGTTGAGACTATTGAGTGTGCGTGAAGCCAAAATAAATTGCTTACAGTGTACTCAATTTGTGTAACGAGTATCGTTACCGCTGCTGTCAATATCGGAGCCAGCTTCATCTTACTTGCGTCTGTTATTGCAATGATCCTTTCGGTAATAGCTAACGAACTTCCAATGATCACGATAGTCCCAGAGGCTAATGATGGCAAAGGGAAGTAAGTTCGCAATCAAGAAAAGGGATGGACAGACGTTCCATTTAACAACAGATGATATCGCCTCCCTAGCTACCCTAGGGACGGGATCCCATGTCAAACGAGGACCTGCTAAAGCATGACCGACCAGCTCATCAAGGCGTGGAGAGGAAAGCTTCCCTGTTCCTAAACATCAGGGCTTCTCTGTAGAACATACGGTGCCAATAGAAAACTCCAACCAATGTGATGATGGTACATTCGGATGTGGGGGTTAAGCTACTACCTACCTGGTACTTTTATCGTAGTTAGATTCTTCCCATTTCAGAGACGACAATCTACGTATCTCCTAAACTTTGATCAGGGTCACAGCATGACGTAGACACGAGGTTTACTGTATTGCACTGTAATGGGTAACTAAACCGAGTCAAAAACATGAGACCATGGCGATCTTTTATTCCTAGCATAAAGACATCAGAGTCCCATCGAAGATCTTTTCTTTGTCGGATTGGAGTAAATGCATAGCAAACCTCGAGCCCCAATCAGCTAAGTCAACCTTGGTCACGACTCACCATTCGCTGTTTCTCAATATAGTCACGTCTCATGTAAACTACCTTGGTAACCTGGGGATAAAGGTTATCTCATCTGCCCTTGCGGATCCCGTACCGTCGCCCAAACTCAAAGCAGAGATGCCCCGCACCAACCCGTCATACCCTAGTGTACCTAGGGTATAGTGTAAATCAGGGTAGCACTATTATTAGTTAGGTAGTAGGTAAGGGTTAGGGTTCAGCAAACCCAATCAAAAAAGGGTCCACAAGCACTGAGGAATATAATGGACAATTTCAGACGGAACTATCACCAAGGAAGCCATTCAATGACAGCATCAGTGGTTTAGTGGTAAAATCCATCGTTGCCATCGATGGGCCCCGCGTTCGATTCGCGGCTGATGCATTTCTTTTTCGAGTTATTTCGTTCAATATTTTTTTTTTGATTAATCCCGCCATGATCTATCCAACTATAAAATTCAGCCAGTCAATCCAAATTAACAGACGCTAGAGACTTTTCACAATTTCAAAGTGTGCCTTTTTTTACTAACTAGTGGCTATGGTAAGAACAACAAGTCCGTAGGTAATGGCCACTATTACATCTTTTGACTCTCGTCATATACCAGCAGGGAGTGGTTCCCCCAGTCGGTTGGCTTCTTCAGTCGAGATGAGAGAGAGGGCATGGAAGTAACTTAAGAGTCTGTGCTTTAAGGGTAAAGGAAGTTGACCGCTGTGGCTGTTTGGCTGTACGATGGTGATGATGATAGAAACATTAGTAGTTAGGGGAGGCAAGATGCAAAACAGCCGACCATGAAAAAGTATGCTCAAATATTTACAGAACGAACAGCAGCTTATACGTCTAGTCTACTACGTGCAACACCTAGCAGATTAGTATACCACATGGTCCAAGAAAAGGCAAAAAGATTGATCGAACCCAGGCTCGAACTGGGGACCTTCAGTGTGTTAGACTGACGTGATAACCAACTACACCATCCGACCAGATGGATGATGGAAGAACTCGATTGTCTCCATCACGTGATGGTTTGTGGTTTGTTACTAGTGTCTATATACAAAAGGTTAGGGCTAGACCAGGGGCTACTATCACAGGTCTGGATTAGGGCGACTCCATCACGAATCGTCTGTTCCCACTCCAAGCGAGTATGTGCCTAACTTATAAAGGTTATAACTATCTGAGAGTAGTCCAACATTATATACGTATTGTATGGTAAAATTAAATTTTATTTCTGTTATATAGAATGTATTTACTCGTAAAGCTACAAGCCTGCTTTACCTCCTACCTAGAGACTTGGATCTCGATATTTTTATAGTGAATGTGAAGGGTAGATCAAGCATGATTAAATAATAGAAGTCCTATTTCAATGAGAAAGATACATTTCTTGTACTTGTTTGATTAAAAAAGTGGAAATGGCCATACTCGAAGCTGAGCGAGATTCCATCGTGACATTGACCATCAAAAGGGGGGCAACTCCTCTTTAGCCTCAGGCGATACGAGGTCTCTCGAGCCTCGTCAACCTTAACAACAACACTTCTATAAGATGAATACGAAGTACTTGAGAGTACAAATCTACCTATGAAGACCTCTAATAGATCACGAGTGATAGAAGAGGAAAGAACTCCAAAATCAAAGGGTTAAAAAAAAAAACTGAAAAAAAAAAACGGAAAAAGGCAAAAATAAAACGTACAACACCGGGGATTCGCTGGTCGTCACCGACCCAACTACTAATCCGGCGGTATGCAGCTTATCTAAGGGAGAGCGGACGGGATCCCGAGTTTTCTGCATCCTATGGTCGTACGTGATAGAACGTGGTGTTGTTACAACCTATATCCCAGCGTTTTGGGAGAAACGCCAACTCCATCTATCACCAACCCTATTATACCCAACCTCTTATGTAATCCTATCACAAACCACGAAAGGACTCATTCACCAGCGGGGGTGGAATTTCGTAGGTACCTAGGTAATTATGATAAAATGTGTTTCTGGTACTTATTGAACTGGTGTTGGGGAATACGTGGGTAGCCCTACCAGTTGGCAAGACTACTTACTACGTGTAAATATCTTGAACATTCAAGGCTTAGGTACCTAGGTACCTAATAAGCCTCAAATCTCTCTAGCCAAGAGAGGTGACAGCTAAGAAATCGACATCGAGGATAATCTCTCTAATTATCTATCACCAACTTATGATATATTATTTCGAGTTTGACTCCCTCATATCCTCTGATATCCATCATCTTTGTTCACATCATAACAGCCCCTATTTACCTCCTTCTATATTCAAAATCTACAGTAGTTAACCTAGGTACCCATGGTACGTGGCCAATGTGCCCGTGGTGGAGAAACGAGAGCTGTGTATGAGTCCACTACTGGGCTTGATATAATTAAGACACACATGCCCTACATACCAGGGGCATCGGGATCGACTTCATTCCACCCTCTTGGAGGTTAGATATGGGCATAGGTAGATGATGGCAAGCTAAGCTGGACACCTTCAATGAATGTCTCTAGCTGTCTTCCTATCTTGAATATCTACGAGGGCGTATATGTGAGTTTCGCACCGTAATTTCAGCTCTACCAGCGTCGAAGCGAAAGTCATTAAACTACCATGTTTTATCTACAATTAGTTGAACGAGAAACACTCTTTCTGAGTTTCATGTTTTCTGCCCGTATACTCATCTATCTATACTACATGGGCGAGCTAGGCAACTCAAGTTCGTTGCCCACCTAGTTCTTCGTATAACGAACGTACGTATACATGCTATATTAGGTACCCATACTCACCTCCTAACTCGTGTATGTACAGGGGAAACTAGCATCATCTCCTAACTAATAGCGGAGAATTCCTATCTAGACGGCACTTGCGTTAATCCCCTCCTCTCCAAGGGCCTTGGTTGATGTCGACGACACTTGGACTATTAGATATAAGCTCACCCGCAAAGTACTCCCGTCTGCAAACAGATACGCACCGTAATCACCAAAGAACTCCCTAAAAGGAATGAAAAAGAACTAAAATAATGCGGTCAAATTTGGCTGTCTGTCTCTGCGGCTAGCTGGAGGGCGTTAAGGAGATTATTGTGTTTGCACGATCTGAAATCTTTTTTAGCTTTCCGGGTGCTGATCGCCGCTTTCTGTCCATCATCCATCTTTGGCCCGTCGTTACAATATTGTACCACCGCGCAGCCTCCGGATATATCCTCCTTAAGTCTCCTTTCCCATGCCCCGGGGGGGTATTGTTCAAATAGCCATCAATGAAGGCTTCTCTACCTACCTATTCACTACTAATAATTGCAACGGTACTCGCTGACCATGCCTATAATAAGGTACCCAAGAATAACCCTCTAATAGCAGCAACTTTGCACTATCGCATTCGAGCCCATTTTCAACTATCCATCAATACCGCCACTTAGTGCGACCCATCTTGACCGTTGTCAAGACCCAACACCACCCTCTTGGCATGACAACTACGGGGTTTTTAACACAGTGGCAAGTCTCACTAATATTGAATTAAATTCCAACTTCTGTCCCTTCCGCGAGCCCATTGTGTACGTCGAACTTGATTCTATCTAGTCACGCTGTCAGGTGCTCCGGGAACCCCCTGAGCATGTTGTGCCACTTGGGCTGCTAGTTGCAAAGCAGCCTGGGCATTGGCTTCGGCCTGTTGAACCACATTTTGGATAACGCTTTGCTCATCCGCCGAGAGGTTTGAGGTGAGACTCGAGTAGAGTTGTGGATTTTCCTGTTGCATCTCTATAAATACGGATTAGCAGCGTGTACAGGGGTTTCTTATTTGAAAATAAAAATAATTTTATGGGAACTTACTCATTAAGACAGTCCGGAAGAGTTGATAGGGCTCAACCTTGTTGAGAGGTGATTCGAGCGAAACGCTATCTTCGCCAAGCTCATCGTCTGAGTCATCGTCGTCGAGGGCCCCGTGCTGATTCTCAATTTGACTGAATTTAGCTGCCTCCTCGTTGAGGAACTCTAAATAAGCCGTACTTTCATCATGAACATCTCCCTGGTCTGCTCCCGCACTCTCTTCAACAGCCCAGCTGGTATCCTCATCGGCCCACTCGTCCTCATCCTCATACCCGTAATCGTTCGAGTCGTACGTGAAGTCTTCCTTCAATGCTTCCTCGCGGTTTTTTAGGGCAGCGGGCAGCGTCTTGAAGAGGCCGGTAATCCCTTGCAAGAGCCTCGGCCAGCCAACGCTGACACTAGCAGGGATCTGGTCTGTGTTCAAGCTCAGCAGGGCGACAATAGCGACAATACACAACTTTTTATCGTGTACCCGGGTGAAGTGGTCCATGTGGCTAAACCAGAGACTGAAGAACTTGTTGGTCCACCCTTTGTTTTCCAGGACAGCTAGAGTTAAGAGCGGATTGTAGTAAATGGCATTTATAACCATTTCCATCAGGTGAATTTTATATGACTTGACCCTGATCTCTTGACTGGTAAGCACGGTCATGGCCGTAGTGATGAATCCGGTGACGGATTGGTCAATATGACCACGTAGACTTAACATCATAGCTTCCGCTAGCTTACACGCGCAGATGCGGTCGACGTCTCCAACCTTCTGGCCTGAGAACATGTCTTGAACCATTCCGTATAAGGCCTGGACGTAGTCGGGCTTCTGCATCAGTTGACCAGCGCCGTATTGCACAATGTTATCCAGGGCCGGTAGCATGTCCTCAAAGTACAGCTCAGCACCCGATTTAAATGTGCCGTGGATGAGCTCAAAAGCCGTCCACATAGTAGGTGAAATGCTTTTTGCGGCAAACGTACAGCTATCGATTATTTCGAAAACCTCGTTATAAAGATCTAGAATTACGTCAGTCAATTACACTGGTAAAAGTACGATGGCGATTATATTTACCGTATAACTTGTTCTCCAAGGTCACTTGAATGACGGGCATTAGAACAGCCTCAATGTGCAGTAGCACGTCCGGAGTACTCTCTAAGGTTAGGATTAGGGTGCCAATGGTTTGCAAGACACCTAGAGCGGTTATGCTCTTGTCGTCCATATAATCGCCAAAGTCATCATCGTCACGACCACTATTCTTAGTGAGGAGCTCACTGATAATCCTTAGGTAGGTATCTCTTAGTTGTTCGCTCAAAGCCACAGCGAACGGAGTAAGCTCGGCCGCGAACACTTCGACAAAGTCCTCCATCACGTTGGCTAACGCGTCAATGTCACATTCATTGGCTAGCTTGAGCAGCTGCTGCATGATGGTAGGGATGCTCTGCTGCATGCTTATACGGATAACGTCATGTCGAATTAAGGGCTGTAGTGCTAGGGCTGCCGTGACTCTGACGGGCAGATCGCTGTCAGCCATACAATCGAGGATATGCCGATAAACGAGGAGTAGGTTATTCTGATCCTTGAAGTTGAGCTGCTCAAACTTTTCGATGGTGTCGCAGGCACGGGCTCGGAGATAACCTAGAGGGCTCTTGAAATCGGGGAAGACGTAACGGACTAGGAAATATTCGATCTGGTCGGCAACCGGGCTCTTTTTGCCTAGAAGGACCGGCGCTAGAGTAGCAATCATTCTCAACGCGCCCTCCTTCGCGATATGGTTCTTCTTGTCATCCGGCGCCTGCTCGTATTCGTTGACGACACTGTTGACAAACTGTAAGATTTCGAACGTCTGCTTTCTGCGAGTTTTGGTCAGGGTAACGAGGAAATTGGTTGCCGCCACGTCAGGGGCGGAGAGTTCCTCGTAGAAGTTCAGTTTTCGATGTAGATATTCCTCGGGTTCGTCTTCAAATTTCTCAACATCTTCTCGACTTAAACACAGGACGGGGAAGATCAGATGAGTAACCAGGTTCGTGAGATGGGGTTGCATCAAGCTCCACATAGACTTCGGCCGGCAGCATTCGTCCAGGAAAACAAGCGTATGCGATAAACACGGTTTGCTAAGCCATGACGTCTTAGAAACCCATTTCTCGATCTCTTGGAGGTAATGCTTGAGAATTTCGGGTGCAATAGTGCTCTCGAACTCCTTAGAGAACCTCGACATATCGTCGTTCTTCGAAGCGGCCACCGTGAGGTTGGCATGTCTGGTACTCGTTTGTCAGTGATACTAAGCTCCTAAACAGCCACTGCCAATTTTATAGACAACACCAACCTAATCCAGAGCCTGTTGAGGTTAAAATATGCCCACTTCTTAGCTTTCCACCAGTGATTCGTCTCGCGCTCATCCAAATCTTCGCTCATAGCTGACGCGGGCATCTTTTTGGACACAGTTTGCAGGAAAATGGTGCACCAGCCAATGTTGACATCGTGTTGCCTAAGGTAAGGGGAGAGTTCAAGCTATAATTTACCAAATCAGAGACGGTTCCGAACAAGTTGAGCCCTAATTCTTAGACTTACCCAGATCGTATGCTTGTAGGCTTTGAGGGCGATATGTAGCATCTCGCCGGCCTCGTCGCTCTCTTGGTTGACCAATTCGTTGCAAACCTGCTGAAGCCTTGGGAAGGTAGCCTCGACGATCTTTTCGAAATCCCCCTTCAAATCATCTTGAGGCTTGAACCTATAAGCGCGGCAAGTGACGAGGAGGCACTGCAGACCGGCGAGAACAGAAGGGGGGTCGTTTGCGTGCAGTAATTGCAGCGTGGCGTCCATGAAACTCGGCCATTTTCTGGGAAAGTCGAAATGTAAAATGCGCTGGATCAGCTGTAACAGCTGCTGACGAACGGGACCTCGAGATGCGGTAAGGATGGGGAGTACGCGCTCGCGAAAGCGTTGCTTTTCTTCTTCCGCTATCAGCGGTTCGTCGGGATAATGGTCGCTCCTAGACCAGCCTCGATTCGTCCTGTTCTTGAGATAAATGACAGCTATGAGATTAACGATGTCAGCGGGAATATACACTCGAGATCGTAGACAAGGGGACGAATATTATTTCATACCTGACAGTCGAACAGAGTCGTCAGCTTCGGTAGTTAGGACATCAAGCAGAACGTCGATAAAGCCAGGATGACTCTCGGCCTATGATTATCGAATAAATGTTATATTAGCAAATGTGACCCGAGAACCAACGCGTCCAACATATGAAGTGAAAGTTTGGTTGTAGTTGGCGCATCGCATCGCATTGCGTAGCATGACACAGCACCCACCGGGCCGGTGCGGCAGCACACGGCGTGAACCAGCATAACATGACATTGTTTTTTGGTTTTTTTTGGGGTTTTTTTTTTTAAAAAAAAAAAAAAAAAAAGCAAACAATAGTGCTTAACCAGTAAACATACCTGCTTGAGTTCGAGCTCGGCGGCTCTTCGCACGTTGATATCGGCGGAGAGAGTGGCGGCGATGCGAGCCCGAACGGCTGCGGCATCCATGATTGCTTCCTAAATCTATTAGGTTATGTTGATCTGTTGATATTGTGTTCTGGGATGTTGAGAGGGTGATGAGGATGACGTTGATCTTTCTTGCTCGGCAAGGACTCGGGATTTTGCCCGTTGGGACCGGGTCGACTCGACGATGGAAAGGAAAGGGAAGAATAGAAAATAAGAGGAGAATAAAAAAAAAGAAAAAGGAGGCAGTCAACCGCCGAAAAAATGCAGTGTTTGTGATGAAGATGGCTCAGCTGCGTCGCCGCACCCAATTGTGGTGGTTTTTTTCTTTAAAAAAATAAAAAAAATAAAAAAAAAATTATGTGAGGTTAGACTGACTCTGGGTTACTCGTTATTTTTGCGCCGTCCAAAAATGGCGGGGCAACTCTTTTGAAGTAATGCTATGTAATCTATGTAATCTATGTAAGGTATGCTATGTATTTATCTGAGGTGTTGTACCTAATCTCACGCTAAGGAATAGCGCTGACCTGTGGTACCATAACGCTACAATGTACAATACCCAACCTAGCTTAACCTAGAGACACTGTACCCAGACCCTGCCCTGTGCCCTGACTGCGTACCTAAGCCTAACCGTATTGTACAATACAATTCATACTTTGTACTAGGTAAGCGCATGCGTGTCACAAACACTAGATAGGTACACCAGACTAGGCCTGAGCTGGCTGGTAGTTTAAGTACCTCGCACTGGTAGCTGCTAGGGTCTGCGGCCTACTTTCAATGCCTATTTACACTATTAATGTGTATAAGACTCGATAAAGGTTACGCTGAGCTTACCTATCTCTCAAGAGTCAATATTACCAGGTAATTATCTTTTTTTATGAAGCTTTGACATCCAGCATACATCTAACTAACGTTGCTTCGAAATGTGGCCGATACTTAAAGGTCGGAGACCTTCTTCAGGCATACCCGTGTACGCATCCTCTTGTATTGTACCTTAGGTACATACATGTATGAGGTATCGTACTGTAAGTATTGTACAATGCATTAGGTAGGTACCTAATAATAAGATGGACGATGGAGGTCGCATTCAATGTCAACTGAAAACGTGTTTAGAATGCCTCTCTTGATAAGGCAACCCGACACATGGTGGCCAAGACTACCTACCTAGGTTGTTTTTTCTTCTTCTTTGGCACACAGCTAGAGGACTGATTCTACGTGACATAACATCCATCAGTCTTACGTGCTTCTTAAATTTTTATACGAGGGCGGTTTCTAAAAGGCTTCGCTGGTCTCAGTGTATACGTAGTATACATATATCATCCTATGCAGCTGCAGGGGGATAATGCACCCCCCATAAATATCATCATTCGAAGGAATTAGAATGTGCAGCAGATGAGACAGAAAAATTGAAAATGAAGACGATCGGTAGGCGTTTAAACGGGATAAATGGAAAGTTAGATGAAACATATGGGTAACCACTTATAAAAGTATCTAATTAAACTAAGTAGATGTAAACATATGAAGAAAGGTCTTTGAACATGTTTAAGTTTAAAAAGCAGGGTCCAACCACAATTGAAGCAACTCAATTTAATGTTTTCACTGAACTACTATGTACATACCTAGTACCTATGTTGGGAAGCCGGGAGGCGGTCGAAGCCTCGAAGGTGGTCACCGCCTAAGTGCAGGTGGCTTTCGTTCAAATTTGCAGCTAAATCCTACCTAATCTGATAGGTCAGGTACCTTTCAATGTATCGTGTTACCTGAATAAAGTACGTGGATAGGTTAGGTACCTCTACCTACGTTAGGTACGTACGTGGTAACTTAATTAGGTGTACCTTTTAGGTGACTTCAGCGCTTCGACGCTTGCCGCCTTCTCATGCCACAAAATCATTAGAAAGCCAGGGTTACGCCGCTCAAGATTTCTCCAGGCTCGTTGGATTGTTGCCCCCCACCTTTCGCACAGATAATTTTTCAACTTTATTCTAGATATACGGTATATTACTAGCTTCGTTCCCCACGACCGCAATATTGTAAATAACCTCACCAGTCCCACTAAAATACCTTTTAACTATAGGTAACTACATAGTACCTGATTTCACAACCTAATTCCAACAATCGTTCAAACTAAAGCTACCTACCTGTTATATACTTTCTAATCATTTCTAACCCAAAAAGAAGTGGTCTTACTAACATGGAATTTCCTCTTATCATTAGGTAGTCTTAATAAATTCATTTTCAACCTGCCCCTGAATATCTAGATCTACCACGGACGCCTTATGTGCGTTTTGCAAAACTTTTTCTTTCTTCTTTCTTATTTCTTATACCTTCCACCTAAATACCCGTTGGTATAATGATTCGTCACTTGTCCGATTTGAAACCCGTTATTCTCATCTGAACTTCTCCAATGGGGAGACGAGCCGCCCGGCTTTCCCCCCTATCCCGTTTTCTTTAACACAGCATGTTTACATACATAGTGCATGCATGCTATGAACACGGCAATGATCATAGTAAATATACTATCCCGGAAAAATCCGCGAGTCGACGTCGAAGCTACGAGCTACGCAGCTTTAATTAATCAAAACATGCCGGTACCTACTATTACCATATGCCTACCATCGTAACCTGTTTTCGGTGGCACGACAATAATCAAGATATTTTATTCATGGGGGGGATATGAGAACTAGATACTCGGTTCCCCAACAGTACGACAGTAGCTCTGAGCAGGGCTTGTTGTATGCTGCCCAAGATGCAAGCGCGCCGAGTCTCACAGGTAGCTCAATCTTAAATATCTTGCAAAATCTCCGGGTATCCGCAGGAGACGTTCCCCCTGAATTTAGGATAAGGAACACGTTAGGTCCACCACGTTGCCAACAACCACGCCCGGCATAACCGGTTTTTAGTTGCCCTCATATTGGCGAATACCTTTTTGATTAGACCACCGATCTCGTTCAGCTTTGAATGGCTAAAAAATACCCGCGTGCCTCCGGCCGCCGGACCGAGTTGTGCCTATCAGAGCCTATCACATCTCACAACGATGAAAACCCGCCAGCGAGACGGATCGTCCACGTGCCCTGTTTGCTTTCTACATTAATCCGTCTTTATTGACGTTCTGATAGGTGTAGAGTGATGCGTGCTTACAATCTCGACTACGTCATGATGCCTTAGACATGCAAAAGGGTGACGAAGTTCTTGGAAACGGGAAGACTCCGTCGGGCCGTTGCCAGCTTCCGATGTCAGAATATACCTAGTGGCGAAAGAGCCGCCAGTATTGTGGCAGTATAGTTCATTCTTTCTGCATAACACCGAAGTTATTATGGCATTGAAGCTGCCATCTGGATGTTATGTCATTGCAGACTACCAGTTACACAGCATTCATCCTTTAACTGGTACGACGAGCTCTCAATTTTCATTCTATCGCTGACTAAAATTACATATCATACGCCATTTACACGTTGAATAGGCAACAAAGCCAACATCGCGGCCATGTTAGGCGTAAGGTGGCGATGAGCTAGACGGATAACTATGACAGTACCTAACGTTACATAAACTCTACGACGAAGTTGGAAAATAACTGTGCTCGTGGAGTAGAGTGGTCCCTCTTAGAAGTTGATAAGCGGCGGGATAAATGTCTTATTCTGCAGACAATTAATGGCAAGCTACCCTCTAGCGGACCAAGGTTGAGATCTCTTGAGATATCACATCTCCTATCAAGTTAAAGTTAAAGATTCCATGGCCTCTACCAGTCACTCGGTTTAAAACATAGTAACACATACAGGGACATAATAATATCTTGACCTGTGCCCCTTTACCGGGTCCACTCCGGGTATAGGACATTTGTAGAAGAGAAAAAAAAGGACTGCAATCCACGTAGCGATCATGGACTGCTATTATGACCAAAACTGCATTTCCAATGGAGTTGGATTCACCGCTTGACCGGGAATTCATCAGAAGGATCACGAAGTAGCGCAGCATTACTCTCGGCAGGCAAAGTCTTGGAACCAACTGCCAACAGGTCAGCTATACGCATTTCGGTGTAACGGTCGGTGAATGTACACGAGGTAACTACCTCCCAGCATATTACAGACGCAGAAGAGCTAAGCGCCGTTGGGCCACCGAGGAAGAAGAAGAGGAGGATGAGTCAGGCTGACTGCTGTTGCCCGACGATTGGTAAGAGTGGGCAAGTATGTTAGGTATCTCCTACGAGGTATGTATGAGGTAGGTAGGTCTAGGAATACATGTAACAGCAGAGCCTCATGGATTTGGACCCCAAATAAGTCAACGTCTGGTTACACAACGAAGCATACCGAATCTTTGTTAACCTCCTTTCCCATCAAGGTTCTCTCGTATGTATATTCGCTGCCTTGCGTGCTACCTATGTCATGGATATTAGTCGATGGCCGAGATCACATGGCGCGGAACCTTAGCCCTAAAACTGATATATAGGAGACAGACAGCTTAGGCATATACAAGCTACAAATATAGACAAAGTCGAAAAAGAAAGGAAATAAAATAGCAATGATTCTATCCTATTTCCCCGTAGAATTGGTATTATATCGACACCTGACGAGGCCTGGTAGCAGGTTGCCGTATGAAGCATTCAACAGATCATTACTTATATGAACCTAGGTACCCCTTTTGAAGCAATGTCTTTACGTCAATAAGCTAGTCCCGCAGGAGAGAGAGAAAGGGGAGGGCAGTAGGACCACGTACGTGATACTAAAAATCTTTAACCTGTTAACTACTCTTGCTTATTGCTTAAACGGAATAGAGCGCACCCTTAGATAAGGCAGTTAACTTCTAGAGAACTGAATCGTTGACCTAAGAAACGCAACGGATCTCCCAGAACTGGTGGCCATGTAAAAAATGATGCAGAGGCTTTTCCACTTGGAAGACCAGAGCCACCATAACACAGCTTAAAAACAATACATATCCTATCTCTAGGATAATGGATGCCTTCGGTATGTGTAATCTGCGAGTTCGAGTTCCCCACAGAATAGCGAAAATCCCCTCCCTTGTCTTTTGGCTTACCCCGTAGACATCATGGAATAAGCCAATATTCCTTCGTACCTAGATTCAGAGATACATCCGGCTCGATACCAAGAGAAGTGATCAAGCAAGCATCTCCTACACCCATACGCTGTGGAGTTACATTAGGCACCTGGCATGTGTTAGCAATCTCCACTCGGGGACATTAAATAACAACCAGCACCACTCCGATATAACTACATGGGAGGTGCGTAGGTCTTAAATCATTGCACCACTGCCTAAAGCTAACAAGCTAGCATCGAAACAACTAGCTAGCCCCAAGCTGGATTCCGAACATAATCACTCGGGCCCCGAAACTTAAGTATATAGACCCTACATCATCGGAGCGTGTATGCGTGTATTTGACATCTACGCTGTTTAGTACTCTGGCCTAACATGGAGTGAGATGATCTAGTCCTTAGGTCCGCTTGCGAGGTAAGCACCTGCGCTACAGATGTGTAAGTAGTGTCTGCCATAAGTCCATAAGACATTGGATCAACAGTGGATGAACCCAAGATGTATAATGCAATAGACACAATCACTTAAGTTCATGAACGACACAAGGTAGACGTGCAAACGGAATAGCTGGACAGAACAGCACTTTGTATTTTCAAACCGCTAATCTGTCCAAACCCGTATGACCTTCTCATCCCTGCCGGCAACCTCCCCACCCCGACCACCACCATGCTCGTCTTCAAGTTGGACATAGCCCCATGCCTAACCCAACTCCCACCAACCAACCAGCACACAGCGCGGTGACTTAGAATACAACACGAAACATGAAAACCCCCTTTTGATGATGCCCGCTCAGCCATCACGCATCTATCTATCCCCTAAACCGATCAATAGTTTCCACCACGCCCAATCCGGACCATAACAACAAACGAACAAACAATCCCATCAATCCAAACCATACCTAAACACCGGAGATACCATCCCCACTCATGATCGTAACATGCCAGTCGTCCCCACTTGAACAAGCCATCAATCCGCTCCATTCCATTCCACCCGGAGCTACCGAAATCCAGAGGTACCTAGGTAATCCGCAACGGAGAAGCAAAGGGGGGGAGGGGGCACACAATGACATCACAAGAGTGGGAAGATAGGCAGATGGGGGAAACAGCAGAAGAATCCGCCAAGGTAGTTTGAAAACGGCGGGCCTCCTCTAAGGGCGTGGGTGTAGCAGTACTCCAGGTTGATGGCATCCGGCATAGGGCGGCAGTAGCAGCAGCAGCCCAAGGAATTCCATCCATGGTAACGGGTCCAAGATAGGTTAACCGGTTTGTGTCTCCTAGGATATGAACGAATAAGCAGCAAGACCGCGGCTCTGGCAATTGCACTCCAAGTCAAAAGGTCCAAGTGGAATCTAAGTGTGTCTCTGTTCGTTGTTGGATAGATCCGGTTTTGTTCGAAGTCCGGGATGTGAATCCTGACAGGCACTCCGCAGGATATACCATAGTTCTCCTTCGGTTTGCAAGAAATCCTGGGATAGTTATATGCCTATCTCCGGATAGACCATCGATTGATGTTCTCTTCCTTGACGGCTGTGGGTCCCCTGAAAGGTAAATCAAGCAAGTGTCCTGGTCGGCAGGCCTGTACTGTCAAGACCAAATTTTGGGTTGTTGGCTGAAGTCCCTGTGTGGAATGTTCCTTTTTTTCTTCTTCCCCATGGCAATCCTCAACGGATTTGGGAATTGGACACATGTTCTGCGGGGATCAGTGGGATCAAGTGGTGACATGCTTACCCAATGTATTGCCAGTGGCAGACATCAGAACACATTCCGTCAACTGGGCATGGTTGATGAGATCATGTCACAGGCAATGGTCAAGACTTGGGTAAGGTAATAGTCCTCACGAGGTTCAGCATAGGGAATAAGATCTTACCTCTGGTGTCAAGCTGATTTGCTTTCAGCGTTTTTTTCTTCTTTTTTGCACTGTAGCCTTGCTCAGGCTAGTGATCCATGGCAGGCTTGCCAATTGTCCCATGTCCGGGTTTGAGTCTGAGTCTTGAGTCCTATTATGGATCCGGGTGATGTTGTGTATCCAGTGGAAGTGTAGTCCTCATATGGTCTTTGTTGAAGCCATGGTAAATCAGTCCGGTGCTCCAGTCTGCATCCTCTATGGTATCCCCTGGGAATGATCCTTGAAGCTGATAAGCCTAGAAAGCTTTTCTTAGTAAACCTGTAAAGTCAGTAGTACATGCACGGCGAGGTAGGAAAAAAAAAGTCCATGTTGGAATGCCAGGCAGCAACATATTGAAATCTTGGAAGATATCCTTCGCAGGAGTGGTTGGCACATATATATACAATCCGTCCAGTGCTCACCTTGCTGTCCGGATCTCAACCCTATCTATTAGTAAAAAGTAAAAATCATTCCAGCATCTCACCATAATGCAACAACATCCGCGAAAACTTTGGCCATTTGGGAATTCGCAAGCCCGGGATAAGTATGAAAACATAAAGCCTCCTTCGGCTGGATCCGGACAGCAAGTTGGCAGGAGCCGATCCGTAGATAGTAGAAATACTAACCGAGATATAAAATAAAAAATAAAATAAAAAAAAGACAACTTCTTTTCCCCGCCGGCCTTGAGCCTGGTATAAATGTGTGGCAAGAGCCAACTCCGTACAAAGGCATAGCAGAAACAATGGTCGTCGTCATTTCAAGTCAATTCAGGCCCACCCATATGCAAATCGTTGATAACGGAGTTCCCCGTTCATAAGTACGCCGTGTCCATTCTGGGCCCCTGGGAAGTATTCATGTGCGGGATGTAAATCGTAGTAAAAAGCCGCCCCTTAAAACGTAGTAACGTAGTAGTAGTAGCAGTAGCAGTAGTACTGGAATGATGCTGATTGGAATCCAGGTCTCTCAAAAGGGGGGTGGTTGAGGTCCGGGGTAGCAACACATTATTTGATAAGTCGCAAACTTTGCAACTATGCAGAGACTCTTTAGAGTCTATAAAATTCATAAGCCGGTCTATCCTTTTTTGCATGGCAAAAATCCGGAATCAAGACCACGATGCGGTAATTGTTGGACTCCAAATCCTGGGAATCTCGGGTAATAAAACAATTCATCAGGGAAGTATCACTGGCAAGACGGAAAAGTCAGGCCGAACGCACTCCAGCGGGTTTTAATTTCGACCTGGGCGATGGGACCGGTGGGCATGCCTGGAATCGGTATGTCGGTCAACACTATCCCTTTCACGATGTCGCGACGACGATCCACTACTACCAGCGAGCTGTGTACTGGATGCTGAAGCTGAGTTGCGGGAGGGAGCAGGGGTTGTCTCATACTGTGGATCTTGTGCTGAATTGTAGGACGTGCCTGCTGGAGACGCTAAACAATCAGAAACTGGAATAGGGAGGGTCAAATTCAGAAACCACTAGTGTACGCACCGCGTCCGAGGAATGGGTCTTGAGGCTGCGCGGCTGGGTAGGGCGGGTTTGAGGGCGAAGGGTTCGAAGGGTAATAGCCGCCGCCAGACGCCGAAGCCGGATAACTTTGCGGTACGGGCGCTCCTGAGGTCGCGTAAGTTGTTCCACTAGGCGGTAATGTGGTCATAGAAGTCCTTTGATCCCTGGGGTCTACTCTTGAGCCGGGATACGGATCATTATACGGTGTTGGCACCGCGTGCCGATGTGCTCCAACCACCTGGTAAGGGACGTCCTGGCCGGGCTGGTCAAATCCTTGCGCGGGCATCGGGGGATAAGTCACACTTGCAGACGGGGGCTGGAATTGCGATGCCTGGGTAGTATATCCCTGCTGAGTGCTATACCCACCCTGAGGATACTGAGGGGCCGTGTAAGAGCCAGCGGCTCCTGTATAACCTCCGGAACCGGTTCCTGGATATCTGGGTGTAGAATCACCATATGGGTCGCGGTTAGGGGCTCCCGCTGCAAATCCACTCTCAGTCGGACCGTAGTACTGGCGGGACTGATGCGTATCCGAATTGCGGTACTGGACTATAGGGGAGTTAGAGAGTCTGGCATAAGCGCTGTTCGAATCTCTCGAGGTAATAGTACCTCCGGCGGCGTTGTTACGGCTCGCCGATTGTTGCCGCCTTTCTTGTTCCCATCGCGCGGAATCTGCCTTCAGGTCTTCGATCATAGCCTTCAAAAACTTCTTATTAGCGCGTCGGAGCGTCGACGTCTATCAGGTGAGGAAGCTTACCGTCGTTAAATTACGATAGGCATTTATGTAGTAGCCCTGAATGACCTGACCGTTCTGGGGGTTCTGCAAGGCACGCAATGTTAGCGTGAAGTTTAGGAAGAGAAGATCGAGACTGTTGCTGCTGCTGTGGCTGTTATTACCTCGTACGTGCCGGGCCGAACAAGAGCGTCGTTCCCAAGGTAGCGACAAATGTCAGCCGTGATGACTTCACGATCGATGCCATCCCTTGGCACAAAGTACTCATTCTGGCGGTTTTGAGGGGGCAGGGCATTGCCGCCGGACGGTGCTGGTCTTCTAGACATCGTTGCCGGTGAGGATGAAGGAGGGGAATTATCGGCCGACGACAATTAGGTAGGAGAAGGAAGAGAAGGGAAGGGAGGAAAATGGGAGAAGCAGGTCGACGGTGGAAAGACAACAAAGGTGGAGGAATAGTAAAAGAACGAGCAGTCGAGAATATGGCGAGGAGGAAGAGAAGTGGGTGGTGGGGAGGAGAAAAGGCGGCAGAGGCTTTCGCTGGTGGGTACTGGATAATGGATAATGGACCCGCGGCACAAAATAAGTCCTACTGCGAAAGGAGGGGCCCTATTAGGGGAAAGTGACAAGGCACAATGGCGACACCAACTTGGCCCGGACAGGGATGGTGGCGCGGGCTTGCAGGCTTGTAGTCCAATCCTTAAACGGGTGGCGATAGTGACCTTACAGGGCTTTGCAGGGTCACAAACAGCTGAGTACGGTGAATAGTGCGGTACGCTTGGCGATGGAACAGCGATGGAACAGTACTGTAGCACTGGAAGAAACCAGTTCGTAAACTTGTTGGGAATAGTTAGAAGGTTAAGGAATTAGACGGAGAGATAAGCCAGTTATTAGGAGGGTAGTGAAGTAGTGAATGGTATGTCAGCTGAGAGGGTCGAGGTGTCTTTCTCCGGCCAAGTAAGTAGACGTAGACCAATGAAGCCGGTCGTTTTGGTTTTTTTCTTTTTTTTCTGGTTTATTTATTAATATTACTAGTTTTTTCGCGGACACAGTGGAGCGGTGTCACTGTACAAAATGGGGCGCGTAGGAGGTAATGGTTGGCGGAGAGTGTTGTCTTATGCCTTATATGAGAATAAGGTAAATATAAAAATTATAATAAAATTGATAAGTAGTGAATCTCAAAAGGCAATAATAATAGTAATAATAATGATGATGATATAAAGGTGATATTGAACTGTGTTACAAGGAGTGTAAAAGTTAGTAGGTACGTATTGCTGTAAGCTTTACAGCCTACTGGCGTTCAGGATGCTGCAGATGTAGATGAATTTGGCTGATTTGGCAAGACTCACACCCGGTTTGGCGACTTGGTGGAAGCGGAAGAGATAGAATCGATCCCCCGACGGGTGAGTTGACGCGCAGCGACGGGTCCAACAAGCTGGGAATGATATGTTCGTTAGAAGGGGCTTTTTGGACATGGGAAAAGAATAAGTCGCTATCCCCAATCCCAATCCCAATCCCAATCCAAATTCTAGACTTAAGTACCAAGGGTAGCCCAAGACAAATATGGCTGGGTAGAAAGAATGGGACAGGATTGACAGGCCAGCCTTCTAAGTTGGGATTTCCGGATGTGGGAGGGATGGATGGCCGGTGCCCGTATGTCTCGCATCTAAGAGGCAACAAACACCCGCACCGCTTCTTCAATGCAACACTCGGTAGTGATCGGTCAATCCGTATAAAATATTGCCAGACTTATCCCGTCTGGGTAGCTGCCAAGCTGCTGCTGTTGACCGACAAATAGTGTATATCCTGGAAATGTAAGGCAAGGAGATTGATTTGGACCTCTTTTCTTCTTTTTCTCTTGGTGAGAAGAGTTAAACAAGGAAGGCTTGACTTTAAAGATGTGTCTCGCTGTTCCTGACTACTTAATAAACCTGTCGGTGGAGTAAATTTGTTCTTGTCGGTGGCCTTTTCTGGGTTGGGCTGCTTTGACTCATGTAAATCCTTTTTCTTGAGGACTTTCCTCTCACTAACACACACTTCTCCCCTCTACAAATTCGCCCAAAAGGAGACCAAGAACCTTCTTGGAAATCTTTCATGGGCACGAGGCACAGTCTCTCTAGACCTCCTATTATATACGTACACGTCCCCCCTCACTTGATTTGGATAAAATCCCAACCCACACGAAGAGAATTGTTCCATATGTCTTGTATTCCATCCCTTTGTGGCTCGGTTGACACCCTACCGACCTACTTCACTCCCAAATGAAATAAAAAAGAGGGTACTATATAATATTCTATATGTATTATGTATTAACCACCGTCTCTCGATTTGGCCGCCACCGTCGATTGTGGCCGGAACGTAATCAAAGAGCGACATCGACATTACAGGTAGACAGATACAATTGGAACGGGGCCCCGCCACTTGGAAGTGGATTCATCCCGCACGAAGCGATTAGGCATTTGACACCACGATGGGCAAAGGACGTGGCACTGTGAACAGAAAAAGCAGGCTGACAGGGAGAAAAAAAAAAAAAAAAAAAAAAAAAAAGCTGGGAACGCTTGTTCTCGCCGTTGGGTATCAATGCACCCAATGCACCCGAGCCTAAAAAAGTAGCGGCTGCTGCGTCGTGGGTGCCTAAGAGCAGATCAGCCAATCAATGCCAGCTTCGGTTTGCTCCTTGTGACATGATGACTTGAATGGCAAATGGTACCTATTTATGTACTAAGGTAAAAAAAGGACAAGTAGGCTTGTTTACTACTAATGTTGCCTTACGACCATCATTCGCTTCAGATTGAACAGATTGAACAGATTAAAACCCAAAATCTCTCTGCCATGTTCTGCGTACCTGTCAAACTGCAAGACGGGTAGCGGCATAAATCCCATTACTTTTCTTTTCTTTTCTTCGTACCAGGCACTACCGCACCACCGCACCACCGTAGTCTATCCTGTCCTGTTGTACGCCCTTCACATCTAGAGCCTCTTGAGATTTTTACATACAATGGGTAGGTAGGTATGTATGTGCTAGGAACTGTTTTAAATATCGCATGTGATTACTGGGAGGCGACCGGTGGTAAGCGTGCCGTAGCGCTCGTGGGACCGATGGACTGTCACGCCGAATCCGTTCACGCGACGTCCTCGCCTCCCGAATTGTGCATTCATTTTCAAGTTGAGTCACTTTAGAATAGTTAAGCTATCAGTGCGAGTCCGAGGGCAACCCACTAGGCTTGTTCGCACCACCATGGCGCTACAGTGGGTCATCTAGACCGACATTTCTGTTGGATCAAGATATTTTCTCGGTTCCGTGCCGAGCGCCTGAGCATTTACTGCTGTCCTCGAACATGGAACTTTGGCACAAGCCATCAGTGCCCACAACGGAATTCCACAGTCGGCGTCATATCATATCGCTTAACTTGAAAGATAGGGGAAGTGCATGAGAGTGTGGGACCCTCCCCCTACTCCGAGGCGGCGTACTCAATACTACTAGTAGTAGATAAGTTGGTCCCCCGTTGGACACCGTATATAGTAGACGGAGGGAGAAAGGGCAGTTCATATGGACGAATAGGCAGAGCGGGAGTCGACCGGGGAGGTATGTAGCGTTCGCTTCAAGTTGAGTTAGGTAGCATGCTAGGTATCGATTCACCCAAATGTCAATTTCCGCTGCCCGTGCTCGAGCTTACTAGTACTAGAGGAACTACCTCTCGTAAGCTTCTTAGACGACGAAGACGATGTAGCTGCAGTCTTCTGGCCTCGTGATACCGTGGTGTGTTTATTAGCAAATGCGTGCCTGCCACGTTCTTCTTCCTGGATGTCTTTGGCGAGATGCCAATCGAGGTGGCTCTGTAGGGCATCGTCACCCTCAAGCCTTGCATCACATCGCGTACACACCTTAATGTAATCCGTGAGTGGATTGGGGGAACACTCCGACGGGTTCGGCGAAGCTTCTTTTGTCCGAATTTGGATTTTATCCGTACTTACTACGTCTTCGTCGAGATTCCCATCAGCATCTCCACCCCAGGAACTCTCCTCCCTCTTGGGAAAGAAGCGTTGGATACCGGGATTTTCAACCCGTCGTTTCTTCTCCGGTCGTTCATGCACGGATGGTTCTGCCGAAGCCTCCCGAGAGGTTCCTTTTAATTCGCGTGCTTCATCTCCCTTTAATAAGAAAGCACTTATACCTTTGTTACCTGTGATCCTATCTTCAAACCCTCCCACACTTAGGCTCAGGTTCGTGCAGGGCCAGATTCTCCCTTCTTGGATAATCTGACTAAGCAGATTCTTGGCAAGTTCGAATAGGGTCGTCTCATCGATGGTCCTGCCCTGGGGAATGCTACACTGCCGGGAGCGGGTCTGGCCCCCCTGGCGGTGGTGTAGGTTAATCGTCTTCGGTCGCCTCTTTTTCTCGAGAACGCCCTCTTCAACCAATCGTGAGAATATGTCGGCTGCAAAGATTCGTAACCACTTGACGGCTTGTTCCTGATTGTGAATGCTGGGCCGAAAGGATTTCGCGGAGAGCATGGACTTGATCTGCGTGCGCGAGTTAACCTCGCTCGTGTCGATGCCGCGGATCGTATTGTAGAGCCAGACCCCTGTGTCATCGCCCAGCTTGAGCTTCATCTGCTCGACCGGCACAGAGAGGAGATCCTTGATGGCCTCCGTATGGAAAGCCGACGTGACCTGGTCGCCAAGTTTACCCCCCAAGTTTCTAATCTTAGAAAATTTCATATCGGATAGGAAATGCCGCACGGCTCGATTCCGTATGACTGTCTGCTGGTTGGGTTTCTTGTAGCCAGAGCCCAACTTACTGAGCATTTTATTGGCAGCTATACCCGCGGAGCATGTGTACCCTAGGGTTCGGCGAATCTGAGCGCGTATATCTCGAACGATCTCCGATCCAATGAGCACAGCTACATCGTCCCAGTCTGGATCGTCCGCCTCGGCTTCTGCATCTTCGAGATCGACAAGAGCATCGGCCTGCCAGTCAAGGGCGGTTACAGGTGGAACCGGCAGCTTCTCCGTGGGATCATCATATGGGGGAGGATTCGCAAGCTCCGGGAATCTCTGCAACAGAATGGAATGGATGTGGGCGGATAAGTCGATAAAGACTTCGTCTATACTCGCCTTTTCGACCTTCTGCATATTGGATGGTAGGCTCTCTTTGATTAGTGTAAGAATTTTACGAGACTGAAGTCTGTAAAAGTCGAGGGAGACCTTGTGAGTATCCATATGAGAGGCTGCGTCGTCATGATACGACCACTTATCGTCTCCTTCCTTCCAGGTAGCAACATGCTGGGCAATGAGTTTTGGGCAGAGCTTCTTTGCATCAGTCACAGTGCAGTGTCGACCTATGCCAAACTCGCGTGCGGGATAGTTGACGGCAATCAGACCTTGCCTATGGTTTTGTAAGTGAGAAATGACAGATATAAGAAAGGGGTGGGGGTGTAATAAATACCACTGTTGAACGGCTAAGGGTTGATCTTCGGGAATCCCGAGGCGTACCATCTCACATTGAGCGTAAAAAGCATCTAGATCGATGTGGGCAATGACACGAAGGGGGGATGATGTTGAATAAGATGCCAATAGGCTTAGTTGTCTATAAGTAAATTGGGATTTTCGCCGACCAGTGCCGTGGACCGGCGAAGGTACGTGGAAACGGGGCGAAGACATGACCGGAAGTGCAGACGGCGATAGAGGTTAGGCACACTTAATAGACGAATTACCGGCAGACTTTAAATCGGGATCGGGACAGTGGTGGAGTAAGACGGCCACGAGAATTCATGGTCGGACAAGGATCACACAGATAAGCCGTGCCGGTAATTCGTGAGAGAAAAAATATTCGGGTCCCGGAGATGGAGGAGATAGAATTTTAGGGACCGAATTTTTAGGGACCGGAATTGATGAATACCTACTACGTCTTAGGTAAGGAAGGAAATAATTTGGCCGTGGAGGGAAAGACGCGTCCGTAAATCCGCGTCGTAGACTTCCATTTTAGAACGCGCCGCTAGGAAATGACATAACATTCATTAGGTACCTTAGGTAGGTACCTAACCTAACCTAAGGTACATAGTAGCGATATGGAAAATAAAAGTGGAGAAATAACTTGACTGGACGTTATCAACTTCGATGCATGATTCTTTCATTAGGACTTTCCCCCTTTCCCTCCCGGTGTTTCTTTTCTCCTCGTCACAACAAAAGAGAGCGAATAAAAAAATTAGACGCCAACACGAACGTCAACATCGCGGTGCTGCGCTTCTGATCGAATTAAACGTTTTAATTGGTCTTACGCATTGAAAGGTTTCTCACTATCGAATTCATTTTCTTAACCTGTTGCAGGTCAAAAGACTGGATATATTAGGTACCTTATATATATCAATATATATGAGATAGCCCCTTTTACAGTACAATATGACAGTTTTAAAAGATTGCCGATTCGAGTATCTCTTTCCGAGAAGTCGGTCCCGGCCATAATATCTAGGACCATGTAACTCCTCCCATCGCGAACCGAACTCTTGTCGAAAGCATCATGTTCGTTATCTTGCGGCTGTACATGACGACAGAAAGGGCGCAGAAATCTTGTCTTTTTCAGAAAAAAAAAAAAAAAAAAAGACCACCAATGATATAACCCGTCCCGACGTTCTAGAATTTCCTATAGGTATGACTAAGCTGCGAGCCTCTAGCGCGGGTGGTGGTAGTTCGTGGTTCGTGGTTCGCGGCCCTCGAAGCCTTTTGGCAGAATAAGCAAGGCAAGGCAAGGCAAGCAGCCAGTCTGGATTTTCTGCGAACCCAAAGTAAGAATTGGGTTGCAACATCGTCAAGAAGCTTCGACTTCGTCCGGACGATCCGGTACCTACGGTATTAAGCCGAGCTGAGTTGCGAGCTTTTCGCCTACCGAGTACTCAAAGAAGCAATTGTCCACGTTTTAACGTAGTCGAGCAAGAAAAGCATGCGCAGCAAGTACGCAAGCATGCTACGTACATCCTTCTGAGCACCGTCACGTCATGAAAGTACCAGGCCACGGTCGACCGGTCTCCGTTGCAGTGGTGGCTGCTGAGAAAGGAATGCGAACTAGGTAAGGTAGTTAGTTACCTAGCACCAGCCGGGGTGCTTTGATGATGGGAGATGTTCTTTTGGGTTATGCGACATGGCTTCTGCGCGCGCTTCCTCCAGTAGTAGCAGATGGAATTTAAGCAAGGATTACATTAAGGGGGCTCAAATTTCACGAGGTGAGTAGACGAAAAAAAAATTCTTATTTGGATGGTTGCTCGACGTAGGACTTCCATTATCACTTTATTCGAGAACTTCCTTAATATCACTACAAGCTACGTTACGAGCGAAAACTGGTAGTTGCCAATATCCTCATTATCCTATCCTGCCCACGACGGTCGTCATCCTTCTAGGTACAGGTACAGATACCTAACTAGATAATGGAAAGACTCGCTACTTCGTATGCCAAATATAGATTTAAGCACTTTCTTAGTTTTAAGCCTCCCCGGGAACCGAAACGTTGGGTAGAAACATCCCCCATCTTCGGCCTCACCTCCCCCCCCCTTCCCCCATTCCCCCATTCTTGTCTACCTACCTGATAAACTCCCGTCGGGCGAGTTGCCGAGAAGGAAATGGCATCATCGACGACAAGTAAGTAAGTAAGTCAGTCAGCCAGTGCCTCCCACTTACGCTACGGTCACCCGCAAAAGTATAACGCGTAGGCAGGTAAGATTACACGACCTCATCATCATCATCATGCAACACATACATTTTCCCGCACATTTGCCGATGCGCCAGGCGCTGACTGCCTTAGGTAGGTAGGTAATCTACCTGCCCCCGGGTTGCTTCTTAGAGTGGCCCCGAGTCGAAGCCGGAGATCCTTCATCTAGGTGGTTTAGGTACCTAAGATAGTAGGGGGGGAGAGGGGGGATGGGATCTGCCCCCTTGCAGTGCCATTGCGGTTTAATAAGCTTTTTTTTACAGACAGATGTATATAAATCTTACCACGTAGGGCTTGATTTCGTGTTACGTGCCCTTTCTTCAAGTGCAAGTGCAGAAATCCAAGTTACGCCAGGGGGGTTTTTGGGGGCGAGATGAAAACTAATTTACCAGGCCAAAGAAGTAGGTGATATTACTGAGAAATTAGCTAGGAGGTAGATTTCTTCCATATCGATAGACAGAATGGATCCTCGTCCTCATTAGAATATCCCCAATAAGGTTTGGATTCCCTCGGTATTACTAGATCCTACCTATAAGCCGGTCTGGGGTGGCATTTGTGTATGTCCTTGGGGGGCTTGGGGGAAAAACCCAGACGTATTATTTGTGCCGTTTCCCAAGTACAGTCCAGTGGCTGTTAAACCCTAAAAAGGACCTTAGTTACATTGTCCTCATAACCTCCATCGTGTATACTTTGAGAGAAAAGTTAGGAGGATGTGATTAGATCTCCCGGGCCACGATGAAGGTAGCCGTGGCAGTAAGTAATAGGGGGGGCGCAGGTACAATGCATCTTTCACCACATGGCATTTACGCCCGGGACAAGCCCTTTCTTGGGTGATCTGCAAGGGACTACGAGGGAAAAATTCCCCCATTGCAGCATCCGTGATCGGGAAGCACAACCAACCCGAGCCAGGGCGGCAGGTCTCCTGCTCACGAGATCTTTGGCGCATGCGGCTCCGCTCGCGGTGTGACGGTTCCACGCTTCTATAGAACATACCTAACCTAATCTAATGTCGTTTTACGGCGGTGAGTTCCTTGAAGAAAAAAAAGAAAAGAGGAAAGCGAAAGTGAAAGTGACACTTGCCTAAGGCCGCCTCGTGGTCCCGAGGATCAGAGCTTGCATGGAGATGAAGAACCCGTGTGATACTTGCCCTTTCGATCCAGCACAGGCTTAGATCATTGCGGTGCGGTGATATCATGAACCAAGCTACCGGTACCCACCAATGGAGCGTGCTTTTGACGTTGGCTCAAACCTTGATAGGACGACGATATGCAGTCGAATGTGCCTCTTCGGCCTCGCCTGCGTTTTTCAGCCCGTCTGCTCGATTCCTTCGCCTTGAAACTTGGCCAAAGCTATACTCAACGATGTCCTTATTGGTTATCGACTGGACTTGGTGCTCTGGGCTCTTTCTGTCTTGGATAATATCTCCTTTATTCTACTTGCCGGTCCTCATCCTCCGTTCATCGGCCTCTCCCTACGATAAACTATGGCGGTGACATCTTCTCGCTCTAGTAATACTTGGCCGTATCACCGCCTTCATTGCATTTTCGGCGCCTTTGCTCAGTATGTCAGGTGTTACAGCGATCCTATCATCGCCTCAGTCGTCACCGAGGCGGCTTTTCGTCTCTCGATACAACTGCTAGGTAGAATTCCTAGGAAATACTATACGTGTATGTTGAGGCTCTGCGGGCTTTTGGAAGTGTGCCAATGTTCGAGTTTATCGACTTACGAAAGACTTCGGTATGGCCTCGGTTTGAGGCTCGTGTAGCTTGGAGCCATCGCGGCGATGGCTCGCCTCTATAAGGAGCGTCGAATCCCGGGCTTCATGAAGTTGAGATAGGATACAGAATCAGAGCGTGCTCGAACACTCAACACACCATTAGCCTCGACGAGCCATACTGGTCTCTAGCATATTTGAATCGCAACAACATAGTGTCTACGCTACTCCTACAATGTGAGACGATATCAGACGCTTTTAGAATCTTGACTAATGAGACTTGTAGGGGTGACCGCGAATTGAGTCCAGAGTCGGACGGTCCGGGATCCACACGCCCTGACGATGAGCTTCTCGAGACGAACGAGGAATTTGAGTGTTGCGGATGTAAAGAGACAGGCCACTTCCTGTACAATGCCGACGGTGAAAGCATGTCATGCAAAGAGTGCGGCCATAACAAATGTGACAACTGTGTGGAGACGTGAGCAGCAATATATCTTATTCGATATGGTCAAGATGGGTTGAGGGCCATTGGATAGCCCATGGGGAAGATAGGACTCGGTGGGAGACAGTCACTCGTTTATGAAACCATTGGATCCATGGGCTTCATCTATGTCTTTTTTTGTTTACTTGTTATTTCATTATGATTAAATTCCTCCCGGAATCTATCAGCAAAGTTCTGTCCGGTTGGATTAGAAGATAGGAGCTACACTCATTCATTAATAAACAAGACCTCGAGGTACTTCACTTTCCACCACAACGCGAGCGATTCGACCTAAAAATCTAAGAAATTTAAATAGTTTCATTACTCTAACCCTCGTAGATTGCTTCACCCTTACCCTGCGTCCTCAGGCGGCGTAGGGGTCTATCGGGCACCAGAGGTAGGTAGCCTTATTCTTCACTTTGCGGAAATATGAACCTAAATTCAAGTTTATTTGACTTTGACTATTTAAGAATGAGATGTCAATCAAGTACTCACATGGCAATGCTCATTCTATACACAGATACTATGAGATAGTTAGTTGGTCAAATTCACGCAAAGCCTTGCATCAACCGCTTAGGGGACAGCCAAGCTGAAAGTTAGTGTAGTGACAAGAGATAGCTGAAAAAAAGGGGGGAATCACCAGACGTATTCCACGCAACCACCACCTCAGTGCACCGTAACTATACCGGATACATATTTATTTAAACAATTAACAATCGACAGCCTTGTCGGTTTATAATACACGAGCCGAAATCGCTTTCTTTATCTAGATAGACACACCCATTCCCTAATTCTAATCTGTGCCCAGATGTCTCGATTAACAATATCATTAAGCGCACCTCCTGGTAAGCAATTCCCAATCAAAATAATGCTCGACCACTCGCCCACCAAGGTACCTACCTTAGGTACCTATGTAAGGTTAGGTTAGGCAGTCTATGAGCTTGAACCCGCCGAAGACCTTCCAACTCCAATTCCCAAAGAAAAAAAAGAAAAAGAAAAGGGGGTATCTGTTATGCGCCCATGTTTTTTTAAGCCCTGTTCCCTCTTGCGATCTCCCTCATCTCCAGTCCCAGGTCCTCCTTCATCGCGAGCTCGTCGAGGTTGTACCTAACTAGGATATCCCTCAGGACAGGGCCCAGGGGGTAGAAGCTCTCGTGGCCCTCATGATTAGCGCAGGGCGATCTTCGAAACGGTAAAATCCAGTCTATGATGTTGGTGCCCATAACGCTTTTCCAATTGCCCCATATCCCAATGTCCCAGGGATTTTCTCCCGGCTCCGTCCTGAGGATGGCGAAAGTGCGAGTTGCCAATTCGTCGCGGGCCGACGGCCTAATCTGCACAGGCGAGCTTCCGCTCTCATTGGCTCTTGTCCGGGCGGCCCCGTTCGACCAGCCGTTCGCGTCCTCGTCTCCTCTCGGAAGCGGATACGTGACTATAGTAAACCTATCCGTGGGCATGGTACCACGGGGCACGCGGACGGCTAATTGGTAGACCTTGGACTGGTAACCGATCATATCAACATTTGTCATGTTGTAAAAGATGTAGCGCAACGACGTTACGGACATTAGAAAAGTAAAAAGACCAAAGAAAGCAGCCAGTACTATGGTAGGTATGAAGTGGGGGTCCAATGGAGATCCTTCACTGATTTCTTTGCGAAGACTTGAAGCTGTGGCACCTAGAACGAGACCGCAGTAGCAAGCAGTATACGTAGTAAACTGGACAAAAAACTTGAAGGCTACGGGTTATCAGCAAACATGGAGTACCTTTGATGGGGAGGACACATATTATAAAGCTCACAGTTCTCTCCTATCATGCCGCCAACCCAGGGGCAGTAATGGTCCATGCGGTAAACACAGCGATCAATTTCGCTGCTATGATGAACTCGATCTGCTTTCCAAGTGGAACATTCCGAGCACCACTTCGGGCGACCATCATTCTCGCACACGAAAACATCCTTTGTATAAAATTCCTCTAAGCCCGGACTATCTGGGTTCATATCGGGGCCGGCATAGTAAGGTAAGCTCTCGAGATCGGGTTCCTGGCGCCTTCTTCTTCGCCTGTCTCTAGCAGCCTTCTTTCGTTCTACTGCGCCCGGCCCATACGGTACGACTCCCGGATCGATTAAAACGGTCAGTATAGTCCTGAAGTATGTGCCGACCATCAATAAGAGGAGAATGAAGTAAAGTATTAGGATGACAATAGCTGTCCCGACCTCGCCTCGTTTGCCGATAAGGTAGCTGGCTGGATATCAATAACCTCGAGTCAGTAAATATTCTAATCGGGTTCGGGTTTGATAGTGGTTTCTTGCATGATATCATCTACGATTCTACCTACCTAGGTTAGGTTAGGTAGGTTAGGTAGGTACTCACAACAGACCCGACCGACCACAGCATAAGTAGCATAGCTGACGGCTGCGACGAGGAAGACAGGAATTATACGGGTAATCCAGCGCGTGACGGCTCGAGTGCTTTCGATAAGATGCATTTCCTACACATCCTGAAGACAACTCTCTGTCTCGAATGGTAAAGATTTAGGCGAAAAGCGTTCGTCGGGTTCCCGACGACACGCGAACGAGAGAAAGAGAGAGAAAGCTTGTCGTCGTAGGTTCGTTATTCGTCGGGGGGAAAGTTGGATCAAGATTGCATTCGGATCTAAACGGGGTTTGTGCTTAGATTGAAGCATATGCAAGATTAAAATGACCCCCACTACCTAAAGAGGGTTAATAACAAGGATTTGCGACGGGTCATTGGAACTTACTTACATATACCTAAGCTAAATTACAGTGGGGACAAGTTAAGCAATACCTTAGCACTTGGACTAAGTGGATTCTTATCGATTACACTACGTACATATCCCTTTTCTCTCGAACTAGAGGCGCCAAAATCCCCATCTTCATCCATTATGACAGACCAAAACCGGTCAGAGATTATCAGTAATAATCCTATTGATACAAATCTTAATTCCTTCCGCCTTTCGTTTGACTCAACATGTAGAGAGAAAGGCCTCGCGTGCTCACCGGACGCGCTAGGTCAGCTTGACCAAGAAGGTATGGTAAGCCAGCTTCGTTACAGCGCTTCTCTGACTTTTGTGTGCAGATCTTCAAAACCTCGCCTTCAAGCTTCTTTCGGCACTGCAGACCCTACCGGCTGCTCGTCTGCTCCGTTCTGGCAGCGGAAAACCCTTGTTCAGCGAACTCTTAAGGCTTTATACAGCGGTCGGCTCCGATGACTTCGACTACGATCTTGTCAAACCTCTTTTCGCAGCAGTTATCGCCAAGAAGCCTGACGAGGAGATTTGGACCCGTGTATATCACGCTGTCACCGAATCTACCCCGCCTCCCCGACCGATAGCCTCTTCTCTCCAACAGACCCCATGGCCTCGCAATACGGGCAGTTTTGTCAACTCCTCCGAACACCGAAAATATGTAGACGACGTGCTAAAAGAGGAGCTCGGTACTCTATATGTCGGGCTCCGCCACTTTCACGATAAATACTTTGGAGGTGTGACCGGCCTTACGACAGCATCTCAAGCGGTTTTCGATAAGTGTAAAGAAGGCAGCAATCCATTGTTTGGCCAGGGTGGGTGGAGCGGGTGGCCGCAGGATGCGAACCAGGACGGCGTCCTAAGCTGGTTTACTACAATAAGCGACAGGCTAGCAACACTTGCAGAAGAATACAGCCCTACTCTAATACGCCGAAGACTATTGGTACAGCCTAATCAGCCGATCCAAGGTTCTACAGCAGAGCGAAAGATAGATGTTGGCTTTGTAAGTAGCAGCGAGGTCATACGTCGCGGGAAGTGTCATTGGTCACAGATGCTTATACCTGGAGAGCTAAAAAGTAACCCATCAGCCGATACCGCCTCAAAAACATGGCTTGATATTGGGAGATATGTAAGAGAAGTGCTTTTTGCCCAAGATACCCGTCGGTTTGTTATTGCTTTTACTCTTTGTGGATCTTTTATGAGAATATGGGTATTTGATCGCTTGGGAGGGATCGCGTCCGACCGGTTTAATATAAACGAAAATGGACTCCGCTTTGTATCAACTATGCTCGGCTTTTTTTGGATGAGCGAAGAGCAGCTCGGGTTTGACCCTACTATCATTACATCAAATGGTAAACGCTATATCGAAATCGACCGCAACGGACGTCGGGAACACCTAGTTATCGATGCAGTAATGAGGCGTACACCTTGTATCGCCGGCCGTGCAACGACTTGCTGAAAGGCTTATAGCGAAGATAACACCCAAAGATACCGCTTGTTATCAAGGACTCGTGGCAGTATACAGAGCGCGGAGAAGAAGGCGAGCTACTTAGGGAGGCGACTAACAAAGAGGTAATCAATATAGCACGATATTATCACCATTATACCGTTCAGGTACGCGGAACCGACGATGACATACAAAGCAACGTCCGGAAGGGGCTAGATATTACCACGGCAGATAATTACCGCCCACCACGCTCGGCAATCTCACGCGTAAGCACAGCCACGGTAGGCTCGCGGGAAGGCCGCAGTACTACGCCCAGTCAAAAGCGATCTGCTAGCCAGACGGACGCATCTCTGCCGCCGAGCAAGCGATCCTGTTCGGTATCTCCAACCAAAATAGACAGGACTGCATTGCCGAATCGGATACATCGGCGGCTGATTATTCAAGACTATGGAAAACCCATATATGAGGCAAGCTCCCGCGCAGCGCTCCTCGAGGCGCTAGAGGGTTGTATTATAGGGCACGAATCGTTACACGGAGCCGGTATTCTCCACCGAGATATCTCCATCAACAACCTCATGATTAACGAGGACGCTAACAACCCCTCTCGGCGCTCCTTTTTAATCGATCTGGACCTTGCTATTAAAGAGCAACGAGAAGGCGCCTCGGGAGCGAAGGGCAAAACGGGTACGAGGGCTTTCATGGCTATCGGGACGCTTCGAGGCGAGCAGCACTCCTTTGTGCACGATCTCGAGTCCTTTTTCTGGGTGTTATTCTGGATATGCATACATTACGACGGGCCGGGGAAGCATAAGGTGGTTCCCAAGTTTGACAAGTGGAATTATGTGGACATGGATGAATTAGAGACATTGAAAGTAGGTACCGTGTTGAGAGAGGAGTTTTTTAAGGATACATTCACTCAATACTTTACCCCTTACTATGCGCCTTTGATCCCTTGGGTCAATAGGTTGCGGAAAGTTGTATTTGGTAATAATGCGCAAGGGGCAGATCTGGCGTTGTATTCCCAAATGCGGGAGATCCTTTGTTATGGTAGAAAATGCGGTATGACATACTCCTAAAGTCGGGCTCTTGTGGTCCCCTACACGGGGGGGCCCTCGGTTTTATTATACTTTCTCATCTTTTCGAGCCTCGCAAACTTTTGCTAAGAGAAATTAGTAAACCACCACCATATATGGTTTAAATCATATATAGTCCGTGCCCTAAAGTTGACTATTTCTTAAAAAATGCGGTAGCCATTATATAAGGTAAATACCAATATATCTTTCCATTTTCATCTTCCTTAAGTAGGTAAGTACCTAATTGGTTAAATCATTTTCCATCTAAAATTAAGTACCAATATATTTACTTACCTACTTCTACTCCACTTTTAGTTTTCCCAATTCGTTAAGCAAGAATTTCCTATCTTAATAATCTTTCTTACCACACTCCAACACAACATAATCAAACGAAAATTAGTTTTCATTTACTAATTAACATAAGGGGGTACCAACAACAACTATTTAACCTAGGAACATGTTCGATGAGGTTATTCGGATACTCGAGTTTTAGGACCCTATTGAAAATAAAGCTCTTCTCTTGTCTAGACTTTCCAATGCATTTTGACAGCCTAATCGATTTTTGAAGCCATCCGCGCTTTATGTACTAATATACCTCTCTTTCTTTACCTTAGGTCGGAGGTACGCATAGTGATTCTTCATTTACAAGCCCCTTTTCATAGTAAAGCTAGTACGTTACTAACCACCAGTGCGATAGTCAAGGCTAACCCAGACGTGGGCACCACCCGGAGCCCGGCTGCTGTGCTGTGTTTCGATTCGATATAGCTCTTGTTCATAGCTTTGAGCAGGATATCCTGAGTCACTTGCCCACTTTGGGCAATCCTGTGCAGTTCGTCTGTAAATGTTGCCAAAATGGTGGTGCTTCGCCCTGCTGGACAGAACACGATTTCCCATCCACCTCCGCTGGGGATGATAAACGTGGAGGTCTGATCGTCAAACGCGTAACTATATGCGTCAGGGCACATAGCCTTAGCATTATACGAATACTGGCTAGGCTCGCAGATCCACGGGTCGTCATATTCGCCGGTGCAGCAATCCTCGGGATCATTATTAGCGGCGCAGGCACTCTTGCACGGGTCGAAAACGGGCCGATGTAGCGTGTCGTCTGGATATGGATATACACCATCCCCGGGCTTCTCTGGAAGAAAGGCTTGGAGATCCCAAGGGCACCAATTGCTTAAATCCGCGTTGGATTGTATATCCTCGTATGGCATAGGATAGGTTGAGTTGGTGTAAGCGAGCCCAGTCTGACTGTGAGCGGCGAGATATCCGGATGTTCCAATGCACGAAGGACTGACTAGATTTGGCGGAATATATGTGGTGTTGCCTGCCGGATGGTAGACTATTGCTAGTGGCAGATTATAACCATCGACAAGTGAAATGTCGTAAAACGTCTGTCTGCCAGTCGCGCCACCAGCAAGATTAAACTCGGCAAGAGTAACAGGAACAGCACCCTATGCTACGGTCAGTGGGCCATATTGTACCTAGGTAGTTATTTATATTGGCTTTAACTTACCCCGTACTCGCAGTCTAGTTTGCCAAAGCAATCACCAGTCTTACACGTCGCCGTGTCACCACTAGTGGTACAATTTGTACGGCCCCATACCCTACCCTGCCATGTTGGACCGACTGTTTGGTTTCTCGACTCGCCGGGTCCGAGTTCGAATCCGTGAGAATCAGGCGGGTCACCATGCTGAGTTCCAATTCCGGGCCATATTGTTTCTCCACAGTTGTTGGTAATGATCAAGGGGATTGCATTTTCATGTTTGGTTAAAGGACGGCTTGTGCCTTGGAATTGCCTGTTCGGGCCCAAATAGTCGAAGGCGTATAACTTATGGTTGCTTGGATACACAACTGCTCTTGCTAGTGGAGGCTGTGATGCTAGAACGAGAGTAGTGGTAAGCAACAGCCTCGCCCTTATATACCTTCGTCGGCGTTCGTGCTTTCGGGACCGCCTAAACATTGTATTGAACTGCTGGGTTTCCTCACAGCCTGTCATCTGTGGCTAAATAACTGTAATTATCCTTCTATATGGGGTAGACAGCCAAGAGTGTACGCTGGTGGTATAGTAGCAAAGTATCTAGGTAGTTCATTATCCGATTAAGTCGGCCAAGGAAACTGGAAGCCTTCTTTTTCGCTAGCTAATCACACACAACACGGTGAGCATAAGGACTGATAGAGTCCCTTGGAGTCGGGTTTGAATGATAACAATCTTGTCCTGACTCTTTCTGATACAGGACCTTGGATTCTGCAGCCAGTGGCGCACGACGTCAGACTGGGAACAGATGATAAATGATAGCAAACAAGGTGGCGGATCGGCGTGGTCGATCGGGCAGGCTCTGCGAATATCCCTATCCTTATATCAAGACTTGATAGCCAAAATGCTAGATGATAAACAAGAGTAGGGTCCGCGGAGGCCAGAAATAGGTATATCGGAAGATGAGAAGCACGCAGGAATTGATAATGATGAATTATCCTAGAATGGATGCAAACGAAAGTAGGTAGGTATGAAATGGAGAGACGCCTTCAGGGAGGTCCTAGTGATATAGAATGAAACCATGCTAAACAACAAGTCTTTTATTTCAGAAGATGAGAGGTAAAAAAGAAATATAAAAGGTCCAATGGAGTTGCCATCGAATTTTGCTTGGCGCGTTGACGTTGAAGGAACAAGCGATGACGCAGTTGCAGCTGATTGACCAAGATTTGTGCCATCTTTCAGGGGTATCTCCCCCCAACCCCCCCTCCCTCTCTCCTTGTCCTACCTCCCTCCCCATGATTTAGTACTTCGAAGTACTTTTTTATATTCAGTCACTGCTTCATGTAACCTTAGCTACCTCCTTTGCGAATGGAGAAAAGTTAGCCTACATATCACGAGAACATTCGGATAGCATTGCAACCGTGTCAATACTTGATACTTCGCACTAGAATAGGTAGAATTCAACGTAGCCGCGGTGTTTGTGTTTGACTTTTATATTATCTGCATACGGTAATCAGAAGCATAGGAAGATCTCTTGCTCGTGCAACCATCCATCTGCGTATCGTCATCAACTATTCAAATAACCACCCGCGCGTCGCTGGTTCAAATTTCTAGAACAAGAATTTTTCCTATGTGATGGTAGCTCGTAAAGAGAAGAGATCTTTCCCTCCTTTCCATATCGCTAGATCACCTATTAGTCCAAGTACGTTGTTGCTCTTTTCTTTATGAGGTATCATGTGAAAGCCATTAAAAAGCAACGCAGTAGGCAAAGACGTTAATAAATAAAATGGTCCTCAACCGCAAAGTCTGCCTCATCCACCCCTCTCCGCTCTTCTACCTGAACCTAGATCTGCAGCGGCCCATAACCTCTCCTTGGCAGACTAGTTCAGCGCTGAATTCGGAGCCGTCGAGCGTAAGATAGATGTCGAAATAAACTCGGTAGAATGTGCCCTGTGGCGTATCCATACGCTCGAAGTCTTTCTCGAGATTCTTGCGCGACAGATCGGATGTGAGAGTAACAACCTCCTTTATACCTATAAAAATGTGAGTCGCAATTACAACGGATCGCGAAAAAAAAAAAAGTAGATAACTTACGAGGATCCTTAGTGTACTCGGGACAGACATCATCGTCACAAGCGTACAGGATATCTTCGTACATTAGAGTAGCACCCGGCGCCACTTGACGGAAAAATGATACCTTGACCGGTTCGCCAATCTTGACTTTTTGGCCCTTTTGCACAAAAATCTGTCGAGTGAACTTGCATCTGTCCTTGCCGTCCAGGGAGGGCACACGATAGGCCTCAGGATGGTAGCCCTCCTTGAAGGGTTGTAGAGTTGCCATAAGGTAATGACGACGAGCTACACGGTGCGTAATGACTCGCTCGGTAATACCTGCGGTGACAGCTCCCTTAACAATGGCCGCGACGGAATCCATAGGTCGTACAACCTTAGATTGGAACTGAGGGGGGACGTGGAGCTTAATCTGCTGGAAGAGGTATTCGGAAGCACCAAATCCACCAACGACCAAAATGTTCTGCAGTGTCCTATTTTGAGCTTGGATGGCAATGATCTGGTTTCGTACGAGTTCCAAAATCCGGTTTACGACGGGTTCGAAGCACTGCAGGATTTCCTCGTTGGTAAAAGTCATGTAACCTTCTTCGATGCCGGCCTCGGGGAATTCAGCCTCAATACCAACATCAACCGCCCACTTCTGGCCGTTATTCCTGAAATCTGCCTTGATCCTATTTTCAAAGTCCATGATACATTTGGCGTACACACGGCCGGCCGTCTTGGACCCGTCCGGAAGCTTCATCTTCCTGATCTTTGTTCGTAGGATGTTGCTAAAATTTCTGTTAAGGGCAGTCGAACCACAAGAGTCACCAGAACCCGCCGTGCATTCCGCGACTGTGAATGGATTCTCATCCTCGACTTCATAAGCAATCAAATCGACAGTACCACCACCGCAGTCGACAATTAAAATAGCATCGTGGACCTTCAAATTAAGCAAACCAGTCTTAGCACAGAAAAGCGAGGCGGCCTCGGGCTCGCTAACGAGTGTCAACCTGTTGTCGTTCTCGTCTCTCAGGAAACCGGCCTGGATGGCGGCAGCTCGTGTGGCAGCCTTGCCAGCGTCATTCCAAATAGCCGGCACAGTCAGATAGTAGCGAATGTTCCGTTCCTCTCGGTTGAACACCTCACCCAACGTCTTCTGCAGTGCCGTGCGCATGGCTTGCCGTAGCTTAAACAGGTAGTCTGCAGCTACATCGATTTCCGATTTTCCAGGAGGTAGTGGCGGAAGGTTAATGGGATCAATGTAAGTGTTACCCGATAGCATAAGCTGGAGCTTGAACCACTCGACCTTTTGAACGCCAGGCTTCGGGTATCCTGTAGGCGCTAAGGCATCGGCGATATCTGGGCCCCATCCAACAACCTTTTGATACTGATCGTAGTATAGAACAGTGGGTATCTTGCCTCAGTTAGCAAGCTTTGATCATATGGTTGCTCATTCACTTGCACGCCTTACCTTCTGCTTTGTGTATGATCCGGCACCAGGCCATTCTGTAATAATATCCTCCTTCGCCTCGTTGTTTGTCGCAAACGCAAACGCAACACCAGAGAACGTTGTACCCTACATCCTCACATGATTAGTTTAATAGCATCGACGCAAACGAGCAAGAGAAGCCCCAAAGGAATCAGCAGGGTGAACATACGAAATCAATTCCGACAATTAATTGTGCCTTGCTTCGGCTGTTCCCTTCAACTTCAGCAGCTGGCCTGCCGTAGGACTGCATAGCGTTGGTCGGTTGAGGAGCGGGAGCAGGTGGCGGGTAGCCAGCGTATCCAGGAGGACCACCAGCAACTCCCGGAGGAGGTTGCGAGCCAGGAACATGCATTTGGGGGGGATATCCGGCGACAGGAGCACCGGTGTTAATAGGAGGGGGGCCGCCAACCATTTGCGACGGCGGTGTACGAGCTGGTCCCGTTGTTAAAGGGCTTGTGCGGCCAACAGGTGCTTGAGGTTGGAAATTTGCAGTGTAGCTAGGTGGACGTGGTCCAGCGCCGGGATGGTTCATTATCGGGAGGCTCGTCTGGGAGGACGAAGCTATTATAGAGGGGGCGGCGGGACCAGGATAAGGATGGGGTTGGGCCTGTGCCTGTGGGAACTGCTGCGTTATTTGCGGTGGAGGGGTTGAGGTCGGGGTCGAGGTCGCAGGCCTTTGTGGTTCAGGTGTGGTTGAGGGGATACTGGCGGCGGATTTCCGTTTACCTAATCCTAGGCCTCTAAAACGAGAATTCAAGTTGTTCAATGAATTCATAAGGAATTAGAAAAACGAAAGGAAGAGAAGAAGAAAAGAAAAAAAAAGAAGGAAGGGAAAGAGAAAAAAAAAGAGGGTAGATCAAAGAAGGGTGGGAAGGACTTTGTCGAAGGTGTGATCCGATTGATGTGGGATCACACACTGGGCTTCTAGGCTAGGTTGTGATAAGGCGGGCTGAGCTGAGCCAAGACGAAGATGCTGACAGCAAGAGAAAGTGCGTCGGGGGTCGTTTCCATACGATAGTACTACCTTAGGTAGAGATGTAGGGAATGCGGCGTTTAGAAGAGGGGCTGTTACTGCCACTGCCGCTGTTGCTTGCTTGCCGGTTGCTGCTTCTGCTTGCTTGCTTGCTTGCTCTGGTGCTGGTGCTGATGCTGATACTAGGTTGCTCCTACTTCGTTCTCTCTGCCTTACGTTGCTTCGCCGTGCTTGTCCAACCTGGAACCGTAATAGTAAAATAATCCCTTGTTCCCTTGTTCCCCGTTCTGTCCCTTTTGGTTTAACCTGGATTAAGCTAGGATGATGTGTATACCTAGGTATGTGGTTGTGCGCAGCTCCTTAAACCTAGGACTTAGATTAATAAAGAGAGGCGGGCAAGGCGGGATAGGGATAGGCCTGAATGGGGCCACTGGGTAAGAAAATAGTAGAAAAATAGTAGCCGGTGGGAACACTATTAACGCGGAGGATCAACTAGATTAATCAGATCAATTAAATAAAAACTTGAGTGATGCGGCCCTGTTCCTTGTTTGTTTCTCTTCTTTTCTTTCTTTGTTTCTTTTTTTTTTTTTCCTGTTCGTAATTCCACTGTGGCTGATGAGAGCTGACAAGCAAGCGCTAGGTTGGGCTGGCAGGTAGGTATATGTGGGTTGCAGTTAGCGGTTAAGGTACCTTTCTTTTGGGGGTTGAAGAAAATTCAGGACATAATAAGGCTGAGTCGAATTTCTCTTAACTACCTGCAAAGGAGTCGAGGAAGGAGTCCTAGATTTGAGGAAGGAGGGGAACCTGTAGGCGGTAGGCCGTAAGCAAGGTGGGTAGGAGAAATGAGACGATGCAACAATACGATAATGACATTGGTGGACAATGCGACGGGTGGGGCAATTCACTTACACTGCCAGAACAGGTGCTAGACTACCAAACAGTATTGTACCTTAGGTTAGGTAGACTTGCCTTCGACGCCGCTTCGCAAATGCTAGACTTTTGAAGATTGTGGCAATGCTACCCAATCGTTTGTAGACTCTCGGAAAATATTTATTTTATCTTGACATTCCCAGGCTTCTTTTCTTAACTGATGAGCACAAACCAATATCTTTTTTTTATAAAAAAGGAAAAAAAAAAAAAAGAAAGAAAGAAGAGGGACCTACGAAATACTTACAGAACATGATATAACTAATACCTTGTAGGCAGAGTCGACGTGGCTACACTGATTCCCCATAATTCATTACTCTTAAGTTCGCATAAAATGTGAAATATGAAATGTCAGGCGAGTAAGCGCTTCGCTACCTGTGGTTGGTCGATAGTGCCTACTCGAAGAGGCATACCCGCGCGTTAAAGGGGTGGGAAGGGGTATGTAAGATATGTATTTGATATTGCCGTTGTGGCAACTCTTCCGGCCACGTGAATCTTTCTAAGGGAAGACGAAGATGAAGGGGGAAACTAATAAGAATAGATGGCGAATATTTTACGCAATCGCTAATGGCGATAGTGACATCTATGTATATGATGATAATATATACGATGATAAGGTTATATAGTTGTTGGTGACCTAACATACGGAGGAATGAATAGTTTGATGATGCTTTAACATCTGATTGTATGAGTTCAGATAAACATTGCCTCGAAGAGTTGTTCACGCCGCTTGCATTATATCAGAATTGCAGTAGTTCGATTCAAGTCGTTTAATAGCAAGCAACGTTGTAAGAGCTACTATAGGGCTTTATGCGCTCCAAGTTTGATAAAGTTCGATAAGCCAAGTTCGGATGGATGTTGTTTGAAGTTTAATAAGATTTGATGAGAATTTGATGAGAGGTACCTAACCTAACCTAAGGGTAGTTCAATATTCTCTTGCAGGATCCTCCAAAACGTCTTCTGTATGTACGTGGTTACGTGGTCCTTTGCTTGCTTTATGCGGCCTAAATCAAAGGCACCCCTCGTTCTAGTTGCGGTGTTTCCGATTCCTTTGTTTTTGCGACGGCCGCGTGAGCTTGAAAAAGAAGCTGAGGAAAAGATCAGGTATAGATATGCACAAGTAGATGCGTCCATGTCGTTATCGCTAAGTTAGGTGTACCTACTTCATGGTAGACACATACCTCTATGTACAATCTGGTTGGTTCGGATCGCGAGCTACACGCAATGCGCATGTACTATCTAGGTACCTAAGGTATGTAGATATTTTCTCCAAAACTGCGCCGCCGATTCAATATTTCAGGGATCATATTAGTCTTGATAATATTTCTTGAACAACAATGATACTTGCATTTATATAGAATAAATGCTATAAAAATAAGTACTGATTGTTAAGGATTAAGCATTAGGTACCTCTCATGTTTCATAATTGGTGCCTGACCTGACCACGTTTTCTAACGCTAACCCTCTAGCCCCGCCATCAAGTAGCTAGTATTTCCTTCTCGTCCCAGCTCATCCCCGCTCTTAGCTTGGGGTTTTAGCATCTAGAGAGGGGGAGAGAGAGGCTTGGCTAAACTCAGCCTCATGTATGTCCATAATATAGTCATTGATGTTAGTAGCTACATCAGCCACATCTTTTTATATGAGAGTATCCATTTACATATGTCCAAAAACTGGGTCGAAAAGTCGGGGGCTATTTGCCTATCGTGAATCGTACAGATACCTGTTCCTGTACCTACAATACGTAATCCCGTCCGCATTGACGAACGTGCTCACTATATATTTGGCATCTCGACTTACCCAGGTGCTCGAAGGATTCAACCACTTACATGCATTATTGTTTCACAATCTCACCCAGATGCTACCTAAAAAGTTGGCTTGAGAGGCAGAGAGGGAAAGTCGTTAGCTTCTGCTTCTTTGCTCTTTACAGTATCATCCGTTCATATCCTTCATAATAGTATGCCTATATTGCTCACGTCACTCTGTCAGCTTCTCATCCCAGGAGAGAGCTCCCCCTTTTTCCTCTTTTTTTCATTGCGTACCTTGCATAACGTTGTATTTAGTCGTACCAATCTAAAGGATGTCGGTTGGTTACCTACTCGGTTTTCCAGAAATAAAAAGTTTGACTTACTACTAAGAGGAAGGGCAAGCAGTGTATCTGAAGGATGGCTATTCTGGTGGTTTAATCCTTACATACATAGTAGTATGTGCTACCTACGGAAGCTCGGATACTCCTAACGTCAACCCCCATCTAGACCGCCTTGGAACCACGTTGGGGGCCGAGACGCTCATGGTTGTTCCCATGTAATTGGATGGCTCGACGTTCCACGTGCGTTCGGAATCAACCCGATGAGCCTACATGGTAACCTAGTAGGTTGATTTACATGGCCTACAATTTGTTAGGTACTTAGGTTAAATATTCGTCAACTTAACAAATAGCCTACGAAACCAATTGAGGGACCCGTCTGGTCTTTTCTTTGGTTCAGCCAAGAAGATGGACATATCCTACCTGTAGGAGCCGTCTTTTATACGGTATTGTTGCTATATAAATCTGACTCTTGCAGAGACACAGGACCGATGATCTATGGCCAATTACCAGCGTTTACAGGAATATACCAATAACGACAACAACCGGTGACCCAGTTACTAGCTTTAGGTATCGTCTTTAGATATCTTTTCGGGGCCGAGGTAGATAAAGACCCAACTTCCTACTTCGAGTGCTCATACCGGTTCTGTCTTCCTGGAGTCTTGTACCATTAGTATTGCTTTGCGTGTTATCATCCATACGCCTGGGCAGGAGAACGGGCTTCCAATTACGGCCATGCCAATCCTGAATGGCATGCAGGATCCCAGGGCTTGAAGCTAACGGCCCATTACAATCCGAACCGGACGGGGGCAAACGCCGGATACCAAGACGGGAGGTGTTACCAGTCTAGGATACCTTGCAGGGACTTCAAAATTCAAGAGTAGCGGGGAGACCGCCAGATATTTAAGCCCTCGTCTACATTTCTCCCAAATCACTCTCGGTAGACCCGGGATGGCCGAGGTGACATTACTACCCTCCCCATACTCCGCGCGCCGTCCACGGGCATTCGGTCTTGGGTGGTAGTTTCTTCGCCGTAAGAGGAAAGCAATAACACCCTGGGGTCTGCTGGCTGTAACAGGTACAGTGGGTTACCAAAAGTCTTTGTGCACTGGGCCATTTTACACCAAAACTCAACATTTTCAACAAACGATTAAAATTCAAAATAAAATTGTAAAAATATTTTATTTTATGTAATATTAAGGTAAATTATTACATTATGTATTATCTTTCAAAAAAGTTTTAAAATATCTTTTATTTGTAATAATATTTGCAAAAATATTAAAGGTACTAATAAATATAAAAGGTTAAATATACTATGTTATATAAAATAATAAAAAAAAGTATATAAACCTTTTAACTCTTTTCTTTTTTCTTTTTTAAACTTACCCCAAACACTCATTTTTAATATTATTTAAAAACAAAAAATACTGATAGTTTATTTAATCAAAATATTATTTGTTAATAAAATTATATTTATTTTTACTATTTATTTTGAATATTTAATCATTTGTTGAAAATGTTGAGTTTTGGTGTAAAATGGCCCAGTGCACACAGACTTTTGGTAACCCACTGTACCTAGGAAAAGAAAAGGAGATTGATTAGGTAATTTGGTATAACTATTAGGGTTATGGAATATATTAAGCCATTCTTCTTAGGCAAATTGAATATTAGGAGGCCTTTTAGTTTATGATTTCCATTCTAGCCTCGACACGAAGCATTTGTCCTTCGTATACATAACCCAATCAAAAGTTAACCAACATCAAAAATTCCAATTTACTGTTCCCTTGTTTTATAGCAGGTCGTAGTGAAGCCTTTTGAGTAGGTACACTCATATGAGAGAATGTAAATCTGCACATAAATAATATTGATAGCAGTGAAGACATCAAGTTAGGTAAGCTAGATCAGATAGCACAATGTAGGCAAAGAAACACCATTGATAAAGCGAATAGAATATCTAAAGGGCTTATGCCCTTCACCCACTGGGCCCCCTGTTCTACAGATATCTGAGATGCTATTACAACAAGATAATTATTTAAATAGTCTCGATCTCGATCTTTTATACACAATATAGTCACCAGAGCCCTGCGTCCTTTTCAGTTAGAAGTGTTATGAAGAACAAAGGCACGAATCGTACTCTAACTCCCTTTATCGAAACATAACGCCACTATATCCACATAGCATTCAAGTACATGAACAAGATGATTGTTGTGTGACTATTTGCTGTCAAGTTATAGTTCCTATATAGTATATCTATCATGGCATCTCCATGCAAATTTATAGGGATCTATGAAAATTCGACGATATCGTCTCTTCTCGTGACATAAAAAGAAACAAGCAAAACCGTAAAGACGGACTGATTTCTCTGCTCTAGAACAGAGCAGGAAAGAATCATACAACCCTCGTATACGAGGTAGGTACTAGACGATCTAAGTCACAATTTCCAAGTAGAAGAAGTAAACCTTACTGCACACATACGTATCAAACAATGGGTGACGAAACCTACAACTGGGACGCTCAGCTCCTCAGCGTGGACTGGCGGAACGTCGACTGGCGGATGGAGGTCCACAACTTCCAGCGCGTGCCCTGGCCGGAGGTGCAGACCACCACCCTGCAGAGGCTCGTCGAGATGCACAACGAGTACGACCAGAACCACCGGCCCTCGAGCTCCTGGCCCATCAACACCCCGGCGTCGGACGAGCTGCGCCGCAGAGAAAACCTGGAGATGCACAACCAGGGCACCGAGAGCCAGTCCGTCGCCGACTGGCTTTTCGAAGGCTCCGACATGGACATGGACACGGCCGTTTCCCCCGGCCGAGAGCCCCCCGCGATCTCCGCCGCACCGTACGGCGGCGCCTTCTTTTTCCCGAAGAGCTCCCCGGACGAGCCGCCAAAGAGGCTGGAGCCGATCAAGACGCCGGTTAACACGGTCGACCAGCACGGCCAGAGGAAGCTCCCGGGCCTGATCTACAAGGACGACCCGGACGGCTTCTGGACGGTGGGCTTCGAGCTCGAGCTGCCCATCGCCGTGTACCGGCGGGGCGGGCTCCCGGCGGAGCGCCCGCACCCGCGGGACACGCGGTGGGAGGCGGAGGAGATCGTGAGCGACGACCTGGACCCGAAGCGGATCAAGCAGATCGTCGTGGACCGGTTCATCGAAGTGTTCAGCACGCAGACGGACATGGTGTTCGTGCCGCGCGACGAGGACGAGGGGAACGCGCTGCACGACCTGCGCATGGAGAACCTGCACCGCCTCGAGTACGGCATGCCCATGGTCCAGGACATCGAGATGAACGGCAGCCCGCTGGGCGCCGACGAAATCAAGCCCGTCCACCCCATCGCTGAGAAGGCCGCCGTCGAGGCCCGCGACTTCCTCCTCCTCTCGTACTACAACAACGCGTCGCCCCCCCAGAACCTCCTGCTCGCGACCCGCCTGAACATCCTGGACGCCGTGCAGCGCTCCCCGATGCCGGGCATACCGTCCAACCCGCTGAGGAGGGAGGCCGAGAGACGCCTCGAGGACCTGCTGCATCTGGAGGCGTATCGGCTGCGGCGGGACAAGCGCCACGTACCTCTGGCCGGCATGAAGCCGCGATATAGGGCCTTCTCGGTGTACACGACCGATGTCGTCAACATGGACCTCGTAGAGGGCAGCCATTACCGGGAGGTGCCTACCGGCACCGAAAACCCCAGCGAGCTGTACGGCTGGCAGACGGTGAAGATCGCGTCGCCGGTGATGCGGCTGACGTGGCCGCCCACGGAGCTCGGGGACACCATCCGGGAAATCTGCCGGGTGGTGCGAAACAACTTCCGCGTGCACCTGGAGACGCCGGCGATCGCGGCGACGACGCAGGTGTCCATCTCGCACACGAGCGGGCTCAACGTCATCGACCTGAAGAAGCTGGCGTCGCTCCTGGGCGCGGACGCGGTGCACAAGGACCTGCGGCGGTTCAACCGGTGGTACCGGCACCTGGCGGCGTACGACAACGTGTGCGGGCCGATCCGCATGGTGTCGAAGCTGGGCAAGCTGGCGCAGACGAACCACGACATCGACGGCTTCGACAGCAGCGACATCGTCCAGCGGCACGGGCCCCTGCGCACGGAGCACCTGAACAGGGTGGCCGAGTCGTACCTACCCGTCAACCTGATGCTCCAGCACGAGAACTTCGCCGGCCGCGTCTTCCACCAGGTCATGTGGCAGTACACGAGCGTGGACGGCATCGCGAATGCGCTGGGCACGGGGCACACCACGCGCAAGGGGGAGGTGGTCATCAAGTGCCGGGGCCCGGGCGAGGTAGTAAGCCGGGCTCCCCCGGACCCGGAAGACGAGTTCAGACGCAGCGAGCGGGGGGAGTACGTCGACTTCTACGAAGTCGACAAGGACCGAGGCGTGGTCGAATTCCGGCAGATGGGATTAAGCCTCGATCCACGGCACATCACGGCGTGGATCCTCGTGTGCTGGCGAATAATGGAGTTTGTAAGAACTTCGCAGCCGCCGCAATACCGATTCGCCTTGGAACAGGTCATAAGGGACAAAGTATCGGTCCTAAAAGCTATCAGTCTGGACCCCGAAGTCCGCCAGTACATAAATGAGTTAATCAGCCATCCGGGACAAGGCTTGCACTCGGACAACCGTATCATTGACTGGAGGGACCCTTTCTTCCCACGACTTCCGTAGTAACCCAGTAGCAACGTAAATAAATGCTAGGTAACGTATAGTTCCTTTCCTCGGTATGGAGTGTAGTCCAGCAATAGATACCCAATCTCTTTAGATATGACCTTGGATGAATTCCTTGATAATGTAATATATGATATTTTATGTCCCTAAAGTAGAAATGTCAAACGACAGTGGAACATCGTCCCTTTTGCATACTTTCGCCCCCAGCAATATGTACTACATTACGGAATTAGCCAGTTCAAAAATAAAATCTTTTAGTGACATCTCCTTTCACTCCGGTCCCAGTTCGTGCCCGGTGCTTACACCAGGGATACTATCAATCTTCTTAGGTACCGAAGTCTAGTGGGAATATATACACGAGTTGGGTGATATACATCATTTACCCATAGGATAGCGTCCCTATCGCTTCTTGCCGCGGTTTGCGTTACCACCCTTATTTCCACCTTTCCCCTTGGCATCTCCTCCGCTCCCGCCAGCACCTCCGCTAAGCATGACCCTCACTTTCCCAACAGGCACAATATTTACAACCTCTTCAGGTTTGAGAGCCTTGAAGAGCTCTACCTCCCGGGGCCACATCTTCTCCTTGTCTTCGCTCTTCTCGTCAACGACACCCTTTTTAGTCGAAGCCGCTTTCCACGCCTCCAGTATTTCTTTCACAGCCTTTCCTTTTTTCTGTGCGCCCGGTTGCATCTTGACCTTGTACTTGCAGCGACCGAGCGCGCTATATGGTGCGCACACGGGAATGACCTCAAGAATCTCATCGCCAGGAAGCGGGGTTCCGACAAGCGCGTCTAGAGGAGTGAGGTTAGCCGCCTCCTCGACATCAAGGGTCTCAATACCCTCTTGGAGCATCATCTTGCGGACTTCCTCATGCTCAGCTGTCTCTCGCTGTTGGCGCTGGTGCTGTGCCCGGCGTCGTTCGAGCGCAGCCGCTCGTTGGGCTTCGCGTTCAGCTTTTGCTTTTGCTTCTGCCTCCGCCTTCTGCTTCCCCGCCGCTGCGCCTATTAAGGCTTCAATCGCAGCACGATCTTCTTCATCCTGGTCTTTGTATTTGGCGGCCTTCTTAGCTTTACTCCTTTGGCCTCGCTTAGGCTGCTGGTTTTTCTTTTGAGGTTGTGGTGTGGGCTTGCGAGACGTTTCGGGAGGCGAACTATCTCCCGTCGTCAAAGGTGCAGAATCAGCTTCAGTTACCATCTCAACTGGATCATCTCCCTCTCTACCACTAGCTTCGCCTTCCTGACGATCAATCGTAAGAGCAGCATCGGGCACCTCAGAGACTGTCAAATTACTCATTCCTTGAATAGGTGGGCTTTCTTCAGTCTGCTCCGGAGACTCTTGTTCGTCGTCATTTTGGTTTGAAGGTTGGAGGGGATTTTCTCTTCTCTCCGCCTCCTCTTGAATATCTATAGCACTGTCTTCTGAATCGCTCTCGTCATGTTCCGCGCTCGGTTCTTCCGAGGAGCCAGCCACAGCTTTACTACTGGTAGCGTCTGAACTTTGCTTGTTCGGCAGATTTTCAGGGAGATCGTAAAGACGATGCTTAACATGCCTAGCTTTGCTTTCTTCGCTGATCTTATACATCAAGCCCAGGCCCAATATCAGCTGTGCAGGAGGTAAGAAATTCTTCTTCCCTCGTACCATAAAACTGCCAGTAGTAAGAAATTCGCCGGTTGGCGCCGACTTTGACACTTGATCCGCATTCACCCACCATGCACCCATACCAGCCTTCTGGTCCCAGGCGGATGAGGCACAAACTGCCAATGTCCCAGCCTGTGACAGAGTCGAGGGTGGTATGGGAGCATCAGGTGTGCTTGGGCTGTTTTTTATTATTACACTTGGCGCGCCGTGGAGATCTGCATGCACATAGATGTCGCCTTTTTTCAAATAGCGTCTATAAAGCATCTCGTTTTGCTGGGCGTCTTTGCCACCGAGAACAAGGTAACCGTCGGACGAGATAAACCAGATGAATTTCTCGAACCAGAACTGCTTTCGAATAGGTTGTAGGATTGGTTTTTCCTGCTTCAATCCTTTCTTCAATTCTGCAGCAATCTTTTGCTCCGCACTTTTCAACGCAGTCTCTGACTGTAGTATTGTTTTCTGCTCCTTCACAGCAGCATTCTTCTTTTCGCCGTAATATTCTCTCGCATTGGCGAAAGGAGAGAGACCGAGGTTGATATCAACTGTCAACCGGCTTTCTTGGACCTTTCGCGCAGATGCCTCTGTACCAGCGTAACCACTATCATCCGAACTTACCGAGTCAGTGTCGGATGCACCATAATCCTCATCCTCTTCTTCCTCTTCCTCGGCCTCACCAAGAAGTATGGTAATAGTATTTTCGTGTAGCTTGAGAGGAGGTACGATGATGGAAGCTACAGGGTTACCCCGTTTACGTTCCCTATCGACGAGTTTACCAATGTCTTCCCAGTCCATTCCTTGTTGTATTAGGCCATTTACTGCATCCATAGCTTCTTGGACTCTCTCGACATTGGCTTCGATTGCGCTAGCTTTCCGAACATTGAGTTGCTGAACGGCTTGAAGGCCCTCGATCCTCTTGTCATGATCGGCTTTGGTAGCATCCAGTTTGCGCTTAGCGGCAGCTTCTCTCTCAGACAACTTTGACGCTAGCTTCTGTCCCTCTACTGAAGAGAAGAACTCGTCTACCATCATGTTGAAATTTTCGAAAGTAAGTGCTGTATATGCTGGATTATCTGCAAACTGGCGAGGTAGAAAGGGGTGGAAATCGTCGTATATTAAGCCTCCTTTTTGCTGCTGGCCTTCATCTGCTTCTCCCGATGACTTATTATCAACGTCGGATTTCGTCTTGGCTAAGATATAACCTTTACAGGTGTCGGAACTAGTCACCTCGTGGACGATCTTAAGGGCTTCTTCAAGCGACCGTACTAATTCATTGAGGAGATCTTCACTTTCCAATATCGTAGATGGCTGCAAGCTTGAATCGAACCCCGTAACCTTCATCGCATGGTCAACTAATATCGGAGGTAGTTCTGTGATGGTTGTAGCAAGCCCTCTTCTCAACTCATCACCTGGTTTCCTCTTTATTTTCTTGCCCGCGGCACTTGAGGCAGTAGCCTTTTGTACAGTAGTCTGGAGCGCGGTTCGTACACGCTCCTTTGTCAGGGCCGGCACTCCGCCATAGTTCTGCCTATTTTCTAGGGAATACGTGAGGCCTACACGTTGGGGCTCCTGACCTTCTCCCTCGGGAACATTTCGTAATAAGGTCAAAATCTTGAGATCACTGTCGGTCAAGATAACGTTACCACCGGCAAAGAACTCTAGGTATAGTCTATATTGACCATCACTAAACTGAAACTCGATAATGCGATCGGTACCGATTTGCGATACGGATGTGATTCGTCGGGTATTCAAGACTTTGCGCAGCTTCTGGACAAAAACGGAGGGACGAGGAGCAGCTGTTCGCGCAAACTCGGTAAGATGGCATCGGAAGCCGGAATCTAGAAGGAGTTGCTTCTTGACTCCGGGTTTTGCAAGCTTGAAGAGCAGGATTTTGGAAGATAGGTCATAGATGTTATAGACCCGAAGCGATACAAGGCTTTTGGATAGTTCGTGAGAGATGGCCTAGGAAGATGTCAGTTAGCGATGCTTGGTGAAGGTTGAGAACAGAACAGAACAGAACATAAAATATTATGGCGGTTTACCTTGACATCTAATGAGGAAAATCTCTGTTTCATTTTCCCTGTTCGTCTTGCAAGTCTAATAGTCTCCAATAACCTATAAACAGGGCTGCCGACGTAAATTCACTTCATATAGGCGCCTGACGTCTGGTCGCAAAAAAGAGCTACCAAGTACTTTGAAGATGTTAAAAGACGCGGGGCAACTAGGCGACGTTAAAGAAGGAGTTTTGGATAATGACTAATTGATAACGGCGAGAAACCGTTATTGCTTGCACCTTGTAATAAGTAATATGTTAGCAATTGTAGCATTAGGTACCTAACGTTAGTAACAAGCAAACCCTTGTGTTGTATTGTACCGTAATATCCGTACAAAAGGCGGGGCTTTGTATATTCCGTCAACAGGTACCTAGCGACAATTTGCGTCGATACCTATAATTTACGTCATTGCTCATCTTTTGCGATCTTCAACATCTTCAAAATCTTCAATGCGATTTCACATTTCATTTTGAATAGGTAGCATATCAATTCAATCATGAAAATAAAAATTAATCCCGCGTAAATCGTTACAGATAATCAAAGTATCGATCGAATTCTTAATATTGATCAAAGTAATATATACTGAGAATCCAACATGACCCTAATGAAATAGCAAATGCCTGCTACTTCACTCCTCATCCTCCTCGAAAAGCTCAATTCCGTCTACGGACACTTCGAATCCTAACAAGACCATCTCAGTTAGTACTGCAAAGCCATCACATAAAGTTTAGGTAGGTACTCTCATTAAAAAAAAAAAAAAAAAAAAAAAAAAAAAAACTACTTACCGTCGGAACCCGTTGCTCCAAACGTGATGGTGTTCACGTCGCCGCGCTTCAGAGTAAGCTGGACCGGAGTAGAGGCGTGGTATCCCGCGCGGGAGTTTAGGCTCGAGATGTTGACAGGCGGCTCGTCGTTGACAAAAATGTGAGCCTCGCCAGCTGTAGCAATACGCTATTTAGCTTCGATGCCCTCTATAAAACAAACAAATTGCGGGATTGCGCCTTACCTTCTGGGTTGGTGACTCGGTAGTGGAAAGAGAACCACTGGCGAGATCCCGTGCCCGTGACGTTGTGGAAGGTCACCTCGCTTGAGTCGCCGACTGCGATGGTGATTAGTTTACCTCCGATATATTCTGCCCAGTGCAGACAGAGCGTAGCAGTAACTCACCTCCGTGTACAGACCGCTTGCTTAGACACTCACTGCAATCTTTCACCACTACTGTCTGTTATCCCCTGAATTTATACACCATGGTATTGAGTGCGTTACCTGTCCTGCCCGACAGCACTGCGTGCTCCGCTTCGTAGCGCTTCTGGGTACTAGGGTAAGAGACTACTCCAGTCTTGACATCGACTTTCCACATCGAATGGTAGTCGATCTGAACCGAGTGCGACCTATACAAAGCACAGTTAGAATTAGCTAAAAAAAATAAGAAAAAAAATAAGGCAACGTCTAATATTAGATAGAAGCTTAATGTTTTTCGAATCACTCACCCGGCATTAATGTTCAGGGGCGCCCACACGTAGTTCGAGCTGGCACCTCCTTTAGAGTCCCAAGCGTCGCCCATGTAGATGTACGTGGTCCTCTGCGAGCCCTTGACCGTCAGCTCGAACGTGTTTTGCGAGCCGTACGTCTTCTGGTCCTGCGGCGCGATGTCCGACCCTCCCGCCCAAGGGCCGTTGATCGAATTCGACCAGAAGACCTTGTTGGGGTTGGCACGCCAGCCGGTCTTTCCCGACACGATCAGGAAGTAGACCCCGTCGGCCTTCACGATGCCCGGCGCTTCGTAGGCTCCGCCTCCTATTCAACTTCGTTTTAGCGGTTATACCCCAGTTAAGGACCAAAGACGTACTCAGATCTGAAACCTTGTCGCCTAGCGCACCGTCGCTGTTGATGCGGTTGATTTGCACGATGTTGTGGTCGGCGCTAGTTAGGAGATACCAGGTTTCTTAGGTGTTGTATCCGTTAGTAAAAGAAAACCTCCCCATATAATAGATTTCATTCACCTGTGTCTTCGTCATAGAACATCCCAGTATCCGAATAGGAGTAGTCGTTCGGCGGGATGTGAACCTTGGCCGACTGACTATAACCCCCGATGAAATTCGCCGACTTAAGGGATAGGACGTAACGGTCTTGCTGGCCATACAACTGTCGCCAATAACCCAGTTAGTAATGGAGGGTCATAATAGATAACGATGGCTTCCGAGCAGAATATCTCGTACCCAAAACGAACCGTTCGGCTTTGCTATCTTCGGCCGCCACATCCCCGTCACCGAGCTCGCTTGTTTCCCCAGGTTCTTCCAGTTGATGAGATCCGTGGACGAATACAGGTTCGGCGTTTGGTCTTGGATACATCAGTCAACGCTCGAATAGCTTGGATACGTTCATTAGGGTATCAGGGTTCTTTACTGCTAGCCGCCTGGCCGATCCAGTAGAAGGTATCGCCGCGCTTCACCACACCTCCTCCGTGCGCATCGATCTTGTTCCCGTCGGTATCGTACCACACAGCACCCGGCGCAATCCACGACGCGCCCAGGACGCTGGTTGCCGCGTAGGCCCACAATAGTGAAAAAGGCTTCATATTTCGTCGTTGGCTATCTAACCGCGGGCAGCTATGCAGCTATTCGGCTCTGATGTGCGGCTACGTACATAGGTAGTCCTCCCAGCTACGCCGGTCTCCCACTCCCCCATCTCACATTATATAACAACAACCCCCTTAAGCCCACCGGCTCGGTGTAATTCCATGGCGAGCCTTGTCGGGTAATTGGTGGCTTCCACAATTTTTCCCTTCGTTCGATGTCACCGTAGCGGAGGAACGAACGTTTCGGGAGACGGACTTCATGCCCTTTTGCAGCAGGCTAGACATCGTAGAAGTGGGGGAAGATAATACGAGAAAATTAAAGGGTTCGAATACCCGGGACGACGTAAACTATATAGACTACATCTTATGACTTTTCTTTTCCTTCCTGGGTTCTATATAGGTACCTCCTATGCATACTTCATTTGCTTTGAATTAGGTATTAGGCATAAGATTGGCAGTTATTAACGTCGGTTAAACTTGGTTAATCGTATGGTGTTCTGGAACGCCCTGGTTTGATAGTACCTATCTCTGTTCCATCAAGCGTTTGATAAAACCTTTAACTTACCTTACGTAGGTACCTAGGTCGGTAGGTAATGCAGGAATCGGGTTAACTTGGATTGGCCGTCTGAACGGTACGCTCATCATACCAATAGGATTATTAGGGAGACCGACGAGCACACCATTCAGGATTATAATCACTACCTAGATAGTGATAAGAGCATAATAGCTTTTCTTAACTGTCGTCTTTCAATGCTTATAGTAGTACCCCTATCTGGCAGCAAAATAGCCAGATTTGAAGCAGAATTGTTCAAGCTGTATTTCTATACAGGCCCTCAATAATGTCGACTGGTAAACGAGAAGACATACTTGCACTGTTACATCAAAAATCGTACATGAGTATCGTTGTATCTCATTGTCTTCGATAACTACTATCGTAACCTTGCAAAATCGAGGTTTATCTGGATCAAACCTGATTCCCAGATATATCAGGAATTGATTAGCACTTTACTGCATGACCACTACACTAGTGACAATAGTGAACGACGTCAACCTGGAACAACCCGATTTGGTGTTAAAACTATACCCACCCTGCCACAATTGCGCATATGACGATGGATAGCTGTGGAGTATGTCGCATCTCCCCTACCGAAGCTAGGCAATACGAGGTTTCCTTTCAGCATACCCACATAGAGAACCTGTTGCGGAGTAGACGTCGAACTTATACAAGAATCTTGACCTCGCCGTGGAAAGGTGGCTAGTCCACATACTGTTTTCACCATCTTGCATCATGGAAGTTAGAGGGTGGCGTGTGCTCGACGTCTATGAGGTTCTATCGCCCTGACACAAACATAGGCTTCCGAGACATATTTTCCATAGGCGCTGCATCATGCAACTATGGGTCCCGTAGCTGAAGGCAAGGGCGCCGCCGTAGCTTCTAAGCTGAATTCACAGATTGCCACGACTGCGGCGTTTCAAGGTTGAGCGCGAGAAGCGAAAACTGCTTGGGACCGGCTTCCCCGACCGACATTCTCGCACGTACCGTACGGTGATTAAGCCAATACGGCGTCTCGGCGCGTGGAGATGACTTTCGAAACCGAGTCGAACAACGCATACGGATATGGAGACGGACCCATAAACTGTTTGACAACGAGCTCGCTACGGTCTGTCCGCATCGGCAGGCGGCCCGGCTCGTGCGCAAGCCAACGCGTATACCTATCTGCAAAGGAGAGATCATAGCGTGAACGGGTATACCTGCATGGAATGGACGGGGCGTCGATAAACTCTCTCATAGTGCAGCGTAGCTTTAAGGAACAGAGCGGCGAAGGCGACAAGACGACTTATCGCATGGCGCTATACAGGTGGAAAGGAACGACAATGTCTTAATTCGGGAAGCTTCAGCTTCATCACGACACGACTTATAGCTACTTGGCAAACGTTCCACGTTGAAGGGTTCTACGCCATAGTACTTGGACTCATTCTACGGTGATAGGATCAGCTCGCTTGCTGGAATAGCTACTCACAATGATTATACGTGGGCGTGCTCTGCTGGTGCCGGATGATCGCTTCGTCCAAGAAGCAACGGCCTCCCAACCCATAACCCCCAGTGTTTTCAGGTTGAGTTGAGCAGTAAGAACATCTTAGATTAGCCTTGGGTAGGTACCTATCGTATCGTGAAAAGAGTCTCGAAGCCCGCTTAATTCCGCTGTCGCTGTCGCTGTCGCTGCCTTCTAGGAAACCACACCGTAGTTACCGACTCACATTAACAGTTCATAGGCCATCATCTTTTACGTGCTGCTCAAGCTTCACATAAGCAAACTACCAGGGACCATAGAGCTGAGTCTTTGCATATCGTGACGAATTTACTTGTACTATATCGTCATAAGGGAATTGGCTTGGCCGAGGCACCTGGAATCTATCGTATACCTACCTGAAATTCTTCTTCTTATCGTATTAGCTGTCTCCTATCATACGAAGCCTCGTTGATTGGCGACTCTACCAACTGGCTACATGAACGGGTCTGAAGCGCCAATCGGACAATAACCTACCGTGTAAATTGCTGCCAGGCCGTTTGATAGCCTACCTTACCCCGAGTTACCTTGTCCAAGCTCCGAGACAGGGTTAACTTTGTAACATCTAATATTACCATCCAGGCTTTTTGTCAGTGCTTTTCGGATAAGGTAGTTCGATAATGTTAAGATCTCGCGTATCCTAGTGGTTAATCGCATTGGTTGCGAAACAAGATCTTCGAGCTCGGACATGTGACGAGCGTTGGATTCACCAGGGTGGCAGGGCAGTTAAGGACAGCCTTCTCTTCAATGTGTCCAAATCAGGAAGTTAATACCTCGTAAAAATCCTGGCGTCTCCGCTTTGATCCAGAGGGTAAGGATCTGATTTGAGTAGCGCCCTTTTAGTTAACCGGTTGTCATAGCAACGAATTGGAGATTGGGCGATCAGGGGTAAATTGGACGTCAGCAAGAAACGTGGTCAGAACAGTTCTTCCAGTATTTGAGACGTGTTAGGGCGTGTCGGCGGTTTGCTACATAGCAATTGACCGGACGATGTCAATCAATTGGTGACATCAAGACAGTTTAGGAGGGTTCGAATGGAATTTATCGAAAGACAATTCTAGTTGCACCAGATTCGAAAAGTAGGCCCACACGCCGTGGGTGAGATCTGACGCCGCTGTGGGACTTGCGTGCAATAGAAAAAGCAAAGCTCACTTGTCTACTCAGCTCTCGTCTTGCATTAGAGGTGCATAAGTCCAGCTGAGGTCGCACACCATAACCCACTGCATAACCCAATGAGCGGAACCCACGATATTACGCGTAATTGAAGATTGCCTGCTTCAATCTGCAAGTGTAAGCAAAGGTGGTTGGGAATCATGTCATTCTCAGCTATGATTCGTCCTTTCATATGAGACCGGTTCGGTATCAGCGCTTTAAGTGGTTGGTTCATTATTAGTGCCTAGCCTTTCGAATATGAGAAGATGAGAGAAGATGAGACGCTCTGCCTGCTTTTCTCGGGAGATGCCAGCCTCTTCGATTTCCAACAGCGGGCAGCGTAACCCAGTCTAAGTTGCCAACTCCTTACGGTACGCGCAACGTATGTAATATACTATGTATTGTACGTTGCAATAGTGAGCGGTTGGATCGGATTATTATTTTATATAGTAGTAGGTATGAAAAAATAGCGCTGATTGAACCGAATAATTCTCAATGGCTGAAATTGGTGACTGGTCGAAATCACTCACTATCGATTTAAACTGAGCGAATACATTAGAAAGAGATGTGACAGCCGAGGAAAACTAGCGACTGGCTTATTTGTTTTTCTGTTTTTGTTTTGAGAGGCGGGCGAACACCGAGAACAACACAAACACCCCAATCTATCTAAGGCTAAGAGGAGGCTGGACCGGCTGGAGCAATTGTTGGTTCGATCTGATCATCACGGGCGGCCTAGTGACCCAGTGGTCCATCATGGATAGGCGATTGGGTGGACTTCCCCGGTCAAGAGTAAAAAGCGAAACCAGAAGCGAACCAGTCCGAATCAAGGGAGGAGGGTCGAACGAATTTGGTTCGTCACTTAGCCAGAGCCAGATCCATGTAGGTTTGGGGGTATTATGTAGCTGTAGTGCACATACAGAGACGTATACTACATAGTATAGTAGCAACGGAACGGGGGGTTGGTGGTAGAGAGGAATAGAAACAGAGAGAGAGAGAGAGAGGCTGGGAATAGAATCAGGGGACAGTGTAAGAACTTGGAAGGTTCGGTTCCAACTTTGGTACTTTCAAGTTACAGCCACCCCGTGTAAGAGAGGAGAAAAAAAAAAAAAAAAAAGGAAAAAGGAAAAGAAAAACAAGTACGATGTACCATAATATTATACCTAGTACGTACGTACATACATACCTGTAAGGTAATTTCCCCCTGCCCGTTGTAATATCCCCCAGTCCCCAGCCGCCTAACTTGTTTCGGGGTAGGATAAACACTCCAGACCCATGATGGCCCACTCGTGTAAACAAGCTCCTTCCCACTCAACCCCTGTAGAAGCTCCGAGCAAGCTGCGGACATAACCTGCCACGCCAATGCTTCCTTCCCTCCTGCGCTCCCACAACCACTCGCAGCTACCCACCCAACCACCAAGATGTCCACAGTGAGCCCCAGCACAGTACAATAACATCGGTACTGCCCATCTTTCTCCCTGCAGCTCTCCTATTTCTTTCCTTCCAATAATCTGTTCCTACCACTTCACTCACCTCCTTTCCTTTCCTAACCACAAACCCAACATATCTCCTTCACAACCCAACGTAGTGAATCTTTTTCCCCGCTCTTCAAGCCTCAACCTGACCTGAACGAGAGAATCGAGTAAAGAAGCGAGCAATATACCGCCTGCTTCTCCTCCCTTCTTTTCTTTCAGATTAGTAGAAAGAAGAGCAAGAGGAATCTTCTTGTCTTCCTTTCGCCCTTAGTCGAAAGGTTGTCGAGGAGAGGACTCTCGCGCCGAAAAGGTCGCCAACCTGGACTTTGAAGCCCGCGTACCGGTCCCCTTCAGTATCTTCCCTCGGACGTACAAGGAGACTGAGGTAGAAACCACCACCCACACTCACGAAGAGGTACAAATCGATCTCCCCGCCAAACCAGAGAAAGCCGGACGGGAAGGTCAATACTCTTCTATCTCTGCTTCTGCTCAGTTACCTCCGCGTCAAGAGCAACACTTCAGCGAAGAAGAGGTCCGCATCACACGTGAAGAAGAACGTTACCGCCGTCCCGGTGCCCACAGCGAGCATTACGAGGAGCACAGGTCAGTTTACCAAGCTTTTCCTACGTCTTAGAACCCTTCTTTTTCAATAATTACGCAACTGGCTCCATTATGAGAGCCCGAGCTTGCGGTCTGGCTTGAGGGTATGGGTCAATTCCGGCCCGCAATGGATTCAATTGAACTAAATTGGCGAATATGGAGCCATGGGGCCAGTGCTGTGCTCATTTTCCGCAGAACCCTTGTCAAGTGCCTGGGTCTTGGCCAATCCCCCTTGTTGGCTAAGTAACTCGGTCGTCGTAGAAATATCTTCAACTGACAACAAACCTCTTCCAGTAAACCTCACACTTCTTACTCTGAATCTCACTTCAAACCCTCTCGCCCTTCCTCTTCCTTCTCTATCACAGAGACTTCAGTTGAGGTCGACCGTCACCAGCCTCACCTTAGCTCCATTGACCGCATCGAACGTGAATATCGCGCTCGAGCTCAGTCAGCCTACAAGGACAACGTCAGCGTAGCCGACAGTACTGTCGACCCTCCTAGGCCTAGCTCTCACTTCGGTTCCGAGCACTCGCACTCGCACTCGCACTCTCACTTTTCCAAGTCTACTGTCGACCCTCCCAAGTCGTCAATCCCTAGTTTTACCGAGGAAATCCGCATTAGCGAGACGACTGTTGATCCCCCCAAGGCTGGTTCATCCTTCCACAGGGACACAGAAATCACCGAGGAGACCGTAGAGTATCCTCAACCACCTAAATCACCCAGCTCTAAGAAGAGTAGAATGGGATATTACGACTCTACTGGTTAGTAACAGGTGCTAGCCTACTCTTATAGAACAAATTAACTAACAAGTGCAGGACACCACCACTCTCTCCGTGAAGGACTACACAAGATGGCTGACCGTGTCTTCCACTCTGAGGGCGAGCGCCACGACGTCGTTCGCGAGTCTCACTCTGGCCCCAAGACCAATGGAGCTGGCCACGTCCCTAACACTGTTACTATCCCCTGCCACCACATTCGCATGGGTGACATCTTGATCCTCCAGGGTCGTCCTTGCCAGGTCATCCGCATCTCGACCTCGTCGGCTACTGGCCAGCACCGCTACCTTGGTGTTGATCTCTTCACCAAGCAGCTTCACGAAGAGTCCTCCTTCGTCTCCAACCCTGCCCCTAGCGTTGTCGTCCAGACCATGCGCGGCCCTGTCTTCAAGCAGTACCGTGTCCTCGACATCCAGGATGGTACTATCGTCGCCATGACCGAGACTGGCGACGTCAAGACGGGTGTCCCCGTCATTGACCAGTCCAACCTGTGGTCGCGCCTGACCCAAGCCTTCAACGCCGGCCACGGCAGTGTCCGCGTCCTCGTCCTCAACGACGGCCCTCGTGAGCTCGTTGTTGACATGAAGGTCATTCACGCCTCCAGCTTGTAAAGATATTTTAGTGTGTGGGATCAACTGTCAATTCATGTCATCATAAACGGGGTGTTTTCTTATGGTGGTGGTTTTTATGATGGAGTCGCGGTTGATCTCAAAAGATTGCTTCTCAGATCTATCGCGCGTAATTATGTAGGGAGGGATTTGGAAAAAAAGGACGTTACGGATTTTGGCATTTCTCAGTTGATACGTAGTTCTGTATATGGATGGTAATACAATGTCAAGTCTTTAACGTACATCACTACCTTGTCTCTTTTACCCGTTTTTGGTTCTCATTGTCGCGTGCAATTGTGAGCGCATCATGTCTTATCTAAGCCGCGTTGCTTTACGTGGTACGTATTCGGATATGTCCACTAACATAACATGTATGTACCTCAGGGAAGGTGTGATAGCCATCAGGGTACCTGATGTAGGTAGGTTTAAGCCGAGGTCACCGGATTAGAACCAGCATCCTTCCTACCAATAAGAACGTAAAGTTCTGCTTATCGAGCACGTAATATCGTAAAACGCAATCAGAAACAGGAAAGGAAAAACCCACCTTCTCAACACAGTCAAGTTGCCGATAGCTGTTGCTCCTCTTGTTCCTCTTGTTCCTTTTATTCCTTCTTTGGATCTTCTTGGTGAGGCAGCTTAATATCCTTGCCCTATTTATGCTGTACAATTGTACGTACCTAACCTAAGATAACAAGCCGAAGCTTTGTCTAACTCTCAAATCTAAACCTTGATATTGACGATAGTTATTAGTTTGATATCCATAACTAACTTCTCTGCATCGAAGCTCGTAGACGCTGTAATTATCGTCAACTACCATCATGGGTGCGCAACAGTCTAAGAGTTCGCCCGATGTCATGGCAGCGGTCGCACATGAACAAGCCATCTTAGAACGTCTTCAGAAATTTAGATCAGAGGACGACTTCGTCTATGTTGAAAACGAGAAGGGGCCGCTTTTCAACGGCGCTATATCAGGTAGACAGTCGGAAAAGCTGGCTATTGAGCTCACCCAGAATTGGCAGTCTAGGGTACTGGCAGATCCTAAGAACAGGTTTGTAGCCTTGTATTCATAGGAATCGTTGTTTGACCTGTCGTTGGCTTCGAAAGCTTACCGTGTATTGTTTCTCCTGATTAGATTAGCTCTCTCGGCCTTCAGCTCTGCCAACCCACGAGATGTTCTGGCTTCTCGTGCGACTAAGATCGCAGACCAGCAGGTGTTCAATATTCGCATACCGTTTGAAGGCGCGCCTATCACAAACCAGCGATCTTCGGGACGATGTTGGCTCTTTGCTAGTACTAATGTATTCAGGATTGCTATTATGAAGAAGTACAACCTAGATTCATTTGAGCTGTCGCAAGCTTACCTCTTTTTCTGGGACAAGCTCGAGAAATCTAACTTCTTCCTTGAAAACATCATCGAGACTGCTGATCAACCCTTAGACGGGAGGCTAGTTCAGAGGTTGTTCGCTGACCCCATAAGCGATGGTGGCCAATGGGATATGGTTTACAACCTGGTTGAAAAGTATGGTCTTGTACCCCAGACCTTATACCCAGATAGCTGGAATGCTATGTCGAGCAGCACCGTCAACTCTATCGTCGTCGCTAAGCTACGCGAATATGCTGTTATCCTGCGTGATTTAGTCAACAGCTCGGCCACAACTGCCGCGAGCCTATCCGCTACCAAAGATAAGATGCTGCGAGAAGTCCATCTGATCCTGACGTTGACTCTTGGACCTCCACCTAGCACGACTGAGGAGTTCGAATGGAATTTCATTGACAAGGAAGGGAGAGCGCGATCCGTGATTTCGACGCCACACAAATTCGCTAACGACATCTCGTCTCAGGATTTCCGCATTACTAGCTCTACCATCGCTAGCATGGTTTCTCTGGTTCACGACCCCAGGCATGAACCTCTGAACCTGATGACTGTCGACCGTCTAGGCAACATCGTGGGTGGTAGAGGAATCACGTACATCAACGTCGACATTGAAACCCTGAAGCAAGCTTGCATATCCATGCTGCGTGCCGGTCTTCCCGTGTTCTTCGGGTCCGATGTAGGCAAGTACAGCGAGCGGGGTAGCGGCATTATGGATATAGATCTCTTCGATTATGAACTTGGCTTCAATGTTAGCCTCTACGGAAGCCTGGACAAAGCCGCTCGTCTACGCGTCGGCGAGTCAGCGATGACCCACGCCATGGTGCTGACGGCGGTCCATGTCGACGGCGACGGCAGGCCCGTCCGCTGGAAGGTACAGAATAGCTGGGGCACGGATGTCGGGTCCAAGGGCTGGTTCGTGATGAGCGACCGCTGGATGGATCAGTTCGTATACCAGGCCGTGGTCGATCCGAAGTTCCTCTCCAGGAAGGTTAGAGATGTACTAACTAAGGAGCCGATTGTGCTGCCTTTATGGGATCCTATGGGCAGTTTGGCTTAAGTGAAATATTGAAGAAGGAAATTGAAATTTAGTCACAGATGACGATCATGATAATGGCAACATGCACGGATGCTTTGATCTACTATCAGCAATGGATTCAAGCTCATAATGAGTAACTCATGGGCACTTGGGATATTACAGTTGATGGCTTTCGCAGGATTATGTTTTACAGCAACTTTAGCTCTAACCTAGGTTATTTCCAATTCACATGCCGCCATTCACTCTATATACCGTATAACCGAGTTTCTTTAGGCGGCGAATACAGGCTAATGTACCTGATTGCTACGTTCGTTCCATCTCGACAGACAAATTCTACGTAGCCGAACATGTGATAATGCTTTAGTACTACAAACTTATGCGACTTATATGTATACCTGCGGTCTATCTATATCAACAATTTGCTTATTATCTCTTTACAGGACTTCTAGTCCGTAGAGGCAGTCTGTCTATAGACTGCCGGTTATGCATGCAAGTACATTGCTTTTTCCACTTTTTCTTTCCTTTTATTTTCTTTTTACAAATCCTCCTCGGTAAACCACCCAGCTTCTAGGCTAACGCACCTGTGTGTCTCGTCCTTCTCCCTAGCTTTCGAGCCACGTACTAGCTGATAAATTCCGGGCGAGAGCTCATGCGAGAGGGAGGGATGGGTCTTATCTTAACTGGACCAGTAGAGTTAGACAAGATAGAGGTCGTAACGACAACATGTTGATGTGTATTGTATGTTAGATACCTAATGTATGTACTATCAAGCGTCAATATCAGAGGGGGAAAGAATAGGCTGAAGGCACTTTCACATGTGTGTAGTTGGGGTCTGAGTTGATGGGTCGGCTCGGTGGCGTAATGCCGGGAGAAGAAGGGCATTGCCGACAATGGGGGAAAGGCTGCATAAGGTATACTAGGATGTTGACAGCGGAACCGATCGGGGTCGAGAGGAGATCTTACAAAGAACGATATACCTATATCGTACTATCATAGGTACTATAGGTATATTTGCATGAGTCGATGGGGGCGACGTGGAAGTCGGTGTTTGCCCCGATGTGCTGAGTTGTTTCTCCTCTTCTCCCTGTCCCCTATTTTCTTTCTCGGGTCGGGATTTCGATGATTTCGCGATCCACTGGAGGGATAAACCGTTGTGCATCCGGTTCCACTCGACTGCTCTAGAGAAATATGAGGTACCTAATGTAGGTAAGAGGTACCTATATGTGAGATATGTATTGAAGAGATCCCAGCGACGCCCCCCAGCAGTAGGCGGATGTGGCTTTTTGATATTAGGGGTCCACGTTTTGGAACACGGCTTCGAAGATGGAGCTCTCGTGCAGCCGCATGCACGTAGGGTCCCCCTTGATCTAAAGTATCTGCCATTTCGCGAAGCTATCATGTCTATCTGCGCTGCTGGCGTGTTCATCTCACGAGTGTAACGCCGCACATACGGGTGAGCGGGCTCCCGTCACACCGTCATACCGCAGTAGACAACAAAACAAACATAAGCATATACGAAAGAGAGAGAAAAACACAACACAATCGTTAAATCGGACTCGGCTCGGCTCGTCCTTCTCTTTTTTCGCCCATTTACCCCCACGCCCGACCAGTTTTCCAATATTGGGGGGAAAGGGGGGAGCCACCCGGACTCTGACCGGGCGACGATACCGGGAGATCGACTGATCTACGCATATCGGTGATAATCTAAAGGCTGTGCATGTGGGCAGCCACTTCGCACACGATGTGTCAGCGGCGTTCTGTGATCTACCCACGGGGACGGAAGATAAGGTTTCACGACTTACCTACGTGGATGGAAGACAGGGCTGTCCGATGCTTCGTTGGAAAGTATCATGGCATCGGAAACACGGAATTGCTATGAAAGATGGACCGACTAGATGTTGCTGTAGATATTGCATTATGCGCTCCCCTATTTCATTGAACGCATCGTCCGGAGCTGTGGGAGGCTCGGAAATTATGGTAGCCTGACCGTATCCTTCGGTCCGGCCTTGCACTGAGTGGTTAATCTTTGCAGCCTCGTCAGAAAACGCCTTGGCTATCTGAAACCGTCGCATTGATCTTCTTTCGACCCAACGTGACGCCGAGGTGGTAGGGAGTCGTAAGATTGAGCTGGGATTGATGATCTGGCATCTGTGTTACCCGTCGTCCAAGGTCACTGGACTTTAAGCCGGAGGAAGTACACAGTTCTAACTTACTTACCTACATCTGTAGCTAGTTGACCGCTGGAGAATTATTCTAGAAAACCCAAGGGCTAATCGGAGAATAGGTAGGGCAACATTGGTCAATCAAGCACGACCGCTGAGTTGTCCGACCATGACGGGCAAGCGGCTAGAATAAGACTCGACAATTTTGTGTCCAATGCCAAACGAGGATCCTCGCTGTTTATTTTTGTCTGTTTTGAACCCGTATGAAGGGGAAAGGGAGCGGTGAAGTCGAAGGTAAAGCCTCCCGCTGGGGATCCTGTTTGAAGGACCGACTCCTTGCTGACCTTGGACGTGACTGTTTCTCGCAATACTTGCATCCAATAGCACCCCCTAACTATGACATGATGTCCATTCTTGTTGGATTGTTGGTAGAGCTCTGTACCCGGTAGGCAAGGCTCAGCCTCGGGGGGGGTTGAGTCTGTTGGTTGATTATACTCCTATCAGACCAAAGTCTATCCAAGGTTTCAAGTGGGCTAGAGAAGTAGGAAGCTTAAGCTGTCCCTGGTACACGGCGCCTAAGCCGACTACACGCCTGTACAGATGATCTACCACGTGTGTTCGATTTGCAAGGGTGACTTATATGCGGTCCCAAGTCTTGAGAGATCACATTTGAGCATATATATTTTATTATTGGGCTTGAATGATGGGTCACGAGTTGGTCAACCGTTTCTTGACTTAGCTACCTTAGGTACATAGCTAGAGTGTGTTATGCAAATAGATTTCTTATGCTGATGTTGTATGATATGCTTTGTACGCATAGCAGATGTACTATTCACGCCCAACCGGGGCTGGGAACCCTAGATTAACGAAGAACTAGGCCCTAGGTATCATCGACAGCAGCCATCACCCGAGTGTCGGCTGTCAACGGAGCTTTCGCCACGGTGTATTCTCTTGACGTCTCCTTATGTGGTATCATGTTGAGTAATAAAGATATTGATAGATGTTGCATGGAGGTTCTAGGGATAAGGGATAGCGGCAACGGGATACATGATAAAAATAGTCTTAGATACTAAATTAAGCAGTCGCAGTATTCATGCCTCTAATTCTTTCATACCTCAAATCATGAACATAGCTTGTAGTCCGTCCTCGACCCAAGCCATTATCCCCATATCCCCATTACCTAATCCGGTAACTCTAAGTATATAGTAGATAGAAACCGTAGGAAGGTAATTCGTAACAGACTTTATGTGCCATGCCTTGGCTGATGGATGACATGTGATTCGAGAAGCGCGATATAATTCCAAGTGCCGCGAGGGGTTCCGAAGCGTTGTTAAGCATCCCTTGATCCTATAGCAGCCCAATCATACAGGGGAAGCTCGATGATTCGCCACTTGGGCGGCTTTCTTTTAATCCTCACCACGGTAGGCCGCGAATTATCCTTCAATAGCTGAGGTAAATACCTACGTGCGTACCTAGGTAGTTCCGTTGATCGCAATCGCGACTTGGGCGACACAACGTTCTACTACCTATGGATACAAATATAGCTGAGATGATTGAGTATGCATAGCCTTCTCGTTCGAGAATCCCGCGCCAGTAAGCGCATGTCTACTATGTGCATGAGACGAGGCGAGACGCCCGATCCTTTGGATCGGGCCGGGCCACGAGCCACGAGGGTAAAAGTTTTAAGTGACTTTTTCTTGACCAATTCCAAGTAACAATTGTGACCAGAAGAAGACGTCGCAGCCAGAGAGGAGGGTCCATTGGGTTCCAATCCAGTTAGCGTTGAAGCCCGAATCACCAAAACAAGCACCAATGAGCGTTCACTACCAGACCTCACCATCCCAACAAGCTGAAGAGGGCGGATGGGAAATACTTTACAAGGTGAACATGACGAAAATGGGAAATAATATGTACCTATGTAGCGATTGGTTTTACTATTATCGTTGCTATGGCGAGAGAGTGTGATTAATGATGAATGTCGTCGCAGTTAACTGAACAATAGGCAGTTTGTAAGTCTCGGAAGAATAATGTGCTGGAGACAACTTCAACGTGTTGCGTGAGGTGACAATTAGAGGGGACGAGCTTAATCGTCATGTGTAATCATCAACAACAACTATTGGCGGGTTACCAAATTGAAACCATGGTTGGTAAATTCCACCAAAAATGTTAAGAAACAAAACATTCCCTATTTACCTATCAACATGACAATAGTTGAGATATTCGAAACTGAGCGGAGGTTCTACGAAGATAACTCAACAAAATATATGAAAAGGGCGACTCGCCTTCTAAACACTCACGTTCACCAAAATTTGCGGCACGGCCAACATCCGATTTCCAATATTAGCATCAATATTTAACTAACACCTTGGACACTTACCTACATAGGTACAACGAGACTCTCAGGAACGGTTGAATTACTTACACGCCAGGTCTGGTACCTACATATAAATTGCTTACTTGATAGTCGATTCCTACTTACACACTGCATACTGCGTGCATAATACGCTGGAATTTGGAAGCATTTCTAATCCATTCCCCACGGCATTGCAACTGTGCAGTCGATCCTACCTACGACGGGGACAAGGGCACGATAGCGGCGTAATTTCTCGGGTCGCTGATCTTGATTCAGGCGTCATTTGGTTCGTGTTCCTGAAGGATACGATCTACTACGTATGTAGGAAGGAGAAGAGAGGAGCGTACTAACGCGAAATACGGAATACCTAGGTCAAGTCAAGTTGATCAAGTTTATACCTTGTCCCGTTCCAAGCCTTTTTAGGGAACACCTTTTTTTTAGGGGACATTTCGAACGGGGATTCTCCTTGTCCTCCGGCCCTGCGTACCTCTCTAAGCCAGCCCTCGCTCGGCTGGGTGCCTGTCCTTTTGCTTGTCTTTTTTTATTTTATTTTTTTTATTAGCGCGGTCCAGACTTTGCTCAGGTCGCCCGGGTTCTAATACCATTGACGCAACGCGATTCTATTTTGCGAAGCGGGACGTCATCGCCGAGCATTCTCCATCCTATTCGCTAAGTGGGCACATCCTCCCACCACACCATCGTCATTGTTACCATTTATCATATTTTTCACCTAGAGCGACGTTGCTTTTATTCTGTTTGCCCCTTCCGGCTTGCTCTAGTTTCGGTAACCAGTTTGGCGTTCTCTCTTACTTGACCGGGAAACGGGGTTCTACTATTAGATCAGTTGACGTTGTTTCGACAGTCCAAATCCTCCAAGGAAAAAAAAAAAAAAAAAAAAAAAAAAGAAGAAACCAATAATAAGACGTGAAGAGCGGGTTTAATATTTTACCGTGTTTCTTCCCTCTTCGAACCATACGACTAGTCAATCACACACCCCACTCCCCTTTCTGCAATGCATGGCAAAACCACACCTACATACACATACATGACCTGACCTTAACTGACAACTTACCTAAGAGATCACCTAGCTGCATGAAGGTGAAAATCCACCAGCTGGGAAATAGTTGAGTTACAGGCTTCTCACCAAGTTTGTTTCGTTTATTCCCATAAGGAGCCTCAAGGCCGTTATTGTTATCGTCTTCTTAGGTATATAGAAGGAGGGATAGTAGAAGTCGCACATAATCCGACGGACGCTTCGTTGTAAAGTCGAGAGACAGAGAGAGAGAGAAAGTCCGTGATTGCGAGGCACACAAAAGACGGCACCCCGCAACACTACATCACTGCTACATACCTACTACTACCTGCCGCGACTACGACTGGATATTTCTCTCAATAAAAACCGCGCATTATTGGTTATATTAACCAATTCGACTTGGAGGGTAGAGAGGACGGATCCTCTTCAGGCAAATACAATAAGCCGATAAAGCGCACAGTCCCACAACCATCGCCGCACACCTGGTTGATCTCTCTTCGGCCGGTTCCTCTAGTACATTCTTTTTCTTTTGTTGGTCGGGGATCACTTGATCCATCTGATCTAGAACAGGCTCATACTATTCGCTTCTTCCCTGCCGAAAGGGCTCGCGAAAGTGTGTGTAAGAAAGAGTAAGAGTGTGCGACGCCCGGCAAGAACTGTCAAAATAGGGGAATAGAAAAGAGAGAGAGAAGTGTACTGTATTGTACCTTGTGGCTCGTGGCTGTCTCAAGCGTCACCCATCCTCTTAGTGGCCCAATTTCACCGCCGGTTCCCTGTTCTGCAGCCCAACCCGACGACAAACCTCGTAACGATACAACCCCTCTAACTTATCCAACCCTCTATTCTCCTTCCATGGCTTCTACCCCGCGGTAGGACCCTTATCGTCTTCCAGTTCTCTTTACCGGGATAGGTGATAGGTACTCGATATTCGCTCCTTGGCTAAACCGTACCTAGAGGTACAATACATAGTAGGTATGTATGCGACACTCTCTCTATATCCCTCTATCGGCCTCTGTTCTCCGTACCTTGGCTGTCGCCCATTATATAAAAAAATTTCACCATATTTTCTCCGAGGGGAGGGGGGATTTGGTTATTCTTAATAGGCTTTACTTCATACTCCTTTTTACTCACCAATTTTTGTTCCAGGTAGACCCATTCTTCTTTTTTTATTCCTTTTTCTTCTTCTCCTTATGACCTGACCAAAAACGTATAGAACGTACGGAAGAGAGAAGGGCACAAGACTCCTTTCGCCCCCAAATTCTGGAAAATCTTCTACTTATGAAACCTGGTCATTTTCACACCCCTTCACACCCAAGACCTAATAATATAAGCCGGACATAATTACGTCCGTCCCACCCTGTCCTTTGAGGAATTTCCAGCTTTTCTAAATTTTGCTTTATTCTCTTTTCTGACTCACACCCCCCCAAAAGTTCAACCCACTAACCCACCAACCCTCAACTAACAGAGACGAATTTGGTTACATCGTGATCGTTGTTGGCTAGCAGAATATACTGCACTTGAGTTATATATTTATACTGCTGCCCCTGAATAAGCTAGTCGAACAATCATGACTGAGCCACGACTGCGTTATTCGGGTCGTAGGTCGCCTCAGTTTAACCCCGCGCGAGCCTCGATGCCTGTGAGCATTGGTTATAACCCTCATTATAGCGGGGATCTTCACACGGTTCAAACGGCTCGTTATGATGCCGCTGTTCCAAGAAGAGCGGCTGATCATAAGTCGCCTGCAAATCCCACTGCTACTATCACCACCTACAACGTTACTAAGGAGCCTGCTGCGCAACGAACTTCTAACTCCAATACGTCTCGTCGTCGTTCGTCGACGGTAGACACCAATCCCGTTAAGCCTATCATAGTCACCACCAATCATGCTAGTCGACCTCACGGCACCTCCTCTCATACGTCCTCGGCCGCGCGCACCACTAGTCCGTCGCGCGATCCTTATAGGTCAAGCGATGAGACGTACTATACCCAACCGGCTTCCTCGATACGTTCGCGAAGTACAGCCCGATATGGCCACGGTTATACCCAAAGTGCCACGCTAAGCAATGAGGAATTCTCCCGATTGAGGGAGCGAGTCGGCGACGACAGACTTCGACCACCAACGCATGTTGCAACCGATTATTACCGATCTTCGCTTCCCCACGCCAATTACACAACACCAGCGTATGATTTGAACGCCACCGCAGTCGTCGACTACGACAACGAAGGCTATGAATACACGAAACCTAGCGACTTGGCTAGGTATGATTTAGATCATGATCGCCAGCTACCGCATAGAAGACGAGAGAGCCTTGATCGTTCTTACCATCGTCCTACCGTAAATGTCGTGAGCAATGATCTGGGTCGTTACGACACTCGCGGTCGTGGACCACCTCCCGCATCCTCCGGACTCGACCGTTACAACAGAGCTCCAACCACATCTGCGGGTATCTATGACCGCCCGACGGTTACGATGCCTGCTTTGCCGCCAGTACCTGCTGCCCCGCTAGTTGACCCCTTGCGCCGGATTGAAGCCCCGAGAGAACCATCGCCAGATCGCAAGACAACTCGACCACGCCCGGTTTCTCTATACCAAGATACGCCTGCGCGCATAGCGCATACTGATGACCTTTACCGGTCGCACGACGACGAGCGCTTGCACCGCCGTCGGGATCGCGACGACGGCTACCGCGATGACGACGTTACTGCTCGTGGGTATGGCATTCGCACAAACACGTTGGAACCGGAACGCTCGGACCGTCCGGCAACGTCGGTCGATCGGCGTGGTTATGACGATCGACGCCAGCGACGAGACGTAGCTGAGAACGAGCCTCGGCGCCGCTCTGATGAGTCGATCGACTATACTCGCAGTCACGACTCCCGAAAGACACCCGAGGACCCCATAACCCGATCCAGCTCAGTCAGGGATCCAAGAGATGCCGCTGGCCAGAAGAACGGCGTAGGCGGCCGAACTCGTGACAAAGTTGCCGCCGGCCTGAGCGTCGCCGCTGCGGCGGTAGGCCTTGCCGCCAGAGACACAACCAAGGATGACGATCGGAAGGTTTCCCCACGACGGCGCGAACTCGACGAAGATGCAGAGGTCCCAAGCTCCCGCGCTGCGGATAGGTATAAGCCCAAGGACAAGGACGCGGAACGAAAGCCTTCCCCTCGAGGAGAATCGGTTGCTCCAGACTCGCGAGGGGAATCCCGGAAAGAACAGGTAGACTCGACGTCGAGCTCTATAGAACATGAACTCGAAAGGGAGCGTCTTCGCGAGCGAGCCTACGAGCGCGAACTCGAGAGGGAGCGGGAGAAGAAGCGCGAGTTGGAGCGCGAACATGACCGAGAGCTCGAGCGTGAACGTGAACGTGAACGCAACGGCGGTCGGGACGACAAGACCAGAGTTAACGGCTCCGCCGCGGTAGATTCCAAAGACGATTCAATCGCCTCTGATGACGCCACAACCGCACCACGAAGGCGACGTCGCAACTCTACGAGCTTCGACCCCACGGACCCAGACGACTTGCTAGATGTAAAGGCGGAACTAGCCGCAAAGGAAGGCCAGGACAAGACAAAGGACAAGCCAGCTCCCAAGGAGTCGGACAAAGAGACGACGCGTTCCGTTTCGGTAGAGCGTGTATCCACCAACTCGCGCGAGGAATCGCGCGGCCGCGAGTCGACCACGGCCAGCACGACGGAGAAGGAGAAGCAAGTGCGGGTGGTGTCGCCCCCGCGGGAGAAGTCGGAGCACAAGCCGATCAAGGGGATCCTCAAGCCGCCGAGCGCCAAGTTCCCCGAGGAGCAGAACCCGATCCGGGAGGGCGTCGCGCCGCACAAGGACGACAAGTCGAAGAAGGGCGTCCCGCCCGGCGCCCGCTGGACCAAGATCAACCGCAAGCTGATCAACCCGGCCGCGCTCGAGGCCGGCGGCGAGCGCTTCGAGGTCCGCGACGACTTCGTCATCGTCCTGCGCGTCCTCGGCAAGGACGAGATCCAGAAGTACGCCAACGAGACCGCCAAGATCAGAGGTAAGCTTAATTAAAAATTTTCTTTTATCGTTCCCATTCGAAAAAAATAAAAAATAAAAATGGCATGGCTAACCAAGTGGGCAGCGGAGAAACGGCGAGAATACGAGAAGCAGTACGGCAGCGACCGCAACTACGACTCCGTGCGCGAGGACCGGGATTACTCGGACGACGAGCGGCGGGTGCGGCGCGGCCGCCGCGAGCAGCACGAGGGCGACGCCGACTACCGGAAGTACCGCGACCGCGACGATGCGACCACCAACGACCGGGAGCGTCCCCGGCGCGCGGCTGCCGCCCACAGACACGGGTCGGATTCGGAAGAAGACGTCCGCGGCCGCCGGGCCATCGAATACGACGTCGCCCGTCCTCACCGCTCCCACCGCGACTACGATGCCGTCTCTGCCAAGGCGGATGACAGGCGTTAAAAAAAGACATAAAAGCTAGCTAGCTAAACGGGGTATATACCTATATATACATGTTTTGTGTATGAGTGTATATGAAAAAAAGGAAGAGAAGGAGAGAGAGACAGAGACAGAGACAGAGATGATGTGGTTTGATACGATACGATATGATACGAGACTTGTAAAGGAAGAACGATGTAGGGTGTTTGTTGGACTGGTTTTCTTCTTTCCTCTTGTCTTCCTATTTGTTTTTGTTTTTTGTTCTTGTTTTTCTATCTTACGTATATATGACCACGACACGACACGACACGACCTATATGTATGTGAAACGAGGAGAAGCGAAGCGTGTATACGGAGCAAGGGGCGAGCAAGAGATTTAAGGGAAGGGAGGAATTTGCGGATAGGTATATGTTTTAAGGGGGAGAGGGTTTTTCTACCTACCTCTATACATTTCATCATCATGTACAAGTCCGTCGCTCGACTCTCTTCCCGTCTTTTTTTTTTTTTTTTTTTTTTTTTTTTTTTTTTTTTTTTTTTTTTTTTGTTGTTGTATCCCCCTCTTCAACATTTTGTTCTTTCGTTTTCTTCTTCCCTTCTGTCTTGTCTTCGCTTCTCTATCTCTCTGATGATCGATTCCTTTTGTTACCACTACAAATTTATCACCTCCAAAAAAGTCAGATACCCGCAGGAGAAAAAAAGAGCCGCTACGAGGGAGAAAGAGTTGAGTTGGAATATGAAAGGAAAGGTCTTAGTTAGATATACCCCCGTAGATTTCTTGTTTGCTACCTACTTATTTTCTACGATACGAGTTATGGAGATGCGTCTATGTGTTCGATGAAATTCCCGTCTTACGGTGTGAATTATCAAAGAGAGAGAGAAAAGTAAAGTAAAATCAATAGCTGGTAATAAGTTAAGGGGTGGATTCCCAATATGCACGGTGGTGGTAAGTAATGCTTATGTGGCTGACGAGCTGAGATGGAGTTATACCATGGAAGGCAAGCCGGTCAGGTAGGTAGCTACTGTACCTCTGCTCCTCGTAAGCGTTGGGTTTGGATTTGATTATTTATGGTCTGTCATATTACCGCCACCAAGTCTATTGGTCTACTCGTACGTACGAGACGCACCTATCCGTGCTTCTCGCTGTCATCTTACTGCGCGCCGGTCCGCCCAGGCTGATATCGCACGTAGGTATCCGTGTCATGTCTTTTGATCCTCTCGATGAACATGTACCTTAAGTAGTACAACATTATACTCGGTGTCAAGTGTCAAAGGTTAGATAAGAACACGTAAATACTGGCTGGCTACGGTGCCCGAATTTTCTTCATTTAAAAAGACGATCGGGTAGGCACATTAAATGATATGGCACCTGGTAGTTCGAGATCTGACCCCAAGGCATGGTTTGAAAGACATAGTGATCCTCTGACCACACCCGGGGGCATCCGGCCCGCGATGTCTTATAAATACGGGCCGTTCCCATTTCATGTCGGTGTGAGATAAACTCGGAAATAACTGATGCTCTTTTGTCGCCTCTAGAATGCTCACTAAGCAAGCAACTAGGCAGCGGAATGGGCTAGAATAGGAGAGACAGTTAAGTACCTTGAATGGGAAAGGGTATTTTCCAACTTCAGACACGTGAGTCTTCGGGAATCCTTCCTATTTCTGTATTTATTATAACATCATAAGACGCTGGTATTACTAATTGAGCATCAGATTTTACGCATCAGATAATACACCGTCAAGAGTAAAGCAAAGAATACTAAGCATTGGTATGAAGTTGTACGGTTATCTCACTGTGATATAGGGCTGGCATTGATCGGCTGAGGAACTGGATCATCGAGACCGTCACCTATCATTCGCGGCCATTTAACCTCATAAACCCCTGAACCTATTCTAGTCATCCTTAAAACAACGAGGAGTAAATTGGTATTTGGTATCCCTATTTCGGCCATCCCCACCCTTTGTTTTTAGTAGCATGAAAAGACGTAGAACATACAACATGCTCTTGTTTTTTTTCCAGTTTTCCTTTTTTTTTTCTCCCCTAAGCCGCCGCAAATAAACAGAGCAAACGTAAACTTCTTTATCACGAGATTGTTTCCCGTAGCCAGAGTAGACCATAGCAGTGGCCAATGCCAAATTGTACGTGGGTTCAAAGTAGTCCGGCAACCCAACCAGGGGCTGCTGGACCAAAGAAACAGACCATTGTCATAATGAAACGTGAAGCTATCTGTCGTCAAGATAGGCCCGAGAAAATCCGAAGGCGAAATATCGAGGCAGAAAGTAGTAAGGGAAGAAGAGAAGCCTTTACAGAGTAAAAAAAAAAAAGGCTTTAATGAGATGTGGAGCTGGATGCGTGGTGTCGTTGACCCTATGGATCCCTGCTTATCAGACGTAAATATATTACAAGCGCAGTGAGCAATATACGTGTGAAGACACTATTTCGTTCGCCCAATGAACGAAAATAAATAACCCCTTGGAATGTAAAATATATAAGTGGAGCTTCAAAGAAAGGGTGACGAGCCGCGAGAATTTGGTAGTCATGGCAGCCAAGGTGGAGTTGATAGAATGTAGAGTAGCTCGAATCAAGATTCGTCATCATGCTTCTCGCCGCGACGCATTCGCTCACCCCATCTTCGTTTGCCAACGCGAGTTTCGTAGTGGGGCACCGTTGTCTTCATGTCTTGTGCCATACCCTCGATTGCAGTACAAGTCTTGTTACGGTAACAGTCAACTGGTCAAGTTAGTAAATGTTCCCGAAGTATAGCATGAAGTCTTGGAAATAGACTTACGCGCTCGCTGTAGGAAGATTGTCCTGCCCGCAAATACACGGCTATGCAACCATGCCATGCGGTAGGCCAGGTCGTTGAGCCGGACTTCCTTTATACGCGTGCCCCTTCTGATCCTCGGTATGGCAACCTCGGCCTCATTCCCATCAGACATCGGAGCTTTTACCATAACTCGGTCTCTGACGTTCCCCCTTCGGGCACGCCCAGTTCGCCCGCCGTCGACTTCAACATTGTCGTCGCTCAAGTCGTCTTGAAAGAACTGACTACCAGTAGCGCTTGGCGGCGGGCTCTGCATTTCACGCGGGAAATAACTGCGTGGAAATACAGCCGAGCTCTTGCGAAACGAATCGGGTATCTCCTTAGGGTTCACTTCTTCGAGAGTGACGCGTACGCGCAAGCGAGAGTTGCGCTTGTTATCCTCAACTAGTATGAACTTGCGCTTTTTAGCATCGGGTATATCAGGAAACAATCCTTCTGGGTTCTTATCATCATCTCTGCTCATGCGGCGAGCTACGATAGTGCTGTGGTGAGAGTTGCTTAGCCCATCATGGATTGGCGGCATGGACGATCCGGAGGCTGGATGGCTAGCATATTGTTGGGGATAGCCTGCAAAAACTTGAGCGGGACGGACGTCGTCTTGATTTCTAGACCCCGGCCCAGTGGGTGCTTGATGATGGTGATGATGAGATCCATCCATATACTCTCCATCCCCTGTACAGAGATTCAGATTAGCGGACTGCACCAGGGTTGGGACGCTATTTCGCAATTAAGGCAGCAAAAAAATCGAATCGATGTGATATTTGCAATTTTGTGACAGAAAGGGTTCCAATACAAAGACAACGGCGTGAGGTTGTGATATGTGCGCTTGGTGAGTTTGTGCAGAGTGATGCAAAGCAAATGCCATGCAACTTTTGCTATCAGACAGACGACTAGACCGTCCCGAAGCAGCAAGGACTACCAAGCGCATGGCAACTAGATAATGTACAGAATAGTGCCAGTCCCCCAGTGCTCCTAAAGCGCCCACGGCGTTGTGCCGTTATATAAACATGAAAAGGCATCCAATCCAAAAATAACCGAACAGGCACGAGGTATAATGATAAGAGGTATCACGTAATTGCACAATGACAACGACAACAGCAATAGCAACGCATGAATCACATCTGGTGAAACATACCGACATCGTCTCCTCCACCCTGAGCACCTCCTTCGTGGGCGTGGTGATGGTGCATCTGCGGACCCATGTTACTCATTCCAGGTTTCCCCATGGGCGTACCGCCACCAGGGCCAATGGCCCCAGGGGTGGACATCCCTGCCGGACCACTGGGACCGGACATGTGTGTGGAGTGGGGAGTCTGAACCGCCTTGCGATTGTTCATCTTGGCCATTCGGCGCACGCGTCGACTTCGCAACCGGGGGTCCTGATTGCTGTTCCGCCAGCTGTCGACAGCTCTCTGAATAAGTCCTCGTTTCCCGCGAAGACATGGATTAAGCTGAGCCAATGCCCAACCAACGGTGTTGCATTCAGTCTCGTACTGTAACCGGTTCCCCCTGTATTGGTCCTTGGGACAGCATGCTCTGGGATAAACGCAGTTTTCTGTCTTAAACTCGCTGCTGAGTTCGTCGGTGTTGACAGACTCGACGTCGCAGCGGATCGTATATTCCATCTTCACCCTGTCACGGGAATATTCAAAAGCAATCCACTGGACACCATTGTTATCCTGCCTCACCACCAGAGGCGTAGTAGCTGGGATTGGTCCCGGCGCCGCATTATTGTTGACACCAGGCGTCGATGACCCGGTAGGAGTTGATAGCTGCCCGCCGTTTTGAGTTGGTTGAGATGTCCCTAACGGCCCAGGCGTGGGTCGCTGTAGTTGCGCAGCCATCTGTGGCTCCATTTTGGTATGTCGAGGGCTTCCCGTCATTCCAGGTTGCGCGTGCTGGCTCGGATGCTGCGCCATCTGATGCTGCGGACCTGTGTGAGACATCATCATATTTGGCTGCGAGGCCATAGGTTGATGCGGCTGTTGAGCATGCTGCTGATACGGAGAGGGCGCTTGCGGCGGCAGGGACGAGTATTGTGGTTGTTGCGCGCCATAGTACATAGATTGGGGCTGAATCTGGGATGTTGGCTGACCATAGAGACTTCGGTGTTGTTCGTGACCTGACGGTGACGCGACAGAAGCTGGCGAATTCGATTGAGGCGTATGATATGACATTGGAGGATATGGTCTAGGCATTTGAGCTGCGGCCATCATATCGGAGGTGTCTAGCGATGTATGAGTCCATGCATTGGCTTGATTGCAACGCGCACAACGCGCAGCGTAAACTTACCTGCGGACGTATATCCGCTCGTCGTGCCTGGAGTGCTGTACGGGCTCTGGTGAGCGTAGTAAGGCAGGTCTTGCGCGTGTTGAGCACTCGGCGCGTGTCCAGTCTGCTGGTAGGCCGGCTGGATCGAATGTGTTGACGAATACGCCGAAGGTTGTTGCGGCGCCTGGTGATGTTGCTGGTGAACGATACTCGAGGGCCGAGGATGCTGTAGGTGCTGGGGAGGCGCCGGACCCTGCGAGTGGTGGGGATGATGCTGCATAGAGGAGACAACCATTAGTCCTGAACTTCGGAGTGTCAAAGCCAAATAGTAACGACAACCATGAAAAGAAAAAGAAAGTAGGACGTGTCGGCAATTTTTATTTTCTTGACACTGTCAAGGTCCAAGCAACTTAAGCATCTCCTAATGACGAGGTTTAACGGGTGAGGCTTGCTTAAGCGACGGGGGGAGGTATAGCTTATAAGACCAGGGGCCTAAGCATACTACCGTAAGAGATAAAGAATTGCAGTACCAGGAAATGACACCACCAGGTGCTTGCTCCTAAAAGGGAGGAGTGGATAGGAATCGGAAGCGGAACCCGAAGGTCTCAAAGTTCACCAACTAGGTTCTCCTTCAAGCCTATTTGGGACGCGACAAGGACAACAATGCCTCGAACACGTCGGATATAGTTAATGATAGATTGTTATACTTCCGTTAGGGGACAGCTAAGAAAACAGAGAGAATAACAGTGGGTTTTGAGATCGGAACGAGGATCCCAAAATGCGACGATGGTAGAAGGCAGGGTCAACGATATTTGAGCTATGTAAGGTGAGATCGCAAGGTATGAAAATATCGAGGTAAGGATGCCTTTGGCGTCCCTCTTGGTGTAAGACTGGGGTCCAGTTTACCTTGGATGGGGCTTACTATGTATAATGTATCAATATGTACGTCCTGAGAAGCCTCTCATTCCGGGATAATTAACAGGAACGATATGACTGCTTAGTTTGGTAGAGGAAGGACGTGCAATGCCTGCGGCAAAGCATGAAATGTGAACGATGAGAAATGGGAACTTGGAGATTTCGTGTTAGGGTGTGGGCGGATCAAGATGTGGGACATCGCATGGAAGAAACGTGACAGGGGGCAAGGGGGACAGCTGCATTTTTAGATGAAATGGCCAATGGCGGCACGGCCAAGCAGGGCCAGTCTACCCAATGAGGTATTCTAAGCCCGGGGCTAGCCAACAGTACAAGGGGGAGGTCCTTCGCGAGCTTTCAGGGAGCAAGGCGGTGTGTACGGGGCGCGATCGAGGTACTCGAATATTGCGTGTAATTGCACTGGTGGATTAGATTACCGCCCACGATCCAAGTTCAAGCATAAAAAAAGGTAGTTAAGAGTTGGGAGTAGAGATAGCCCCTTGCCTGAAGACATATTCGGCCTAAAACCATGGACGACGTTAGGTACTGGGAAGGATCCTCACGCCGAAACTCTCCTAGCTGGTAGAGTCACCAGTCACTTGACTACGAAACCTAACTCGGTGGCCAGTTTTTCGCTCCTCTGCTGAATTCTGAACCACAGCCATGGTGGTGTGGTGACAACAGTGAGAGTGCTGAGGGACATCCGCACTACCTATTGGAGAATTGCACTGGGGTCCCACTCCATGGCCAAACCATTCTCTTGTAGATTTGAACCCTCCATCACTACTAAGAAGTACCGTGTACAACTTCGGTCGAATATTATTTTCCCTTTTCCTGTTTCTGCCCCGAAGGTATGATAATGCCCACCACACTAACCACACTTGTAGTGTGTTGGAAGTACATACGTGGGAATTAAGCCGGAGAAAATTTGACCTTACAGCGCTAGTAAAATAGCGTCGAAAAAAAAAAAAAAATCTTGAAGAGACTCGGCTCCGTTGAACCGGCTGAACTTTTTTTTTCAGGCCGTAGCTTAAAGTGGAAAGGATTCGCTCTAACAGCTCTAGCCCCTCAAAGACCGTTTTTTTTTTCGTCCTGTTTAGCATTTGGGGCAAAAGAAAGGAAAAGAAAAGAAAAATTTCAATGCCCAAAGCTTTGATCAAAATGATAACAGTGTAATTGCCGCGTCTACCATACGGAGTAAGGAAATGATGAATCGTGGATTATGAGAAAGCTCCTTGGTCTCCCCGCATCCACTTGGGCAGGGGCATCACGGGCACGTCAGCGTTCTGAAGTGTTATTGACAGGATTAGAGGCATCGTCACCCCTTGAAAAAAAAGCAGACTGGGGACGCTAAGGCAACCCGCACAAGCCCTGTTCCAGAAGACGGAACCTTGTCGTTTGTGAAACAAGCATACTCCCCTGTAATTCCCTTGACTTCAAGACTGACCTAGGTAGCCTGGCTTGCAATAAGGCCCCACGACCTTCTGGAAACCAGGAACACATCCCAATTCATATTCAACCCTTACGCGTTGCAATAACGACGCGTTACTCCAGCATGCTCAATACGGCACGGCTTAAGTTGTGATATCGTAGCATCTGCGGGCGTCGTACGGCTGGGCTGACTCGGGTCGAGTCTACAAGCCTACAAGCCGGCAGATCTACATTCGCAAAGTGGCACTTGCTCCAGGGGTGTTGATGCAAACCCATAGGAAAACGTACATGTAAATAAGATAAAACTCACAAGATCTGGACGCTGTTCCTCTTTCAGATGCGAGTTAGAATGCTGTCTGTGTTGCCCCATCTTGACAATCAATATAAATGAGGTCTGACTCTTAATAGATTCGTAAGTCTTTGTTAATTTTCCTATGTACCTCAAATTAGCAGAGAAACAAACAATGGAACTGAGATGACCTGGCCTTCTCCACACGGTCCAACTTGAGGCAAACCGTTGAGAAAGTACGGGAGAACAGGTGGATTAGCAGCAAAGAGGCCACACCGTACATGGGAAAATTCCCCGCATGCCGTACTATAGAGCCAGGATGAGCGTCGTGCTTCCCAGTGCGCAGATAGACATCAAGCTTTGCAAGTAATTCTTCTCGATAAAAAATGGGTATACTCACACTATGTGGTAATAGCTTTGTTCCTGTTGAATCGCGATAAATTACGGTCATAGAGATTGACGAGAGAAAGCGAAGGCCGGGTGGCTGAACTGTTTTCTACCACAAGGTCAGTGACATATTACGGTAAATGTATAAAATGATGTGGATACAACATTGATGACCATCAACAAACATGGAAATTATAAATAATAACAGATATCGATAAGAGAATATTTCACCGGCAAGAGTAGGAAATGACTAATTTATGTAAATCCTTCAGCTGAAGCTTGCCGAGAAATTGAGATGCGCATGGGTGCATTGGTAAAGAGATATATGCCTTTATCAAGAGTGTTAGGCGAAGAAGCCAGTGCGTAAAAGAAAATTCCATTATGACGAGCGTAATGGTGTAGTTAGGTAGTAGGAGCAATATCTAACCTTAATGGGAAAGAAAATTGATTAATCACTTATACACGCCTTGAACGAAAATATAAGAGTGCTAAGGAAGTTGGGCCGAATAACCAGGTGATCAAGTGCCAATATAGTACAGTTATAAACCGTAGCTTGCCGATGCTGGACAAAATCCAGAGCGTTGGGTATATCAGGTTCGCGGCTCTCGAAAGAATCCCGCGGTTCCCTCGTGGCGTTTCGCGTATTGCAAGGTTGAACCTTTCCGCTAGTATCAATGAAGTCGAATTGCGTGTCTTAGATTAGGTATATGCTTCAGCTATGCCTGCTAAATCTTGCAGATAGCTGCGCGCATCAACCACGCAGGCGACGTAACTTTCTGCAAGTTATCTGTCGTGGCCAGGCCCCGGGATTAGATCTGTGCTGCCATATTAGTTCATGCATGGCCAGCCTTGTCTAGTCAGATGTCGTCAGGAGAAGTCGAAGAAAGAAATGCATGGTTCCCCAAAAGCGAATGGGGGGACGACAAGGAATGGGTATTGGAGGGGTGTAGGGACAAGCCGCAGTTACTGGGGTCCGGCAAAATGGCATTTTCTCATGCGAGAGTAAATTGAGGAACCAACTACGTATTGCGGCGCCTCTGACGCCGAGTATATAACGGGACAAAAGCAGGATCGAAGCCCGTTACGTAGTATTCAGGATATAGTCGAAATTATACAAGTGACGATGCTAATCTGGATGGAAGCGACTGGTTGTACCCAAACTTCCATATCAGGAAATTTTGGTACGAGTGTCGATAAAATTATATATTGGGTATGGGTTACAAGGTAATTTTCAAAATCTGATCTGGGGGTAAACTGACGGCTAATGAACAAATACAAGGGTGTATATCGTAGCTGAGATAAAATACTACCTTAACAGGTAGCAGCTTATGGGGTTAAGCAAATAGGTTTTAGGGTATTGAAATCAGCATGTCTATTTACAGGTGCTAAGGAAGGAAACCATGACAACCTTACCAGAGAATTCAAGAGTCTTGAGGTAAATCTAAAAACACCAAGCCGGTGACCAATTATAGGTGAGCGAAGCGGCAGTCAATTAACGGACCGTTGTCTGGCGTGCTTGGCTGAGTTGCTGGGATCAGGGATCGAACACATGCAATAGAAAAAAGGCGAGTCTTCAGCCTCTTCGATACCTGTCAACCCAGGATCAACTGATATAGACACGGGCCGCCGATAATACCGGGTCTCTGGATGCGCCAACAACGGGTTGTAAGAACTCTGACTCAGCTAGGAGTCACGCCCTGACGTTGCTCAGCAAGATGGCAGACTGCAGAGAGATATGAGCGTCGACGGATATCGGGACAGGTTCAAAAGATAATTGGTTCCTCTGCTTGTTGTGTGATTTGGCCTTCTCAGATAAATATGTACTCATTGAGTGATGTTATTACTTGTGATTTGTAATTTGACGATTGCGCAACGAAGCTATGTAGATAGGAGTTAACCATGAACAGAATGAATAAAAGACTATAGCAGATAGATAAAAATCCTCACTGCCGGAAAGGTACCTAGGAGCTAGCTTTTACAACATGCTATTTCCTTTAGCGGACTTGTAATCTTCCTAGGATAATGAAAGAACCCTCAGGGATCAGCGAGGGCAGCAAACAACAGGGGGCACAGCGGCTCCCGAGAAACCCTGATTCAGATCGACGGTCGATAAGAGCTTGAAAATAGAACACACAGCAAAGACCGAGGTAGGTATAGCTTGAGACCAATACCGCGCGACTGTGAGGGATGGAAAAAGACGGCGCAAAATAAATAAATGCTCATGAAGAGAGGAATCATATAAATGATTCAAATAAATGTAC